TTCCATCCGTTTTCAACACTGAAATGGAAAATTCCCAATCTGGGCCCGTAAAAGTGTTGCAGTTTTCCTTTTATCAATGTTGAATCCCTTGTCAAAATTAATCCTGACCAGGTGCTGACTTTGACGGATGACGTAGTCAAAATGAGTTGTGTCCATTTATGGGAAATTGGTATTTATAAAGCCTCAAAACTGATTCTGCATACCGTACGCACTTCCTTGTACGGTGAATAGCCAGTGCAAAAGACACAATAGTCATAGAATTGTGCACGTATTTACATGTACCATGTACTCTATTCCAAGGACACAAATATTCAAGCCCTTTTTTTGGCTCCGTGAAGTTATAAAACTGCATTTATATCCGGGTTAAAGTTTTAGAGTCCTTTTAAAAAAAAATTGTTTTATAAATGATGGTACACTGTGTGCATAAATACTTTGCTACATTTTCTAAAAGATTTACTATTTGATGGTGTTCATCATTGTGGCCATTCAATCTACATGCATTTTGAATACTTTCTCTTTTAAAACATGGACATGGTTCAGTGGAATGCCATGGTCCAGTGGTTACGGTGTTCAACTCATGTACTGTACGATGTGCGTGGGTTCAAACCCTACCAGGAACATGTTGTTTGTACCCTTGGGCAAGACACTTAACTACAATTGCCTCTCTCCACCCAGGAGTATGAATGGGTACTTGTGAGGGTCGAGGACAGAATGTACGCTGTTATCGGCTGCCGCGTAGTCTCATGGCCTGATGAACAGGGTAATAATTGTAGAGCGCTTTGAGATTGTTGATACGACGGAAAGCAATACATGTATGTATTTAGGCCTAAGCACTACAATTATTTTTTATTTTATTAGTATAAATTTGTCATTCAATAGAAAGTTGCAATTGGTATCATCTCACACTTCACTTGAGCAGGCCAAATATCGCCCTCAACAGCTCATGCATGAATCCAATTGATGATGCCACACACACAGTCTAAGGCAATAGGACATATACATGTTTTGCTTTTTATGTACCGGTACCAGAGTACACTTATACTGGTCTGCCGGTACATGAACTGGCATTTATTTACCATGTTTACATTGTGTGCACTGTAAGCCGTCATTACTGACCAGATACAAAATGTACAATGTACATGTACCTGTACTGGTACATGTACTTTTTCTACTCTTTCTAGATCTTATTACTGTACCAAACATTGTGCACATGTACATGTACATTTTTCTTAATCTCGTAAAGTACATGTATATCAGTACACAATGTGAATTTTTTGTTTACAAAATGCAGCAAGCTATTTTCCGGGTTCCTGATACGGTTCAACAACTCTTTTCAGGACCAAAAAATCAAGTAGGCGTGTGTGTTGACAGTACATGGGGAAATATATATTTCAAGAGGGAAATATATATTTCAAGATAACACGGGTCAATTTTCAATGGCTGTTTAATCCTGCTACAGTACTAAGTCATTATTTTGCTGTGTGAAACTTCCCTACTCCTACAAAATCAACAACTTCAGGAATCGGAAAGCAATGACACTTTCCTGGTATATTTTTGTCTTCCGAACATGCCGAAACAAAATTTATTTGGTAATTTCGATACACGAAACAAACTTTCAAAAGAAAATTTGGCCTCGCTTTAAGTACAGAAATAACCCAGATCCACCTGAACCAAGTTGAACCTTGATCCCAAAACGCGTCGCACTTTGGAAACGGGTGAAGAGGACACGCTTTGGCGTGACTGGAATTGTTTAATCATTAAACTGCAACTGATTGATGACCAGTTTTGCTGGTGGGTAATTAGTATATAAAATGTCGGTTTAAACTCGGTTTCAGTTTTGAAAGAGGGTGTACATGTATACTTCGCTGATCACTTTGTCTAGACACAAAAAGATCATACGTACATGTGTGTACATGTAAGCATGTACACCTTTCTAGTTTATTTTACTGGAACTGTCCTCTGACTGACTGATTGACTTGCTCCCCGACTGACTTTCTCCCCTGAGTGACAGACTGACTCCCCGAGTCGCTGACCTTCTGAGTGATTGACTTTCTCCCCGACTGAGTCACTGACTTTCTGACGCCCCGAGTGGTTGACTTTCTGATTGAGTGACTGACTTTCTGACTGACTTGAGTCACTGACTTTTTGACCGATCCCGTTAGCTCGGTGGTCAAGTGGTAAGACATCTGCACTAGAAAGCAGGAGGTCGTGGGTTCGAGTCCCACCCGAGTGATTTTTTCCAACTTTCACTCGGGAGGTAACACACTGAGTATACAGTGTTTAAAACGTCGGTGAAGGGCAAAACCTATAATTTGATATATCACCCCGACGCAAAAAAAAAAAATCCATCTTATAATAGTTTATGCGGTACCCGCCGCTATGTACATCAGATTCGAACCGGCCAACCGATCCCGTTAGCTCGGTGGTCGAGTGGTAAGACATCTGCACTAGAAAGCAGGAGGTTGTGGGTTTTGGGTCCCACCCGAGTGATTTTTTCCAACTTTCACTCGGGAGGTAACACACTGAGTATACAGTGTTTAAACGTCGATGAAGGGCAAAACCTATAATTTGATATATCACCCCGACGCAAAAATTCCATCTTAAAATAGTTCCCCAGTTAGGCAAAGACAACTACAGTACATACATTTGTATGAAATGGAGTACAATTTACAATGTACCGGTATCTTGTTTTTACTGGTTACATTTCTCATCAGTGAAATGCATGCTGCCCTTGCCATGCTTGCTTGGCACCCACGGACAAGCCAAAACAGCGTCCCCAGTGTTGTCATATATGTTACAATACTCACAATTAAGGCCTTCATAGACCACAACTGTCACTTTTTCGCAAAGCGGCAAAGGGATGGAAAACGGAGTTGAAACTGTTTGTGGGTTTCCGCCAAGGGTCCATGCTGGCACTGGATGTGGTTACATGTAAAAAGGAAACAGGAAAGAACGAACGCTGCCTGATTGGTAATTTATCGGCATTGGGGAAAACAATACAAAGTGTCAAACAGAAGGCCAGATTAGAGATAGGGAGGCCGTCCCCAATGCCAAGTTGTTAAGTGCTGACTCTAGGGGCCCTGGTGGGAAATGTTAAAGTACGGTACGTACAGGCACCTACCGGGGTAGGCCTATATATACTGAACATGTGCTAAATCATGTTATATACAGATCCTTGTCATTTGATTGGTGGAGCTCACATCACGTGACATTCGTTGTTGCTCCCATTCACGCCAGGGCTCAAAAAGTCCCATTCGCCCATGGGGAATGGGATATACTATTCATTAGTTACGGTAGGATCATTCTTGTTCTATTACGCAGTATTTGTGTGCAAAAGCATGGTGGTGTGCGCGTTCTGCCTTGCGCGTAGCGCGTGTTGTTCCAAAGAGCCAGCACTACAGAGTTGGATTTAAACTTTTTCGCGAAGGGGTGGTTTGGAAGAGAGATATACATTTTCCACCAATTTTGTATTGAAATAAAAGTGCAGGTATCAAATGACAAGGATCTAGGCCTATCACTATAAAACAAGTATTGAGTGGCTTCGCCTCATGAAATGAAAAAGTCCAGATTTACCTTGTGATAATATTCTTCCCATTCCACTCTGAGCCACGCAATATTTGTGTGCATACACTCTGTATTTGGAAATTAAATGCACAAGGACAATTTAGAGTGAATGTATACATTGTCATGATTGTATGTAACAATGTATGCTTTCCATCCCAAACTCATTTTTATGGCACTGCCATTTCATATTCAGATATTGTTGTGTACCGGTACCATACACTAGTCTTTTACTTGCCAAAAGGATCTGCTTCCATTTTACATACACAGCAAAATGCGTGTTCAGTTTTGAGGGAGATTTTATTGAATTCTAACTCAATTTCTTTACGGATGTTATAATTAAGCCAACTTTTTTCCTTTACTATTAGTCTGAGTGTGTGGCCTAGTGGTTAGGGTTCGTGACTCATGATCAGAGGGTCCGGGGTTCGAATCCAGCCGCTGGTCATATATTGTGTCCTTGGGCAAGGCACTTCACCCCCACTTGCCTCTCTCCACCCAGGAGTATAAATGGGTACCGGCATTAGCTGGGGAGTAACCTGCGATGGACTAGCATCCCATCCAGGGGGAGTAGAAATATTCTCAGTCGTTTCATGCTACTGAAACCGGAGATAAACGCCGGCCTGATGAGCCACGTTGGCTCGGGACAGACTTTACTTTACTTTTAGTCTTCCACTGAAGATGCCATTGTCGCATTGTTGAAAAACTTGAAACTTTCAACATACAACAACCTAACAGTCATAGTGCATGGGCTCCACATACTATTCCTTTCCTGAATCCAGCAGAAAAAGCTAAAAAAAGAAGAATAGCCCTTACTTCATGTTTAGAAAATCTTAGAGGGTTAGAGTTGTAAAATTGTGCAACATATTCTCATCTCAACTGTAAACTATGCCCGAAGATTCATGTACATGTACATATGTAGCAAAATTGTTTTCACACATGTATGCCTGTGCTACATGTACTTTGTACAAGTTTGTCCTTACAATTTACTGTTACTCTGACAGTTACGGCAATAAATAGATCTGGACAATGTTTTACAGTTTGCAATGTAAAGGAAACCACAGACACAGCTTGACACGGAACTTCCTCAGTAGGCGTGCGCATCAAATCGTTTTTAGATTTGGACCTTCTCCAATCTCCGGCATTGTTTTTTTTCTTTTCCCGGTTGGTATCAAGCCCAGCCAAGTGTGAGTCACCCTACCCCAGACCATTCCAGCTTCAACAGGGCAAGCTCATGTAATGATCTCAGATCGCGTGGTGTTCATTGCTCTCCGTGCGATACCCGATAGCGACGTATACTCGGTGGACCTGAGTCACCCGAAAATATTGGCTTTCAAGGAAACTTGGACGGACTGTTATTTTTCTGTGTTCACTTTTTTTTATAACGATATCGCTGGATCATACCATAGATGATTGCATCAGGAACAGCGTATTAGGTTGTGTGCAAGGCTGAAATTGTTGCTGCTGTAAAAACTGGATCTATTTTGTGAACGTTCACTGGTAACCTGTGAAGGGATATAGCTACATCATGCTAGGAGCACAAAAGGTACCAGTAGTTACATGTACACTAGTCAACACAATAAGATTAAGATTGTTGCTGTAATGTTATTTTGTAATGCACACTGGAACAGGGTTTTACTGCACTGTACATGTATAGTAATTGTAGAGCAATGATCTACAAAATACATGTACTGTACCGTATACATTTTTGTGTGACTGTTCAAATGCGTACAATATGTGTCTAATTTCCATTTTTGTGTGTGTAGGCTACAGGTGTAGGTCTGTAGGACATACTTTGACATGTACAAATGTATGTATGGACCGGTATGTCTGGCAGTAACAATGTGTACATAAAATGCACATTGCACTGTACACATTCTTATCTTATTTATCAATTGTACAAAGTTGTTAATATTTTTATTTAAAGGGAATGTACAACATTTGCTTTTGCTTCAATTCTCAGAAATAAACAGATTTGGAGGATTAGTACATGTAGGCCTATGTTATAGCAAATATTGTTAAAATGACTTGTTTCATGTTTTGGGCTTGTAAATGCTGGAAAAACCAAGAAGACCAATCATGTTCTTGTAGCCTGGTTCCCTGACCCCACTTCAGATGAAACAGAGAATTTATAGACTTTGGGGAATTATAAGGTCAGAGAATGAGTCTAGCACGCTTGTACCCCTTCACAGGTGTGTAATCAATTGCAAACAGTTTTTGCAGCAAAGAGTTTGCAAGTAGTTTTTGAAATAAGCCAGTTTTCTCCAACGCTGGTCGGCCGACCATCGTTGGAAAAATACAATTTTTCTTGAAAATGACAGCACACCAGGAGCCACGATTTTACAGGATGCTTTAGGCTGTCATTCCCTAACAATCCAGTACGGCATTTTGTGATAATTTGATCATTTCGTTTTGAGATGTTTGCAAATGTTGTATCTTCCCTTTAATACTGTGTTAGATATTTCAATACACGTACATGTATGGTATTGTGTGCATGTAGGGGTGTATGCATCAGTGCTTCTGTAAGTGAATATATTGAAAGGAATAACCATAAAAATGGTATATTTGACCTGTTTTGCAACTTACAGTACCGGTATGTGAGCATACCGGTAAATATGAGTATTGTAACTGTACATGTACATGTGCCTACATTGAACTGAGGAAAATGTAGGCCAATTGTGCGTCTGCTTGGCACCCACAAACACAAAAGACGTCTCTCAGGATCATAAAAAAATAGTAAATGATTCATACTGGTAATTGTCAGGTGCGTCAGAGGTAGAGTCAGAAGTACATGTATGTACCGGTATGCAAGTTGTCATTGTGTTTAAAGACATACATGTACATGTAGTCGATCATTTGTAATTTGTGCATTTTGTTCATTTGAAGCAACAAAAGTGTTCAAAATCTAATGAAGGATACTGAACAACTAACCTGATGAAGTTTCAGCTCAGCTTCAGCTGTACATGTATATTCCGAGAAAAACAGCATTCTAGGATCTCAATTTCAAATCAAAAGTTGCTAAATCATGTTTTGAATTGTTTTGAATTGCAGCTTTACGCGATGTCGCGCACTGATCTGACGAATTATAGCAACCGCACGCGCGTGTGCGTTGTGCCAATGCTTGTGCGCACTTTGCCGAATAACAAAACGAACTACTAATTTAAATTTTCCTACGGTGCGTCTTAAGACGCACCGTTGGAAAGGCCAAAGAAGGCCTTCTTTCGTTGATTACTTCAAAATGACAGCTTGCCAGAAAGAATAATTTCACAGGGAGTTTAGTCCACTTACTATCTTTCAACCAAGTATGTTTTTCAACAATAATTACGCCAGTTCCTTTTGGGATTGCTGCAAATGATGGACTATTGTCTATAGCTTTAAGTCAACCAAAGAAGTTTGCCCTGTTGACAGGTTATCAAGTGAATTGTATGTATTCTCCTTAATTAAAGTGACCATGACATGAATTATACTTGGGAACATATTTTGTGACTCTTTCTACTCATAAATTTCTGAAACTATTTGACAGCCCTTTAAAAGTCTCTAAGATTTTCCTGACAACTGAGGGCGTTACCCTGCTAGCTGCAACCAAACCAAATGCAACAGTGGATTTTGTTGTATCGCCTTGGGAATATGAGCAGTTACCCTGCTAAATGCAACAAAATGCAAAGTAGGATTCTGCTGTACTGCCTTGGACCTGTGAGCAGTTACCATGCTAAATGCAACAAGATGCAACATAGCATTCTGATGTATTGCCGTGGTCCTATGAGCATTTACCCTGCTAAATGCAACGAGATGCAACAAAATGCAACATAGGTTTTTGATGCACTGCCTTAGACCTATGAGCAGTTACTCTGCTAAACGCAACAAGATGCAACAAAATGCAACATAGCATTCTGATGTATTGCCGTGGACCTGTGAGTAGTTACCCTGCTAAACGCAACAAGATGCAACAAGATGCAACAAAATGCAACATAGCATTCTGATGTATTGCCGTGGACCTATGAGTAGTTACCCTGCTAAACGCAACAAGATGCAACAAAATGCAACATAGCATTCTGATGTATTGCGTATGAGCAGTTACCCTGCAAAATACAACAAGACATGCAAGATGCAACACAGCATGGAGACTTGAGTTGCCTGCTAAATGCAACAGTGTATGCAACAACTTTTTACCATTGTTGCTTTTTGTTGCATTTAGCAGGGTTAGTGGTTAACAGCGTTGTACAAACTGTAGTACTCATACTTATAAATACAATTCCTCGTACTCGTACTCATGAAGAGCACTCGACTCCAAACAAGTAGTTAACACAGCAATCATGACAACTAGTGGGAATTGTACTTCCCATATTCATACCAAATTTTAAAAAAATTCTCTTCTTGTTTCTTTTGTTTTTCCCCTCCCGATGAAAGGCGAAAGTGTTGTACGACTTTGACGGCGAAGTCGAGAACGGGGAGCTGGTGATCAGAGAGAACCAGATCCTGACCATCATCCGGCAAGATGTCGGGGACGGCTGGTGGGAGGCGGAGACTGCCACCAAACAGAGGGGGTTGATCCCTGAGGCTTACGTCCAGGTGAGTTGATCAGGCATGTCGGGAGACCAAAATTGGAGAGAAAAAAAGGAAATTTCATCTTCATCACATTGAGGAGTGATTTAGTCCAGTCACAAATAAATCACAAGTCAATGCACAGACTTTTGTACAATTGTGAGATTTGTCACGATTTTCCCTGATTTCAAGGTTTTTTTGTCAGGATTTGTTACCAGATGTCAGGTTTTTGGTCAGAATTCTTACCAGATTTCAGGTTTTTTGGTCATGAGTTTTACCTGATTTCAGGATTTTTTGTCATTTTTTTTGCTGATTTCATGATTTTTAAAGGATCCCTTTTGAAATCTAGAATTCAGGGCACGCCTTCGGCATGGCATCACTCATCACCCCCCCCCTTTTATAAAGCCTCCTCCCCTTCCCTTTTCCAGAAAGCTAGATCTGCCCCTGACCACTGACTAGTATATATCAATGTCTTCCATTGTGTGAAGATGTGTTTATTCTTTCACTTCCGAAAATAGCTGTCTCTCGTTCTGTTTGCAAGGTGCAACAATCTATTTTTACATCCAAACGTAATCATGTTCTATTGTGTATATTTTCAGAAATGTCCTGTCATTCTTTGTTTATAAAAGCACATCCTCAGATCCTGTCGTTCTTGTCTGGTCATTGTCCCTGAAAGTGTTAATGGAGAGTGCCAGGGGAAGTGGTTAGAATGATCGACATTTTTTTACACACATGCACATTCATGTACAGACAGTCGTACACAATTTGTATCTTTGTGGAGTCATTTCGTTGTTCTTGTGTACTAAAGTTTTCGAGTTTGAAAGTGTAGTTTCAAAATGCTCCTATTTTAACCAGAATTAATTTCCTGGGCTGAAATTAGGACTTACGTGTATATCCCTTACATAAAATACTTCAATTTGCGACAGATCAACCCACCTTGGAAATTCCTAGTCTTTGAGTAAAATCCATAATATATCTATTTCGTGATAACCTTGTGGAGACTGTAGATAGAAATTTCCCCGTGGAGACGTATTTGTTCCCTATTGTGTATGTCTCCACAGGGTACCGCGTACCATATTACCAAAATATGTCTGAGGACATTTTGTCCCCCCCCCAACCCATTAAATTTACACCACTATGACTTTGCGCCTCTTTTTCTTTTCTTTTTTTTCCTTCTTGTTTTCTTCTTCTTCTTTTTTTTTTTGGGGGGGGGGGACAAGCGCCCCCCTTGCCCCCCCCCCCTCGCAACGCCCATGCAGACATGTGTCCATATTTGTATCTCGATGGCCTCTGTGGTTCAGACGTGCTTTCACTTCCCATTTTTGACTCCCATGCGTCATTGTTTGGCACCGTTAGAGGAAGTGGTTGAAACGAATGATAAACAATAGAAAATCCTTGATTCAAATTGTGGTTAAAACAAATGAGGTAATCTCACTCAACACTTTCTGACAGTGCAGTTCCCCTAAAATTCTGTCTTTCCCTAAAATTCTGGGCCTAATAGGAAAAGTCTTGGCACCCGTCCCCTTTCCATCGTAAGTTTGAGCTCTCGGGAGAGAAGAGTGCATGATTTTATTCTATTTTCTGTACTCACTTTTGTCGGTTTATGACTAGTCACAGTGCTTGCTGGAAATATGATCTGACTGTTGGCGACTAGCCTGTGCATAAAGGCATGGCAGGGGAAGAGGATTGATTTTTTGACTGTCTGTGACTGTTCAGACAGCAGGAGGGTTAAAAAAAAGTGTCATGTACATGTTCTCTAATTCCATCAAAAGATTGAACCAAGCTTTGGCGTTTTGAATTTAGATGTTCTTGATAATGAGTCCCCCTGCCCTGGTGCCCCCTCCCCCAAAAAGTCTAGTCTGGATTGAAGCTACATTGTACAAAGTACATGTACACATTTTTGTTCATCCGTTTCGCCAAAGAGAACAATACAATATTAAGTACGATGCCTTGCCACAACTTCTGAAATTGGGACGGGGAATACTTTTTTTCTCTTTGCCTTGACGACCGCACGCACGTACACCAGGATGCCAAGAATTTCCTGACTGCGTTATGAGTCAACGCACCCCCTGAAGACCCCCCCCCCCCCCAGCACGTAGGCCACGCGCCTCGGAACAGGGCTAGACTCTCAAGCACCTGAAGATTACACATAACCCGTGCCCCATTGTCTCCTGGGTATGGGCAAGAACAAGGCTCTCTAGGGGGGAAAACCCCTTCAGCTTTCTGTGAACAAACATTGTAACCATGGAAAAGACAAATCGCCGTTATCAAAAATTTATATTCCCAACCCCTGTGTCTAGTCATTAACATACATTTGTACATGCCGGTATGTGCTGTATGTGATTGACCTGGAAAATTGCATACATGTTCATGTACATACATGTACATGTAGAACATAAATACTGTAAAAGATTATGTGCAAAATGCATTTGACATTTAACTCTCTGTCATGTCTGTGCACGTTAAATTGTGTTTGCAATACCCCCACAAAATCTTGAAATTGCAATTCCCATGCTATTTTCAAGTTTCATCTCGAAAAAAAAAGATTCCTTTAGGCCAAAAAAAAAAGTCTCCGGTTTCTGGTATGGAGCTTGTCCAAAAAGTGGTGCGGCGACGCGGCTTTTTTTTTTTTTTTACAGGTCTGACTTTTTTGCTTCAAATGTCGACTGATGACTGCAAATGGTGCCCGACTAAACTTAGTACAAATATATGGGAGTTCAGAGAGGCCACATAAAGCTTATTCTCGATCATAACCCCATCTAAAAACACGTTAAAAGTGTGCAGCAGCAGGATTCCAGTCAAACCAGTGAGTTTGGCGGTTTTGAGACATCATCTTTTATTGAAAAAAAACCTTTTTCATTTTGCCGACGCGCATGGCTACGGCGACGCGCGCACATACCAGAAACCGGAGACTTTTTTTTTTTGGCCTTACTAAATCTGCTAATTTTCTAGCAATTTAGTTTTTCACCTTTGAATGAGACATCGACCAAAAAAAATATGTCGACCCTTGTTACCTGTAAGTTAAAATTCATAAGATGGAATTTTGCGTCGGGGTGATGTAAATCAAATGGCGTGTAGGTACTGTCCTTCACCGTTGTATTTATGTATTACCTCCCGAGTGAAAGTTGGTAAAAAGTTGTAAGTTATTGAATTATAAATTACTTTATAAGTTTTGAATAATTGGCGGCCAGCCAATAATTCCATTCTTGCAGGGTAAGCTGGAACATTGTAAACGCTGGTTCCTGTTCAACAATGCCATAAAATTACAGTATATTTGTAGAAGAGCGTGGAGATCGTAGCCGTAATTTTGTTGAACATGGTTAAAGGGAATGTACATCATTGGCTTTTGCTGTAATTTTCAGAAATGAACTATTTGAGGGGTTAGTATAAAAGATCAAATATTGTTACACTGACATTTGTGAAGTTTTGTGTTCAAAAAGGTTGGAAAAACCAAGAAAAACGAAAATGTTCAAGTAGTCTGGTTCCTTGACTCCACTAAAGATAAAATGGATCAATTTATAGATGCTGGAAAATTGTAAGGTAAGGAAACCAGTCTAGCTGGCCTGCACCCGTTCATGAACATGTAACCAATAGCAAACAAAATTTGGACTGAAAAAAGTGTAAAGTTGGAGCAGTAGTTGAAAAATAGTTACGTTTTTCCAATGTCAGTGGTCGGCCGACCACCGTTGGAAATGTATACAAAAATACCATTTACTTGAAAATGACTTCACACCAGGTGCCATAATTTTCCAGATGCTTTAGACTGTCATTTACCAACATCCTAGTAAGGTATTTCGTAAAAACGTGGTAGTTTTATTTTTCGATGTTTGCAAATGTTGTATATTCCCTTTAATTGGAAGTTGCATAGATGTCACAGGCACTAACGCAATATGTACAGTCATACAACAAATCTTGAACATGACTATACAATAGACATGTTGAATATGACTCATTGAAGGCATCAAGCTTTCTAAACTGGTAAGACGTTAGATAAACAGTCACAAGAACAACATGTGCTTCTGAGATCATAACATGTGTACTTGACATTGTTGATACAGCTCTGTACATGGACATATTTTTAGCATTCAGATGTTTGGATAGAATGACTGAAAGGAGAAGTGTTCCTCTTTTATTTCATTTAAAAAAAAAAATTAGATTGTGGATTCATGGAATGTTCCGGAAGATGCTCCGCCACCACCTCCCCCTCCTCTCGGAGATAGTTCGGTAATCAATCAATGTCATCAATAACCGATATCACTCATGAATTAATCAATAAACTGATCATCTTTTTTTCACCAACCATTTTGTCAACCAGCCATAGTTCTCCATCCATCCATCATCGTCATGACAGCACTAGACTCGGCCACCATGGACCTCAGTAAAAGATTTTCTTTAGCCGTTTGATCAGAAATTGATAATCAATAAATCAGTAATGATTTGAATTAATCAACAATAATTAAAAAAAACCCACCACATTCAGCTTGTTTCTCATCTAAAATCACAATATGAAAACTAACCACTGACTCTCAAAGTCAGGATCGTCAAAATTTGGAGTGATAAAGAATAATTGATTTATTGGTTATCAGTAATTGATTATTATTAATCAATACCATCGTTTCTTAACCAGCCGTAGAACTCAACCCATCTATGTATCATCGTCATGACAGCACTAGAAGCAGCCACCATGGACCTTAGTATGATCAGGGCCCAATTTCATCAAACTGCTTAACGCTGATTGTGTGCTTACCGAGCCTCCATCTATTTCATAGAGACTGTTAAGCAGTAAGCACAGCAAAAACATGCTTAGCCCCAGAGGAACACGTTGCTTAAATCTGTGACGTAACAATAGAAATCTCCATGCGCGCGCAACCGTTAGCACATCCACGCCGTGAAATATTGCTTAAACTGCAGCATGGTCTTCTGCACAACTTTTCTGCTAACTGTTAAGCAGCGCTATGAAATTGGGCCCAGAAATTGATCATCACAAAATCAATGATCATTAATATTTTTAATTTTATCAATAATATTTAGTACATATAATGCATCTTGTTCCTCATCTAAAATCAGATTTTCCTAAAAATTTTCACAATTGTTTTGAGTGATAATGAGCAAAATTAGTATCAATCATAGTTGATATTATTCAATACCATCTTTTCTCATGCTACTTAGCCCTTCACAAATTCATCCTCATGACAGCACCAGACTCATCAACCATGGACTCCAATTAATAAGTTTTCTTTAACCCTAACTTCCCAGGCATTTTTGCTAGGAAGCAACCTCAATCCTGCAAAATCCTCCATCTACCTTCATGTAAAAATTGCATACAGCCTTTAGAAATCCTCAGAAATCCTCTGTTATTTCTTGAATTGTGGTCCTTGGAGGGGTGCCCACTGCCTCAATCCTGCAAAATCTTCCAGCAGTCACTGTCAATATTTTGAGGCAGAGCAAGTAACAATCCTGGAGCAGTGCACAGGATTTCAAGTATAATCAAGGGCTAAATACCGGTATGCACAGCTCTGATCATAAACAAGACAAGGTCCGGCCCAAGACCTTGACACAGTGCATCCTCCAAAATCAGCCGCACATTTTTGTCATGTTAGCCTTAATCCGGCAAAATCCTCCATTTTGCAAAGAGGATTTCGGAGGATTTGGGAAGCTTAGGGTTAATTTTATGATCAGCAACCGGTAATCAATAATTGATAATCGTTTCAGTAATCAATCATTTTTCCTTTCGCCGATTGGAGTTATTTTATGCACAACTTGTCCCTTATCCATTATGACTTCATTTCCTACTAGCCAGCCACTGACGTGGAAAAGTCAGGCGAATTGGAAATTATCGTGTGATTATTTATTAATCATCCGTCATTAATCGATACCACTGTCCTTTCATAAACCAGCTGTGTCTTTCACACATTATTTTATCATGATCATCTACATGAGCAAGAGAAGTTGCCTTCATTCATTCATATGCAAAAAAATCATGCAGAGGATGAAGTTAAAACACAAAGAGTGCTCAAACAAATTTAGCACAGTTAAATTTGTCAGCTTTTAATCTTCAACCTACTATACAGTGTACAAATGTACCTTTACAAGAAAGATTCACTGGTGAGCTTTGGATACAAAAAAAGAAAAATTAATTCTTTCACAGTAGCTTAGCAACATACATCGTTACATGAAGTACACACACACATGTACTGGTAACAACATGAAAAATGTCTCTTTTTTCGCAAGTGCAGTTCTTGGTTTTGTCATGCAAAGTTTCCATTTAAGACTCCCGACATACTTTGAATACCAGGAATCACGCATACACCTACATGTTTATATTTTGGTCTCCTGAGAAATTTCAAATCACACTTAACCATTCATGTAACTCAGTCATTTCAAAGGTAATGTATGACATTTGCTTTTGCTGTACATGTAATTTTCAGAAATGGACAGATTTGGGGTCAAATATTGTTTGTGAATGCAGGAAAAACATGACAAATAAAACAACAACAAGAGAAAACGGTGTTCATGTTGTCTGGTTCCCTGACTGGATGCATCAGACAAAATGGAACAATTTATACAAATAGATGTCAGGGAATTGTCAGGTCAGGGAACCAGACTACCTGGATGCACCCGTGCACGGATATGAAACTGATTGCAAACAAAATGGGACTAGATAAATTTGGTCCATTTGGGGGCAGTATTTGAAAAAAGCCATATTTTTTCCGATGGTTCAGCCGAACCATCGCATACCAGGCGACGACAAACATGACAAAGGTATACCAGGGGTGAGATTTCACAGGATGCTTGAGACTATTTTGTCCTTACAGTAAATGTACAGCATGTGAGGTATTTCATAATAATTTGGTAGTTTCGCTTTTGTGTGCAAATGTTGTACATGATCTTTAAATTTAATTTTTGGAAAATGTACAGTTTGCATTTGTTTTTACCAAAGCTAAAAGGCTTCCGACAAATACACCAGTATACCACATTGTCATCACCTCCACATTAACACTGTTCTGGAAGCTTTGACCTTTTACAATGTGTTTATGTCAATCTGCCAATAATTATTCTTCCTCCCAGATGAGCCAGTCGGAGGCTGTGGACCTTCCAGCCCCGCCCAGTTTTGATTCGCAGTCGGTAATGATGTCGTCTTTTTTTTCCACGAAATACATGAACAAGAAAGTCATTTGCTCGTAGTGCCACAAGATATTGGAACTTGCCAAAATGCTTCGAAATGGATTTTAAAAAAAAAATTAAAATAAACATTTTAAGAAATTTTGAAAAAAAAACCGAACAAATATGTATCAATCCTAACTCCCTTCTATCTTTTACTAAGTACTAGACCAAGTCCGCCAAAATCCATCGATCACACTGCTTCCAATGCATGCTTTGCTTAAGGCCTCCAGGCCCAAGTCCATCGTGCTCCAATCTCCATCAATATTTAGCCAAACCAGGCCTACATGTACAGGACCAAGTCCCCCCCAAATCCACCAAAATCGGGGGATGGATTTTGATGGAGTTGGGGAGGTTAGGATTAAGAGAAGTTACACTTTCTCAGAGCTGCCTTAAATCTCGCCTTAATTCTCAGAGCTACCTGTTACATATTTTGTCCACATGTTCGGTCTTAAATAAGCCTCTTTTACTAATGACGTATGCTTTCCTATGGTGCTCAGTGGACCGTGGGCCCCACTGGCTCCATAGGAAAGTGCACGTAAACAAAGTGTGACGTCATCAGTACAGAGGCTTATTCCATAGACTAATTCGGCGGACAAAATTACAAGCCATTTTGAAAGTGGAACCAGGCTCGTGCTAAGGCACATGTAGTCCGGTAGTACGCACGCTCTCCGGGCTCCTTAGACCAACAGGTTAACAAAATGCGGTGCGCGCCTTGTCTTTAAGAACGCGTGCGGCATGTATACAGGACGTGGTTCTACCTCAAAATGGCTTCTCATTCTGTTTGCCGAGTTAATTAATTGACACACCAAAGCAGCATCTTCCATAATATTAAGCAATGCAGTTTTGTACAGAGTACCGGTATGTAATGTGTTGTATATGTAGGCTACTTCTGGATCGGATTCTTGGGACCGACCTGATCAAGCCCCACCACAGCCCCCTCCAGCAGAAGACATATCGGTAACATTGACCTCTAGCTCCAAAAGTCACACCTTCATACATGTACTCCTTTTCCTTTGTCATTTTCCATCAGGAGCACTTTTGTTGGTTGAAAATTGATTATTACATGTAGGTAGAAGGTTGACAAGGCTGAACCATACATGTAGAACGATTGTTAGCCTTCCTATGCAAACATACATTCTGTGCCAAGTTGTCCTTTCAGTCAAAATCAATCAAGTGACTGTTTTCATCAGTTAAGAATTCCCAGCCTGCATAAAGCGGGATTGACTGGCTGGGACTGTTTATGTACCAGTAACTTGATTCAGCTTTGCTTTGACTGTGGGTAATTGATAAGCCAGCCGTGCCCACCACTTGCCCGCTTTTGTCTGTTCGTGGTCTGTAGACTGAGTTTGACTAGTCACAGTGCTTGCTTGACTTTTGATCTGACTGCTGGTGACTAGCTTGTGTTAGAAGTGTAGCAGTGAAAGTGGATGGAAATTTTGACTGTCTGTGACTGTTTAAATAGCAGGAGGGTTAATGGATCGGACAGTTATTACATGTTCCTTAAAAACTTTAAAGGTGAAGAGAAGAGGCAGTGCACATAAATCATGCTAAGAAATGTACACGCCACTTACACTGTCAATTTCACGGAGCTATCAAAGTAGAGCAAAATGCTGAGCACAACGTATGCAGGTCACCACCTAAATTGTCATGGGATGTATATTTCTTGTCACTGGTACCCAGCTTTTTTCCCTTTTTTCTTGGGGCATCCCTTTTTATTTCTGTGATTCTTATTTCCGACCAAGTATTTTGGGCTCCCGACCGAAGGAAAAAAACCAAACTTTTTTATTACCGCCACGCTGTGTGGAACCCCATTAGCAAATATTATTGAAAAGAAAAATTGTAAAGAAAAATGAATGCAATATTAAGGTAATCGGGTTTCAGATATTTTTCTTTTTTCGATCGACCGAATGACCCTACTGCCGAGGCAAACAATACAAGAACCAAAGAAATAAAAAGGGATGCCTTAGCACAAGCATTTCAAAGTCATTAATTCACTAAGCGACGCCATGAAATTGGGTCCAGATTAAATTGGGGGGGGGGGGGGGTGAGCAATGGGTGTTTCCTTGAAAATATTAAACCCAATGAAAAGGCAATTCACTGGAGCTGTTCTTATATGTGAATCATCACCACAAAATAAAGTCAGACTTTTTTTTAAGAATTAAGACGTTTTATTTGTGGATTCTGCAGAACTACAGCTTTCTAATGTGAATATAACATGTTGGTGGTACTGAGTTAGTAATGGAAATATAGACCAGCTACGAAAACGAAGTTAGTAAAACTAATTTTATTAGTATAGAAATAATAGTTGCCTTTCAGAGTCTGATTTTGTTAAGCATGACGTAGCTTGCGAGGTCGTCACGACCTCTTCATTCAGCATTGTGGCTAAATCCCTCCGCTCATGTGATCAGACTCTGAAAGGTAAGCGTACTTTTTATTCCTAGGAGGGTTAGGGGCAATGTCATGAATAATTCATGCTTATCCATGAGAACGGACAATGACATCAACAGCATTGTTGTTAGTTACTCAACTAGTTACAATACATTAAAGCATTTTAAAGAACGGTTGTCGTCGAGCTACCACACAGTAGCCTAGTGGATAGCGAGATGAGCTATAGATACAAAGATCCCTGGTTCGAATCCACGTCGTCGCTGCTCATTTTCATCGGCTATTTTTCTTCTCCAAATTTATCACTGAGATAATTTTAAATTAAGGGGAAAATAGAACGAGAACCTAAGTCTTGCAACGATTCAAAGGAAAAACTGAATTATTCATGACATTGCCCCTAACCCTCCGAGGGAAAAAAATTACGTGAACGGTAATTATTATTTCTATATGACAGAGTCCAATATCAGTATCCATACTGCTAATTTTCTAGGTTTTTCTTTCTACATATTTTGTTTTTGAATGGGGTGTTTACTCCCTTAGCAGTACCCGACTTCGGCCGATCCGTGGGACAAGATAGAACCAGAGCAGCAAGGGGTAATTCTCGGGCCTTTTTTGTAATATTAAATCCTTTCTGTCATCAGCATTTCATTATCTCAGAGGCAGCAGCTGCGATCACCGACCACATGGGGGACATTGAACATCTTGTAGAGAGGGAGACTTTCGGGGGCAGAGTATTGTCATCGGGTCCTCACGAGTCATCAGTCTCACGCATCAACTAGGGACCAACTTCATAAACACTGATTGTACATTTTTGTACAATCTTGCATATTTCCAAGTGTGTACACCTGTAAAAAGTGTCTTGTACTGGGGCTGTCCAGACTAAACCGAGTATTGGAATATTCGATCATCAACTAAATATTCAAATAGCTTTTTGCTGGTTTGAATATTCAAAAGATAACAAAAATCTACGTACACACACGACTGTGAATGTTATTTTTAACTCCATGAGCAAAAACTCTGGAAAACCTTGTGGCTGCCAGCAAAACGAAACGTTTCTAACTTTTACATCAAGCTATTTTTAAAGCTGATCCATTCTCAATTTGTTCTTATAACTGAACTGATGTCGCAAGCTAGAATGATCCCACCACGTCTTCGCCTCGTACGTTCTATGCACGTTCTTTCTTAGGCAAGTTTGACACGCCCTTTCTACCCTTACGTTTAACCAGCGCGCTTTGCGTTCAACTTTTGACAGGTTTGGAATGCAGTTGCAGCTGGCGTGTCTAAACTTGACCGCCGAGTTTCAAATATTTGAATATTCGGTCAAACGCAGCTTTGAATAGTCAAATACTAAATAATTCGAAAATGGACAACCCTCTTCTGTTTTGCTCACGTAGTCCATGATCATTTCTCCACAGGTTCGATTCCAGTGGCGTTTGTCACCAACTACATGTTCATTTAAAAAAAAAAACCTGTCTTTCTTGGATTTCTTGTCATTAATGCACAATGACCTTCATTTGCACAATGTCATTTTTTTCGCAGAGAGCACCCCTGGCGGCTTTGTCATCTTCGGTACACTGTACTTAAATCAGAATAAACATACATTTGTTCACCTGTTTTCTCCATTCTAACCCAAAAAATGTTCATACCAAGATTTTTAAACACATGCTGTACATACACTAATTTGTATACATCTCACGTGCCCATTTCAAACATCAGTTTTAACAAAGATGTGATTTTCCAGAATTAAAAAAGACGAACAAATGGCGTTCACTCGTCAACCATTGATGATGGATCACCTCTGCCCGTGCGCAGCATGATTGTTTATTTTCGAAACGATATTCACAGCGTCGTGCATGGCTGATACTTGAACACATGGCTATCTTCAAAAAACTTACTCTTATGCTTACCACGACCAGTAGACAAAATCACCAGTGTCTCCACACAGGAAACTTTTAAGCATTTCAACTGCATAGGTTTCATATACTGAAAAGTAGTGCCCCTCGAAAATCGAAGCGAAAGTCGCGAAAGCTGCACATTTGTAGCCTTGTTGAGATTTTGCAATAGGCTGGTTCCGCGCAAACATTATCGTGGTGATTTTGAATTCAGGGGCCGGGAATCAGACCTGTGCAAGTCCTGTATATAATTTTCATACATTAGGGGGAAACCACCTAATGCATTCAGAATTCATTGCATGTACTTGTCCCTATATTCAAAGTCACAATGGAGGGACAGGGAACCAGACTACGTTCACCCATTTACACACAGTGTCTATGCTGACCAACCATGACATACCAGACCTACATTAGACTGGTAATCTGTTCTTTACACCAAGGTCAAAGGTCAATATACACATAAATTCAATATGAAATCTCATTCATTTCTTTGTTGTTGTTTTCAACCTTCTTCCCAGGCTGTCAGCTCCTCGGGCATGCATCACCAGGACAACGAGGACGACTGGGATGACGAAGATGACTGGGACGACAACCAATCGACACCTGTAAGAATTTGCATATATATTTGCATATTCATAGCTTGCCTGTTTTTTTTATAAGATTCAGATATTTCGAAATTTGCTTTAAGATTTGACTTAACAAATGAACTTCTCCACCAGACTGAGTTAAAAAAAACTGTTTCATCAACATGAAGGGAAATAAAAAAAATATATATACTCTATGGAAAAAAATTATGAATAATTCAATGACGTGATCAACAACTGACCAGTCAGATGGCAGGAGTTTATTCAGGTGTTTCATTAAATACAATATAACACAATGTAATACAGTGTAATACAATGTAAAAAAATGTAATACAATGTGATACAATGTAATGCAATATAATACAATGTGATACAATGTAATACAATGTAATACAATGTAATACAATGTGATACAATGTAACACAATGTGACACAATGTAACACAATGTAACACAATGTAATACAATGTAACACAATGTAATACAATGTAATACAATGTAATACAATGTGATACAATGTAAATACAATGTAACACAAGTGTATTTTAATGCTTGCCGATCAATGCTGATGCACACATAGGATTACCCTGAAGGAGACCCCAATGCATATTTTGACGAGCAGGAATCACCGCAGGTAAACACCACAAACTGTACCACATCTTGTCACTTCCCCACGATGAACGTTATTTTCTTAACACCCTGTCAGTAACTTGTGAACATTGGTATCTGCATGGTGTACATTTAACACATTCTGTAGTGTTGTGATTTGGTGTTGGTGTTCTCTGTCGAAACTGTCGAGATAACGTTGACTAGTAAACATGTAGGCTTAATCGTTGCTGCTGGGATGTCGTCGATGGGATTTGAAAACCAAGAAGGGCGGGGGGGGGGGGGGGGGGGGGGGTACTTGACCCAAACCAAGGTGCCATTTGCCCCCAAGGGATACAAAAAACTATGGACCATTTCTCAGTAGATATCAATTATCGTGTTACACCATCTTGTTTAAATTCCTTTAAATAACATTTGAAGTTCAAAGAACTGAGATTTGAACTGTGTTGTTTGGGGAAAACTTAATTTTTTACTCAGAAAGTAGTGTTTTTTAGTTTTCAAGGCTCTGACAGAAGAGTTATCACGTTCACATTTACTTGCATATTATCTTCCTTGGTGACACAGGGTCTGAATAATATCTATTTTATAAAACAGTGAGAACGATAATATTCAGAATTCCTCAGAATGATCACAGCACCCTGATTACATTTGTGATGCATGTGTCCGAGTCCATTCAATGATCTACACTCAAACATACATGTATGGGCCTATTCCCAACCAATAACGTTTCACAGTCCAACGCCATGGTGTAACAGGTGTAACAGTTCTCATTGTTTTGGGATGATACCCATGACGTTACTTTTTTGCACCACTTTCAACCCTCACTGAACCTTCCTCTTCTTTGCACCAGGGTTGTTAATATGTGACCTGTCATCACAAATTGAGCTTAAAGTTGGAATTTTTAAGAATTGAGGTATTCATATATCTGGATTCTGCCGGAAAAGGGCTTTCAAATGGTATACAACATTAAGGGGTACTGAGTTCAGTAACGGAAATATAGACCACCAACTAACTTGAAGTTGTAAAACTGATTCTTGAAAAAATGGCATTTAAAAATCCTGCAGTTGTGTAACAGTGAATGAACAGTCAACTCATAACAGACGGGATGAAATAGGTTTGAAAGATGTTTGACAGAACAAAAAATTGGAGAAAGGTAGCACAGGACTTACAGATTGAGGTTCACCTGAAAACAAAAAACTCGACCACCCCTTCAAATTTTGCCTTTGCCCCACTGTACTGCAAAATGGCAATCTCCGACTTTCAGCTCATTTCGCGGTGACAGGTCACATATATTCTAAGTCGTCACTGTTAACTTTTAACGTGTTTCAAACCTTGACCGATCTTGTGCATGATACACGTACGCCTACTCATTTCAATTTAGCAACAGCATAATCAACAGCAGCAGCAGCAGAGGAACTATCCCTCCCCACCGAAAGGCGTTAGCAGACCGTACCTCTCCCACACGGTCCCCCGCAAGAGCACTGCTCGCTCCAGCGATCCCGAGACATCCGGGGGTGCCGACCCCACTTACAGCAATGCCCCCCGCCAACCGCAGGTGGCCACCATCGGGAAGAGCCGGTCCTTCCACCAGGGGAAGATGTCCACGTTCCAGAAACGCCAGGGTAGCGCGGGGGCCGGGAGCCTGCGGATCATGCTGCCCAACCGGCCCCTGGAGCTACCCCCTACCCCCGGAGGGGGTGAGCGACACACCCCACAGCAGCAGGGGTCCGCTGAGGGCACCAGGGTGGGCGTCGGGGGGCGAGAGGCGGTGACGCGGGGCGACAGCACCAGCACGTACGATTCGGATGAGGATTTCGGAGCGGGGCACCATGTGAGTCCGTGTGGGGGATGCTGCTTGCCTGGGCATGCTGTGGTGCCTTGCTGGCTTGTCGTGCATTTTGTCGGAGTTCAGGAAATAGCATAGCACGGACTGGTCACTGCATGAGTTTGGATCATACTAACAATGTTTGAACCTTATCGCTTGGAATGGTATTTTGAAATACGGGGGTCAAACCAGAAACACGCCGCTTCCTATTTCAGTATAGTCAGCAGGCCCAGCGTTGCATAGCCAGGTTGTCTTCATTTTCCCCGATGGATATGAGGAAGGGGAGGATTCTTTTTCGAATGGAGATCTCAGGAACTGTGTTCGTTCTGTTCACTGCCCATTTCATGGGGGATTAGATGTGAAGTGTCTACATACAGTACGTGGATCTGTCTAGAAGTGGTTGCCTGCCTCAGACACGAACTGCGGTCTTAAGTCAAGACACACAAGTGTTTGCCGTAAAAGAAAGAGAAATATTCTCCACCATTTCAAGACATATGAACAAAGCAAGAGCACATTCAGGCGAGGACCATTAGTCAACTAGTGGTTGATTTGTGGCGTACATGCAACATATGCTAGTGCAATAGAAGCAGCATGCCAACACCTCTAGTCAAAGGCTGGTCAAAACGTCGTCACAAAAGTTCTTGGTCCTGGCTCCCTGCTATGCATTATGATGCACCCAGCTATTGGTAACTGGTGATCTGGGCCCCGGTTCCAAAGAGTTGACTTGAGTAGTCCAACCATCCTGCGATATGAGTGCAGTAAGTCAAACTATGGTTAACCATATAAAAAAAAGTAAAGGAGACGAACCTGTATTAACAGGAATGTACCGGTAGTGCCCATCTCTCTTTCGTCAACGATTGGAACAGACTCAAATGCTGCTGTGGGGGGATCGCCACACCTCCTCCACAGCGAGTCTGTTACCTTCCCAGCATTGAATAATACCGGTACCCATTTAACACCTGGGTTGAGAGGAGTCATTGAGGTGAAGCACCTTACTCAAGGCACAACACGCATGGCCACGGCGGGGCTCGAACCCACAACCTCACGATCATGAATCCTGTGCTCCACCGCTAGACCACACGTGCCCACGACCATATTCATCGTCTGGACTTGCTCTATGCTGCCTGAACTACGGTTATCCATACTCCTCGCCTGAACTTGCTCTATGCTGTCTGTCATGTCTGTAGTACGGTACTTGGGCACACCATACACAAACACTCTAAGTCAAAAGATGATCTGTGACGGACAGGCTCAACTCCAGCGAGAAGCGAGAATCTTTGCCCGTCTTCTCTCAGCCCCCTTCCCACCGTCTCTGCGGAGTGCAAGTACTTCAGTTTGAAAGGAGGAACTGTTTTTGGTGCTTCAATTTGAAAGGAGGAAATGTTCGTGCCGTCTTGTGTGAGCTGAAATCCGATGGACACGCATTTCTGCGCATCTGTATGGCAAACGAGAGGGCGCTTTGTCTGGATTCGGAGACCCGAGATTCAAGAGCGTCCTTCTTAATAGATTTTGCATGCTTTGTGTTAGCATGCGTATTATGCATTATGAACTGAAATGTAAAGTGTGATAGAAGCACTGCACACCTTTAGTTAATTTTTTTGTTTTGTTGTAAGTCACCTTTTGAGAAATTATGTTTCCTTTCATATCGTCATGTCAGTGCAAAAAGGTCGTATCTCCTCATACAACATAAATGCAAAACGCAACTTTTAGAATGGCAAAAGGCCGTATCTCGCTTCAAATAACCCGGATGTATACACAAAGTCAATGGATGTCGAGATACATTGTACGACCTTGTTGCACGGAGCCTATTTGCGTGAGATACGACTTTGTTGCAGAATGGAGTGACGACCTTGTTGCACTGACGCGACGATAATGCTTCTACATCCTGCACCAGTGTTTGCATGGAATTGTGGAGTTTGTGAACTTGTGAACGTCCATCTTTTTAAAAATGGTTAAATATAATTTTTGAGTAGGCCTCTGAGTGCAAACCGTATGGAGTACTGGAAACATTGTGGGAATATTTTGGCTATTAAAGTTAAGTTTTCATGTTTGGTTTTTCATTGGTACAGGATCCAGCAGTCAACGGCTCGGGTAACTACGGCCTGGCCCCACCCAACCGACAGTACAAACAACGCAACAGTGATGCATCGACCAAAGCCACGGGCACCGTCAAAAAGAACTTTGCCAGGTAAGGGCCTGTCTCTATTCATATCGGGGACGACTTCCAGACAAGTCGAGAATAGAATCATTTACTTTGGCCAGAAGAAGCCCTGCATTTTTAAGGGCCCATCTCAATTCATATCCGAGACGACTTCCGAAGAAGTCGCGAGTAGAATAATTCACTTGGTCTGGATGAAGCTCTGCGTTTATCCCACGGACGTGTTTTGGGAAACATTTCATTAGCAACTGCTTGACTCAACAATATTGATAACTTCATTGCGGGAAGATTGTAGGAAGTCGCTCAGAATCCTGCAACTTATACCCGATACAATGTCCGGAACTTGTTCGGAACTCGTCCCGGATATGAATCGAGACAGGCCCTAAATGAAAACTTAGTTGTTGCCAACTAAATTATTCTTGCTCTGGTAAATACCCATTTCATCAAAATCCACACACGGCATAAACAGAAAGACCAAATACCAATGAACACGCCTTATCTCTAACCCCAATTTATTCCAAAGGCGCTGGGGAAAAAACTCTGAACCCCCACTCAGTAAATCAAGTTCAAATTCCTTTAACATCGTTTAAATTTGGGGTCCATTTTTCCTGTCCCTGTTACATCTGACGTCTATTATTTTATAATTCTGATGCACTCCTTAACGCAGTCGTCCTCCAAGAGTGATTATGAATAGCATACTACCTACCCAACACATAAACAATTGTTTGAAGTCATTCTTAATGATACTTCAATGGCAAATCACAAGGTAGCAGGGACAGGAAAAACAAGTCACACTTTAGACTGTAAATTGATAGAAAGACCTTTAACCTAGGAAAAACAAATGTTAATTTGTTGCTAATAAAATTCACAGATTTTGATAGACAGTCATTCCATCAACTTTCTCCTCACAACCTAGAGAAGGCCCGTAAAGTACCAGGAAATATTTTTTCCATAAAATTTCACAATGTGTGTTTAGTGCTTGGAATGTTTTTATTTTATATTCCAAATTGTTGTTTTTGTCCTTGCAGTCGTTTCTCCATTTTTGCCAAGTCTGGCGGGGAGGCGTACTTGCTGGGAATCGCAGCCAAAAAAGGCATGTCACCGAATGTAGAAGTCCGAATTGTCGTAAGTTGTACTCTCCTAATTTTTTTTTTTTTTTTTTTTTCATGTTTTTTTTTTTTTTTACTCTGACGTTCCATGAGGAAGTGCCAGCAAATATGCAATTTTTTTTATGATACTTGTTTCTTGACCAATAGGAAGGCAACGACGGGCCAATGTGGGAAGATCCAGGGAGGGCGGTGACGATCGAGATCAAGAACCCAAAGAAGGAGACCAAGATGAAGGGAATCAAAAGCTTTATCGCATACCAGATCACCCCCTCGGTAAGATGATGGTTTAGTCCTGCTGGTATTGGCTGTCTGCTTATTGTGGTTTGTACCATTGTGCTTTAGGGATGGACGAGAAAAAAAGTTGCTCTTTGTATTGATTTTTTTTGTAATTGTGCTTGAAGGCATATTGATCACCCCTTTGTAAGACAGTGGTTTATTCCTGCCGGTATTGGTTCTTGCCTGATGATGGTTCATACCATTTCGTTTAAGGGATGCGCAGGATGAAAGAATGACTTTCCTCTTTATCTGTGCTTAGTCATTTTCAGGAAAGAGATCCTTATAAGGACAAATGGAAATGTGTGATTTGATTGAACCATGTTTAAAGGGGAAGTAAAATAACGCAGTGTAAAAGCAAGGAAGATTTTAGAAACAATCTCACCTTTTGTACAAAAATGGTGTCTTCCAACCATGATAGGTACAACAGAAAATTGGCCTAAACCACTTAGCTGGAGGGTAATGTAAAAAGTGATCAAATTTGAGGTTATATTGTAATTCTGCTTCGTAATGGATCTTACCCTTTGTAAGAAAGTGGTATCATCCAATAAAGCCTAGTTGTGTAGGGTTTGGTTTGTACCATTTGTAAATAAGGTATTTAGTTACTGTTTTCTCGCCTTTTAATTACAGGACTCGGGCATCCAAGTCAGTAGGAGATACAAACATTTTGACTGGTTATACGAGAGACTTGCGGAGAAATTCACATTTGTATGCATACCACCGTTACCGGACAAGCAAGTGACAGGTAGGAGAAATAATTCATGGATTTTTTTTTTTGGTTCTGCACCGACCTTTTATTTCAGTGTGATGATTGGCCAGTATATTGTAAATAGGTTCCCAAGATGCCGAGAACAGCGTAGGAATTGGTCGTTGAATGACTTCATTTTGTCCTGGAAAAGTCACGGAAAAGTCACAGAATTTTATATTAATATTTCAGAAAAAAATGTTGCAACCTGACGCCACTTCAGCGGTTGTGTACAAAGTTTATGGAGAGTCTGGGGGGGGGGGGGGGTGGTGTTTACATTTTGGCTCCATGGTATTTTGCTTCTGTCGATGCTTCTTAAATTAGGAGTAATGGTAGTTGACCTGCGAAAATTACTTCATTTTGGTTATGCCGTAGCCATCACAAAAGCGTATTTTAAGTATTTCAAACAAAATTTGAAATGTTTCTCAGTCCCAGATTCATGTCTTATCATCATTTTTTGCAATGACTGACCTTCATTGAGATGATATATGAAGAAAAAAGTGGCATCAGGTTGCAACATTTTGTCCAAGATTTCTGTGGGAAATTTCAACTAATACACGTTGTTTTTTTTTTCTATCAGGGAGGTATGAGGAAGCGTTCATTGAAAAGCGCATGGAGCAGCTCCAGAAATGGATGAACAGAATGGGCGCCCATCCCGTCACCGGCCAGGCCGACGTCTTCAGGCATTTTCTCTCATGCACAGACGATAAGGTGCGTCAAAAGTTTTGGAATAACAAAACGCCGTATCCTCCCTGAGCCCCGTTTGCTATTTCTCGGGTTTGCAGCATTGCTGATGTTGCTAGCGTCGTGACGTTGGGCATACCCTAGCTATATGGCATTTACGAGTTTATGGCTTCTGACTAGCGCCCCTTGGACAAAGACATTGACAAAATGGGGAACTGCCAATATAGGGCTGGATAGCTCAGTTGGTAGAGCACTGGAACGGCAGTCCGCAGGTCGCAGGTTCAGACCCCGCTCCAGTCATTTTCTGTGTTCAACTTTAAAATTAACTTCATTGTGAGTGTAACAGTCAACAGATTCTCCACACAAGAACCGCACACAACTCCTTATCACAGGTTCACAATTTATGTCATTTTCTTTTCACTTTCGTACTCTGTCTCTACACATGAACAGAAATGGAAACAAGGCAAGAGAAAAGCAGAGAAGGACGAGCACGTCGGGGCGGCGTTTCTTCAAGTCATCCAAGCCCCGGAGAAACCACTAGACATAGGCGTCGTGTGAGTTGATAATTTCCTTCAATAGTATTAGCTGAGTCTTTTCCTTTCATCCAAATTTCATTGAAATTCTCAAAGAATACAGATTCTCAAAGAATACTTAGAGTGGCATGGGTGGCTAGTGCGTAAAACACTTGCCTCTTACCACTGTGGCCCTGGTTGGATTCCTGGCTCGGACCATATGTGAGTAGAGGTGTGCATTGGTTCTCTCCTGTGCCAGGGGGCAAAGGTCAAGATCCAAAAAACTACAACAAAAACAACGCTGATGTAAATGAAGGGCCCGTGTAAATGTAACTATAGGCAACTGCTGGTAAATTTGAATTTTAAATAAAGTGTTGTAAAGTCTCTTACAAATGGTTATAAAGTTTTTTGGGGGATTTGTTTTGGTATAACTTTCCTGTTTTTCTGTCGTTGACTATCATAGTGAGAAGCACCATGACAATTTCAGCAAGTTCCAGAAGAGCATGGACCAAAACATTGCAATCTCTGTCCAGACCAGCCACGAGTTCTCCAAGAAACACAACGGCCGTACGTAGCTTCCTTGGTTTTTTTGGTTTCTTTCCTTACTAAAAAAAAAAGTGCACTTGTTAGCAGTCTGAATTCGAATCCAAGGCCATCAAGCCCACTTGACTACAAAATCTTGGACTTCAGTCTCCAGATTTTGTTTTTACCTTAACGTAGTCCATACCAACCACCATAATTGTAAGAGAGTCGGTGACATGTCAATCACAAGTCAGTTTACAGGAGATGATAGATAACAACGGAATTCCTACATGTAGGTCACAATTCATTGGAATAGTTCTTCACTTGATCTGAGACAGGTTCCCTTGACCTTGGAACCAGGCTGGGCGTAGGAGAGTCAGGTTGGCGTAGCGGTACTTTCCTCGCCTTCCACTGCTGTGACCCGGGTTCGATTCCCGCCTGGGCCAATATGTGGATTCGGTTTTCAGTCCCTACCTGATTCCGTGGGTTTTCCTAAGAATATTCTTCTGGGCTTTTCCTCCCACCTCTAAAACTGTCATTTCTTCTCACTGCCTTCTCTCTGCAGGTTTCTTCAGGCTTGTGAGCTACAGTGCCTAGGGCGCTTTTGAGGAATCCTTGGTTTCATGACCAGAAATAATTGATAATAATAATTGAAAAGAATTTAAAAATAACTGGATGACTTGTGATTGACCTGTGATTGATTTTGAGAATCGAAACCTGCCATTTTGGTCTTGTTGTTAGTTATTCCCTAATCCTGATTTGCATTAAGTCTCCGACCGGCAAAATGTAGTGCATTTCACTTGCAGTGGATGCCAAGCTGCATTCACGTTGGAGTCTTTAAATTCTTGCACAGGGTTCAATGCAGAATTCTACTATATGAGAAATCAAGTGGTCTCTGGTTCGCATCCAGTTTTGGCCAACTGTTTCACCATTAACAACTTTTCTTCTTTTGTGTTTCTCCCATCAGCCTTCAAGAGAGAGTTCCAAAAAGTCGGCCAGAGTTTCACCTTGCTAGCACAATCATTCGACTTGGACACCAGACCGCGTAAGTCAAGTTGTTTTTCCACTTATCATTTTAAAGTTTGTCTCATTAAACTTTTTTTTTTTTGGAGATACACCTGAATTTTGCTTTTGCCTACAAGAAAGAAGCAGACACAAGAGTGCAGACAAAAGAAAATTAGGACTTGTTCAATCGCCTTCTGTGAACTTTTGCCAGATTGGCGTCGAGTCATTTTTTTTTTTAAATTGAAAGTGTTCATTTCATTATTCCATTTTGTCAATTTGTATTTGTTGAAGTAAAACGTGAACGATAGCAGTGTACATGCTAATCCCGTCAGACAAGATTAATGCATTTTCATCAAGTTTTGTGAAACTGTCTGCTTTGAAAATTGCATTCTAAATCAAAGTGTGGCATAGACATGTGGCTCCCAGATTCATTTTTTTGTCTGGTTTTGAGTTAGATTTGAGTAAGATTGGGACAAAATGATCATTTCATCTTTTGCTCTCGCTCACCTTCAATCAAGAGTCCCATACATTTGCGCCATTGAGTAACTAACTGTTGTAGGTTTTTATTCAAATCGGCAAGCTTCGCATTTCAAATGCTTGCTGGATTTAGCCGTGTGTCGTGGCGTTTCGGGATATTTTTGTGTGCAGGGTATTAGAGTTGAAAAGTTCTTACAAATTGGTCCATGCCATCTCATTCCATGTGTGTTGGTTTTCTCTCCTTTTTTTTTCTCCTCTGTTTTTTTCTGTATCTATACATTGTCTTTCTTGCATGCATACCGCAGGGAGTTCAGATGACGATAGGCCACCCCAAGGTATGGTATATTTTACAGTTCATCCCAATTCATCTGTGTACCTCACATTGTCTCCATGCATGCACTGTAGAGGGCGCTGTTTTATCCTTCTCTTGAGGGCCAACTTGTTGTCCATACCCACTGCCCTATATTCAAGGGTGCTTGTGATCGCTAGTCCCCTTTCGCAAAATTGGGCGAGGGAAATGCCGACTTCGCAAAGCATTGTGGGTTGGTGATTTGTCGTCAATGTCATGGGCGTAAATCCCGCTGGGGATGGGGAGGATATATCCCCCACTTTTCAACCAGGGGGATGGGCCATTGGATCATTCCCACCCCACCCCTGATTTTTGTGGTGAGAAACGGGGAAAAAATGTTAATTTTGAGGGTACCAAAGTAACTTTCCAACGGTCTTAACTTATTTGTTAGTGTTAAAAAACAAACGGTTCAAAAGCTTTGAATGCATCGTTTTATGTAAGGTTAAGAATGGTAAGCTCGCAAATTTGCATCACATGTACATGTGTATCATGCTCCCCCCTCACCCCACTTTTCGATTTAAAATGGCCCCTGTATTTTAGGAACATGAGGTACTTGTACATGTATGAGGTATGGTCATCCCCATCTCTCCCCCTAACCACCACTCGCCGACACGGATTGACGCCACTGATCAATGTACATACAATCTGAGCATTGGTGTCGTGCAGACCAATCAGCTTTCAAACAAAATGTGTCCAATGAGAGTTCAAAGAAGTCAGAGGTCATCACACCCTTAGTTTTGGGCAGTTGGTACATGCCTTCTCTTTATACCCAGCACGATATGAGACGGAGGGGTACCCCCCCCCCCCCATCTCCCTATACCCTATGCAAACCCTAGACTATTGTTACCTAACACATCCCCCCTAGATATCTCGAAAGAATTTTTGAGATTCTGGTAACACAATGACCAACACAAAGGTGGGAGGGTTCCCTCTGTCTCATATCGTGCTTCATACATTTTTGCTTCTCTTCACAGTAATATTTTCATGTTCACTTCCTAAAACCTTGTCGTGTATGTGCTTATTAAAAGCTTTCATAATTTTCTTGCAGTTTAGCTTTAAGATGTAGTCATGTGAATCCTACAGCTCTAGTTTCTTTTTCTATATTGGTATATCTTTCTATGCTGCTTGTCTTTGGTGATTGTTAACCTTTAACCTTTGACCTGTGTAACCTTTGTCTCACGTAGCTCCATGTTTCAAGACTCTAGCAACGGCTTTTCCTCAACAAAGTCAAGATGACGTGGAGTAGCTTTTAACCCAAACTTTTCTATCTGTAGCTAACATCCAAACGTTCATTCTACCTTTCTGTGCTTAAATCATTTAGGTTGGTTTCTGATGATGTCATATGCTTACAGCTTCAAGTGCTATTGCAATTATGCATTCTAAACTAAATTCTTTAAAAGAACTGTTCAAATTTGCTTGTAGATCATTTATTTCAAACTCTTATAAAAAGTATTAAAAACATTCAGATTTTTGTTCCCTTTTTATGAATTTCTTGGTAACCAAATCTAGTTTCTGTTACTATTTTTTTATATTACTTAATATTAATATTATTTTTTCTATCCATTTCCTGCAAGTTTGACCAAATTTACCGAGTCCGTGAATCACACCGGAAAGGGGAAACCTTGTGATTGTCGTTTTAATTTTTTTTCTTCTGAATATATTAAAAACAGGCATATTTTTGTTCTGATATCTTTTAATTTTTTTCTTTTCTTCTATCCTAGGTTCATAGACTTAAAAAAACACTTCAATTTTTTTCTCCTAATTATGTGTGTTTTTCTATCCCTTTCCTGCACAAAGTCGACAAGCTTACAAGAACCATGAATATTATTATCAAACGGCGACGATAATTTGTGCCAAGTTTTGTTTCGTCTATCCCAGCTCCCACAGACATTGTACACACCTCTAGTTCTTTAAACATAAAACTTCAAAACTCCATGATATTTATCAGTATCAGCTTGGGTCCCTCATGTACAAGGTCGCCAGTAACAATGTACCTTCCTCCATTAAAAGTATTTTTTCTCGGAATCTCGAAATTCATTCTTACTTTACTCATCAAGCCTCTAATTTTCACATTCCATACACCCGTACTTCAATTGCCCATAAAACGGTTAAACACTAGGGACCCATGCTTTGGAATTCAGTTCCTGATCAACTTAAAGCCTCCAAAAACATTTCGACCTTTAAACGTATTTACAAATCTATTTTGTTAGAAGTTTATAGCTGAATCTCTGCAATGCAATTGTTCATTTTAATCCAGTTAGCGAGCCTACATTGTATATAGCCCATGCCATTAGGTACTTGTCTGTTTTTGTTTGTTCACATCTGTAAGTTAAACTTAGCTTTTGTAAGCAACATGTGCACTGAGCCCTGTTGGTATTTTTGTCTCCCAATCTCATGCCCTCTCTTTTATCTTCTTTCTGTAGGCTCAATGCACGTGTTTGCTTAATATAGGGACCATTGCTTACAAGCTTTGCTTCTTAATGGATCCCTCTGCAGTATCACTTGTTCGTTAATTGCATCTTTATATATCCATTTATTTATTTATATATTACTTTCCATGATTAACTTTTGTTGGATTAATACTGTGGAAATAAATAAACCTGAAACCTGAAACCTAGTTTCTTCTTCTAATTTTGCATGTTCCTTTTATCCCTTTCTTTCAGTGTCGTCCAAGCTGACGGAAGCCATGAAACACACGGGACAGACGTACGACCACATCGGCCAACTCTTTGCCGATCAGCCCAAGTACGACGGCTACATCTTGGAAGATTTCTTGCGGGAGTACGCGGGCCTGATGTCCACCTTCCCCGACATGATCAACTTCCATAAGGTAAAGTCAAGGAAGTACTCACAGGCACTGTCTCCTCCTAAACCTTGTGCTGCAAGATGCACTTCTAGACACACGGCTTTCACAGTCGTGCTGCATTTTGCGGAGCTCATTTGAATAGGGCCCCAACCACACTATCGTGTAGTTTCTGTTGGTTCTTGTTTCCTGTTGTGGCTTGCAGGGACGATCAATTGTGACCTGTTCTGTCAAAAGCAGACGCTTCTGGGCATAGGTTGAAATTGAGATAGGGCCAAAAAAATGCTGTGGGGGTGATTTTTACGATTTTCAAATTTTTGCATATTTGTAATCCTGAACATGTCTTAAATATACTATAAAAGTTTGAAACCCTAATTTGAATTCTAAATATAGTATTTTTGATGATTTGTAGAGGTATATCAGTTAAAGAAATGTCTGTTTTGTGACGTTCGTCGCCATTTTCTCTGTTTTCTACTTTTCGACACAGTGAACTTCAAAATAGCATAACTTTGCCCAGGAATTACAGGTTTCAAAACTTAAACCACCTTTTAAAAGGAAAATGGACACATTTTAACAATGTGCAAAACTCTCATTTTCGACCTTATGCCCAGAAAAGTCTGATTATCCATGCCCTGCGACGAGGCCGGCTAGACTCACTGGGATTTTATAACACAAAACATGCGGTTCTTGTCAGAGGGCTGGTGTTTGGCTAGAACTTTAAGGTTCAATATTACAACCAAGGCTAAAAGGGGCTGTCATGTTATTTGGCTATGTTTGAATCAGGAACTTGTGAAAATATGAATTTTTTGACAAGCAAAATGTCGGAAAGTTAATTAAGCAAGCAGTTTTTGTTCCCATCCTAGCGCGGAGGGAATTTTAAGCAAGAATGGGCGGCCTGCCTAACAACCACCAATGTCTTCGTTATCAAAGACTGCTCGACTCACAATACTGTCTGTCATGACAACTTATCTTTTCACAGCACACCATCTCAACCGTCAAGGAGTGCCAGAAGCAACGGGAGGAGCAGAAGATGGACTACGAGGAGGCGGACACCGTGAAGAAGAGGGCGGATGTGGTCTCTTATGCCATGATGGGTAAGTGGGGGCCAGCAGCCGATTTCACGAAACTTTACGCAATGGCGTAAATCCACTTGCGCCACAATTTATTGTGCACAAGTTGCATAACATTTAATGCTGCGCAACATTTCAGTTGTGACAATTTCACGAAAGTTTCATAGTGCGTAAGTCCACGACTTGCACAACAAATTATGGCATAACTTGCGCAACAAAATATGGCGTAACTTGCGCAATCATGTTAGGTGCCGTAAGTTGTGGCGTAGTGACTGAAAATGACCGATTTTACCAGCAAAATGGTGATTCTGGTGGATCCCATTATTTCACAACTTATCAAGGTTGATACAAGACACTCACAGCTTTGTGTTTGAAATTAAAGAAATGCTATTTTACTTGTGACAATGTTTTTAGAGTCGCCGCACGATTCCGAAGAAAGTCAGACAAAAATATTTTCAAAATGGCTGGCAGAGGTGATTCAGCGACTGTTTCGATAACGAACAAAATCATACATGAACAGCTGTCGTAAATGCTGTTATTATCCTCGTCCAAGATGTTAAGATTATAAAAACGTTGCGCACCTACGCCAAGTTTTGTGAAATTGATAGTAAGTTTGTTGCACAGCTGTGCAATAAATTTGTTGCGTAAGTTCTACGCATGGCATAAGTTACACACTGTTTCGTGAAATCAGCTGCTGGATTCGTTGAGATCGACAACCATTGTAACGTGTCCTTAGCCCCAATCTTGCCAGATTTTGTCAAAGTTTACTTGGAATTTGTTGTTGTTGTTGAGGATTTTGCTTGGAGGTACACATTAGTAACATCCAAATATCACATCACCGCAACAACAGACCTTATAAACACAAGAGTGACGTGACTTTTAGCTCGGTTGGTGGAGCAATGGTACAGTCTTCTGAAGGTCGCGGGTTCAAATCTCCCTCCAGTCATTTTCTGTGGTTGATTTCTTTGAATTTTTTTTTTGCATCTTTCCAGCGGAGATCAACCACTTTCACACGGAGCGAGTGACGGACTTCAAGGAGGTGATGCAGCAGTATCTCGGCGAACAAATCAAATTCTACCAGGCCATCACGTCGAAACTTCAGGAGACGCTACAGAAATATGAAGAAATCTGAACCACTTCTAGGTTTCTTACTTCTCTTCTTTCTTTTTTTACATGGCAGTGTTTTAATTGCATTGATTCTTGTTCTTAATTATAGAGACAGGGATTTTGCCGGAATGCCACGGCCTAAAGTTTGGGATGAAGGTTTATTTTAGAGAAAAACACAATTTTTCAGTCAAAATGGGCATTGAAAGTTCACTGTTTCACCGATTTGAAATAAAAAAAATCAGAAGTACGTTTGAAGATCCAGAACATTAATCATTCATGTAAGGCCTTTTCATAAACGGAACAACATTGAATCAAATGTTTGTTTCAAATATATATCCATTAAGTAACTTACAAAACAATACTTGGTATTAAGTTAGTTGAAAGTTGAAAACTTCAGAAGGAGACTCTTTTTCCTATTTTCGATTAGTTTTCTGCTTTTGGCCATTGAATTTTTTTTACATTATCAATATCCCCTACTGCCTTTAGAAGCCACACGACACATTTCAGTGGTCGTATCAAAAACTGGCGTGTTCTTTTGTTACTGGTTGAGATTTCCGGCAACGGGTGCTAGCGCGGTAGTGTTTCGTGCTTACTGCCCAACCAAAACGTGGCCACAACGCTTAACCAGAGACCAACAACTGAACTAGGTTTTTGGTTACAACTGCAAAAACTCAACCTACAATCCCGGCCAAAATGGTAGGGACACTACTGCCCCGCTCCCCTAGTCAATGTTGCTTGGACCACAGAACGCACAATGAGAGACAACATTGACAGGGGAGGGGGGGGGGGTCGGCACAGCCAGATTTGGCAGGGATTGCTGCAGTTTATATGGTCGCGTTGTTTCAAATTGCCGGTGTAGCGTGAATATCCGACTCCATGAAATGTGGACTCATTGGTAGTACTGCGCACGCGTGAGTACGATACTATGCTATTTTTAGGATCGTTTCGGGAGAGTGACCTGTCACGTGCGAGGGATAAACCAATAATAGGGAAATAGGGGTCCTATTTTCATAGGAGTCGGATTTTCATGTGACACCGGCACATTAAATTTAAGAATAAAAATAGCATTGCAGTTATTACGAGTTCACTCAAAAGTTGCAGAATCCATTACATTTTTTTTTCTCAAAGAATTTACCCAGTTCGATGTTAACGTTTTAAAACTGGGGACTGCCTTTTCATAACGGCAATATAAGATGGCTGTATTCCCGGACTTGTTTAACCTTTTTGAGGGTAGTGGGGGGAGCCATTGGGTTTCCTTAAAAATTTCTTGAGAATTTTTCAAATTTTAACTTCAAACGTATCGATATGATTAAAAAACAAATTGATATTTTTTAAATAAAGTAATTTTTTTATTTAAAATAGAAAAACAAAAGCTTCAGTAAAAAAAGTAGTGAGAATGTACCATTTTAAGTGTCGATTCACAAACATTGTACAGTGTAAATATTAACATGACAAATAAATATGGTTAACCGAGACGGACCTTTTAATTTGGCATTATTTTTTTAATTCTGCAAACTTATTTTGAATTTTTTTTTTTTACTTGAACGAATGTGAGTGTATGGTTAACGTTGTTAATAAAATCAAATTCATTATCTTCTGTATTTTCAGGGCGGATTTAGGGTTAGAAAACAATGTTTAGGGGTAGGAGTTAAGGAGAAGAAATAGCTTAAAAAGTAATAATTTTTGTTGGTTTTGTTGGAAAGAAACACGCCCAACTGTTCATCCTGGTAAGGCCAAAACCAAAAAATACTCGGTCTCTGGTCAGCGCACGTGTTGATTTTAATCATGCGCGTCAACCTTCTTTTCTTTTTTCAAATTAACACGGAAGCTACAACAGCGCCCTCTATTGCCGCGCCTCCTCAAATTTTTGTACCAAGGAGCACCAAGGAATGGGGAAATTGCACCAAGGCAAATGATAAAGGGCACCAAGGCAAATTATGGAGGACACCAATGTTTAATGAGGACACAAAAAAGCAAAATAGTACCCACCTTGTCTGTACAATCCAAGCTTGAAGAAAGAAAAAAAAGCCGCATGGCGGCGTCAACTCCGGAACTTTGGTCTGACCAGAGACCGAATATTTTTTTTTTTTGGCCTTAAAACATTGGTCGTAATTGGTGCTGTACCTAATTGAAATGAATGATGCGTAATGAGTTGAACGTTTGCTTGTTACTTCATTACTCCAGTGAGTACTACCTGTGGACAAGGAAAAAAATAAAATCTTGTTTCTTGGGCATGTATTTAAAAAGCTTCTTTCTTTTAGCGTTGAAATATGTTATATTTTTAATGAATTGGGATGGTTAATCTATTGTGATTAGGCCAAAAAAAAAAAAGTCGGTCTCTGGTCAGCGCGCGCGTCGATTTTAATTATGCGCGTCAATCTTTTTTTTTCAAAATGTTCCGCGGTAGCTCCAACAGTTTTTTTTACCAAGGAGCACCAAGGAATGGGAAATTGCACCAAGGCAAATGATCGAAAGCACCAAGGCAAATTATGGAGGACACCAATGTACATGAGGACACCAAAAAAGCAAAATAGTACCCCACCTTGTCTGTACAATCCAAGCTTGAAGAAAAAAAAAAAAGCAAAAAAAAAAAAAAAAAAAAACACGTCGCCGCATCAACTCTGGAACTTTGGTCTGACCAGAGACCGAATATTTTTTTTGGCCTTATATTTCAATTTTTTTTTACTTTATAAGGGGAAAAATGTAATTTTGTAATTTGATATAAAAAAGCTTATTCTAAAGTATATGTAGTTATATATGAATAAGCGTCGGGTACGTTATATTACAGGTAGTCCATATACATGTGTATAGACCGTGTGCGTAGCAGCCATCTTAGGAGGCAACGCCTTTGTTTTGCTGGGATACGCATGAGTGAACCATTTCTGCATTCATTGTTACTGAATTAAAATAATAAAATATGCCTTCTAAGATGGCCGCCGCGCACAAGGTCTGTTGCAGTGCTGCTGCTGCTAAAGTTTTGGAAAGTTTCTAAAAACTGGGAAGACAAAACAAATTTTGCTCATCACCACATAAGGCCAGTGCCCTATTTTTCGTTGCCGTGGTTACAGTTAGCATACGATCTCCTTTAAATAGAGCAAAACAATTCTTGGTTGCGGTATTTCACAGATCAGAAGGAATTGTGGCTTTTGGTGAAGGCATGCATTCTGGGCCCAATTTCCTTGGCTCTGCTTACCACAGAATTTTGTGCTTACAGTCACCATTCTGTGCTTAGCAGAAAAATACCGTGCTTACCCGGTAAGCACACAATCCTTATTTACATCATGGGTGCGCCTAAGCCAAGATTCCATGCTAACCCGTGAAATACGCTTACAGTAAGCACAGAATTTTCTGCTACAGTAAGTTTGGATTTTTCGCTTATGGTATTTAGAGCCACGAAATTGGGCTCAGTATTAAACTAAAGATTCTGTGCTTACTGGGTAAGCGTAGAATTTGTGTTAGCACTGTAAGCACATAATGCTAAGGGAAAGTCTCAAGAGTCGGAACGCTTTGAACGTTCCACCAGGGAACATCGCTAACCCACAGACTTGGTGTTTCATAAGCTATCGTGCCTCTCCCAAAGAAAGCAACCTACAGTGTGACAATATTTATTTGTAGACCAAATGTCTTTGTTTTGTTTTGTCTGCCCTTCGCAGGAGAGTTCTTCCAGGGTGGCAGCTGCATTATATATATAGGTTATGTACTCTTATGAATATTCATCAAATGTTAATTACCTATTCATAGCAATATAGAATGACTTTTTATGTATCAAAGTATTCTCTAATTATTTTTGTTTTTATATTGAGGAGTATAAGTTTGTACACTTACATGTACTTTGCCCACCAAGCTGCACCATTCAACTTGTCACAAGTCCCACAGTAAGATATTTTAACGTTTGGTTTTTTGGGGGCCAGAACTGAATACATTTGTAGACTTTGGTCCAAGACTTCATTTGCCTTTATTCCCCTTATACAGCTGTAGTCTCCATCAACAAGATGATTCAAATCCAGTCTCGGCAATATTGGCAGTGCTACCCAGCAGTGGCACACCAGGATTTGGCTTGGGAGGTGGGGGCTCACAATTTTTTTTTCAAATTTTGTCAAAAAATATTTTTATATTTTTTTTTGGGGGGGGGGGGGGGAGGACTGTTTCATATTTTGACATTGGTGCCGCTATTTACACCCCTATCATACTACTCAAAAATAGGCCACATACATATCACCAAGGTTAAATCGTGGGACTAATCAAAACATTGACAACCTCTGGGGGGGGGGGAGGGGCTCAATCGCGTGCGATGTATGCTCGGAGTTGTCCTGGACAGCACTGCCAATATTGCAGAGACTGGATTTGATTCATCTTGTTGATAGACGGACGTCCACCGACCGCGGAAAACTTTACCGCATTTGTGGGACTGGCTGTAAAAATTCAATTCAGGCATAGGACTGTGCACCAGAGATGCCACTTTTCAGGTTTTAACCTGAATTCAGGTTTTTTTTCAAAAAATGTGACAAATTAAAAGTGCTGGATTTGGTCTGAAACATCCAGAAAATACGTTTTTGAAAGAGGGTAAGGGTAGTTTCAGGTTTTTTAGTAGTGTTTCAGACTTTTTATTGATATATTGGTGGCATCTCTGCTGTGCATTGGGAAAACCTGTATTTACTTTATCAGTACCAACCCCATTTTTCCCTGATGGGCAAACTTTTTTTTATTGTTTTCTTCAAAATGACAGCATGCCAGAAGGAATAATTTCACAGGGAGTTTAGTGTCATTACTATCTTTAAACCAAGTAAGTATATTAAACAATAATTTGGTCGGTTACTTTCTGGATAGCTGCAAATGGTCCACTCCTACTTTTTAATTCCAATCCCGTTTTTCTGGTAGCTAAAATTCACATATATAAATGCATGCACACCCAATACGGTTTCACGATAATCAGTTTTTCAACCTTTAAAATTCAAACAGTGTACATGTATTTTGTAAAATTAATGTACATTTTAATACAATGTCATTTTCGGGTAATTAATCTGAAGAGGTTTTTTTTTTATTTAAAATATGCCAATTTGTTTGTGTATCATTTTGTTTCATTGTCAAATTGCATATGTAAAGGAGGTACGTTGATGTTAACAATCGCATGATGAATAAACGTCGAAGCAAAATATGATTTAGGCTTTGAATTGTTTTCTTTTACTTCTAGCTTTGCATTTTAATGCCTCTGCTTTAAAAAAAAAAATGTTGAATAAAATGTACATTCATATACACTATTTCTACACCCAATTTTCCTTTTTACACGAAATAATGAAGTGTTTATATGAGAAAGCTTGGAGCCTTTTGCAAACTACAAGCTATTTTTAAGCCAAATTCCTGAAAATTTAATACAAGTTTCATACATGTGGAAGAAATCAGCATTGACGAAGATCTCTTAACCCTAACCCTCCAAAATCCTCCAAAATCCTCCTGCCGGTTTTGGAGGATTTTAGAGGATTGAGGATGAATGGCAAAGATGTAACGCTTTTTTTGTGGAGGATGCATTACGTCAAGCCAGTAGGCCATATCCTGCATTGGTTATGTTCAGCCATGCATAAATCAGCCCTGTGTTTTTCTCGTATTTCATCCGCACTGCTTCTAAATGCCATTCGCACTGCCTCGAACCATAGCAGTAATTGGCAGGGGAATTTGGAGGATTGAGGCAGTGGTCACCCTCCACAGACTAAATTCAAGAAATAACGGATGATTTTGGAGGATTGAGGCTGAATCCTATTTTTTTTCTTGGTGGCAATTGGAGGATTTTGCAGGATTGAGGTTGCATCCTAGCCAGAGGGCCTAGGGGGTTGGGTTAAAGGTTTGAACAAGCTAGCAACTGGCAACGGGATGCGCGCCACATTATGAAATAATTTTGTAACACCAGTAATGTTTGGTGAACTATGGTCTACCAAATATTTGCAAAATGCGGTGTATTTGAATTGCCTTGTTCGGTTTTGAATGGCAAATCAGTTTTTGTTGAGGCTATAATGTTGTGATCATCCAGTTTTGTAAAATGTACCTTGGTACTTAAGAAATACACGAAAAATATAGATTTAGTGTAAAATGTGATTGTTGACTTACATTATATACATGCCACAGTATGAATTGAGTTGACTTCAAAAAAAAAGGTGCCTTTATGCACACACACAAAAAGTAATCGAACAAGAAAAATGCATTTTAAGGCCAAAAAAAAAGTCTCCAGTTTCTGGTATGGAGCTTGCCCAAAAAGTGGTGCGGCGACGCGGCTTTATTTATTTTTTTACCTGATTTTTTTTGCCTCAAATGTCGGCTGATGACTGCAAATGGTGCCCGACTAAACTTAGTGCAAATATATGGGAGTCCAGAGAGGCCACATAAAGCTTATTCTCGATCATAACCCCATCCAAAAACACATTAAAATTGTGCAGCAGCAGGATTCCAGTCAAACCAGTGAGTTTGGCGGTTTTGAGACATCATCTTTCATTGGGGAAAAAAAACTTTTTCATTTTGCCGACGCGCATGGCTACGGCGACACGCGCGCATACCAGAAACCGGAGACTTTTTTTTTGGCCTAATACAAGAACACCTTAATCTGATCAAATTAATAACGTTCCCATCAAGTATCTCTTTTTCACCATTAATCTGATGTAATTGCTGAACAATGATTGAAACAATGAATGCTTGAACTTCACAAGCCGTGCTAAAAACAGCTCATGAATAAATAATTCAGAAACTTTTCAAACTACTGAGTGGGTCACACTGACCACCAGAATGGCACAAACCATTCAATATGAGGGTGATCCATGAATTATTGAGTGGCTGATACTTGAGGAGCCAATCAAAACGGTCATGAATAATTCAGGAATTTATCCAACCAATGAGTGGGTCACCCTGACCACCAGAATGGCACAAACCATTCAATATGAGGGTGATCCATGAATTATTGAGTGGCTGATACTTAATGAGCCAATCAAAATAGTCATGAATAATTCATAGATTGTTTCAACCAATGATCTGGTCACCCTGACCCCAATTGAAATGTTTCAGGAGACCCTAAGACATCAGGAGACACAATGAATTATTCAGCAGCTTCTACTTGAAGAGCCAATCAGATCATCAGAAAACAGTTCATGAATAATTCATAGTGCTTTTCCACCAATTATCTGGTCACTCTGGTCATGAGGAAGTAGGCCAGTATGAATATTCCCACAATGATGGCAATCAGGTAGCACATGAGGCGCCGGTTGTTCCTGCCCGAGCCGAGCATGGAATCAAAACGCTTGATGGTCCCGCCGAGAAGTCCTTCCGAGCTGTCAAAATCTCCATCCTGGTGAGAAAAAAAAAATTGACATTGGACAAATTCAACAAGGACTTGGACAGAATCACAACAGCACCACCAAGTGGTTTACCAGGGTGAGGCCATTTTTCTTGCATTGCATCATGGGAAAGAGCACTAAGTCTCAAACCAGCATTGGGCAAGTTCGCGCAAGAACTATTGTTGGTTAAAACCATAGTTCGACTAAAGTTAGCCCGAACTCTGTCTAGTCGACGGTTGTTGACTACGCTAGTCGACTATTTGGGACCAACCTACTGGGGTTGGTTGCTTCGCTGGTAACCAATAGCCCCGCGCGTTCATAACGTACAGCAGGGAGCCAGGATCCAGACGTTTTGCGATGACATTTTGACCAGCGTTTGACTAGAGACGTTCACACGTTGCTATTAGTGCGCAGGCGTAAGGTTCGTCACAAATCAACCACTAGTCGACTAATGGTCCTTGCCCAAACTTGCCCATGGCTGATCAGGCCAGTATTTTAATCCAGTTTTCTTGGCAAGACATGACTAAGAAAACTGTTATTCCCACGTGGTGAGACCCTAGTCCACTGAAGGTTACTCTGCTGTCGATGTCAGTATCTATTAGATACTCCTGGGGAGAGAGGCATTTGAGGTAAAGTGGCCTGCTTGAGGACACAAAGTATGGCCACACTCCCCAGAAAGAAAACTGAAATCCACATGTAGACACAATGACCTCTTTAAGTTTTGAACTTCCAAAGTACCACAAAACTGGATGCTGTATTTTTTTGCTGTGTGGTGTTAGACAATAGAATACCTTTATAATACATGGAGGACAAGAGAAAGTAAACCTGTTTTTAAAAACAGGAATGTACTGAACTTACCATGTTATCTAGATATCTGTTCTGATCCCTCGTCTCCCCTTCAATGTCCATAGCGAGCTGCAGGATGAATTATCAAGACAAAAACTTGAATGATCTTATTGAGACATAAGTTAAAGTTGTAATGTGAACCTCACAGAATGGATCAATAAAATTACATTCAGAGTTTAGACTTCTCACCGATTTGAGTGTGGAGACTTTCGCCGACAGGCCTTCCTGCAGTCTGTTGTTCTCCGCCTCCAGCATATCTTCTGTGCCGGCGGCCCCGCCCCGCCCTGGAATCAAAACAGACACAATCCCACTGTGAACATGAGACACTCATTACTGTACAGCAGGTGGGGACGGGCTGAAGTCATCCGATGAAAACATCTATTTATTTGCACACCAGGTTTCATCAGTTGTCATGTGTTACCATTCAGCACTCCAGACTCAAGAACCATTGAGTTTCAAGAATATAGGTCTGGGAGCTAGATGTCCGCGCCCACTTTCAGTTTCAGACACTGAATTTTGGCCTATTTTTTAGTTTGTTAGAAAATTGAAATCCCTATACTAGAGGAAGAGGATTTTCTACATCGTGCTTGCCTTCAAACAACTTTTAGAATTGAAAGTAAGTGTCACCAACGATGTTTGTGTAACTTACAGAGAATTTTTTAGAGAACCATTTTTTGTTTTAATAGTAATAACGTAACCGGTATAGCTAATTTACAACGTAAATTAACTGGTTTATTGTGATTGATTGTGCGATCTTCTTATCTAATTCTACGGCAGAAACTGTTTCAGAAGTATCTGAAACGGTCTGTTAGACATTTACATTAGTTATTACAAACATGTAACCTAAAATGTCAGTTTTAAACAGAAAAACGTCTTGTGTACAAACCATTGCGCGACCGTCTTCCTCTGTCGTCCATTTTGATTGTTGACGTGTACGTGTTCGGATTTTGCTGTCTTGTTTTTCTAAAGGGGGCGACTACATTGCGTCAAAGGGAAGAGGTAATTATTTTTTATCAGAAACTTCCGATGGAAATTGTCTCCATTCCCACGCATGTCAAATTCAAGAAAACGCTATTAAGAGTGTATAACACTTGGTAAGTTTGCAAGAAAAGTGTATCTTACAAGACAAAGAGTTTATTTTTGTCCGGTTCACATGGAATGAGCAGATATCTATCCTAGCGCTTCACCTATTGGTGAAGGTGGAACAATCCATGTTGACATTAAGCTGGCCCCTTCGTGTTTATCACAGATTTGTCAGCTGATGACGAGTACCAGTTAAGTGTTTTGTAGCAGGTGGCCCAAAGCAAACGAGCAAAAATTTGCAGACGACAGACACGCATTGTCATCGAAATTGGAGGCACGTTCGGTAAGTCTCTTTCTCAAAATGGAGATCTAAACATTATTTTTACAAAGTGTGCCTTGTTAAATATTCTTGTGTATTAAAGAAGCAGTTGAATGCTATAGCAACTAGGGTTAAAACTTGACAGTCATGACAGTGCCTGCGAGTTTTTCGGGAAAATTGTGACGAAATGTTTAGCTGTCAAAATTCGTCAGCTAAGTTCTTTATGTTCTTGTTGAAGTTGTTCACTGTGCGCAGGGCAATGTAACTTGCGTGATGACTAATGCATTACGCATGGTGTTTTTTAGCGACCTTGCGAATTTTGCCTCAAAGAGTCAAAGGTTTTAAGTACTGCTCATTGTGTGCTTTACTGGGATGGGTAAAAAAAAATTTGCAAAAGAAAATCCCTTTAGTTCTAGTAAAGGCTATATACTTGCCTCTTTTCCATAAATTTGTTTGTGTTAGCAATAGCATTATTGTATTTTGTATGAAAAACTGGGCAATCCATTCCAATGGATTTTCTTGTATTTTTCTTTAGGGTTTAAGATGTTATTAATATTCTCTGTCAATCATCATTCCCAATGACATAAATTAATATCAGTGTGAATGACGATTGGAAGAGGATATAATTAATTATACAGTATCTAGGCACTTTAAAGCATGTTGTAAGATTGATGGTTTTTTTGTCCTCATATTATTTGTCTTAATAATATGAGTTTTTAAGTTTTGAATGCCGATGGTATTTATTGAATTTTCAACCACAGTAAATATCTCTTTTGGATGTAAAGCCAGCAGTTTTTTTGCACCAAATAAATTTTTTTAAAGTGATTTTACTTCATATTTGTATGCCTTCTCAGAGTGACAATCATGAAACTTTTTTTTTCTTGAATATACTTTTTAATTGACTGTGCCAATTTCATTCAAATTTCTTTTTCGCTCCAACAGGCACCTCTACTGAAAATTGACAAAACACACTTGCAAAATATGTGGCCAAAATACGGCATCTTCCCCTGAAGATTTTCAGGCACGGCAACTAACTGTCTTCAGCATTCAGCATTTGCATCAATTGGACTTTTGCTACATTAGTACTTCTTGTTGGGCCATCTTTCCTCCAATTCTGATATCAACATGGGACATTTTGTAGAACTTTTGCTGCTCTTCAGTTTGGCACTGGCTGGGCCAGTGTGCAGCTCAAACGACAGTCTTCCAAAGCATCCCAATTCACCAGGGTCCAAGGGTAGCAAAGGAAACAAGCTGGGACCGCAAGAAGACGGCTCCAAAGAAAGAACACAACCGGCTTTGTTTCGGTTATCGCACGATGGCTGGAGCCCCTGCCAAAGGCAAAACTTGACCTCCTGTGGACAAACGCTGAGAAACGTCAGTTGCATTTACGCGCCGGAAAGCAGACAGGTTCCTATGCATTTCTGCACCTCGTTAGTAGATTCCCAACCAATGTATCGGCCTTGTGGGTTTTGCCCGGAGGACTGCGCCATGACCGTTTGGTCGGCCTGGTCGGAATGCAGCTCCACGTGCTCACCGGCGACTAAGTTCCGGACCAGGAGGGTTCTGACCCCGCCCAGGCACGGCGGGCAGGAGTGCGGGGAGCTTGCGGAGAGGGAGGCCTGCTCAGAGTTGCCGGATTGTGAGGTCGAGGTCTTGGTGCCGATATACACCTGGAAGATTGGAGAATGGAGCAGCTGTAGACAGGTAAGATACCTAAGACTTTTGGGTTAAATTCCTAATTAAGTGAACATTAACTTTAAAAGGCACACTTGCAAGGAATCTTTACGAAGTCTCAATAATTCACCGATGCGGAGAAACGTCAAAGGCACACTTCCATGGGGCATCAAGTCAAAGTACACAATGTACAAATGCGTTGTCAGCTTAACCATTCTTAAGTAAAAGAAAGGCAAATTAAATTTCAATCTAGAGAAAACCTAAAAACTTCCAAGCTACAAAAACAAGCTAAGCTACAATCCTGCCAAAATTGTGCTGGGCCCCCAACCCCCCGGCCCCCGTTCAATGTTGTCTCTCATTGCGCGGTGTGTGCTCCATCAGCTGGAGAGAACAACATTGACCGGGGGAGCGGGGGAGTGGGTGACCGTGGCAGGCTCAGGAAGTGTCCCAACCATTTTGACCGGGATTGTGTACATATAAATCTATGTTCATGAACTTTGTACATATATCAAATGTTTACCCATTCTGTTTTTCTTATTGTAATCTGGAGTTTGTACAACATGTTTGTATTAAAAAGGAAAGAACTGTTTAATTTATTGCATAAGTTTGGGAGGATGTCCTGTTATTGTTATTGCATTTTCAGGTGTTTAATCAATTAGTCACAAATACTTCCTTAAAGGGAATATACATCATTTGCTTTGGCTGTAATTTTCAGAAATGGATGGAATTGGGGGGTTGGAAAAATAAAGCAAATATAGTTACACTGACTTTTTGGAGGTTTTGGGTTCGAAAATGCTATAAAAACCAAGAAAAACGATCATTTTCCTGTAGTCTGGTTCCTTGACTCCATATAAGAAGAAACAGAGCAGTTTACATACATTGGGGAATTGTAAGGTCAGGGAACCAGTCTAGCTGGCTCGTACCCGTTCATAGGTTTGTAATCAATTGCAAACAAGTGCAATGGTCCATTGGGGCCAGTATTTGAAAAAAAGCCAGTTGTTTCCAACGCTGATCTGCCGATCAGCGTTAGAAATTGATACAAAAATACCACTTTTCTTGAAAATGACAGTATACCAGGTGCCATAATTTTACAGGATGCTTTAGACTGTCATTTACCAACATCCTATTAAGGTATTTCGCAAAAACTTGGTAGTTTTATTTTTCGATGTTTGCAAATGTTGTATATTCCCTTTAACAGAAAATTTGTTGGTATTTCATGATTTTCATCTCAATGCAAATGACACTAGCCGAGAAGAAAGAAAAAAATCACGAATGATGCTGTGAATGAGTCATCACAGCTATGTCATCTTTCTGGAATCATCTCACACAAGTGTGCACTGCTCACTATATCGAACCCCCCCCCCCCCCCGGTCAATTTTCAAAGGGAAAAAATGTTACAGGCCAATATTTTAGTGTACATGTATGCATTTATGTAATATGACTAAGTTACATACATCAATTTGATGAGTGGATCTGAGGTAATATTGGAATCAAATGTATTAGTCACTCTCAGGCTGATAAAGGCATGGGAAAAGAACGCACACAGATGTGTAGGAAACGTGGAATTATAACATTTAATTAAGTATCAAAGGTAAAGTACATCAGTTGCAGCTATCCGAAAAGTAACCGACAAAGTTATTATTGAAAAGCTCAACTTGCTTTTAATTAAAGAAGATTTCAAAGTAAATGGCACTAAATTATTCCTTCTGGCATGCTCTCATTTTGAAGAAAACAATAAAAGAAGGTCATTTCCATGTCCAAAGATGTGCCTGAGGACAGATTTTTGGAAATTTCCCGACAACGTGAAATATATTACCAAGACCTAAACTGTCTTATTGCATTTGCAACAATCGTTCAATGTGTACATCCGCAAAAGGAAATATTGTCAAAGGAAATGTCGTTGTAGACAACTAAAACAATTTATAGTCTGAAAACACAGTGGGAGAGCAGGAAACGTGCACTGAATTATTAGTTCCTGTGTTTGTTTTAGCTCTGCTTCAAGGTCTTGGCCTGACACCCTTGACAAAGTTTGACTTGATTGTCTTTTATGAATATTAAAGTCTAAAAATAACTTTATTTGATCATCAATTCCATCCGGAGTTGTACCTTGAATTGCCCTGCACCTGTATGTATCTAATTTCAAAGTGGACATTTCTTTTATGACTGGACAAAAAATGTATAGATCTACTTGGCAGATTGGTTGATACAAAGTCCTAAAACAATAGGCCATAAAATTAACACAGAAGTTACTTGTTAAACAAATGGTTAACTCGAGGAGAACTTTCATAAGCAGAATGTGAAAGTATTAGGCCTAACTTTTAGTTTTTAAAGCAGACAATCAATTTAAGCTACCATTTTGGGCCATTTTTGGGATAATTGTTAGGTTTATTCAGAAACTTTTTTTTCAATTGAGTGAAAAAGTCTCAAATATTTGGTTTGGACTACCGGTAGAATATGGTATTTTTTGTCATCCATACTTCTATAATTTCCCTCGAAGTACTTAAATACAATGTATACTTGTACTTTGCAATAAGTAAACCGACACAGTTATTCAGAAACCCTTTTTTTTTCAATTGAGTGGAAAAGTCTCAAATATTTGGTTTGGACTACAGGAGATTGTGGGGTTTTTTTCATCCAAATTTCTTCAATTTCCCTCGAAATACATATATACATGTACATGTACACTAATATGTATTTCGAGGGAATTGAAGAAATTTGGATGAAAAAAACCCACAATCTCCTGTAGTCCGAACAAAATATTTGAGACTTTTGCACTCAATTGAAAAAAAAAAAAGGTTTCTGAATAACCTGTACTTTGCAATAAGTAAACTGACACAGTTATTCAAAAACACCTTTTTTTCAATAGTCTGAAATATTTGGTTTGGACTACTGGTAGATTTTGGTATTTTTTCGTCATCCAGACTTCTTTAATTTCCCTCGAAATACATGTTCACTAATACCATGTATACATGTACTTTGCAATAAGTAAACCGATCCTTTACAAACATATCCACCAAATAAATAAGCAGTCTTTTTTTTCACAGACCAGCCTTGAATACTTAAGATGCAAAAAAGCACAACACCGGGGGATCAGCCTTTGCGCCTGTGTGCACAGACTAAATAAGCTCAAAATCACAGCAATCCTATGTTGTGTCAATGGATGTTCAATCCACCATGCACGCAGGGGCTCAGCCTCGTCGTAAATCCCACACGGAATGCCGTTGTGTCCAAAACAAGAAAAGGGTTTGGGAACAATCGCTTTTAAGAAGGGACCGGTCGCAATATAGCAAACTGGTCCTTCTATGGCTTTGGGTTGTACATGGAGATTCGATTCGGATTGACAGGGGAGCTAACATGGCTAAGAGGGTTTTTTTGCTGCCCAAAATGTTAGCTTTAATGAAACAAGATTGTTAGATCGTCATAAAGTCAAACCATTGAGGCGTTAATCCTTTAGTGATTGGTTCAATTTGTTCTCCGAATAAGCTTTGGAAAAAGTAACTTAGCAACTTTCAGTGATGTCTGGGTTGAGCTTAAGTTGGCAAAACACCCCCCCCCCCCAAAAAAAAGGAAAAACACTAAAACAGGATGCCAAAGTTTTAGTATTTTGTGTTTTCCCTTCGTCGATGTGCAGTGTTTAAATTTATGAGCATATTTGAGAGCTTAAATGTGAAACCCTCCCAAAATATTTCGAAATCAACCAGGTCTTTTATCAATTGAAGTGTATAGACGATTTCAAAATTAGCATTGAAACAGAGAAAAAAAACATTCTTGCAGCAAAACGTAATGTTTTTGTTTTGCTGAAAGAACACTTACCTTTTTGTGATCAGTGGACAGAACTTTAAATGGGTGTTTAAATTTCCGCAACTTGAAAAGTACGTGAGTGATTTGAATGATTCTTGAACTAAAAGAAAGATTAGTCATTGGGCTTTCATATATCCTAGATTTTGAAAGTGCTACATGCAGAACTTCCTTAGAAAAATGGTCCTGCAATTTGGGTTTCCTTTTTTTTGTTACTCGCCCTGTATATTTAGTGTTCAGTCTTAGGTAATTTTCCTCCAAGGCAGCTTAGCATTCTGAGTTGTCATGATTGTCCCTGCAAAAAAAAAACACCAAAAACAAAAAAACCCCACTAATCCATGAAGACTGTGAAAGTATTATTTTAATGACAACTATGGTACATTTGTGTACTGTTCATATCCTTCAACTTCGTCATGATTTTATTTTGTCTGCCAGGCTTCTCAGCATGCTGCCAGTGGCTGCGGCCTCGGGCAGCGGTTTCGATCCATTTCCTGTGTGGACTCCCAAGGAGAAGTTGTCGACAATGATTTGTGCTCCCACGACCAGCAAGGTTGGTGTCATGTTCATTTATGACCACAATCGAAACTGCAATTAATACCATGTACATTGTAGTGGGGTCCAATTTTGTAAGATTTCCTTTTTTTTTTCTGTGTTTTTTTTTGTGGCTCCTAGCTTAATGTGTCTTGGGACAATTATGAATTTTTGAACAAACCAGGTTTACTTCAAATGTAAGATGTTCCTTTTTGGGGCTCCTATCTAAATGTGTTGTGGGAAAATTATGAATTTTTGAAGCAAAATTAAAAGTTGAACAATTTAAGCCAGCTTAACTGCAAATAATACCATGAAAACTTGGTCCAAGTTTGTAAGATTCCCTTTTTTTTTTTTTTGCTCCTAGGTAATGTGTCGTGGGAAAATTATGAATTTTTGAAGCAAAATTGAGGGTTGCACAAACCAGCTTAACATGGTAGAAGCAGTTTAGGTTCATAACATTAAATATTTTAAAGTCAGTCATAAGCCAATATGGCCCATCAGGTCGGTGTTTATTTCCTGTTTCAGTGACATGAAATGACTGTGAATATTTCTCTTTCCCTCCTGGATGGGATGCCAGTCCATCGCAGGTTACTCCCAAGCTAATGCCGGTACCCATTTATACTCCTGGGTGGAGGGAGGGGAGTTGGGGTAAAGTGGCATGCCCAAGGACACAACATATGGCCAGCTGCTGGATTCGAAACCTGACCCTCTGATCATGAGTCACAAACCAAAACCACTGGGCCAGAATCCCCCCGAAATGTTATCCGCCGAGTTGAAATTACTTTGGACTGTACATTCTACAGCAATCGTGGATTGTTTCAACACATTTTTCTACCACATGACAGCTCATAAAACACCTTTTCAAGTTCCTAATGTCAATTTTGGCTTACTGTTCTGTGATACACCCGTATCTGATTCAGATCCTCAGAAACGTGGGACCCAGCCCCCATCGGCCGAGACCTGCCCGGTCCCCTGCGACTGCCTGACCTCGCAGTGGTCGGCCTGGGGTGCCTGCTCCCAGACCTGCCGGTTACCAGCCCAGGCCACTAGTCCCCCGGTGCAGACCCGCACCAGGGAGATCGTGACCCTGCCTGAGAACGGCGGACTGCCGTGCCCGAGCCTGGAGGAACGCAAAGAGTGCGAGGGGGATCCACTACCGGACTGCCCGCGTTTTGAGTGGGTCGCTGAGGTTTGTGTTTTGATCACTTTGGCTTGTTTTTTTTTTTATTATGACTTTTCAAACCTCGTCTTAAGGAGATTTTTTAGTTCCCTGGTTTAGCTGACTCTACTCAGTGTTGGTCCAAGATCAAGGAACGTCAACTTAACATATTTAAATAAAATGCTGCCAAAGTTTAGAGTATATTAATTAGGTTTTGACGTGAGAGGCCAACAATTTCTTGTAGCCTGACTTGTGATTTGACTTGTGACTTAACTTCTGATGATCGTAACTACAACTCAAATGTCAAGTAAACCGCAGCTTCAAGTCCAGCTCCAGTCAATTTCTTTGTTTATCTTTATAATTAGTCTATATAATGTCACAAACTTGTGAGTAATCAGATTTGTTTGTCACCACATAATCAGGATTGGCAACCGTGCAGGTTATCGCCAGACAGTGATGGGACGTGCGGGGCAGGACGGCAGAAGCGGCAGGTGTACTGCATCCAGGAAGGAGACGCAGACCGCATCCCGGTCACGGCCGACAACTGCATCAACTCACGTAAGCTTAGATGTTGTCATTCTTAATATTCACCGTTTTTGTCGTGCAAACTTCTGTTTTCCACGGTAATGCTGTATTCCGTCCGTGGTTCTAACTTTGTACTTGGTTGTTTTCCTCCAGAAAACCTCAACGATGGAGTATAACTATAAGGTTTTAGTGATGAGAGTGGTCATGGTTTTAGTATTTTCCTAGGGTGAAGTTTTCCAATGATGCTCTAAAAACCAGGTGTTAAGGAGAATCGACGATGTATTGTGGTAGAAAATGGCCTACTTCAAAATCTACTTCAAAACTTCAGCATTTTAAGAGTAAGGCAAAGGAAAACATTTAATCCCCAACCCTGCCAGATGCAACACAGCTGCATCAGGTGTATAAGTCTTTGGGACCTTGCTGCATTGAGCCATCAATACCAGTGCATAAACGGCCAGTTCTGAGACAATGAGAGCTAATCCCATTGAACAATGCCACAGTTGTATCCTGCTGCATTCAGTGACCACGGACTCTGAGGCAGTTTGGTCGTTGGATGATGTGACACTGGGAAGGCTTCTCACTCAGACAAGTGTTGCATGTTGCATGGGCAGGGTTTCTGGGCAGTAAAACCCTGGAGGGTTAGCAGTTAATAGCGTGTCACTACAAAACCTTTAAACCTTCATTTTTCCGCAGCCGTCAACTCCACGAGCCTGGAGCCGCCGACCAAGCGAGCCTGCTGGGTGGACTGCCCCGTGGACTGCCAGCTAGGGGAGTGGCAGAACTGGTCACCTTGTTCCCAAAGCTGTGAGGAGGGGATCCAGGTGCGAGTCAGGGAGGTCCTGGTGCAGCCGGCCCACGGTGGGAAGGAGTGCGGACCGCTGGCTGAGGCCAAGGAGTGTGAATTCGTGGAGTGCTCCTGGTGGCACACATGTAAGATTTGCACAAAATTGATTTCGCTTAATAACAAAAAGAGATGTTTTTTATCCACTCACTGTTGAAAATCCAACTTAACTTTTTTGTTGTCTCATTACAGTTTGCATTACAATTTTGTAGGCATGTAAGGACATCTATGCATGGTGCAAACTCCTATCAATAATTCGCAGTCATTTGAAAAGTTTGTGATACATCTGAATTGTAGAAACGTGGTGTCAAATCACGTATAAAACATCAACCCCCAAATTACTTGAAGGGTTAGTACGAAAAATATTGTGTTGCAATGAAAATGGAAACTGTTGGAAGCTAGCTCTTCTGGTCTGAAAAAAATTGCAAACCCATCACACTCCTTTCCCAGGAGTTAGGAATTTTGACTTCCCGAAAGTTTGGAGCATTTACCAATCAAAAAAGTGTGTTTCTCTCATAAATATTCATAAGATGTAATTGATAAAAGCTGTTCTTTCCCAAAACAAAAGCACGATGTAAAAATGCAGGTGGCTCATAAATATGTATGAGGTATAATAAATGCGGTTATTTTATCCCAACCAACAGCACGATGGAGCAAGTGCTTCCTGAACCGAGGCCAGACAGACTGTGGCCGGGGCTCCCACGTCCGCACTGTCTACTGCATGAGTGCCCTGGACAGGCTGCTAGAAGATGAAGATTGTCCAGGGAGCTCTCCAGCTTACAACGAGGATTGTCGCATCCCCTGCCCGACAGACTGCGTCATCTCGGAGTGGACGGACTGGGGCCCCTGCTCCAGGACCTGTGGGAAGAAAGGAGGCATGCAGACAAGGACTAGACAAATACTGGGTAAGGGACTGAGAGGAGGATGGTGTTGCAAAACCTCCGTTTTGTTCAAGACTTCATCTTGATCTCAGACACAAGAATCACTTTGAAGCCTGGAAAGCTCTAACTAAATGTCTGTTCTCTACCTCAGCTTACTCGGACATGCCAGAGGACTCCTGCCTCCCCGAGAGCGAGCTGTCCCAGCTCCGCCCCTGCAACTTACACGTGTCCTGCCAGAGTTACACCTGGCAGGTCGGGGCCTGGCAAGGCTGCATCGGCTCGGGTTCGGTGTCAGAAGCGGGATGCGGGGAGGGCGCGGGCACCGAGCGACGGGAGGTCACCTGCGAGAAGGAGAGCGGCATGGCACCAGACGAGAGCTACTGTGACCCGGCCTCCAAGCCGCTCGGGCAGCGGGCCTGCGACGTGCCCTGCCCTGTTGACTGCAAGCTGTCGGCCTGGAGTGCCCTCTCTAGTTGCAGTGAGACGTGTGGTCCGAATGCTCAACGGGCGCAGCTGCAGATAGTTGTCCGACTCCCAGCTCATGGTGGAACTTCCTGCCCAAGCGAAGCGGACGAAGATGGTAAGAATTTTTTTCTCTTAAAATTGACAGGAAGAACATTTTGTTCAATCAAAGGAACAATTTAGTCGATTTAGATCTCATTGTTTTCATTTTGCAGGTCTCATTATCAGAATGGAATCGTGTGACAATCTGCCTCCCTGCTACAGTTACCAGTGGTTTGCTGGGAACTGGACTGACTGCGAGGTGGTCGGCACTGACTGCGGTAAGGGCTTGCAGACTAGTGAGGTGCATTGTGGGAGGAGCGACGGAACAACTGTGGAACCAGGTAAGGATTCCATACCCTGTGTAACAAGTGGAGTGTCATGGCCTGGCAGTTAAGAACACCGGACTCATGTTCTGGTGTTTCAGAGGCAACAGTGACGTGGGTTCGAGCCCGGGCGCAAACACTTGTGCCCTTAAGCAAGGCACTTAACCATTATTGCTTCGTCCTTCGGATGGGACGTGAAGCCGTAGGTCCCGTGTGTTGTATAATGTCTAATGCACGTTAAAGAACCCAGTACACTTATCGCTAAGAGAAGGGGTTCGCCCCGGTGTTTCTGGCAGTGCGATTATCTTCAACCATGAAGTCTGCACTTGTAAGGAAAAAGAAGAAGAAGAACAAGGTCCTTGGGACTTAACAAATTACCTTGTTATAACAGATACCTTGTATTAAACAGTAATGCAAAACAAAGAAAAACAAAGACTTGAGACCTATATTGTGTTTGTTATAAGCAGGATATTGTATTAATAGTGCTCTTCCTATCAGGGTTTGACTGTATTCCCTTATTAAAAAAAATATAAAGGGTGGAACTTAACTACATACAAGTACAGTTAAAAGGGAAGTTTGAAGTAAATATCTCAAAAAAAATCTATTAAAAACAAAAAAATTAAAATTATAAAAAAACACTATGTCCTGTTCAACCAGGTGTATGCCTGCGTGAGTTGCTGTCCACGCCGCCCCCCTCCCACCAGCAGTGTCTGGTCCCCTGCGCCGGAGACTGTCTCCTCTCCGACTGGACGGTCTTTGGGCCCTGCGTCCACGACTGTGGCTACACGGAACACAGCGGGTATTGCAGGATGCGATCTCGGACCATCATAAGTATCGGTAAGAATTGATCCTCAGATAATTTGCGCAATTTTGGCCTCGTTTTCGGTTAGGGTTTAAGCTTCACTGCTCAATTGTAGCCCACTTTGTCTTGATCAACCAGGTGTATGCTCTGAGTATGCAGGGCACCGGACCGGCAATTCCAGAGGTCGCAGATTCAAACTCTGCTCCAGTCAATACCTTGGTTCAACTTTAAAATTACTTTTTTTTTTTGGGCACAGATCCAGCCACAGACAATGCAGAGGAACTATGCCCTGACATCACGGACTCTGACTTGAGGAACTACATCCCATGTGACGATGTAACCTTCTCCTATGAGTGGCAGAACGGTACCTGGCGGAGCTGTCTTCTCACAGAAGGTCAGTTTTTAAAACTTCCTTCATGTATTTTGTGCTTAGTTTTGAGTCAAATGGAGTCCAACTTGGTTGCTTCCTGTAGCTGTTCTCTGAATAAATGGTAATGTATTTCATTTTGGCGTTTGTCTTTAAACTGCAGGTGTTGAGTGTGGTCCAGGCACCGCGCATCGGAGCGTGCTCTGCCGGCGCAGCGACGGCACTTCTGTCCCTGATCACTTCTGCCAGGCCTCTGCTGCCATCAAGCCCAGCATGCAGCAGAGCTGTGACGTCCCCTGTCCCATTGACTGCATTGTGTCTGAGTGGATGGACTGGTCACCCTGCACACAGGCTTGCGGACAGGGTAAGGTGTAATTGCTGAGTTAAGCTGAACAGGTGTTGGGGATCTACCCTTCTTGAAAGTAATTGATTGCACCCCTCTGCCCTGTTTTTGAACCCCATGCCGTGGCTTCTTGTAAAAACATTCCTTGAAATACTCACTGCATCACTGCACCAAATCTAGTGCCCTACGCATCAGTCTATATTTTTCTGTGAATGAACTAGCTGAGATTTTCATACTACTGATTGTTAGTTACAGTGTCCAGTGTTCAATTTGGAGTCTAATTTGATCACGCCAAAGTTTCACATTATGGACAATTTTATTTTTATTGAACATTTTTCTATTCCTTTTGCAAAGTGAAAACAATGAACAAGAATATTCTTGTATGATTTCAACCTCATTCTGCATTCAAACACCAGTTCTCAATTCAAACAGGAATTTTTAATAGCCCTTTTTGACCACTGGACTTGTAACAATACTTCTGGTCTTTAACAAGAATTTTGAGCTACTAGCGCTGAAATCTTACTCCAAATTTGAGCCCTACATTGCATTGTCATATGAAAAAAAATCCATGAGTATGGGTGAATATTTGTAAGTTAATGCTATGAATATTCATGATTCAGGTTTCAGGACCAGGATGAGGGACATTCAGCAGCAGAGTGCACACGGTGGGCGGGACTGCCCGCCCCCGATTGACAGCATGATTTGCATGGAGATGCTGTGCGATGAACTGGAGTGGGAGGTGTCACAGGTAATGATGTCATAAATATTCATGATGGGTGGGGCAATGTTCAATTATCACACAGTTGAGTGACACAGGTGATGGTTCTTTTAACAATAGGATCCTTTCCAGATGATGTGTGCCAGAGCGCGCATTATTGGAAAACATAAGTTTTCTTTTGTGAAGTCCACTGGAATTTAAAAATTGGTAAATCGAAGCAAACTTTTGGTTGAGGGCGGACATCTCACTTGAATTTAATAGTGATTCAAATTTTCAGGGTTAATAAATTTGAAATGGTTTGATACCTTGCTTTCAATGATTCATGAATATTTATGTTGCCAGTGGGGTCCCTGTGAGTCCATTGACCCACGCAGCAACTGCGGCAGTGGAGCGCAGACCCGCACAGTCTCCTGCAAGGCCGGGGATAATATGGAAGAAGAGTGTGGCAAACGGTTCCCTAAGCCTGACGCCAGCAGGGGCTGCATGCTGCCTTGCCCTGGTGAGTATCGTCAGCTTACTTGTCTTGCCTGCTGAAAATGTAGTTGAGTCCAGTACATTTCCTCCAAAGTCCTTACAAGACCTCCAAGTCCTCACAAGTCCTCACATGTCCTCACAAGTCTACACAAGTCCTCACAAGTTCTAACATCCTCACAAATTCTAACAAGTCCTCACATGTTCTCACAAGTCCTCAAAGGTTCTCACAAATCCTAACAAGTCCTCACAATTCCTCAAAACTCCTCAGACATCCTCAAAAGTCCTCAAAAATCCTCACATGTCCTCACAAGTCCATCACATGTCATCGCAAGTCCTCACAAGTCCTCACAAGTTCTCACAAGTCCTAACAAGTCCTGATATGATCTCACAAGTCCATCACATGTCCTCACAAGTCCTCACATGTCCTCACAAGTCCTCACAAGTCCTCACAAGTCCATCACATGTCATCGCAAGTCCTCACAAGTTCTCACAAGTCCTAACAAGTCCTGATATGATCTCACAAGTCCATCACATGTCCTCACAAGTCCTCACATGTCCTCACAAGTCCTCACAAGTCCTCACAAGTCCTCACATGTCCTCACAAGTCCTCACAAGTCCAGCAGTAATCTTCCAGTCTCAAGTCAAGTCACAGGCTATTCAAATATACTGTGGCGAAAGCATCCTGTTGAAATTGTTCATCCTGTGTTACTTGTGATTGTGATAGTACTTGTGAAAAGACTTGTGATTTACTTTTGACCGAACTTGTGATGGACTTGACTACAACACTGTAACCTGGTGCAACAGGTTCAATCAGCTACTTAAAATCGGACCCCCAAACACTATAATTTCACCTTTTGAATTCTTTTTTTCTGAGAGCTCTTTTCTTTCTCCACTTTTTTCCAGGGCCTTGTGATTTGACAGCTGTTATAAAAAATATGCAGTTAGTTGATTTTTGTTGCTTTCTGTTTTCAGGCGACTGCGTAATGACGGACTGGTCAGATAACACCCCCTGCCCCTCCCCCTGCCAGCAGAACAGCAGCAGCAAGTCACAGATCCGCTCAGTCATCCGGCACCCGACGGCCACGGGGGAGCAGTGCGGGGACCTGACGCAGACCGTGCTGTGCACCGAGGCCGACTGCGCCGGCGACGGGGACCAGTACCGACTGGTGACTGGGGAGTGGAGCCGGTGTAAAGCCGTCAGCGGGGAATGCGGCACCGGTATAAAGGAATTTTTGTTTTATTTTCACATTTATTGATAATCTTTGATATGTCTGCTTTACATATTTTAAAGAACAAGTTTAAAAATCGTTTAATTAAATGGTTTTATTAAGGAAAAACAATTATTGGCATCTTTCATTGTCACAACTACAAAACACGAAACTTCAGAAGCCATTTTCTCAGTATTTTACTTTTTTTGACAACTCAATCAATGCGACCAAACAGCCGTAACTTGTCAACGGAAAGTCCGATTGAAGTGCAACAAACAGTATTGTAAGGAGAATGTTGTTCTCTTTCCTAATACCGGTAAACCCACACTTCGACCTCCGCCCAGTTCTGTCTCATTTTGCCAGAACGCCTCACAAATAAAATATGTTGTTCCAAAACAGACAATGTGTATATTTGATCATTGGTGGAAGATTTGAAAGATAAAAACTTATTCTGGGTTACTGTGGCCTCATGGTTAAGAGCATTGGCTTTGTGGTCTGCGGGTAATTCTGCAGGTTGTGGGTTTGAGTCCAGCCTGGGGTCATGGTGCGAGTGCCCTTGGGCAAGGCACGTTGTCACTCATTGCTTCTCTCCACCCAGGAGTAAATGGGTACCTGTGAGGGCAGAGATGGTTATTGTGATTGAATTAGCTTCCTTGCGCCTAACAGGCTGCATCGAGCTGTATACTCCCCAGGGAGCTGAGATGGTATTTGGAATGTTTAATTGGCCCAATGATCAGGGGTAATAATAACGTAAAGCGCTTTGATCTTAGTTAAAAGCGCTATATGAAAACCTGTTGTTATTATTATTTGTAATACTGTATACATTTATATCAGGCATTCGGCAGCGGACCTTCAACTGCGTCAACGCCCCTGGCTTTCCCGTGGCCACCCACCACTGCCGCTTCCAGAATCTCTCCACGAGCGAGACCTGTCGCATCCCTTGCCCCGTCACCTGCGAGCCCGGCAAGTACTCTGATTGGTCCTCATGCAACGCAACCTGCGGGCTGGATCGGGTCATGACCAGGTCAAGGGTCGTGGAGGGCTACCCGGGGGAGAAGTGCTCCAATAAGGTCACCTTGAGTCAGGCAAGTGATGGGCGTTTCACTTCAGTAAAGTTTAAAAGCTTTTAAAAAAAATGTAAACACTACAAATCACAAGCTATTCAAATAAACTCTGAAAAAAGCTTTGAACTGTCTCAAGACTTTTTGTTCAATCGGTAACTGTTTCACATTCACCAGTTCTGAGTCTTTGCTGTTAAGTGCTGTGATACCTTGTGTAAGAGCACTCTAACTATTTGTAATATTGTTATTATTATTTGATTCGTTATATTGTTTGTCCCCTGTTCCTTGTGGATGGTCTCGACTACAAGATAGCACCTTTTTGAACTAAGCATGGAATTGGCTTGCCCATGCTTTAAGTGTTGAAGAAGATTCGTTTAAGGAAGCATGCAAATTTATACAAGAAGCAAGTTGAGGTTTCTCCCTGAGGTTACCCACAAAACCATGTTAAAGTTTGTAAAACCTTGAGGTAAACTTCAAGTTACCGACTGAGTAACCTTGTATTCTCCCCTTACTTTGCTACCATGATTAACCCTAACCCTCAAGGGTATTTTGGCTAGAAATCCTGCTGAATGCAACAACATGCAACACTTGTCAAAATGACAAACCTGCCCAGTGTAGCAAGATCCATAAGGTTAAAAAAATCACAAGGCCAACCTGCTTTAGAGTCTGTGGTCACCAACTGCAGCAGGATACAACTGTGGCATTGTTCAATGGGACTAGCTGTCATTGTCTCATAACTGGCCGTTTATGCACTGGTGTTGATCGCTCAATGCAGCAAGGTCCCACAGACTTTTACACCTGATGCGCTGTGTTGCATCTGGCAGGGTTTAGCCTCATAACACCTGTGCAACTCTCTAATGGATAAAGTAAAAACGTGGTACCTCTCTTTTACAGACGATGCCGTGCAACTCACTGCCGTGTCACACCTACACGTGGGAGCGGAGTTTCTGGAGCGAGTGCAAGTTTGAGACGGAGAGAGGATGCGGCTTTGGTGAGCGCACACGTTTCGTGGAGTGTCTGCGTAGCGACGGGCTGACAGTGGACCATGAGTTCTGCATAGTACAAGGTAGGACAAGCTCAGCTTAATATATTTTGAGTCGAATCTTTTGAACCCAAGTGGCTGAATTTGATTTCTGATAATTGTGTATCCACCGTCTATAGCTACTCAGTTTCTTTCAAATGTATTTGTGGCACACTTCTGCCAAAATGTGTAATTTGCCAAAATTTGTAAATTACAACTCTCTCACTTTTGCACAGTAAAGTGCTTAGATATCAGGTTTTGTTGTCATTTTTAAATTTTAACTCTTGTTTTGATTTCATTCTCCCATTTTTATTTTATTTTATAATTTTTGTTTTTGTTTTTGTTTTTTATTCAACAAGAATATCCAGAGTCACGGAATCCAGACGTCATGAACCAAATCCTGTCCGGTGTCAATGAGACGGTGCTAGACATTGAGACGTCGCAGCTCTGTGTGAAACCCTGCCCTGGAGACTGTCTGGTGAGTGAAGGTTTTCCAAGAGTGGGAACGATAATTGTGATTGTGAATTTTAAACATTTGATCAGAGTTGTTGTCAAGTAAATCGCACGGTCATATCACAGGTCAACTACAAACAAATCATAAGTGAATCACAAACCACTCATACGTCCAATCACAAGTCAATTAGAAGTCAATCACAAGTCATTCACAAGACGATCACAAAGCAATTCCAAGTCAGATCATAAGTCAATCACAAGTCAAATGACGGTCAATCACAATTCAAATCACAGTTCAAATTACAAATCTATCACAATTCAATCACAAGTCAATCACAAGTCAATTACAAGTCAAATCACAAGTCTATCACAAGTCATCACTCGTTAATCACAAGTTCAATCACACGTCAATCACAAATCAATCACAAGTCAATCCCAAATCAAATCACCAGTCAATCTCAAGTCAATCACAAGTCGTTACAAGTAAAGTTGCAATTCAAATCACATTAAATCACAAGTCACATCAAGTTATACCAGGCATGAGATTTTTTAGACTTTTGTCTGAAATCAGACTTTTTAGAATCTGAGCGAAAGACATTAGAAGTATAGAAAAATATGCATCTTTCAAACATTTCATCAATTTTTATTAAACTTTTCAGCTACAGTATATCCTTAAAATTATCCATTTCTTTGAACCATAAGATGTCATCCTGGAGTCCTCGTTCCTCCTGCTACGGGTCCTGCTATTCTCACAGTGAGCCATCCTTCATGACACGGTCCAGGGCAGTGACTAGGCCTGCCAGGCCCGGCGGAGTGGCTTGCCCTGAAAATCTCATTGATCAAAGGTAACATAGCACAATCAGAGTCCAATTCACAATTTGAGCAAAACTTGACTGAGCTGCCGATGTTTAAATGCCAGCAAAGCTAAGGCATCAGTGGAGTGTCTGTTGTTCACAATCATGGATGTTTTTCTCTATAGTGCAGTAATTTCTAACTCAGCAAAAATGTCACCAGCCAAAATGGTTTGTACTGTAGACTTCTTGTCGTTCTCAGCTTTTTTCTGCTAAACAGTTCAATTCAAGAATTTCATCGATCCATCTCCTTTTTTTTGTCATAACAGATTTTGTCATCATTTTTCCTTTCTCTCTTTTTATTAATTTTTTTTTGGCCGCAGGTCATGTCCAGCAGAACAAGCCATCTGCCCCAACTTCACCTGGCAGACTGGCGCCTTTGACGCAGAGACAAGAACCAGGGATGTCTGGTGCCAAATACAAGGTTAGTACTTAAACCAGTGGGTCTAGGATGTTGGGTACCAGACTCGATTCTTAAACTGACACTTCCATTGTTGATTTGTGCTAAGTATTCACATGGGCTTAGAATTTTGTCAAATGAGGATTCAAACCTTTAACCTGTGGACTGTTGTTCAGTGGTCTTACCATTGATTCAAACTGTACCGTGTTTGATGCATGACCTAATTTGGTGTATCTGATTTGAGCAAGTAGGCCGACTCTGGCAAGCTAAGTGATCAATAGGTAGGGCATCAGCACTGCGGTAATCAGGAGGTTGTGGGTTCGATTCCCACTCGAGTAAGCTTGTAAATTCTGTTTTGCCACAGTCTCTTTGAAACACTATGAGGAGTGTGGCCCAGTGGTTAGGGTTTGTGACACGTGATCAGTGGGTCAGTGGTTCGAATCAAGCTGCTGGTCATATGTTGTGTCCTTGGGCAAGGCACTTCACCCCCACTTGCCTCTCTCCACCCAGGAGTATAAATGGGTACCGGCATTAGCTGGGGAGTAACCTGCAATGGACTGGCGTCCCATCCAGGGGGAATAGAAATGTTCTCAGTCGTTTCATGTCAAGGAAACCGGAGATAATTAAACACTGGCCTGATGGGCCATGCTGGTTCATGACATACTTTACTACTATTACTACTACTACTCTTTGAAAATACCGAGCATAAAGTGCTTGGCATATTAACTTGGTGGAGGCAAGATTTTAAATAGTAGAATTCAGTGTTCTCTTTGTTTTGTGTAGATGGGACCATGACCCTGACTGTGACAGGAGGGTGTATTGAGGCTTTGCGGCCTTCGTCGGTACTGGACTGTGACCCACAATGCACTGCTCCAGGCTCCCTCTGTGACGAGGGTAGATGCCGTTGCAATGAGGGATACGAAGGTAACATTGAATGTGAACTTTTTGGGGGTCAAAAAAAGTTGACATTTGTTTTGTATTCTACAAAAGAATTAGAGTGGTGGGGGAAAAGGCTGAGGAATTTGAATGAAAAAAAGCTAATTCTAAGTCATATTTCACTTGAACTTTTTAAATTATAAATGTAAATAAACCTTGAGAAAAGGTTGTAAAAGTGAAGGGATTCAGGTATTTTTGTATTTCTCTTGAAATTTATGTCTTCCCCCTTAGAGATCTTCACCACAGAGACATTATTTATTTTGCCCCCCCCCTCCCCCCTCAGAAATGTAATGCTGACTTTGACCTCAAGTGAATTTTTTCATTCTTTTGACCGAAGGCAATGGTCACCTGTGCTTCCCGGTCAGCGGCTGTGTCACCGATGACCACTGTCCACTCCCCCACACCCTCTGTGACCGTCACGGCCAATGTGCCTGTCGGTCCGGATTCACGCCCGACGTCGTGTCGGGACTGTGCGTGGAGTCCAATGTCATTCCCGATGGTGACAGGCATGCTGGACCAACCAGTTCCGGACCGGGTGATGGTAATAACGACGTGCAACAGTACGAGGGCAAATCTGGTGAGCAGATTTTCTTAAATACTTTTGTTACTAAAAATGTTCCTTCTTGGGACTAACTTTATAAGAAGCTAGTGAGAAGGAAATATTGCTTAGCGAACATTTTGCTGGTGAGCTGTTTTTGTTTAGCGAATATTTCCTGATTGACCTTTGAACAACTTGTGCTGACTTGTAATTGACTTTTGATTGATTTGTGATTGACCTGCGATTGACTTGCGATTGACTCGTGATAAGTTTCGGTAACTTGTGATGAATTTGTGAGCACCTTGTGATTGACTTTGACAACTTGCAATTACTTGTGATGACTTGTGAGAATCTTGTGATTGACTTGTGACTGACTTGTGATAACTTGCTGCAGCCTGTGAGTATCTTGTGATTGACTTGTGACAACTTGCAATTATTTGTGATGACCTGTGAGAATCTTGTGACTGACTTGTGATAACTTGTTACAGCCTGTGAGAATCTTGTGATTGACTTGTGATAGCTTGTTACAACCTGCGAGTATCTTGCGATTGACTTGTGACTGAATTGCAATTTCTTGTGGTAACCTGTGAGAATCTTGTGATTGACTTGTGATAACTTGCGATTACTTGTGATGACCTGTGAGTATCTTGTGATTGACTTGTGATAACTTGCGATTACTTGTGATGACCTGTGAGTATCTTGTGATTGACTTGTGATAACTTGCGATTACTTGTGATGACCCGTGAGAATCTTGTGATTGACTTGTGATGACTTGTGATAACTTGCAATTACTTGTGATGACCTGTGAGAATCTTGTGATTGACTTGTGATGACTTGCAATTACTTGTGATGACTTGTGAGAATGTTGTGATTGACTTGTGATAACTTGCGATTACTTGTGATGACCTGTGAGAATGTTGTGATTGACTTGTGACAACTTGCAATTACTTGTGATGACTTGTGAGAATCTTGTGATTGACTTGTGATGACTTGTGATAACTTGCAATTACTTGTGATGACTAGTCAGAATCTTGTGATTGACTTGTGACTGACTTGTGATAACTTGCAATTGCTTGTGATAACCTGTGAGAATCTTGTGATTGACTTGTGATGACTTGTGATAACTTGCAATTACTTGTGATGACTTGTCAGAATCTTGTGATTGACTTGTGACTGACTTGTGATAACTTGCAATTGCTTGTGATGACCTGTGAGAATCTTGTGATTGACTTGTGATGACTTGCAATTACTTGTGATGACTTGTGAGAATCTTGTGATTGACTTGTGACTGACTTGTGATTACTTGTGATGACCTGTGAGTATCTTGCGATTGACTTGTGACAACTTGCAATTACTTGTGATGGCCTGTGAGAATCTTGTGATTGACTTGTGACTGACTTGTGATAACGTGCTACAGCCTGTGAGTACCTTGTGATTGACTTGTGACAACTTGCAATTTCTTGTGGTAACCTGTGAGAATCTTGTGATTGACTTGTGATCGATAACAACTCCATCATTTTCTCTGCGTCCAGACATCTGGAAGTGGATCCTCATCGCCAGCGTTCTCATCCTCCTGCTCCTTGTGATCATCGTCGGTGTCTTCATCGTCAGGAGACGGAGAGCCAGGGAGGTGGGCTTCATTCCCATCCCTACCATCAGCAGCGACTCAGACTTCCAGCTCAGCAAGATGGTCAAAGAAGTCGTCACCAAGTGTTGACGAACGGACCGATGACAAAACCGGTGACAAAACAGAGGAAGGGTTGGTGAGATTGTTTAATTCATGTTTATTTTTTGTATTTAAAATTTATTTATCAAATGTCTATTGTGAGGAATTATTATAGAATCCGTGTATATAGAAGGTTGAAAACAGAAACTGACTGACGTGGGACGTGAAACTGTAACCACTGTCAAAATTTGATGTCCAAATCTGTTTTCAGGATCTGATGTCAAATCTGGTGTCAGAATCTGAGATCCAAATCTGGTGTCAGAATCTGATGTCTAAAGCTAGTGTCAGAATCTGATGTCAAACTAAGCTGGTGTCAGAATCTGAAGTCAAAATCTTGTGTTAGAATCCAAGGTCCAAATCTGGTGTCAGAATCTGATGTCGAAAGCTGGTATAAGAATCTAAGCTCACTAAATGCTAGTGTCAGAATCTGAGGTCCAAATCTGGTGTCAACATCTGGTGTCAGAACCTGATGCCAAAATCCGGTGTCAGAATCTGATGTCAAAACCTAGTGTCAGAATAGAGGTCCAAATCTGGTGTCAGAATCTGAGGTCCAAATCTGGTGTCAGAATCTGATGTCGAAAGCTAGTGTCAGAATCTGATGTCAAAAGCTGGTGTCAGAATCTTAGCTCAAAATCTGGTGTCAGAATCTGAGGTCCAAATCTGGTGTCAGAATCGAGGTCCAAATCTGGTGTCAACATCTGGTGTCAGGATGTGATGTCAAATCTTGTGTCAGAATCTGAGATCAAAATATGATGTCAACATCTGGTTTCAGATTCTGAATTCAAAGTCTCGTGTTAGAATCAGAGGTCCACATCTGTTATCAGAATCTGGCGTCAAATTCTGGTGCCAGAATCTGATGTCAAATTCTGGTGTCAGGATCATCACTTTCAAAATCTGGTGTTAGAATCCAATGTCAAAAGCTGGTGTCAGAATCTTAGCTCAAAATCTGGTGTCTGAATCTGAGGTCCAAATCTGGTGTCGGAATCTGAGGTCCAAATCTCGTGTTAGAATCTGAGGTCCACATCTTGTGTCAGAATCTGAAGTAAAAGTCTTGTGTTAGAATCCAAGGTCCAAATCTGGTGTCAGAATCTGATGTCGAAAGCTGGTATAAGAATCTAAGCTCACTAAATGTTAGTGTCAGAATCTGAGGTCCAAATCTGGTGTCAACATCTGGTGTCAGAACCTGATGCCAAAATCCAGTGTCAGAATCTGATGTCAAAACCTAGTGTCAGAATCGAGGTCCAAATCCGGTGTCAGAATGTGATGTCAAATCTTGTGTCAGAATCTGAGATCAAAATATGATGTCAACATCTGGTTTCAGATTCTGAATTCAAAGTCTCGTGTTAGAATCAGAGGTCCACATCTGTTATCAGAATCTGGCGTCAAATTCTGGTGCCAGAATCTGATGTCAAATTCTGGTGTCAGGATCATCACTTTCAAAATCTTGTGTTAGAATCCGATGTCAAAAGCTGGTGTCGGAATCTTAGCTCAAAATCTGGTGTCTGAATCTGAGGTCCAAATCTGGTTTCGGAATCTGAGGTCCAAATCTCGTGTTAGAATCCGAGGTCTACATCTTGTGTCAGAATCTGAAGTCAAAATCTTGTGTTACAATCCAAGGTCCAAATCTTGTGTCAGAATCTGGTGTTGAAATCTGAGGTCCAAATGTGGCATCAGGATCTGGTGTCAAATTTGGTGTCAAAATCTAAGGTCGAAATCTGATGTCAGCATATCAGGTGATAATCTGATGTCAACATCCGGTGTCAAATCTAGCCTCAGAATCTTGGATCAAAAGCTGGTTTGTCCTAGGTTTGTTCCTATTTTGAGGTCAAAATGTGGTGTCAGAATCTGGTTTCCAAATAATGGTGTTAGAATCCGGTGTCAAATTCAGGTGTCAGAAACTGATGTCAATATCTGATGTCAGCATATCAGGTGATAATCTGATGTCAACATCCGGTGTCAAATCTAGCCTCAGAATCTGGGATCAAAAACTGGGGTGTCCTAGTTTTCCTTGTGTAATTTTTTTTTCAATGGGTCGGCCATGACGGGGCAAATATGACTGAGAACCTCAACATTTTTCTGAAGAGTTCAAGTCGATGTAGCTTTTGAGAAGTTTTGGTGAGCGTAGAAGTGTGTGGAGAATATTTGGTTATTGATTAATGCATTTCTTCAAAAAAGATTTCAATGTTTGCAATAGGTGATTGGTTTATATTCTTGCGTTATTTTGTAGCAATGTTTTTATCAGTGTAGTACTTTTTACAAGATGTGTGTGTTGTTCCTTTTTGTCTGTGAAAGATCCCGGTGACAGTATTAGTTTTAAGATTTCTTTTCTCATGCGAAATGTATTATTTGCAGTATAAACAGGTATTTAAATGAAAGGTTTCATATAGCTTATTGTTTAAGTTTATTCCTCAGCTATAGAGTAAATGTGATACATTGTATTAAAATCATTTGGGTTTTTTTTGTGTGTGCATATTTATGGGGCCACTTGCAGGAAAGAAAATGTTTCAAAGATTTCTTTTCAGAAACTTCTTTGCAGAAACCTCTTTTCAGAAACCTACCTATTTTATTCCGCCTTCCTTCCCATCGTGAAATTGTTTGAAAGTTTTTTGTAAAAAAGTGTGTCGATTTTTCTGTGTAGTGTGTGTCTTACAGCTGTTTTATTTATTTATACTTATGTACCAACTAGAATATATTTATGATTTCGATTGTAGAAAAAAAATAGAGAAGAAAAATGGAGACTATGTTAAAAAAGTCAAAAATTGGGAGAAGTTGACATGAATGCAAAGTAATAGGATTGGTTTAAATATAAATACATGTATCCGTGCATTATATCTGCGTATGTATGTAAATTGAAGATGACAAAACACAGTATGTGTTTTTGTAAATATCTTGGGTGTTTATGCCTTTTTTAGTACTTATTTTACATCTTCTATAACTTGGCAATTTCAGTGCTTAAACTAACAACTCAACTTTTCACTTTAATCATGATTCCATCTTTGATATTGCAAAATATCAAATCACTCTTCCTTTTTTAAAATAACATGATGCCAAATGTAGCTGATTTTGTATATTTTGTAGAATTTTGTATCGGTTTCCACACATTTTTTATACTCCAATTGATTTTTTTATATATTTACCATTCCTGAACTATTTGTCACATTTTTTCTGCGGATTATACGTAATTGGTCATCCAGTTGAAATGAAGTATGAAAATTGTGCTGAAAAATGTGTTTTTTTAACAAAGCCTTTTATTACCTTTTCTTATCCAATTAGAACTAAATTAATTGTTTTTAAATGGAAAACAATCTTGCCATAATTTGTGTGAATAAACTAAGCATTTTTATAAACCTATTAACAAAACTTAGTTAAGTGCATGGCGCTTTTTTGTAGGCTCAGCTTATATTTTCTGTAATATTTTAGAACGAATGCTGTACTTAATTTTTGAAAGAAAATGTGACAATTTTTTTACCTACATTGTTTTTGTAATGAAACATTTTGATGATCATTTTTGTGAACACTGCAGTATTATTTTTTATACAGGTACCTAAGGTTATGCTGTGTATATTGGCATAATAAATTCATAAAAGTGAACCCCTAATCATTTTTTGGTTATTTTTTTTTTGGGAAAGGGGGGGGGGGGCAACAATATCATTTTTGATTCAATTTACCCCAATTTTTTGACACAATTTTCATTGGAATAGTATATCTACACATAAATCGAGTTGGAATGTGTTCTACGGCCCTTTAGGCATCTTCCCTGCAAGTTTCAAGAAAAATAATTTTTTGGCCAAAATTGAAAAAAATGCAAGGGGTTAGCCTTACAATTTTCATCAAATTTGGCCAAAAATTGACTTTTTGCCAAACAACTCAGAAATACCTCTAGATGTAAGAGGATTATCAATCAATATTCAAACACCCAAAATTTTGAAGATCTAGGAAATAAATCAGATTTGTTTGGGTTGGGACAAAAATATCATTTTTTATTAATTTTACCCTAATTTTTTGACACAATTTTCATTGGAATAGTATATCTACACATAAATCGAGTTGGAATGTAGTCTACTGCCCTTTAGGCATCTTTCCTGCAAGATTCAAAAAAATAATTTTTCGACCAAAATTGAAAAAAAATGCAAGGGGTTAGCCTTACATTTTTCATCAAATTTGGCCAAAAATTGACATTTTGCCAAACGACTCAGAAATTCTTCTAGAGATTAGAGGATCATCAATCAATAATCAAACAACCGAAATTTTGAAGATTTAAGAAAATCGGTGATTTTTTTTTTTTGGGCGGGGGACCCAAATATTTTATTTTTTATTAATTTTACCCCAAATGTTTGACACAATTTTTCATTGGGACAGCATATCTATACCCAAGTCAAGTTGGAATGTGTTCTACGGCCCTTTAGGCATTTTCCCTGCAAGTTTCAAGAAAAATAATTTTTCGGCCAAAATTGAAAAAAATGCAAGGGGTTAGGCTTACATTTTTCATCAAATTTGGCCAAAAATTGACTTTTTGCCTAACAACTCAGAAATTGCTCTAGATGTAAGAGGGGCATCAATCAATATTCAAACAACCGAAATTTTGAAGATTTTTTTTTGGGTTGGGACAAAAATATCATTTTTGATTCATTTTACCCCAATTTTTTGACACAATTTTCATTGGAATAGCATATCTACACATAAATCGAGTTGGGATGTGTTCTACGGCCCTTAAGGCATCTTCCTTGCAAGTTTCAAGAAAAATAAAACAACTCAGAAATACCTCTAGATGTAAGAAGAAAAATAATTTTTCAAGAAAAATAATTTTTCGGCCAAAATTGAAAAAAATGCAAGGGGTTAGCCTTACATTTTTCATCAAATTTGGCCAAAAATTGACTTTTTGCCAAACAACCCAGAAATTCCTCAAGAGATTAGAGGATCATCAATCAATAATCAAACACCCGAAATTTTGAAGATTTAGGAAAATCACTGATTTTTTGGGTGTGGGGGGGGGTTCACAAATAGCATTTTTGATTCATTTTACCCCAAATTTTTGACACAATTTTTCATTGGAATAGCATAATCACACACAAGTCGAGTTGGAATGTGTTCTACGGCCCTTTAGGCATCTTCCCTGCAACTTTCAAGAAAAATAATTTTTCAGCCCAAATTGAAAAAAAATGCAAGGGGTTAGCCTTACCTTTTTCATCAAATTTGGCCAAAAATTGACTTTTTGCCAAACAACTCAGAAATACCTCTAAATGTAAGAGGATCATCAATCGATATTCAAACACCCGAAATTTTGAAGATTGAGGAAAATCACTGATTTTTTTTTTTCGGGGGGGGGGGGGACCAAATATATCATTTTTGATTCATATTACCCCAATTTTTCGACACAAGTTTTCATTGGAATCGCATATCTATACACAAATCGAGTTGGAATGTGTTCTACGGCCCTTTGTGCATCTTCCCTGCAACTTTCAAGAAAAATAATTTTTCGGCCAAAATTGAAAAAAACGCAAGGGGTTAGCCTTACATTTGTCATCAAATTTGGCCAAAAATTGACTTTTTGCCAATTGACTCAAAAATTGCTCTAGATGTAAGAGGATCATCAATCAATATCCAAACACCCGAAATTTTGAAGAGTTAGGAAATAAATCATTGATTTTTGGGGGGTGGGGGATGGGTTCAAAAATGACATTTTTGATTCATTTTACCCCAAATTTTCGACACCATTTTTCATTGGAATAGCATATCTACACACAAGTCGAGTTGGAATGTGTTCTACGGCCCTTTATGCATCTTCCCTGCAAGTTTCAAGAAAAATAATTTTCGGCCAAAATTGAAAAAAATGCAAGGGGTTAGCCTTACATTTTTCATCAAATTTGGCCAAAAATTGACTTTTTGCCAAACAACTCAGAAATTCCTCTAGAGGCAAGAGGATCATCAATCGATGCTCAAATACCCGAAATTTTGAAGATTTAGGAAATAAATCATTGATTTTTGGGGTGGGGGGGGGGTCAAAAGTAATATTTTTGATTCATTTTACCCCAATTTTTCGACACAATTTTCATTGGAATAGTATATCTACACATAAATCGAGTTGGAACGTAGTCTACTGCCCTTTAGGCATCTTCCCTGCAAGTTTCAAGAAAAATAATTTTTCGGCCAAAATTGAAAAAAATGCAAGGGGTTAGCCTTACATTTTTTCATCAAATTTGGCCAAAAAATGACATTTTGCCAAACAACTCAGAAATTCCTCTAGACGTAAGAGGGGCATCAATCAACATTCAAACACCCGAAATTTTGAAGATTTTGAAAAAAACTGTGATTTTTTTTGGGGGGGGGGACAAAAATGACATTTTTGTTTCATTTTACTTCAATTTTTTGACGCAAATTCAAATCCTGAATCTGTGCTCAAAAACAAATAGCTCAAGATAAAAAAGAAGCTAAAACAAATAACATTTGAGTTCTCAGTTTGAGCTTTTAATACTCTAAAGCTTAATTAAAGGAACAACAACAGAGTTATCCTCATATTTTTTTTTACAAAAGCATCGTTACGCTGATTATCAGCTTCCCTTTAAGAGGAGTTTCACAATCGACAAATGTTAAAGCCTGATAACACAACTTAAAACTGATTGAAGCTAGTGACTCATTCGCGCCACACTGTGCAAAGCCTCGCGATGGAATATTGTTTCTGACAAATGAAAATGGACGATAGGAGGATTCACTATGAACAGTCACAAGAAAACAAAAATCCAAGCGCAATGATATGAATGACTGCTGCTTTTTATAAACTATAAATTTATAACATAGTTTTTGGGGCAGACAATAAGGGAAGAGTACTATTTAGGTAATTTTTTTCAACCAAAATAAACAACAAAAGCCAAAATAAAATAAAAAATTGTATGAATAAGGCCTTTCTCAATTCATATCAGTTACGAGTTCCGAACAAGTTGCGGGTAGAATCATTCACTTTGTCTGGAAGAAGCTCTGCATTTGTCCCGGACATGTTCCGGGGAAAATTTCATTAGTAACTGCTTGACTCACCAATACTGATAACTTCATTGCGGGAAGATTGCGGGGAAGTTGTTCAGACTCCTTCAACTTATACCCGATACAATGTCCGCAACTTGTCCGAACTTGGACTGGATATGAATTGAGAGGGGCGCTTAGCATTAATGGAAGATGGGCAATTATAAACAGATGCTGTGATTTTTTAATTTTTTTTTAAAGTTAGGAAATTAATCCACATCAACTGCTTTAGCCACTTTTTTTCAATGCCAACTTGGCTTGGTTGACAAACGTGAATATGTTACACTATACACATTTTGTTTTAATGACGAGTTATCATTATAAGGTACTGTACGGGACACAGAAACTTCCAACTCCAAATTAATAGATCTTAACACTGCGCAGAGTGACCTCCATACCGTGGGTACGCAATTGACCAAATTTTTTGAAAAAAAGCCAAAAAAATTGAGGGCCAATGACGGTCACCTTCCATCTAATCCTCATTCGACCCATGCCAAATCAGCTGGTTCAATGAACTTTGCAGCCAGGGCTTCACCCAAGCCGTGTCAACAAACTTTCGACCAGGCCTCCTGCCAAGTCTCATTGAAACATCAACAAAGACCTGTAACTTGACACAGCCATCTCCCTTCATAACTGCATACCACAGCCGCCAGTCAATTATCTTTTAAGTGCACTGTCTGGCAACTGCCTGGACACTGTCTGGCACGTGGCTTTTTGTTGTTTTGACATGAATAGGTCTTGCGTAGTGCGGGGAAAAAGGGCCACCGTTGGCGAGTTCTGATAAACATTTTTTTGTAAACGCTGCGCAGGGTTAAAAGGTGCCACTAAGGCAGTTTACGAAATCAAGACTTCATCCCCAGTCCGGCTTACATGTAACAGTCTAAAGCCTATGAAACATCATTATCTCAACCAAATGAGCATACTCATGACCTTTGACCTCAAATTAAAGAATTTGGTGTTCCTGAAAAAGACCAAGAAAAAACATTGAGCTACAGTCTGCCAACTCATGGAGGCCTAATAACTTTCCTGCAGGCGAAGCTGGAGACAAAGCCAGGATTTCAAAATAGGGTCATGAAAACTTCCTATTGTCTGCATTGGGCATAGAGCTATATTAAATTACTAGAGCCCTAACTCCTCATTCTTGCGCGCGGAGACGCTTTGAAGCCGCTCTGGGCGCAGACATTTTCAATTCATGTGCGTGTTTGTAGAACACAAATCAAAATAGATGTATTTAATTTAAAAAGTGTACTCTAAATGCAACGGGCAAGTAGAACACACGCAAACAACTTAAGCGTGTCATGACGGTTCAAGAAAACGTCACGGCGAAAAGCATCTGCAGCGGAGGAACGCGCACATGTTGCACTGTTTGCGTAGAGCAAAATGAAACACTCATTTGCTGATCGTGCGTTTCGGTTTTGGGCGTATCGGCTTTGATGACGCACCGGTATGGAATACAAATGCAGATATGCAAATAGCCGTACAAAATACGTACACAATTTCTACTTCTCCATAGGTTTGTGCACAAACATGGATGCGCCCAGCAGGCAACACTTTGTACACGAAGTTAGCGCTCTAGTAATTAATATATCTCTCTATGGTATTAGGTCACTGTAAAAATACAAGAGCGCCCTCATGCAGGATCCAGAGGTTTTGTTTACTCTTTGTGCAGCTTGGCCAGCACTCGCAGGTTCAGGATCTTGAAGTCGGAGGGTCCGTCCATTTTGACAATGCCGTCGTCGTTGTCGATGCTGATCAGTACGCCGGTCTGGTCCCGGTCATCACCCCCGTCAATCACCTTCACCTGAAAATTAAACAGGATCCAGACTCAATATTAAGTTATTCATTCAAATTTTTTTGAATAAATTGTGTCACTGTATTGAACCTGCACAGATTATTAAAATTCATTAAAAAAAGTTTCTTTCGAAAGAAAGTTACATTTTTTGTACAAGCCGCACGATGTGAAGAATAACTTCACATTGAATACTTCAAGTGCTTTCTGTCATAAAAATGTCAGTTTTGTTTTAGGTAGTTGAAGTGTGTGGTAATTTGTGTCTTTATAATAAAATATTTTCGATCTGGAGGGCAGCCCTCCAGACAGGGATGTGAGTGAGCACTGATAAAAATAGCTGAAAACATCTGAAAAAGGTGTAAAAAAGCTGAACTTTGGAAATCTCCTATACATTTGTACACAGCAAGTGAGGGAAAAAGCTGAAAAAAGCTGAATCCGAAACTAAAAAATAGCTGAAATCAGCTTTTAAGCTGAGATTTCACACCCCTGGGGCTACTGGGGATAAAATACTGACAGGGTTATCGGTATTTTGGTTGGAAAGCGATTGGGGAGTAGGGGCGGGGGTAGGGGTGGGGTGGGGGTGGGGTGGGAGTAGGTGGCGGGGGTAGGGGTGGGGTGGGATTAGGTGGCGGGGGTAGGGGTGGGGTGGGGGTAGGGGTGGAGGTGGGGGTAGGAGGTGAGGGTAGGGGTGCGGTGGGGATATGGTGGGGGTGGGGGTAGGGGTGGAGGTGGGGGTGGGGGTAGGGGTGGAGGTGGGGGTAGGAGGTGAGGGTAGGGGTGCGGTGGGGATATGGTGGGGGTGGGGGTAGGGGTGGAGGTGGGGGTAGTAGGTGAGGGTAGGGGTGCGGTGGGGATATGTTTGGGGTGGGGGTAGGGGTGGGGATAGGCGTTCGAGGTGGGGATGGGGTGGGCGTTGGGGTGGGCATAGGGGTGGGCGTAGGGGTTCGAGAGATGGTGGGGTGGTCGGGGTGAGGAAGGACAGGGAAGTAGGGGCAGAGGAAATGCTTGAGAGGGGTGAAGTAGTTGGTTTTCCTTCTTACTCTATCCATCTTGGCTGGGATGACTGGTTCAAGGTGATTGCTCTCAACGTTGACCACACGCTCTTCATCAGGCAAGTAGACAGAACACATCCTCCCCTGAAGATGCAAATAAAAAAATTAAAAAATACAACAGGAATTGTTCCTTAGCTTAATAAAGATACGACATAATTATAACAAAATCCATATGATTAAAATCTGCAGAATGGTGGCAATGCTTAGGCACATCACCAAAATATTTCACACTTTACACTGAATAAGCTCCTATCGTTAAGTCAATTTTACAATTAAGGATCTTTGATAAAAATTGATATAAAATGATAAAAATTGATAAAAAGTCTGAAAATTGGATGAAAGGTCTGAAAAATGCATTTCTTTCTATACTGACAGTGTCTCGCTCTCAGATTCAAAAACTCTGATTTCAGACAAAAAGTCTGAAAAAATCTCACACTCGAAAAAGGAAATAATAATAATAATAATAATGTGTTTATACAACGATCTCGAAGCGCTTTACAATTATTATTACATTCATCAGGCCATGGGACCACGCGGCAGCCGATATCAGCGCTCAATCGGTCCTCTACCCTCACAGGTACCCATTTATACTCCTGGGTGGAGAGAGGCAATTGTAGTTAAGTGTCTTGCCCAAGGGCACAAACAGTTCCTGGCAGGGTTTGAACCCACGCACCTTCGTACATGAGTCAAACACCGTAACCACTGGACCATGGCATTCTACAAATAAATATCTAATAAGAAAAAGTACTAGTCCAAATTTCTACACTCCTTCTCACAAAAGACTTTAAACAAGAAAGAAAAAACTGACCGTGATACTGCGAATGACTCCCGTCTTCTTGACCAGGGCCTTGTCTTCATGGGAGAGAATGGTCACCTCGATATCCGTGGTCTGCCACTCGTAGGCGCCCCCGTCCATACCCCCCAGCCCACCGCCTGGGGTCTGGGGGTTGAACCCCAGCGGGGAGGGGGCACCGGGGGTCATGGGGAAGCCTACGGGGCTCGGCGTGGCCTGGTAGCTGCCCGGGGAGGGGGTGGGTTGGTAGCTGGATGGGGACGGGGTGGGCTGGTAGCTGCCAGGGCTGGGGGCTTGCTGGAAGGAGCCTGAAGACGGGCTTGGAGTGGCTGCAAAGAGAAGCGAGAAATTATCAAGCAGTGTTCTCCAACATGTAAAACAAACCTGGCGCCCCACCATGTTTTCTGCGGCGCCCGCCATGTTTTAGAAGTCACCGCCAAGCTTTAAAATCCAGCCGCCAGGTTTAATTTTTTTGACTCTACAGTGTTCATTTACAACTAAAAGAATTTAGAAACAAGAATGACCACTTCTTTTTCGAATAAAATTGAATGACTTCCCGCTGAACCCTAGTCTCGGCCAAGTTTGCGATGCGCTTAAGCGGGCCCCGGACCCCACGCCGTAAGGGCTTCGCGCTCCGCGCTCGCAGGAGTCTCCGCACCCCAGCACCAACCTTTAATTTTCAAAGTTGGAGAACACTGATCAAGGAATTAAAGTTTTCTTTAAAATGGAAGGCACTCCTGCACAAATTTTAAAAAAAATTCCAGTAAAACTTTGCTTTGCTGTTCACTTTGATTATTTGAACAGCAACGAATGTTTTAGCAAGTTTTTGTGGTCAAAATCAGTTTAAATCAACAAAATTATGACAATGAATGTAGGGACAATTTCACCTGAATCGTATTTTGAGTTTTCATGAAGAGACAAATTCAAACACTATCACGTTGTTCTATGGGGCAAAAACAACACGGGTGTGGAATTTGTATTTTCACGCAGAGACAAATTGAGCGCGCGCGAAGGGCAAAACAACGCTCGTGTGGGATTTTAAGTTTTCACGAAGAGATGAATTTGCGCAAAGGGTATGGGCAATGGGTATTGGCAATTTGCCAATGCAACAGGCGAGTGGGATTTAGAGTTTTCACGAACAGACAAATCTCTATGGAGATAAATTACTCTGCAATTAATTGTTCTTTTATTCTGTAATTGTTACATCTTTCAAGTTCAAGATCTCAGCTTACTATCTGTATCAAAAATTAGTCGACATGTGCTCAAAAAGTAGGCGAAACCTTTTTTTCAAAAATTGACCAATTCAAAACCTGTTCAACACCCTTTGGCCCAATTCGCCCTTCGTAAAAACGCTGACGATATCTCAAAAAGGCTAAATAAAGCTTACGTTGGTAGTTGCCAGGCGATGGAGTGGGCTGGTATGGGGAGTAGGTGGACTCGCTGCCATACATCCCAGATGAGCTGCCTGGTGTGGCCGGGGTGTACGGGCCATTATTGGGGGGCGTCTCCGATCCGTAGCCTGGAGTGGCCGGGTTAGGGGTGGCGCCGTAGGGCTGGGGGGAGGGCGAGGCCTCATCATAGCTGAAGTCATAATCGCTGGACCTGAAAGTTTGCGCAGACGAGGGAAGATATAATTTTATAAAGATATAAATTGGCAATTTTTGTCTTTTCAAAGTAGAACAACGTAATTGACTTGTGCGGTTTTTTTTTCTGTCAGTATTGTTGACAATACGGTCAGAGTAACCCCAGAATCTTACAACAGACGGTTTTGGCATCTAAAATCAGTATCTCTCATGTCACAACTCTCTCTACATATGGCGCTGATTTTGCCCATACAAAACAGATGTGAATTAAAATTAACAAGGACAATCCACAAACCAAATTTGAAGTTCATATGTAAAGTATTTCTCAAGTTATCGCGCTGACAAAATTTCTATTGTTTCAGCCACTGTGACCTTGACCCTTGACCTTTCGGCCCCAAATGCAAAAGGCTTCTTAGGATTACCAAGGACAATCCACAAACCAAATTTGAAGTTCATATGTAAAGTATTTCTCAAGTTATCGCGCTGACAAGATTTGTCCGGACACACACACCCACACCCATACTTGTTTCACATGACTAGTGTGGACTTTCCATTGCTTTCGTGTAGTTAAGAAAAACCAGTGAAAAAAGTCATTTTTCTCAAACTGTGAAAACTCTTTCAACCCAATTTTTTTTCTATGATTCCCTTTAGTGTTTCTCTTCATTCTGCTACAGATAAACCTAACCCAAAAATGCCTCTAAACCTGTTTTCCAGAAATGGGGAAACACTGTGTGGACGTGGGGTAAGTCCACACAACGTCGGTGCTACCTACATTATGTGGACGTCTTTTGTTCGGAAGTCCACACTGCGTATGTAAGACAAACTCACACCCACCCACACACACACCCACCCACCCACCCACCCACCCACCCACGGAAGGACAAGGCGGAAACAGTATGCCCCTTCGGCTTCGCCGCGGGGCATAAAAATGCGAAATATGGTTTAAACAAAAATGACATAAAATGTGACCCGTGTTTTTTTGCTGTCCTTTTGTTCATCATTAAACCTCAACTAAAGCTACAAAATAATACTAGTAGTAAACTGTAGTATGCAGTACTTCAGCATATAAGTGGGCACAGCACTCATAGTATTTTGTAGTATTTGGGTACTGCATACATAATTTCTGTTGTACTATGTAGTATGTGGTACTTTACACCAAAGTAAGCTTACGGGGGGTTAAAAAATTTTCTTTGTGGTTTGTATTTTTCTTTTCATGTTCAAGCCAGTCGGGTTGGAGAGAGTTCCTTGACACTTTTTGTTCTGGATAATCTGCCAGCTTCCGGCTGGCTTCAATACTGTTCTTTGCTTCGTCCTCTAGTCTTTGTACTGTAATATAAAATAATAATAAAATATAAAATAATAATAAAATATTACCTGCTGGGCGTGTTGGTGATGTTAGGGTCCCACGCCCCGGACCTGCCGGGGGTCTGACTCCCATCATGCAGTGGGGTTTGTGAGCCGTAGTGAGGCGTTCGGCTTCCTGGATAACATCAACAAAAACAAAGTTTCATCAGTTTTAAAAAAAGTTCAGACAATTCTTCAACCAGGTATTCCATGGCTGCCGAGACGAAAACTTACACATCAACATTTAAATTTAAATTTGCATTTTAACCCGAACTCCTTAGCATTTTTTACTAGGAACTGGACCAAGTCCATCAAAATCTATTAAACACTGTGCTTCCAATACAAAACTGTACATGACATAATGGAATCCACCACTGACACACTGGTTGACATTCATGGACTTGCTACACATGGCTTTTATCACAATAGCAGTACAGGAAGCTAGGCAAAATCAATCGGATACCCCTAGCACTGCTTCAGGCCATTAGGCCCAAGTCCATCACACTCCATCAATATTTAATCACGCCAGGCCTTCTGGACCAAGTCCCCAAAATCCACCAAAATGGGGGGATGGATTTTAATGGAGTCGGGGTGGTTAGGGTTAAACTGATATTTTCAGATTGATTACTATTTGTAATCTTTGATATGTCTACAACAAATATTTGTATAGAAATAGAACAAAAATCGTGGAATTAAAGTGTTTTTGAGGAACAAAAATGGGCATCTTTCATTTTCACTACAAAACAGTCAAAACTTTAAAGGCCGCCTTTCTTATTAGAAGTTTACAAACAGCATCGTAAGGAGAATTTTATTCTCTTTCCTAATACCTGCAAACCCTCATTTCGACCTCTGCCCAGTTCTGTCTCATTTTGCAAGAATGCCGCACATTTTTTGCAAGATCTGGAATTATGAAAGAGATTTCTATCTAAAAGTAAAACAACAAATAAGGAACGGGGCATTGTGGGCCACTAAAAACAAAAATATGACACATACATTTTCTTCAAGGGTTCAGACAAAAATGGTACATACCATCATGGAGTGGCGTCTGTGAGCCGTAGACTGGCGTCTTGGATCCAGAACCATACATAGGAGTCTGGGAACCATACATGGGTGTCTGGCCGCGGGCTGTCGTCGCACCGGTCCTAATCTGTCCACTGCAACAAAAAAAAATAAACGGAATTTCATCAAAAAATCCGTAAAATAATTGCATATTTGAAAAATGTATTTATCTGCTACTTATTGTGGCCACATTTTTAGTTTTTATTTAAAAGCTCCCAAACTTAAAAAAAATACTTTAAAATTCGCATTTCCAATGAAACAAAATTTTTCAGGGGGTGCCACATCCTGAAAAAAAAATGGAAAAGAATATCTTCAAACTTACCCAACTTTGTTGAGTCTGTTTTTGTCGACGCTGATTGTTCGGAACATGGCGTGGAGCTCCACTCTGGCTGTGGAGTCTGTGGCGTCCTTCACGATACCGATATGACCTGCCCAAAAACAAAAATTCAAACATCTGTCAAAATTTTCTTTTATTTTTTTAAAGAAGCACGAAGAAATTCACAGGAACAAGGTTTGAGTGGAAATTTCCAAAAATGTGTCACTTGACTCATCTTTGGAAAAGACCTTCTTTTATTCTTTTATTCAAAACGACAGCATGCCAGAAGAAATAATTTCACTGAGAGTTTAAAGCCATTAGTATCCTTAAACCAAGTAAAACTCTTAACAATAATTTGTTCAGTTACTTTTTAGACAGCTGCAAATGATCTACTCTACCTTTAAAGAGCCAATTTGTGGTAAAGTGGCTTGCCCAAGGACACAACACATTACCTTTGTATGGTCCCTGTGATATTCGGACTGTCTGGCCAATCAGCTCCATGTCTCGCCCCATACGTCCTCTGCCTCGGCCCATTGGTGCATTGCCCCCACCTTGACATTGAGAAAAAAATTAGTGAAAATTGAAACACAACTCTTGCGCTGAAAGAAAACTTTTGAGAACCTTCTCAAGTTGGAATGTTCTATCTTCATTGATGCCACCCAAAAGTCATGTAAGGAACGGTGGACCTTGGATAGATCGAGTTTTGGTTTGAAAGAACTAGAAACAATTGATAGAATGATAAAAATCTGTTCTGGAATATGCATTGAAACATTTAATAATGTATCATCTTAATCAGCAGGACATTTGATAATCTATCATTTTAATCATCAGGACATTTGGTAATCTATCACTTTAAGCTGGACAAGTTCTTATCAGAACTAAATATCTACGGAGCGACAGTAGTCATTACCGCATGGTGTAACGGCAAACCAAAACGATACTGATACTCCACCATGCAAAGCCTAAAACCTTACATCATTTTAATCATTTTAAAGTTGAACACAGAAATTGACTGGAGCGGGGTTTGAACCTGTGACCTCCAGATTGCCGTTCCGGTGCTCTACCAACTGAGCTATCAAGCCCTATGTTGGCGGTTCCCCATTTGGTTAAGGTCTTTGTTCAGGGCGCCCTAGTCAGAAGCCACAATTTTAATTTCAACAGGATTATTTTTAAGGGGTTATGGTATGGAAGGAAAAAAAGGAGAAAGATTGGGCTTTTAAATCTTACCGCCGCTGCTAGGATGTGCGGGGCTGGATATTCTTGGAGACATCGGTGTGTATCCCATACCAATGCCTGAGTCCAGTTGCTGAATAAAAAATTCGAGCAAAACATCCTTACAGTTATTGTTTTAATCCTTACCTTCCCAAATCCTCTAACATCCTCTTTGCAAAATGGAGGGTTTTTCAGGGTTGAGGCTATATGGTAAAAAGGTGTGGCTGATTTTGGAGGATGCACTGTGTCAAGGTCTTAGGCCTGACTTAACGTTGTTTACGCTCAGCCGTGCATAAATTTAGGCCTACATTAAACTTGAAATCCTCCGCACTGCTCCAGGATGTCACTGGCTCTGCCTCAAACATATTGACAGTGATTGCTGGAGGATTTTGCAGGATTGAGGCAGTGGTCACCCCTCCAAGGACCACATTCAAGAAATACCGGAAGATTTTGCAGGATTGAGGGTGTATCATGGAGGCAGTTGGAAGATTTTGCAAGATTGAGTTAGCATTCAAGCAAAAATGCCAGAGTCTTAGGGTTAAGGAGTATCTCAGAAACAATTTTTTTTTTTGGGGGGGGGAGGGTTCTTGTAACTCACCCTGGAGCCTCCAGCCAGGACGATGTGTCTCGTCCGACAGACGAAGATCCCGCCGTTCTCCGTCATCAAGCGGGAGTGCAGGAACGCGAAGCTGCGGTAGATGTGCTTGACTTCACCCTGCCGACCCTGAAGGTGATAAAAGTTGGGAAGAATGAACGAGAGTGGTCTGAAGTTCAAAACCAAGTTTTGTTTCAATTATTTCAAGGTACAGGAGAAAGACATCTTTAAAAGTAATATACAGCATTTGCAAATATCAAAAAACAAAACTACCAACTTATTATGAAATACCTTACTTGACTGTAAGTGAATAATAGTCTCAAGCATCCTGTGAAATCAGGGCACCTGGTGTGCTGTCTGGTTCCCTGACCTGACAATTCCACAACGTCTATAAATTGCTCCGTTTCTGGGTCAAGGAACCAGACTACAGGACTAGCATTTTTTTCTTTGTTTTTCCCAGCATATATGACAAAACTTAACAGGCCAGTGTAACAATATAAGCTATAAAATACCAACCCCCAAATCCATCCGTTTCTGAAAATTACGGCAAACGCAAATGTAGTATATTAGGCCAAGTAAAAAAGCATGTTTAGCGTTCTGCCTTTTTGAAAAAAAGGAAGGAGGAGGCCCTTTTTTCCCCCTCCAAAATGGCTATCCGACCGGACTATTTTCAAGATGGCAGCCCGCTTTTTTTTTTATAAAATGGCCGCAATTGGACTCAGGAAATGACATACCAGCTTTATATGGGCTAGATGCAACAGACAAAAGAGGCCAAACTGATGTCACTGTTTAAAATTTATCATTTTTTTCCGATTTAGAAAAAAGTCCCCCCCCCAAAAAAAAAACAAAGACGGCCTCCAAAAAGGAAGCGATATTCATGCTAAAAAAAACGGAGACGGCCTCCAAAAAAGGAAGCGGGCAGGGACGCTAAACTTTTTTTTTTTTATTTGGCCTTTCCTTTAAACTTATCCATTTGCCTGTCGAGGGAAAAATAACAGTCTAGTTAAAAAAAAAAAAATCTTAGCTGTGGTGCTCAACAACTTAAAGTTAGTGAACCATTTTCGGAAATCTATGTGTACAAAACGTACCGAGTGTGGTCCGTCGATGACTTTGACGATATCCTTGACTTGTATGTTGTTCTGCTCAGCGTCCAGGGCGATGGCGTTGCGGGAATCTTTCTTCCTGGTGATGGCTGCCGCTTTCACGTGAACCAACTGCAAAAAAAATTGATGGGCAAATTAAAAGTCACTTCCAAAATAAGAGCACGGTTTGAACAAAACAAGATTGGGAGACAGACCGAAAATTCTGAATCTTACCTTGTTGTGCATGTTGAGTACTTGGAATGTCTCCTTCTCCAGCCGCACAATGACGCCCACTGTCTGGAGGCTGCAGAGATGCAAGTAACATACTATTACAATGACTTGTGTGGAGACTAGCCACCCAACCCAACAAATAATATGTTCTACGGCTACATGTATGCAAGGGCTCTCAAGTTTTCCTCCCTCTGCAAAAATCAAACACTTTCGATCTCTGGCTGTGCTCCGTGGTCAGACATGGGTCGTGGTGCCTGTACATGCTTTCAGCTCCGTTCTGTTTCAGCTCGACCACGCTGTAGCAGCGCCCTTCGCAATTCAGCTTCTCAGCTGCGAGTAAGGATGATTAGCCCCCCCCCCCCAAAATATTATTATTATTTTTATCATTACTTACTCCAGCTGTACCAGGTCTCCCAGTTGGAACTGGCCAAGGGAGTCCACGCCAGAACTCATCTCCTGACACAGCTGCATGTCCTTGGGCAAGACTTTCATCTTAAAGAAAACGACAAGTTGAAAAGGCAATATTAGGCTAGTGGTGAGAGAAAATCAGAGATTTCACAATACAGTTAGGCCAACCAAAAAAATAGTCGGTCTCTGGTCAGACCGAAGTTCCGGAATTGATGCGGCAATGCAGTTTTTTTTTTTTTGGGTGGTTTTTTTTTTTTTCAAGCTTGTATTGGACAGACAAGGTGGGTACTATTTTGCTTTTTTGTGTCCTCATTATACATTGGTGTCCTCCATAATTTGCCTTGGTGCCCTTTATCATTTGCCTTGGTGCAATTTCCCCATTCCTTGGTGCTCCTTGCTACAACAATTTGAGGAGGCGCGGCAATAGAGGGCGCTGTTGTAGCTTCCGTGTTATTTTGAAGAAAAAAAAAAGGTTGACGCGCATGATTAAAATCGACGCGCGCGCTGACCAGAGACTGGAAGTTGTGAGGTGCCACATGAAATGCCCTCCCAATGACTGGGTATAGTTTGCAGGATTCAGTGACCTCTGGGCCTTTACAAAAACACTCCAGAGCTGTTGCGTTGCAAAAATGGGAATCTTTGATAAGTCAAATGGGCAGGCTATATACCAAGAAGACCACGAGCAAGTGAATGCAGTTACAATTTGTACAATCAGAGACCATGGAGCAAATTGGGGGATGCTCCAATTGTTTTCTTTAGCTTGTGTCCCAAAAAAATTGGAAGCTGAATTATTTTTTTAAGGTTGGTGTCGAATATCCCGATTCAAAAATCGAAAGTGAAATTCAAACCGAATATAAAAAATCCGGGTGAGCTAATTTAAAAAATCGCGTGACAAATCATGCATTTATGGACATGTGCGCGTCTACGACACTGCTGCGCCAAAAAGTCTCTGCCATAAAATCGAGTAATTTGTAAACAGGGCTTGAGTCTGCAACAATATCAATCATGTGGGATCACGTTGTAGCTCTGCGCCCCTGTTTCGGACATTGCCTAGATACAACCAAGCTCAGTTGGTCCAGGACCGGTGTAGTACTCGGAGGGTCATGGTTCGAATCCTGCTGCAGTCAGTGTCCATGTTTATCAAAGTACTGATTACTTCAAAAGAAAACTGTCAGTACCTCATGCATGGTCAGATCGGAGAACAGCACGGCCATGTTCTCTTCTACCCGCACCACGAGGCCTGTGTCGCCCTCGTAGCGGCCCGCGATGACCTTGACGTGGTCGCCGATCTTGAAGTGTTTTCTGAGCTCGCTGGCCGGGAATTCCAAAATATCCTAGCATGAGGGAAATAAAGGGGAAAGAGCATAAATTTGATGGCAAATGACTCAAACTGTGTTGACTTATCCCTGAAAGTGAATGAACTCTTCCAACTACTCTTTGTTTTCATTTGTATCATGAGGCCATATCCATTTAAAAATAGGGGTTTCAGTAACCTTCAGATCGTCATGTGTGGACAGGACAGATACCGTATTTACCTGAAACTGTGATGACCCACCCCTATAGGTGAATGAACTCAACCTACTATTTTGATTATAATATGTCACAAGAGGTCAAATCCATTGCCAAAAAAGGGGTTTCTATTACCTTCAGATCTTCAGACTTGAAAGGACAGCTGTAGTAGGATCTACCCCTGTGGGTGAATGAACTCTCCCAACTTTTCTGTTTCAATTAGGGTCATGAGGTCCAATCCATTTCAAAGCAGGGGGTTTCAATAACCTTCAGATCTTCATGTGTGGAGAGGACAGATATGGTGTTCCCCTCGACAGTGACGACTCTCCCCCGAAGGTGAATCAACTCTTTCAACTTTCTATGGTTTTTATCTTTGTGAGGTCAATACCACTTTAAAACAGGGGTTTTCAATTACCTTCAGATCTTCATGTGTGGGCAAGACCGATATGGTGTTCCCCTCGACCGTGATGACTCTCCCCTGCAGGTGAATCAACTCTCCCTCGATGACCTCAACGTTGTCTCCGGGGGCGAAGCTGTGGGCCTGCTCCTGGCTGCTCTTGGTCTCAGCAACCACTGGAAGCATACAGTTAAGGGTCCTAGAATCTGACAACCATACATTGTATACATTGCATTACATATTTATTGTAATGCATATTCATACATTGTTTTACATATTGTATTACATATTTATACATTGTATTACATATTGTAATGCATATTCATACATTGTATTACATATTGTATTACATATTTATATATTGTATTACATATTTATACATTGTATTACATATTGCAATGCATATTCATACATTGTTTTACATATTTATACATTATATTACATATTGTATTACATAGTTATACATTGTATTACATGTTGTATTACATATTTATACATTGTATTACATATTGTATTACATATTTATACATCGTATTACATAGTTACACGTTGTATAATAAGTAATTAATTCCCAAACACTAACAAAATTTCTGCTTTATCTATTTCATGGGATTATTTTCTCAAATTGCGAATGTTTTTCAGAGGATACAGTGAACGTCGATGCCCTCCGGGCGATCCTCGAATCGTTCCAGCTCGGCCAGTGTGGGCTTGATACCCTCTGCAACCTGGTCAAGTCGAAAGAAGAAATCAAGGGTTTGAAAGACAGTTTGAAAATACAGGACAAGAGTTTGAAAATACAGGACAAGTTTCATGCAGGAATAAAATCATTGATTGCAAACAAGCTCTCTGAAGGGTGGATCATACTTGCTGAGAATGTTAATGCGAAGTGAATTTCATGTCAAGAAACAAACAGAGACAAATCTGTTGGAGTTGGAAAGTGTTAAGTTTCCCTGAATTTTCAGCATGGACTATTTGTCCAATAGTGCACCTCTGAGGTCCTAATAGTGGGGTGCTGTGGTCCAATGGTTACGGTGTTCAACTCATGTGCCGTGGTACATGGGTTCGAATCCTGACCGTGGGAACATGGTGCTTGTGCTCTGGAGCTAGAGTCCAAACTAGTTGGTTTGACTTCCTAACTAAAGATGCTAAAGCCAATCTTCTAACTTGCTTACTTGCCTAAATGCTATGAATAGGACTCAAAAAGTGGACTCACGATAGCACTCATGGCGAAGGTCTTGTAGAGGAATCCCTTGCGACTGTAGCGGTTGCCCTCGAAGATCAGAAAATCACCGTCCTTGGAAACGTCGCCACCGATTGCTCTGACAACAAAATAATTCATTCATTCGATAGCATGCAAATGACCAAATACAGACCAATCACAGACCAATCACTGACCAATCATAAACCAATCACAGACCAATCACAGATTGATCACAAGTCAATGAAAAGTGTATGACAATTCAATCACAGACCAATCACAGACCAATCACAGACTAATCACATTTCAATCACGAGTCTCAAAAGTTCCCTCACCTAATGCCTTCCTCGTCAAAGAGTTTCTGGGCGGGCCGTCGTTTCTTCTTGCGCTTGTCGGGGTTGGCGGTGCGCACGACGCCGCGCTGGCGCGTGAAGTCGATGCGGGGCAGCAGCTTGAGGGTGACCTGGTTCTGGGAGGTCTCAACGTAGTCCACCTGGGCCAGATCATCCTTGAAGACGCCCCGTCTGCAAGACAGCAAAAGGTCAAGAGTGTCAGGAAATTATGGAGAATTCAATGGGAATTATATATGTGAGGCGGTCTGGCAAAATGAGACAGAAATGGGCACAGACCGTATCGGAGGAAACTGCAAAAAAAACCAAAAGTCTCAAAGCGCTTTCCAATTATTACCCCATCAGGCCATGAGACCAGTTTCTGCAGCAGCTCGAGATCAGTGCATTCTGGTCTCTACCTTCACAGGTACCCATTCTCCTGGGTGGATAGAGGCAAATTGTAGTAAAGTGTCTTGCCCAAGAACACAAGCACCATGATGTTCCCTGTCAGGATTTCGAACATATGCGCCATGGTACATCAGTCGAAAACCGTAACCATTGGCCCTTAATACTGTGCCAAACCCAGGACCTTGGTTCAAGCAGCACCATCTTCTTTTTGGACGAAAGAAACTCTTTAACTCTTCTTTCTTTCACACTCCTCGTCGTCGTACTTACTTGAGGCGGACCCAGGACTTGGACTTGAGCGACACCACCTCCTTGACCACCTTGAGCACGTCGGTCATCTCCTTGATGGGCACCATGAGCTGGTTCCACTGTCCAATGCGCAGGTTGCCTACGCCCTGGATGGCGTGCTTGACGTGGGTCTGCTTGAAGGACTCCACGTAGATGTAGCCCTTCAGGCCCTCCACAGCAACCACCGACTTGATCTGCAGCGGCTGCAGGAGGAAGATATTTGGGATAAATTACAACAAAGTTTGCCCATAAAAGAATTTCAATTTAACAAACTCAAATGGAGCATCTACTTTTTTCTATAAGCATTTTTCGGCGAAGGTTTTGAGGCCAGTTTTGTCCCATTTTTGAGGACAGGCAGGTTTGTCCCATTTTTGAGGCCAGTTTTGTCCCATCTTGAGGCCAGTTTTGTCCCATTTTTGAGGCCAGTTTTGTCCCATCTTGAGGCCAGTTTTGTCCCATCTTGAGGCCAGTTTTGTCCCATTTTTGAGGCCAGGTTTGTCCCATTTTTGAGGCCAGGTTTGTCCCATATTTGAGGCCAAGTTCGTCCCATTTTGAGGCCAGTTTTGTCCCATTTTTGAAGCCAGTTTTGTCCTATTTTGAGGCCAGTTTTGTCCCATTTTTGAGGCCAGTTTTGTCCCATTTTTGATGCCAGTTTTGTCTTAACTTGAGGCCAATTTTGTCCCATTTTTGAGGCCAGTTTTGTCCCATTTTTGAGGCCAGTTTTGTCCCATTTTGAGGCCAGTTTTGTCCCATTTTGAGGCCAGTTTTGCCCTTTTTCAAAGCCAGTTTTGTCCCCTTTTTTTAGGCCAGTTTTCTCCCATTTTTGAGGCCAGTTTGGCCCTTTTTCAAAGCCACTTTTGTCCTATTTTGAAGCTGGTGTCTTATGTGCACTGTAATTTCTTACCTCATCTTGGTACTGGTATGCAATGAATTTCCTCATCATCTGAATGGCTGTGGCCTTCTCCTCCCCAATCTTACACTTCACCATCCACAAATTGGGATCCCTTTGATAAACACACAGACAAAATAATTAAGTTGTGTCAGCATAAATGTACAAAATTAAAACATTGGAGTATTCATAGATTTAGACGCTCCCTTGCCAAGGCAATGGCAAGATTACAACTCAGTCAAAACGGCTGAACAGAGGCAGCAGGATTATTCCTCGATAAAAATCACCTCAACTTCGGTCAAGTTGAGTGCTTGGAGAACTCAGGCGAATTCTACATTGGCAGCCAGGCCAACACTCCATGAGCCATTGTGCGGAATTATGGACCTCTTCATTTACTAAACCTTACCCAAAAAATACAGCATTGAGATGCCGGCACTTAGTTGAAATTTTCAGCTCAAAAAATGATACAGAATGGCATGTTGCCAAGAAATAATAAAATCCATAGGCGTAGCGGGTGAGGGGGGGGGGGGCAACCATCGAATGTTGGATTTTTACGGAGGCCAAGTGTCCGGAGAAAAAAAAGGGTCTACATTTCGGCACGGATGTGCAAGTGACCTTTTCAAGAAATGTTTAACCCCCCCTCCAACAAAAATGACCTTGCTACGCCACTGAAATCAGAACAAAAAGGAAATGGGAAAAACAAATTTCAGCCTCAATGACAACAGAAAAAAAGAAAAGGTGGTTGAAAAATGAATAACTGAATATAACAAATTAGCAAAAAATATTGACTCCATAGCAAATTTGACTCACTTAACGCCAGGCAGAAGGCCCTGCTGTGTTATCTGGTCTGGCAGCTCATCTTCGTCGGCATAGCGACTCCGTGACGACGTCTCGGCGTACTTTCTCTTGTAGTACTCCTCAATTTCATCTTCTTTCTGATGGCTGTTGACAACAGAAAAAACATCACTTACTGAAATTTCTTTATTATTTTTTAGATGAATTATTTGACATTTTACTCCTCAAGCAAGCTTTAAAAAAGTACAAAATTGTTACTGATGTTTTTTCCTTTAATTTTGAGTTGTTCCTCTTTGAGCCAAATTATCATAACTTGCAGGATATCTGGACATCTAGCGACACATAATTAAAATTTTTGTCCCGGTTATTAACCAGGTAAGTATACCATAGTGAATATCAAGTGAAAAAAACAGCCCCGATTTCGATGTCCTCAAAACAACTTATCCTCATACTTTGCTATCACTGCCGTGTGACTCACTTATACTGAGGAAGTCCAGTATTTGAGCCATAATTGTGGGGTTAGCCATAAACTGCCTTGTTTGGCTTGACCCTTAGGCAGATTTCCTGGCCTGACCTGAGTAGCTGTTGTAGTCTCCTGGCTCCGTGTCTCTCGGACTCGTCTTGCTCCACTCTGCTCGTCTTATCGATGAGATCCTTGGCTCCTTCCTCCCAGTCGCCCTCCTCATCATCCTCGTAATCATTATCCACATCTGAAAACCAAAAAAAAAGAGATTGTCGTCACATCTCCATTTTTTATCACTCAACTTTAAAACCCTAACCCTCTAGGATATGTTTGCTAGAACCCAGACAGGGCTCTGGAGTGCTCTGAAACGTGCAAAACTACATCAGGCCCACTTTACTCACACTTTAGCCAGCAAATTTCTCCAAAAATTCCACTGGAGCAAAGAAAATGTCCCCAGTATTTCACCAACCAAGTTTGCAGACTGAATTCAATTTTTAAAGGAGACTTTTCTTCAATATTTTGCACATGAGAGGGAAGTCAAGTGATTTCAAAATGGGGCTAAATACTAGACTGGTACATGTCCAACCATGGTCCAACTATCTGAAAAGACTGTTCTCTTCATTCAGTGTCAATAGTCTGGTGGCTTGACAATGGAGAAATGTGTAGTAAATTGATACTAGTGCCCACTTCATGCCACATGTTTCTTAAGTTCTTTTGGCATGGTTGATTGATGCAGTACTGAAGCTGTGTTGGACTGGTTGTTTTAGGTGCCAGTCTAGTTTCTTGCTTCGCATGTTTTCAATACCTTAAGTTTTGGGACTCTCATACACAGTATTTAGAGTCCCAAATTTTCGGACTAGCTAGAACCTTGCCAAACGTAGTAACAAGCAACACTTGACTAAGTGACAAGCCTGCCAAATGTAGCAAGATCCATCGGGGGTAAAGTCTCAAGGCCACACTGCCTCAGAGTCCGTGGTCAGCGTACGCAGCAGGATACAACTGTGGCACTGTTCAATGGGACTTAGCTCTCATTGTTTCAGAGCTGGCCATTCATGCACTGGTGTTGGTAGCTGAATGCATCAAAGTGCTGGGGCCAATTTCACGAAACTGCTAAGCACGAAAATTTGCTTAGCACAAAAAAAGGTTACCAGCCAAAACTCCATGTGATGTATATTGCTTGTGATTAGTATTCAGCTGTTGTTTGCTTAGCATGAAAATAACATGGAGTTTTGGCTGATAACCTGCTTTTATAAGCCAGACTTTTTTTGTGCTAAGCAAATTTTTGTGCTTAGCGGCGCCGTGAAATTGGGCCGCCGGATGCACTGTGTTGCTACAGTAAGCAGGGATTTTTCGCAGAGCCACGAAACTGGGGCCAAGGTCTCCGGTCTAAGACTTACCAGCCTCGTCCAGGATGAACTCCCTGAAGCGAGCCTTCTTGCGATTGGCAATGGCCGCCTCCTCCTCCGAGTCATACTCCTCATCGTCGTCGTCTTGCATGGTCAGGTCCACTCCTTCCTCCTCATCTTCTTCCTCGTTTCCTCCTACGCCGCTTCCGGCCTCGCTGCCCTCATCGCTGGGGGCCTCCTCGGCTTCGCTGGCCACTGGGCTCTCCTCCTGAGTCAAACAAACACGTACACTAAAGCTTTGAGAGCTTTGGACTTGTTTGGTAAAACTAACAGAGACCATTGTCAACATTACGGAGACTGTTGTCGCATTAAAGGGAATGTACATCATTGGCTTTTGCTGTAATTTTCAGAAATGAACTATTTGAGGGGTTAGTATAATTGATCAAATATTGTTTCACTGACATTTTTTGTGTTCGAAAAGGTTGGAAAAACCAAGACAAACAAAAATGTTTATGTAGTCTGGTTCCCTGACTCCACAAAAGATAAAATGGATCAATTTATTGATGATGGAAAATTGTAAGGCAAGGGAACCAGTCTAGCAGACCTGCACCCGTTCATGAACATGTAACCAATAGCAAACACAATTTGGACTGAAAAAATGGTAAATTTGGAGCAGTAGTTGAAAAATAGTTAGGTTTTTCCAACGGTGGTCGGCCGATCACCGTTGGAAATGTAAACAAAAATACCATTTTCTTGAAAATGACTTCACACCAGGTGCCATAATTTTACAAGATGCTTGAGACTGTCATTTACCGGCATCCTAGTAAGGTATTTCGTAAAAACTTGGTAGTTTTATTTTTCGATGTTTGCAAATGTTGTATATTCCCTTTAACCAAAGTAATCTTAACCCTCCTCAATCCTCCTCAATCCTCCAGGCGATTTTGGAGGTTTTTGGTGGATCGAGGCTGAATGGCCAAGATGTGTCAGTTGATTTTTGAGGATGCATTGTGTCGCGTTTGTTGGCTATACCCTGCATTTTTTGTGATCAGTCACGCGTTATGCTTGCATTGCTTCTGAATGTCATCAGCACTGCCTCAACCCATTAACAGTGATTGTTGGAGGATTTTGAAGGATTTAGGCAATGGTCAACCCTCCACTGAACAAATTCAAGAACTAACCGATGATTTTGCAGGATTGAGACTGAATCCAATTTCTACATGGAGGAAATCGGAGGATTTTGCAGGATTGAGGATGGTTCCTAGCCAAAAGGGCCTAGGGGGTTAGGGTGAAGTCCAGTGCGGACAGCGGGTAAACTTCCCAACTCGTCAAGTGTCGACTGTCAATCATAGGCCCTAAGTTTTACGCCCCGCAGGGGTAAGTTTTGCAGGGCCAACTGGGTCGCAGAACAATTACATTGTTACTTTTATTGCGCAAAACGGGGTAGGCCTACACTATGAATATGAAATTTAAAAAAATTGCAAAAAAGCTCACCTCGGCATCACTTTTGGCTTGGAAACTGCCGTCGCTCTCGGCATCCGAAAATGCACTGGCTTCACTGTCCGACATGGCGTTGTGTCTGGTACTTTGAGGCCTTCAGTAAATAACCTAAACAATTTGCAAATGTGTCAAAAATTCATAAGGCTTAGATATGGTAAAGAAGGGTTCAATGTGTTCCTGTCATATCAGAAAATCATGCCATAATGGAATTTCTCTGTTGGCCTAGCGTGTACGTAAATTCAAGATTTATGAACGGGAATGTTTAGCGTGCAGTCATGTTTAGCTTGAGTTTAATGAAATTTTACTAACTGTGAAATTTGAGGTAAAAATTTTGCTGTAGCAAGGCACTAGACTAGAGGCGAAAAATCAAAGTGCGCCACGTTAGGGGCGTTCCACGTTAGGGTACATCAACAACAGTACTCACCTAGGCTAGGCGGTTACTGCCAATTTTAAATTGAGAGCCGCAGGCGCAGATTTAAAATTCATGATGACTTGACAATGTCAAAGTCAATGCCAATGTCACCGACATTAAAATTTATTCGATGATCATGATGATTTGATCATAAGAGAACTGCGAAATTCACAAAAGTTAAAGTTCAGCAAATAGGGGGGGGGGGGGGCTATTTGTCGTTAATGATGTTTTCATCATGGAGAAATCAATGAAGTCGATTGTCCTGCAAATGCAACATGCACATGTTTGTGTAGGCTTAGCCCCATAAATGTGGCCTATTTACTGGACTGCCTCCGTAAACATAGGCCACACATCCACATGTACAAAAACGTGTCGACTTTGCCAAATTTTGATTTTCACATTTAGCCTGTTGACATGTGCAAATTCAAGCAATGCAACTTGCAAGCGGTGCAGTATGACGTTGTCGTTGTTTAAAAAAGGAATGGGTTTGGCTGTAGTTAAAAGCGTAACTAAGCTAAACTGAAGTGGTTAGTGCGAGGAGAAAATAATCAACCTTTTTCACACAGAGGGGTTTATAATTTAAGCGGGGCTTGAGCTTACCAAACGTTGTGTTGCACTTTGAAGAAAGATTTTATTTTTCGTGACAATAAAGCGCCATCAACGGCAGGATCGGGAGAGTTCATCTCCGCTCTTTATGCAAATGAGCCATCGAATTCTCTAGAGTGGCCCAAAGGGGACAATTTCCCGATGCTTTCAAAAATCTGTAACTCGCAATTTCAAACAAACAACAGAAACATTTTCGACGTTTCCTATCTTGATTGCGTTATTATGTCGAAATAATACAATGAACGAATTCAAACAAAGAGCTCTAGAAAATTTCATGGTCAAAGCATTCCCTCGATTAGGTATGGCTGCGGCCACCGTAGCCCAGTGACGCGGCCTTGGTCATGCGCAGTGAGAAAATTTCAGTTCGCCATGTCGTCGAAATTTGCGAGATGTAGATTGTCGGCCCCAACAAAAAATGCCGATATCTGCTTAAAACGGTGAGAAGAGCGCAGGACACACGAACAAGAATAACCGTTACGGTATAGAGAACACAAGAGAAGCAACTTTGCCAGGAGAACTGGTCGGTAAACGACCGAAAATGGCTCTCGAAAGTCTGTTTGAAACGCCCCCATCTCTCGTGAACAGTAACAATGAAACACTTACGATGAGTGCGAAGTCTGTGTTTGAAAGGTCAAGTAAAATGTTCCTAGTTTCAATGTCTTCCCAGTTACCTTAATATTTGCCTTCACTGTCCTAATTAGTTGTGGTAATACGGGGTAATGCATCGTTTCTTTTGGGGATTTTCTCTAAAAGACAGGTAAGAAAAATGGCTGGCGGAAAATATCGGGCGCGGCGGTAGATTTGCATATTCATTTTTGAATTTGCATAATTGTGTTTCCCGTGTCATGTGACTGTTATCCCGTGGACTGTTCCATTCTTGCATGGGTAAATGTTTCTTTGCTGCTTTGCTTTTAGTATTACTACAACAGTACTTTTATAGTTCATTCTTTTTGCAAAGTAATTCATGAATTAAGTCTTGTGAGTTTCAAAGCATATGTTGTTGGTGATCGAACAGTTTACAATAAGGATTTTAAACAATTTTGATTGTTTTTTTTTAGGGTGGGGGGGGGGGGTGTTGACTCTTACCAATTTTGAGGGCCAAAGTTGAATTTTAGAAATACAAAGCATGAGCAAATATGTTGGATCTTGAAAAATTGTGATTTCTCAATATTGACAGAAAAAAGTACAATATACTAGGGCTTTGTTTATTCAAACTTGCATTTGTTTATGAAATGAGTGAAAAAATTATACAAACGCAGTATTCCATTTCCAGTAATGTGCATGAGTTGACCACTTAAAAAATACATTTCAGACGAAACAATTTAGAAAGACTTTAAACTATTTTTTCAGTTCTAAGATTTCACATGGTATTGATGACGTATTCTGAGATGTTTCATCTGAATTTTTCATTTCTACATTGGCTGATGACTTGATTTTCAATGACCAATTTAGTTTATTGATGGGTGATGATTTTAGGCCTACTGTAAATATAGAGAGTAATCAAAACATTAACACCACACAACAACTTAACAATTGCAAATTACAATTTCTCAGTCCCCACTTTTCTTGCTCTGGGTTTTACAAATATGAATCCTAAGCTGAATTCTTTTTCTTTCCATTTTCCAAATATGAAATAATTTTTGTCACTGATATTTGTCACTGATATTTGTCACTGAATTTTTCAAGAGATAACATCTCTTCACATCTCTTTACATTTTTTTGGTCACAACTATTTATACTTGACATATGTTTTTCTTCATTCCTCCAAAGAGTCTAGTCTTACTCAAAATAACAATTCAACTAAATATCAGATAATTTTTTTGTATGCATCAATTATTTATTTTTTCCATGGTCAACACACTATCGATATTCATTTGGATTAATATTTTCTACTGCACCATTATTTCTTTGAATATTTTCTTTTGATGGGCACCGTATGGTGAAGTTCCATTTGGGTCACTCTGATACCAATCAAGCGTATCAAAATGAATGTAGAGTTGACTGGTGCAAGTCTACTGCCATCAGCTTTGTGGCTCATGAATATGCATCATGCTATTACCCATTCATTGCTTAATACTTTTTTACATCCGCCATTGCATGCTCAATAGCAGTGTACATGTACATGTACATGTTACATGTTGGTGCATTGCACAATGTACATGTACAGTTGTATTTTTATAATACATGTATATATGTACAATATCAATGGAGGTAAAATTGCTTTATCCAAGTTCACAAATTTCATATCACAAATTTCATATCACAAATTTCATATCACAATGTACAATTCTTGAATACACATGCTCTCAAATACAACATTCTATTGGAATAGGGCCCTATATCAAGGTAGAAATCCGGGTTTACAGAGGGGACAATGAGAAGCAGTCATTTTACCATGATCTATTGATATTAAAATTACAATAAATAAACCTTGAGGCTGCCATATTGCCAGCAGCTCTAGGCTATTGTGTATTCTGATGACATCATCTTTATTCTGTACACAAAGTTCACATAACAGGCAATTTGTAAATTTCTAAATTTAGGTGAAGCTTAAAGGGAATATACAACATTTGCAAACATACACACACAAAAATACCAAATTATTATGGAATTTCTTACTTGACTGCAAGTGAATAATAGTGAAAATCATGGCCACTGGTATGCTGAAATTTTTAAGAAAAATGGATTTTTTTTTATCAATTTCCAACGATGGTCGGGCGACCATCATTGGAAAGAAAACTAACTTTTTTCAAATACTGCCCCAAATTTACAAAATTTAGTTAGTCCACAGTTTGTTTGCAATCGATTACACATATTGTCAATGGGTGCAAGCCAGCTAGTCTGGTTCCCTGATCTGATGATTGCTCTGTTTCATCTGAAGTAGGGTCAGGGAACCAGACTTTAAGAACAGCATTTTTTTCTTGGTTTTTCCAGCATCCATGAACACAAAACTTTAAACAGGTCAGTGTAACAGTATTTGCTAGAAAACACTGTAATCCTCAAATCCATCCATTTCTGAAAATTAAAGTAGAAGTATAAAATATTGTATATTACTTTTGACTAAAAAAAAAAAAATCATATCATTCTTTATTGTGCAGATTGACTGTACACCAGAAATATAGTTTCCGAAAGAATATCTTTTTGTGCATGTAAGGGAGCTCGACTAGTGAAAGAAAAGACCAACAAATGTATGTTTGGATGGAATTGTAGTTCACTGAATTGAAGCTATCGGGGATCACTTGAAAAAAAAAAACTTCATTTACAGAATTACAAGTTTTAAGTGTAAAATCATATTGAAATTGGAGGATTCAGGACTGTTAGGGATAGAGTTTTAAAAATTTTAAAACCAAATTTATCATTTGCAGAGTTATATCTTGTTAAAAACAGGCCAATTTTTTTAAACTAATGTGATGAAAACTTGCTAGGTTCTTCATGTCAAGAAGTGAACATTGCAGTTCAACTGGAAATTGGTGACTGGTTTAACATGGTTCAAAGCCACTTACATGTATGTATACCAGTTCAAAAACCAGTTAAACCAGTTCAAAACCAGTCACCTACGCACTGTTGAACTGGCACCAGTTGAAACCAGTTGGTACCAGTTGAAACCAGTTGGAACCAGTTGAACCTGTTGAACCGGTTTCAACTGGAATTTTGTCCTAAATAATTTCAAAATGAATGCATTTTTTTTCATGTCCAAATCAAGACTTAGGTGCCGAAATGTTCCATTCCCCCACAACCCTAATAAAAGAAAAAAGGTTTGAGGAGAAAAAAACTCAAAAGAAAGGAAAAAACTTGCCAGGGAATTTGAACATACAAACAAGAGAGAGGAATAACAAAAAAAAAGGAAGAACAAAAAAAGAGGAGCAAAACAAAAGGAAAGGAGAAAAAAAGAAAACAAAGACAGAGACTTGACAAACAAGAAATCAATTTTTCCAAAAAATCCATTGAAAAAGATTGTCCCTGCTTATTTCCACAAAAATATTAAGTCATTGATAAGAAATAACAATTTCCCTACAAACATTAGTTTCCTTTTTCCTAATTGCCAATAAAAGTGGCCATATGGGAGCCATTTATTTGTTATAATTTCAAATGCCAATTCAATTTAAAGATTTAGAGACTACACACACATAGCTTAATTTCTGCACTATACCGATGCACAGTCATTTTGTTTATTGACTGTTAAAGATAACACAAATAGAAAGACAACACAAATTGTTATTGTCGCACATTAAATTTGACAGCATTTATAGTATAAGTAATATCTTTCAATGGAAAAGTCCTTGTTTTTTAACACTTGGAAGTGGAGTCAAGTTCCATTTTGTCTGAACTTTGGTAAAATATATTTCTCGTACAAAATTTCTGTAATAAAATGAGTTTATTTCTGAAATGCGATATACGCCATTTTGTTCCCTTTTAGAATTCTACTCTCTTCTGGCTGCTCAAAAGCAATTTCGACAGCTGCTATAAGAATACTATGTACAATTATAGCGAAAAATAAAGTACAGAAACAGCTGCTATGCTGTGTTTATTCTTTAAAGTTTCATAACCGTGCAAAATTTTCACCTTTTTTTTTAAATGGATATGTCACGTTTTGGAAACGAACTCCTCCAATTTACCTCTCCTGAACTATGGTCAAGATTCTTGGCTACTTTGTTCTTTACAAGGTTTCGAGCTAGATTTCTGGGGCATTCTGGGGCCAATTTCACGGCCCACAAAATGTGCTTAGCACAAAAAAAGTCTGGCTTATAAAAGCAGGTTACCAGCCAAAACTCCACGTGATGTATATTGCTTGTGATTTGTATTCAGCTGTTGTTTGCTTAGCATGAAAATCTCATGGAGTTTTGGCTGGTAACCTGCTTTTATAAGCCAGACTTTTTTTTGTGCTAAGCAAGTTTTTGTGCTTAGCAGCACCGTGAAATTGGCCCATGTCACAAGATTTAAAAGTTTTGGATGGCAACAGCCATCAGATAATTTGAGTGGGTTGGATTGAAAATTTTGAGGTATAACAAATTTAAATTTTCTTCCGAGGATGAGGTGTTTTTATGGTGGGAAATGAGGATAAATCGTTTTTAAGCGTTGCGGTTAAAATATGTAACATAAGTGTAAATGGGATTCTTTACAGTGAAACTGATAGGTCTACAAAATATAAACACGGGCTTTGTGAAAGTCATTAACAAATGAAGGGAAGTAATACCTGAGAAACTACGGCCAAGTTCAGTTTCTGGTATCTATCAGAATCAAAATATGTTGAGCTAGTAATGATATTTTAATGTAAACACCAACACTGACAACATTCATATAACGTGAGGACTGAAAAAAATTTAATAGTGATGAACTTTGGTCTTATTTTCAGATTTATTGATATTTCTAATCTTTGATATGTCTACTACACCTATTTTTAAGAAAGAGTATAAAAATTGTGGCATAAACATGTTTTTAAGGAACAACAATTGGCATCTTTGCTTTTGACGAATACAAAACTCGAAAACTTTACGGGCCTTTTTCTTAGTACACTTTCTTGACATGTCGAGAAATGCAAATTTTAAACGGCCATAGCTTGTCAGCGGAATGTCCGATTGACGTGCAACAAACAGTATTGTAAGGAGAAGTTTATTCTCTTTTCTAATACTTGCAAACCCTCATTTTGACATCTGCTAAGTTCTGTCCCATTTTGCCAAAACGCCTCACAAGTATAGGAAATATAGAGACTTGAAATGACATGTACGTTATTTGATGCAATGGTATGTTTTTCGATACTGTGGGTCTTGTGTTAAAGCATGAAACCCTAGCAAATTGGAAAACCTGTTTTTAAATTCAACGCAGAGTTTAGCACCCAATTTAAATGTTGGCCTGAAACACTGAGTGAATATCTTGTAAAAAGTTAAGTACTGTTGTTTTTTTAATGGGATGTTCCATTTAAATTGTACAGGGATGATGACGATGATGGTGATGATGACGCCGAGGAGGGTGAGATTCTTGAAGATGGAGAGCTGCCAGAATCAGACGGCGAGGGAGGAGAAGAAGAGATTGCCCCAGACAACCAGGACACCCAGCCTGTAGAGGGCGATATTTCCTCCTCCGCAGCGCACCCGGGATCAGAGGGCGACGTTGACGGGGCCGGAGACCAGGACTACCAGCCCCGGGGTGGAAGTAAGCAGTTCCGAGGTCAGGGGTCGTATGAGGACAAAGAGGAGGAGCAGGATGCGGAGCCAGCGGAGCATCATCACCGGTCCTCGTCGCATCGGAAGAAGCGCAAGAAGAAACATCGGCGGGAGAGAGCCAAGAGGAGGCGGCGGCACCGATCGGGAAGCGGAGACGATGTAAGAATTCACTTGAAGTAGTTTCCTCAAAGAGGCCCTGCATCTTATGCCACATCTGAGTAGAATTGTTATCAAGTCATCCACAAGTCAATCACAAGTCAGTCAAGTATCAGTGGATGAACAATGAGAGAGGAATGCCTTTGTCACTCACAGCTTCATGCGAGAGGCTCGTCGCTTGACTTGAGATGGATGATTTTTGTTTAAACTCGTGATTGATAAGTGATGGATTTGTGATTGACTCGTGATTGACCTGTGATATTGGTCTGTGATAGAATTGTGATTGACTTGCGATTGACTTGCGATTGGTCTGTGATTGGTCTGTGATTGGTCTGTGATCGATCTGTGTTTGATCTGTGATTGGGCAGTGATTGAATTGTCATTGACTTGTGATTGATCTGTGATTGGTCTGTGATAGATCTGTGATTGATCTGTGATTGGGCGGTGATTGAATTGTCAGTTACTTGTCATTGACTTGTGATTGATATGTGATCGATCTGTGATTGATCTGTGATTGGTCTGTGATTAAATGTCATATACTTGTCATTGACTTGTGAAAGACTTGTGAATGACTTATGATTGATCTGTGATTGGTATGTGATTGAATTATCATAAAGTTGTCCTTGACTTACAACTAACTTGTAATTTACTTGTGTTGCCTCAATTAATTCATTTGTGCATGTGAGGGCCTGTCTCTATTCCTCAGTGATAACCTTAAGTAGGCACAGAGCCGCTGTTGTCATTGAATTTAAACAAAAAATGCCTTCAGTGAAAGCCCCCAGTACAAGGATGTAGCTTAACCATTAAAAATCAGTAACCAATCTCACTTTTTTAACAAATCTTATTTTGTAGGATAACACCCCACCCGGCAGCCCCAATCCACAAGAAGACTTCCTAGATCGAAGCTACCCGCCACGACGGAGCCTCTCGCGGTACGACTCGCCGCCGGACTACGACTCGCCCCCCGAGGAAGAGTTTGGCGTTTCCAAGAGATCCAGAGACCGCTCCCAGGGCTACTTTGTCCCGTCTGACTATTGGGAAGAGGACGAAGAGGAGGATGGCGGCGGTGGTGGTGGTGGTGGTGTTGGCGGAAGGAGAAACAAGAACATGTCTAGGAACTATGAAGATGAAGAGGATGATGATGACCGGTGAGTCTAATTTTGGACCTAGGAAGTTTGTTCTAGTTTTTAACCCCTCCTTCTTCTAGGCTGTCCTTCATTAACCGTAGCAATCCCCATCCAATCAAACTCTAAATGCCAGGGTTTGTTGGAATCTGTTGGAGTGAGTACTGCACAGGTAAACTGATTATGCTTTACATGGAGATAGGTATGCCACCATAATCAAGTCCAACAGTTTGGGTATACAGGAATTTGCAGGGATGAGGAAGGTTCCGAGTAAATCACTCAAGGGGGTTAGAGTTAACAATGTTGTGGCATAAATGTTTGTGTTTTCGACACTCCAAAATCAGAACCTAGTTAGTTGGAGATGCCGTTTTGTAAAACATTTTAACCCGTTAAAGAAACCCAAGCCAAACATTCAAATCTGGGAAGTTGCTGTTCAGATTGTTCATAAAGGTCTGCATGAAAATACTACCGCATCGGTGCGGCAATACAGCATAATACAATTATGTGCAGTGAGCTCTTTAGCTTCACGGTGTAAATTGCACTTTGGCAACGTCATAGCGTAAAACTTTTTTGTTTTTTCATACAAGCCTGGTTTTCATTTTGAAAATTCCCCATAAATGACATTCAAAAGCTTTCTTTTTCAGTGTCTGAGAATATACTAAGTAATATGTAAAGTTAAATACGGGTACTTGATTCCATAATCTGGAACCGGTTCCTGACATCAGCGGTCGGGTACTCAGGTACCCGGTTCCAGTGCACAGCCCCAGCTTTACCAGGTGTACTTTGTCAATTTCCCCTTCAAGCTACGATTCGGACGAGGGTGACGACCAGTACCCGGACATGCTCAGCCAATCGGAAAACTCCGGCCTCGGGAGGGGCACCGGCCGCTTCAAAATGCAGACCCAGAGGGGCAGAGGCAAAGGGCGTGGCAGAGGGCGCGGTGCTTCCGGGCGGGGCGGGGGCCACCATGCCCCCAAAGCCAGTCTGGAGGATGCAGAGGACATCATGGAGGACTTATCCGGTGCCCCCGCTAGGCTCAGCAGGGGAGGTGGCAGAGGGCGTGGCGCAAGGGGGAAGGGCGGGAAAGGGAGGGGCAAAGGCACGCCCGACCAGGGACAGCTGTCTAAACTCCGCCCCATCTGCAAGTTCTACCTGGAAGGGAAATGCTCTAAGGTGAGACAATGTTAATAATGTGAACAATTCTTATCGCAGGTTTTTGAGTGCATTGTTTTAAGTTATGGACCTCGTGCGTGTATAGTGAGCACATGCTGGATTTGTACATATTTGCAGGACTCCTGTGTGTTTACAAGGGTAAACCGGTTTATATTTCTTTGTTTTTGTAGGGCACGGCCTGTACCTTTAGTCATGCCATTCTTCCCAACAAGAAGATGGAACAGTGCAAGTTCTACATCCAGGGACAGTGTCAGAAAGGAGACGATTGCCTCTACATACATGGTATGCTGCTCCTTGTCTCCACTCTCTAGGTCTCTCTCAAATGATGTCATTTCCTACAGACCAGCGACATGCATGGGCATTTTGAGCATCAAAATGCATAACACACATCGGCTGCATCGTATTTCGAACACATATCGAGGAACAAGCGCGTGTATTTGGAACATTTTCAACACTGCGCAGTGCGTGCTTGATTGCGTAAAATACGCTATTGCAGTTCTCCTACAGAGATGGCCACAGTGGCGTATCCAGAGAGGGGGGGGGGGGGGAGGCAAGGGGCATTACAAATTGAAAAGGACTGTACAAAGTCTTGTGTGGTCTTGAGTTTCCTCGTTGGTTTTTTTTCCAATTCCCAGTTGAGTAAGATTTGAGGCTTTGCATGGTGGAGATATTTTATACCTCTGGTTCTTTTCAGAACCATTCTCTTAGTTGAGAAATTATACGCACATGGTGTTTCCGCAAACCTTTCATTATTTAATTCCCAGTTGCATGCCTGCATATGACTATAAAATTGACTGCATATTAAAAAATTGAATGAAATTAAAACAATGCGCAGCGAAAGCTAAGCTGATATACAGTCTTGGTTTCTCCAACATGTGCAAAGAGTAATAGGGAAAGGGCGTGGCAAAATGGCGAGGAGCATTTGGGGAGGGTGGGGGCCCCTTGCCCCTCCCCTCCCCCCCAAAAAAGAAAGAAAGCCAGAGGCCTGGAGGATGCAGAGGACATTATGGAGAAGTGTTATAGGATGGCACATGAATTGTTAAAACTTATGTACAGGGCGTGCTATATAGTGTCTTAGAAGGTTGAAGCAAGACTCAGGCATGCAACTTTCTCTTGGAACCGCTGATTTCCTCGTTTGTAACTTCTCATGAATGCCATTAAATATTGAAAAACACTGTACAAAGTCTTGTGTGGTTTGGAGTTTCCTTGTTAGTGCTAAATTCCCAGTTGCAGGCCTGAAGACTGTATCGTGACAGAGGAAGTTAAATTGGTATCAGTTTCCAAGAGGGCCGAAAAAAGGCACATAAATTGTAAATATTGACGCCATTGTTTCCTACAATGCTGGATAAACCATTTTATTTGTTTTTAATGCATTGGCTCTTCCCTTGTTTCATTTGCTCTACAGGTGAAATGCCCTGCAAATATTACCACACGGGTGCCGTGTGCTACCAGGGAGAGAATTGCAAGTTTTCTCACAAAGCACTGAACGAAAACACCAGACTCCTCCTTGGAAAGGTAAACAGGCCTTGTCCTGATAAACATTCAGGGAAATCTGTTGCTTATGTACTTTATGGAGGGATATGGGGAGTGCATTAGACCCTCTTTAAGGCCGGTTCGTACTTAATAAGAATGCAAAGCGAATTTGACATCGTATGACATTTGCTGCGAAATTCGCCAGATAAATGTGTTCAACTTTTTGTAAATTCGCAGAGCAAAAAGTGCCGTGACGTCACAAATTTGCCTTCGTGTTGGCTTTCACGCCGAGGATGAACCGGCCTTGAGAGTTGAAGTCAAGTCAGTCTCAAGTCACATGTCAAGTCACATGTCAAAGCACATGTCAAAGCACATGTTAGTCACAAGTCAAAACACATGTCAAAGCACATGCCATTCACAAGTCAAATCACACTTCAAAGCACATGTATGTCAGTCACATGTCAAATCACTTGTAACAGCACATGTCAGTCACATGTCAAATCACACGTAACAGCACATGTCAGTCACATGTCAAATCACTTGTCACAGCACATGTCAGTCAAAAGTCAAACCACATGTCAGTCAAAAGTCAAATCACATGTACATGTCAGTCAAAAGTCAAATCACATGTACATGTCAGTCACAGGTCAACTCACATCAAAGCACTTGTCGGTCACAAGTCAACTCGCATGCACATGTCAGTCAAAATCACATGTAAAAGCACATGTCAGTCATATGTCACAGCACATGTCAAGTCGCAAGGCAAATCACATGTCACATCACATGTCACATCACTGTTACGGTCACAAGCGAGAGGTAATGAAGAATCAGAAATGGATGTCAGTTTCATTGTTCAATGGAATATAGCTTGTCCCTTGATGTGAGACTTGATGACTTAGTGATTGATTTAATGATTGGATTCTCCAGAATGTATTGGAATAACCGTTTATTGCTGTGTTCTTGAGAAGGTTGAAGGTTTGGGAATTGTTTTGATGGCTTTTATTGGCTTTTTCCTTGACCAGGTCTTGAAAGGTGGGCTTCAGGACGTGATGGGTCCGGAGATCCAACGTCAGCCGCATCAGACGAGGGGCTTGCTCCCGATTCCCACAGGACCTCCCCAACTGCCGAACCCGGTGAACCCATCGGGCAAGAAGATCCCGTCGATCTTTGAAATCAAGACCCAGCTGGTTGGAGAAGACGGCCGAAGAATCGCTGAACTTGAAGAAAAGAGAGTCATGGATCAATCGCAAATGTAAGTCCAGTTTTATTTGTTCCCCCTTTTTCCATCCTCAAATTCAAAAAGATATATGCTTGAAACTTTAGCGATTTGATTTAAGTATTTGAAGTTAACATGAAATTCACTCAGAGTAAATTTTCATTACCATTGATTCAATTTATCAATTTGATTCATGTTAACAGGTTAAATTTTTACGGGTCGGCCCCATCTCGGTTCGATGATGCTCAGGAAATGCCATTTGAGCAAGACCCTCAAAGTCAATCCAAGCCTGGCTCATTCAGCCGGGAAACTGAGCGACAAGGCTTCCAGGGTTCGCCTGACCAAACTGAGGAGCCAAACTTCCAGGACTCTGAAGCAGACTCCCGAAAATTCCCCCACCAGCAACCCCCACAAAGAGACAATTCTGTCCTGAGACGACCCCCTCAAGACTCCGAGAGGCAGCAGAAGCCATCAGTTCTGCACCAACAAGGACATGAGAGACTCGAAGAAAAGCTACCTGACCAAGTTCAACCAGATTACTCTGAGCAACAGCAACAGCAGCAGCGGCAGCGAGCTCAACTGCCGCAGCAGTTCAAGAGGTTGAACCAGAATCCTCAAGTATCCCCACAACATCCGCAACAATCGCCGCAGCATTCACAAGGCTCACCTAAACGTCTCCAGTTGCACACGTACCAGCAGAGATCAGCTGAACCCTCTCTCCATCCTCTGAGGCCAGTCGCTGACCATTCGGATGAATATGACCATGGCGATATTGACATGCGGATACAAAGGACCAAGCACAATTCCGAGACGGAAGGACTGATCATTGATGATCCTGTAATATCGACCGAGAGCAGCGAGAGCCAAGAAGGAGGAGGATTGCAGGATATCGACGAAAGATTCCCCAAGAAAGAGGAAAACCTTGAAGAGGGTACGTTTTACTTCGAATGGACAAAGTTGGTCAGGCATTCGTACAAAAATGATTGAAAAAAGCCAGTTTGGATCGACTGTTCTGACAACTATCCCAAAATGATGAGCATCTCTTTCCATCAAGAGTGATTCTTTGGAAGGTAGTTGATCTGTGCGTTGGTCCAAACTTGTTACGTACTGGATATTCAGTATCGGCATAAACATCCATGCACATAATTATTTGTGTTAGTCTCAAAAGCTTGTAAAGCACCATCACAATATTGTTTTGTCTCTCCTGTTATGCTGCTTCCACATGTTTCCTAGCTTGGATAATGACTCGGTTTCTTAATGCCTTTTTACAAATGAACAGGCCCTTGAATCCCCCCAAAAAATGGAAATAGGTAATGTCAAGATTTTTTTCTTTTGCCCATTTTAGGAGAGGATTCGAGTGTATTTCCCGCAAATATCACAGCAGAACCAGTAACAGAAGAAAAGAAGCCGAATATTGCAAGCGTGACCCAGAACATGCCTGCCAAGCAGAGGGCGCTGTTCATGCGAATACAGCAGAAACAGGCAGAGTCTTCCGAGGAAGGCGAGGAGGAAGACCGAAAGAAAGATGATGTTAAGAAGGGGGAGGACAGCAGCACGGACAAAGACGCCTGTGAGTTTCACAATACAGTCTTTTTATTTTCTTTCTTTTTTTGGCTAAAAATCCTACATATTTATAGTAGCCGACGTTAGGGTTTTTTTATGCTTGAACAAAAAAATTTGTACATGAAACAGTATAGACAGAGCTGCTGTGAAAACGATGCCATTAACCCTATTAACCATCAATTTTAATTATGCAGAATCTTGTTGGATTAAGCAAGGTTTGGTTACAATTATTCAAACATCAGGACATTAGTCCACATCGGGGCTAACGTGACTATTGGCATTGAGGGGTGTTAGAATTTATATTCTGGGTTTTTAGATGAATAAATAGTTTGCTTTTTGTGTTTTCCATGACAGCTCGTGATGATGATAACTGGTACTCCAGTGATGATGAAGAGGGAGGTGGAGATTCATCCACTTCCCTCGCCAGTGCGATCAAGAATGTCGGGAAGAAAAGCGACTCTCAATCCACGACAGACATTCCAGAGAAGTCCCAGGCTTCAGCGTCTACCCCGTCATCGCAACCACTTCCAGGCCAGCTTCTGCCAAACGCCCTTGCCAGCTTGTTCTCCGCGAAGGCGCCCACGGTCGGGCAGCCTTCTGACCCCAGTGTGCTCGCCCAGCAGAATGCTCTCAGCAGCATCCTGGGCTTGGTTGGCAAAAGTGCCCCACCCACCCAGCCCACCCAGCCCAAGCTTCCGAATCTTCTCATCACCGTGAAGCAAGCTCCAGAACAACCCGTGTTTCCAAATGCAGGCGGCGACAGCTTAGCACTGTCCAGAAAAGTGGCCGAGTTTGTCTTGCTGGAGGTCACCCACAATGACAAACTCAAGGATCCACGAGCGGACAGAGAGAAGAAAGACAAGTCTGATCTGAGGCTTCGGAAGCTCCTTTGGAAAGATAACGAGTACACGATAAATGATACAGAGCGCCGGCCGACACTGGCACCAATTGAGCTTCTGACACCCACTGAACTAAAATCACATCCAGATTTTTCTGGCACTCAGACTACTGCAGCTGTTACACCTCCTGTGCAAGTCCAAGCTGATCCCAGATCTGTCAGACCCGCAGACCCAAGAATTCAGAGAACTCGGGACCCAAGAACTCAAAGCAGTGAAAATAATCAAGGGACTAGTAATGAACCCGCTGTTCAACAACCCAGAGATCCAAGATTGGCCAACCGTGATCCTAGACTTAATGCAGGTGCAGCAGCAAACCAAAATCAAGAACAAGAGAATGTTGAAAAGCCAAGACAAGGGGGGCTTCTTCCGACCCCCAAGGTTGGGATGCAGCCTCCTGGCATGATGGGTTTCCCTCCAGGAGGTCCGTTTGGTCCGCAGGGTCCGCCTCCCCCAGGAATGCCTCCTCCAAATCCGAATTTCCCACCTTTTCCCAATGGGAGGTTTCCCGTGCGATTCCCTCCCGGTGGCGGCCCACCAGGCAACATGAATCAAGGACCGAGGTTCCCACCACGTGGACCTCCCGGCCATCCCATGAGGAACCCGAGACCCAGATTCCCGCCTCCACAGGGTATGCCCTTCAGAGGACCAAGGTTTGGTGATGGCCCAAACCGGATGCCAATGCCAATGCCAAACAGGCCTCCGGGGCCAAACAGGGGCCCGCCACTAAATATGGGACCTCCACAGTTTGGGGGTCCTGGACCAAATATTGGACCCCATATGAGAGGACCTCTGATGAGGGGACCACCACCAATGAGAGGACCGCCACCGAGAGGCCAAGGTCCAATGAGAGGTCCAGCCCCTATCAGGGGGCAGGGACCTTCAAGTAATCCTCCAAATGAAGAATCATCTACACATGGACCTCAATTTAACAAGAACACCCCATTCACCCAACAGCAGGACTCAGATTCCGGGAATGCAGGTGGAGGTGATGCCTCATCATCTCAGGCACCCACACAGTTGGGAAGTTCACCCAGACAAGAGACTTTACCTAAAACTGAACCAGCTGAAGCAAAACAAGCATCTACGAGAACATCTGACCCGAGATTAGCAAGGCAATTGAGCCTGCCCAAAGTCAGCGATCACAAAATTCAAACAGAAGGGAGCCCTCTGATTCGTCAGAACTCGGCACCAGCCACTTCTCCCCGTCCTGAAGATAAAGAGAGTAAGCATTTTCCGAGAGACGATTCAACCCCAACTAGTCCACCAGCTCCAACGAAACAAGCCAGCAACCCCAAGGAGCCCCCTCTGATTTTGCGGATCAAATTACGGGGGGAGAACGACAAACCAGAAATCACCAGTTCGGTGTCCGACTCGGGCTCAGACTCTGATTTACCCGCAAGGCGATCCAGAAGGACCAAGGGTAGCGGAAGCGATTCTGACCACGTCGGGGGGTTGCCGGAATCTCGCAAGAGGCCTGCCGATCGGAAAGGTGGCCTCTCTGGATTTTCCATTCCAAAAATTCCCAAGAAGTCAGCAGACAAGTCGGAAGCCGACTCCTCATCCGAGGATGGTAGCAAGTCCACAGCCTCAGGTGGTTCAATGGAACATCGGCAGGTCCCATCAGCACACCATCGCCTGCCGCAAGTCACTAGTTCATTTAATCAAAGCGCAGCCCGTCCTGCTCCAAATCCCAGCCAGGGCCCTCCAGTCGTTAGGACAAGCAAAAGTGAGAGTGCCCCAGCAGGAAATGCGACCAAAGTAGAGCCGGAATCGACGGACCCTTCCAAGCAGGGGAGTCTCCCTCTCGATGACATCTCCCTCAAGGACATGTTTAACATCAAAGATCCCACGGCCTCACCTTTTTGCTAAAACGTCAAATTTTTATTTTTAGAGTACAAGTTCTTGTCTTATGTTATCGCTTTGTCATACGTCACGTGTTATTTTTTTTAACAAGTGTGATCTTAGAAATGGCAAAATAGTGGCCAATTCATTACTGGAAAAAAAGATATTTCTCAACTGTTATCACAAGGAAAATTTAAAGTTTCAACACAAATGTAAACGATTTCAACATTCGTGCAAGCGGTTTTCATTGAAAATTTAACCTAGCCCCATTGAATAAAGGGGTTCATAGTCGAAGCAATACATGCTGCCGTCGTTGAGGATTCTTTTTTCGTTTAGTTGAATTCATTAAAATGAAAATACTTCAGAAATGGCTGCACTGCAAAGGGTCTATTAAAAAAAAATCCAAAAATCTAGGGTTTAGGGTTTTCAAAATTGGGATTCAGCCTTTTTTTTAATCCGTGCATGTACAAATTTCAATGTCACATTTAAGAAAGATGTATTTTACTTTGCAAGTTTTAACGATCTGCTCCTAAAAGGAGGTAAAAGAAGTTGAAGCATCGCCACTTTCTGCTCGCGAAGGCATTCTATATTGTCTCAAGATATCAATACTCGTCCATGTGTTTTACGTCTGTGAATTGAAAGTGTATGTACTTAATGATAATAAAAGAGTATTATTGTAATTATGTGAGAAGCTGAGTTAACTGAGAATTTTAATTTATACTTTTTTTGGGGAGGGGCGCTCAATGACTTGTCATGAATACGACTCGCACAACGGGAGGGCACTGTTCTGAGTTTGTTTAAAGGGAATATACATCATTTGCTTTTACTGTAATTTTCAGAAATGGATGGAATTGGGGGGTTGGAAATATATAGCATATATAGTTACACTGACTTTTTTGAGGTTTTGGGTTCGAAAATGCTATAAAAACCAAGGAAAACAATCATTTTCCTAGTAGTCTGGTTCCCTGACTCCATATAAGAAGAAACAGAGCAGTTTACATACATTGGGGAATTGTAAGGTCAGGGAACAAGTCTAGCTGGCTCGTACTCGTTCATAGGTTTGTAATCGATTGCAAACGAGTGCGATGGTCAATTGGGGCCAGTATTTGAAAAAAAGCCAGTTTTTTCCAACGCTGATCGGCCGATCAGCGTTGGAAATTGATACAAAAATACCACTTTTCTTGAAAATGACAGTATACCAGGTGCCATGATTTTACAGGATGCTTTACACTGTCATTCACTCACAGTCCAGCAAGGTATTTCAAAATGATTTGGTAGTTTTATTTTTTGATGTTTGCAAATGTTGTATTTTCCCTTTAACAGAGGTGTAGGGAGAGTTGCGAAATGCCGGTCCCAAACTTTGAGCATAAATAAAAAGAACAAAACAATTCACTCTGTGGTAACATCCCCTGCTCAAAGTATAGTTTGATCGTAGAAGAAAAAAAGCGTGATTGGAAAAACATCTTTAATTTTTTTTTTTTTTTAAACATATCAAAACTTGTGTGCGGACTACTCTTTTTAAGTTCACGCATCAACTTTTGGGAAACGTGGTCCACTTTTTGTGTGCATGATGATTACATTGTGGTATTATTACATTGGACTCTCGTTAGTACAAACTCTGTTAATACAAATTCTGGTTATAACAAACATAAAGTCTTGGTCCGAACTGTGCATTTATGTGCACAATGAATGGGACTGGTGTTCCTCTTAATACAAAATTCTGATATAACAAACAATTTGGCTAGGTCCGAACGAGTTTGTTATAACGAGAGTCGACTGTATTATTACAGTGGACTCTCGTTAGTACAAACTCTGTTAATACAAATTCTGGTTATAACAAACAAAAGTCTTGGTCCGAACTGTGCATTTATGTGCACAATGAATGGGACTAGTGTTCCTCTTAATACAAAATTCTGATATTACAAACAATTTGGCTAGGTCCGAACGAGTTTGTAATAGCGAGACCAAGGGCGGATCCAGAACACAATTTTTTTGGGGGGGGGGGCCAAAAAAATTGTTGGTCCCCCCAAAAAGTGGGTCAAAAAAATTACGGCGTGGGGTTCGGGGCCTGCTTAAGGGCCCCGAATTTTTTTTGGATTCTAGATGCTCTGTGGTGCGATCTGAGGCAATTTCTGACCACTTTAACCAATGTTTTTTTGAGGAAAAGATGGTGGTGTACTCATTGCCTGCCTTTATTGCGATGTCACATACAAAAAAAAAATTGGTTTCGGTTGTTTTTTTTTGGGGGGGGGGGAGCATGGCCCCCTTTGGCCCCCCTGGATCCGCCCTTGAGCGAGACTCGACTGTATTATCTTCCATGCTATCATCTATGGGCAGAGTACGTCGATTATGATGTAATGACACAAGCTTATTGATTATGACTTTTGAACTCTGTGGCGTGCGACCCTTGCCCACACTGCGCGGATGAACTTTTAAATCACTAATGATGGTTAATGATATGCAATGTTCATTGAACTTTAACATGCAGTCATCATAAAAAGTAACACTGAGGCCAAAAAATTGTTCTGCTTCCGGTTTCCCTACCTGCCCTATTCTGACAGCCCCTACCCTATATTTTTATGGGGGGAAATGACACCAAAAAAACACCTACTTTCAGCTTTTCTGAATTTTCATATTTTATAGCTGGCGGACGAAAAGTGGACATCTGCTTTTCTCTTGCTCGAGTAGCCTACGGCAGAAAATCAGATGGAACGTTTTCGAATTCCCCCCGATATTCTGCTTTTCGGCTGCTACCTGGAAAAAAAGCAGATTTTGAAGCGTCCGAAAAGTGGCCATCTGCTTTTCTCATTTCAGAAAAGCCGATCGAAAATTTAAAAAAAATTAATTGTGTATTCTACTTTTCTCCCCCCCCCCCTTAAAAAAATCGACACCCCACTGGAAATGTGTTATATAGTTATACCATGCATGGTCAACGTGTTTAATAGAAATTGGGCACCGGCGCCCCCTCCCCCACCCCCACCCTCACCCCCACCCCCACCCTCACCCCCACCCTCTTTTTTCATTGTGAGAATCCTGGATACGCATCTGCACCTCCTGGGGTAGCCTACGATGCAAACAATGTCATTTATTAAATACATGTAGCTGGGATAATTTACTCAGGACAAGCGCTTCAGCATGGGGTAAAGATCGAAGAAGGAATTAACTAGCTTATCGAGGCCTCGATCGGGTGTTTTTATTCCTCCATGATCGGACCATCATCGGACGGGGTACGTAATTATTACGTCATACCTGCAAATGCTAGTCTCGGTGCGCAATAGTAGTGGGCCCACCGGTACGGTCCGCGGCGCCGCGTAGCTCAGTGCAAACTTCAAGGTCTAGTCTGCACAAGTCTAGGCCGCATAAAAAAAATTAGTAGACAAAAATCTTGTTACTCAGTTGCGACTGTGAACTTTGTTTTTTGCACAAGTCTGCATATTTTTTTCACGCATATAACTTGGTGCGTGGCCCGAACTTAATTTTCTGCTACAGGCCTATTTTTGGCTGCCTCTAATTGCAAAAACGTTAAACGTCACGTTAACTGCCAACAAGGAAAATTAAAACATTCGTTGATTTTAGGGCCAATTAGACGATCAATTTTTATAATAACTGAGAATCTAAGGAATCAGTAAAATTAATTCACACAGCCGTCAGCTTTCTATACGAGCTACACACCACTGCGATAGATGGAATTTATCTACAAAATGCTGCCTCAGTGCCTTATGAATTATGACAGACGAAAAAATGGTTTAAACTTTCAGAATTTGCGATGTATGAAAAAATGTATGATTTCAATCTTCCGTTGGTTGAGTAACAACTTTTTATTTTCGCTTGACCTCAAAATATACACATTAGCACGCGCACGTGGTGGACTGATGCTCTGAAAAAATCGTACGATGATAACGTGATGCTGTGCTGACACAATGTAATAAGTTGTGTGCGCGTGTGTTCTGTTCAGTCAACCGCGTCCTTGTGATATTTATTTATGCATGAAGATCTTGTATTCACGTAAACTTTGTCTGTACGACGTCTGGCTCTGTTCTGAAGATATCCGTGGTGTCGGTGAATTTTTTGCGCGGTTAAAAGGTGAGTTTTGTTGGCATATGGTTTTTCAAATTGAAGATCTAGGGCCTTAATGTACATACTAATGGATCATTATGCATTCGCGAGGAGTAGGATTACCAATTTTATCGAAGATGGGCACATCAATCAGAGAATTGCAATCTCAGTAGACAGTAGGGCTACTGTTGTATATACGATAAAGCCATGACGAGGCCGGCTTACACACAAGATAAAGTAGCACTTGGATATAAGGCCGCACATGCCCGCACGGCCCGTAAAAGGCTGATTAATTAAGGCACACCATGGGCATTGTCAATTTCTCATCAAAATTTTAAGATGTATGTATAGGCCTACGTGGGTTTGGTGAAATAGCCAGCACGAGACGCACTAGTGCGCCGGTACACCGCACCTTTCATGGTCCCTTTTTATATTGCATGCATGTATCCACGTGCGTGTCACCCATGGAGGAAATTCTACCTCCATGGATTAATTAAGGCCGGCCATTGATGACGGCTGACGGGGCCCCTCAAAATTGCAGCCAATTTTTATTCGCCTATCTTTATTCTATCCGAATGGCGAACTTGTTTTTTTTTGTATACTGAACCTGCGAATTTTTATATTCAAATTTTGTCCAATTCTACTGACACGCCCTTACCCACTCATCAAGGAATTATTGGTGGCGCTGTATTATTAATACATCCAATTGCACTGGCAGTTTTGGCTAGGGGCTGTTTGCGTGTCGTCTGATTATCATAAACGCTGACCAAACTGTGGCCCAAATTTTAAACTACGTAGGCCCTATAATAATAATACCGGTGTAGCATGAATTTAGGTTTTATGAAATACGGACTCATTGGTGGTATTGCGCATGCTCATGCATAAATAATGAGGAGAGGGACCGGTCACGTGAGAGGGTTTAACCAATAAAAGGGAAAAAGAGTCCGAATTTCATACGAGTCCGATTTTCATATGACACCAGACTCCGTATATAGCGCACGCGCTGGAAATTATAGACAGGTAAATGAGACCCATTATGTAGCGCCTAGTTATAAGGGTTTACAAGGTGCTGCGGCGCATATTGCAGCCACTGCCAGAAACACCGGGGCAAACCCCTTCTCTTAGCGATAAGTGTTACTGGGTTCTTTAACGTGCATTTTAATACACAACACACGGGACCTATACGTCCCATCCGAAGGACGAAGCAATAATGGTAAAGTGCCTTGCTCAAGAGCACAAGCACCATATGTTCCCACGATCAGGATTCGAACCCGTGTACCACGGCACACGAGTCAAACACCGTAACCATTGGACCACAACACCCCCACGCATTGTTAAACTCGTTTAACATTAAAACTCTAGCGTGAGAGTGAAAAATCTTAATACTAATTTACGAGGAAAAAAATACACCCTGTGAATTAAGAGCGCGTGTACATAAATATGTCAAAATATTAATCTTTGTTCGGTTCAGAAGAGAAATTTGAGATAATGTTGCTCTTGAACCAGTGTGTACACTATCTGTCCTTTACTGCATGGCCATGGATGTAATACGAAGGACGCGCAACTATACGTTTCCTGCACTATAGTCTTATTTCCAGGAGTCCATCGTACCGGGACTAAAACGGTGCATTTTGTCATTTTTGTCAACAGGCAGGACCAATAGCTTATAGTACAACTGGCAGAATAACAGAATTCTTACATCTACAATGAGCGGTGGACAGTTGAACTACAACGGCATCCAGCCGGCAGACAGGTTCACGTTCGAGGAGAACTTCGACGTGGATTCCTGGGTAGCCTGGGTCAAAGACCACCGAGCCCTAAGCCTCTACGTCGCGGCAGTCTACGTCCTTCTGGTCTTCTCTGGCCGTAGATGGATGGAGCACCGCCAGCCGTATCGTCTTAAGGTTCTGTTGATCCTCTGGAACGTCTTGCTCGGGGGTTTCAGTCTCTTTGGGGTGTGGCGCAGCGTTCCTGTTCTCGCCACGGCTCTGTACTACAACGGGTGGCACTCCACTGTCTGCGACAACGTCTACTACCACAAGGATTTCGTTGGCATCTGGGGTCTGCTCTTTACCCTCTCCAAGATCCCTGAGCTCGGAGACACTTTCTTCATCGTCCTTCGGAAGCAGAAGTTGATGTTCCTCCACTGGTACCACCACGCCAGCGTGCCGCTCTTCGTCTTCGCTGTCTACGGCGATCGCGCCGCCCCCGGAGTCTGGTTCACCGCGATGAACTACTTCGTCCACGGCCTCATGTACCCGTACTTCGGCGTCCGTGCGGCCGGCTACCGCTTGCCCAAGTTCGTTGCCATGACGATCACATCTCTTCAGATTGTCCAGATGCTGATGGGCAATGTGTTGGTCATCCACGCAGCGGTCATGCACTTCAACGGGGTGTCTTGTCACATTAGCCACTGGGTGCTGGCGGTTTCCATAGCCCTGTATTTCAGCTACATGGTCCTGTTCGCGCAGTTCTTCCACTCGGCTTATTTCGGAAGCAAGCGCGCGCCGATCAAGCCAGACAGCCAATCGAACGGCTCCACTAACGGGGTCAAAGTTCATCCTATTAACACTGATGCTGACAAAGGCCTCCGCAAAAGGGAATTTGATCGAAACGAAAACACGAAGACGGACGGTCGATCGTGAATGAAGTTGTTACAAGTTGTTTTGTTAAAATAATTGTTGCTCGAAATTTAACTGAATGTTAAAGCACAGTGTTACCAAAATAGTATCTGGTTCGTAAGTGTGACGTCACTGCAGTTTAAACCTCGCCCAATGGCATTAAACCCCGCCCAATGGCATTAAGTAGCATTGGAACCATTGGAACCGGAAGTTAACGCAACTGGAGTGTTTATCCAATGGGCGCCAGTAATCATGGAGCGCGCGCGTGCACGTATGACGATTTTACTAACGAACCGGATTTGAAGAGAAAATCCGATCCATTGTGAACTTGCAATATTAAAACATTCTCGTGAACTACACAAAAAGTATTTGTCTGAATGAGGAACTCTAAAACATTGTTTAAATGTTCTCGAAAATTTGAATAAGTTTTTGATATTCCTTTGTTTGGAGCAGTTGCCCAAGCTTGGACCATATAATGGTGTTTTAGTTATTGTTTGTATTGAAAATTTAAAGGACGAAAACGTTTTATATTTTGTGATGAATGTAATTGTATTGAATTAAAAAATATCAAGATTTGTGTGACTATGTTAATTTTTGTGCAAATAAAATGGATGATTTTAACGTCTACCACCTTGATGTTTGATGGAAACAATTTTTGTCTGGAATCATTAATGTCAACGTTAATAGTATTTGATCAATGTCATGTAATACATTTTGCATCCTTCGCTTTTGTGTACAATTTGCAAAGGCCCACGTTATATACTTTACACAATGAACTTTCTAGTTATAAATCCCGCTGTTCGGGAATATAGTTCATAAATTGCGAACTGTTGAATGGGATGGTGCCAGACTATTTAGGCATTCTGGCCCGTTTCAATTTTTTTTTAATGTGGCTATAAACATTAGGCCTAGGGTTTATGTCAATGCTTTCGTTTTTCTTCGCAAGTTCCAAAAATGAAGATTTTACCGTGCTTTCAATTTAACATGGCCGACTCGTGAATGAGGTTGCAGACCGGTAAATCGGTCCAAAATTGGCTACGCCGGCCAAATCGCGATTTGCATTCCCTCAATGAGCATATTGTGGGCCATGAACTTGAGGGTTTGTCCAAACAAACTAAGGGTGGAAGCCGTGCACAGGACCGTGAACTTGTGTTTCTGTGAAATTTAAATGAAATTGGGGCCCGAAAAGCGCTCTACTTTGCAATGGAGTGTAGGCACCGTTTTTCAAAATGGCGACGGATTTCAGGACTATTTTAAGGGGTGATCATCTTCGGATGGAAATTTCTCCCAAATTACATCAGATTACCCCCCAAAAATTGAAAAGAAAATGAAAGATTATGGAATAAGCTTTAATTTGATGCGCGTCTCTCACACACATTGGACAGTTGTGAGTACATGTATTTTTCCTGAATTTCTGAAGTGGGGACATTTATCATTGGGTCTATGGAAATGTATTTACTGGTCTGCAACCATAATAGCCCATGGTCATCCTACGATCCGCCCCACACGGATAGGCCTACTCGCAATTAACTGTGTCACTTTGCTGCTGTTGCTGCTTTTTGTTGATAATAATTTCGGCAGGATATACTAACACGAGTTTCAATTGCCTGTCATGAATAATCTTTGTTCTGAATAATCTACAAATTTAACGACACGTTTGCAAGAGACAATTTAATATGCGAAGGTACAAATTCCCTTGTGACAATGAACTATACATGAGCGCAGACAGGGCTAGACTTGATGACAAGTCGTTAGACTATAGTGGTTTATGTCCGTCATCGCATCAGCGCCAGAATCCGCATACCACCGCCGTTCATGCAACATGAGCGCTACAACCATTCATGTACTACCGCGCGGCATGTTATGCAGCACACGCATGGGATCCCGGGATCGCACACGCATGGGGTCAATGTACGTAGCGTCCCCGCGCGCTACTAGGACAGCACGCGGTACGTCGTACCCCCGGCACAGAGCTTGGCAGTTGAGTCACGCGCGGCAGACGCGATTAAAACCACTCATTACAGACTTGATTTCAAGTCTAAGACAGGGCGAGCAGGAGTTCAATATTCGTCGCTTGTATGTAATTTGCCTATAGGTCATAAAATAAAGATTTGACACGAAGTTGACACTGTGTGAATAATGCTAAATAATGCCACTGTGTAAATAATGCGGGTGGGCGAGATAGTGAGGCATAGCACGATCCGGCCCTCGCCCAAATTTGATAAGTAATCATTATAATACAGTAGTAAAACAAAACTTAAAACTATGCATGGCCAAAATAATGACGGGCAATTTTCGGGAAGGGCAGGCACTTTAATTAAACTGTGTATATTTTTCTACAGTCGGCCCTTAATGTTTCCTCGTGTGTTCTCAATAAATATTCTTTTTTTTCTAGTCCAACTTTCAACCGGCTGTGGCACACGGGTAGAAACGCCTAGGCCTCAAGTGACTGTATGGGGATTTCCTCTTTATAGTTACGCCACTGTTTAAATAGTTCAAAATGTTGAAATTCATAACATTTTAGCATTTTCAATCAATTAAATGCTGCAGGTGCCCATTCTATATGTTTTGCCGGGCGCCTATCTTCAGACAATCGAATAGTACACGGGGAAACGTTTCGGCCACTGCAGTACGTGTTCCTCAATTTACGGCAACATAATTCCCTATACGGTCAAGAAGCATCTTTAAGAACTCTAGAAAAAAAGACGCTGTTTATACCTGGTCACCGGGATTTAAAGACCTCCATGAAAGGTTTTTTTTATTTTAAAAAATATCATGGAGTGGGATTATTAATCATCGTGGAGTAGACTTGCATGGTGAACGCAACGCAGAAACGGGTTTTCTTTTCCGCATGGCCAAGAGCATTGTTGCGTGCACGTACGTTCGGGTTGGCAACTTGCTGGTTGGCCGGATGACGATCATCCGATGTTTTTTTTTCTGAGAAGAGTTGCGTGCTCGGCTCGTCAGATCGACTGCTTCCCCCTGCGCATGCTCACTGCCTGCCTGGCAATACATGGTCTTTAATCCTCTTTATTGCTAGATCCTGGTATCATCGGATGATGAAGGATTATACCGGCACTCTTTTCGGACTTCGGTCATTGCACGGTTCGACAGCGTGCAATCAAGACCGTTGCTTCTTTTCTCAGAGTGTAGAAAATTCAACCTCCGTATTCTGACCGAAACGGTAAGTTTCTATATTAACGTGAATAATAGTAATTTTTATACTTATTCAGCTTTAGTGTATGTTTTTGCAATTTGCACTGAGCCTCACGTTTGCACCGTTTGGCCTGTAACTACAATGCGGTCGCCTTCACGCCCTAGACTCGCTACTCTATGCAATGAGGTACTCGTGCAATGTGCATTGCTTGTGTGTGACGGTGACAATTAAGCGATAAGCTGCTTATTTAAGGATGCGCCGATCGTTGAAGATTACTAGGTTCATTGAAATGAGAATGATGACAAGTAGTTAAAAGGTTTTTTGGGTTTTTTTTTCAACAGCTGTCATTAAATTTAGCTATCATTAAATGAAAGGTTTAAAAATGAAATGAAATGTTACATGTAGTGTTCCCTTTTATTTACAGACAGAAGATTACTCCACAAAATTCCTCTGCGTCTGCAGTCACACTGCAACAGCGGCCATGGACACAGGACATCTCGTCTACAGCGGCATCGGGCCGGCCGAGAGGTTTAGCTTCGAAGAGGACTTCGATGCTGTCTCCTGCACCGACGTCCTGAAGGAGTACCGCGTCTGGATCATCCCCATCTCCATCGTGTACGTCCTCCTCGTCTTCGCCGGGCGAAGGTGGATGCAAGACCGCCCGGCGTACCGTCTGAAGGGCCCGCTGATCCTCTGGAACATCCTGTTGGGCGGCTTCAGTCTCATCGGAGCCTGGAGAATCGTCCCCGTCTTCTCGAAGGCTCTCTTTTACAACGGGTGGCACTCCACCGTCTGCGACAACGTCTACTACCACAAGGATTTCCTCGGCATCTGGGGTCTGCTCTTCACCCTCTCCAAGATCCCTGAGCTCGGAGACACTCTCTTCATCGTCCTCCGGAAGCAGAAGTTAATTTTCCTGCACTGGTACCACCACGCCACCGTGCCGCTCTTCGTCTTCGCCGTCTACAGTGAGCTGGGCGCCCCTGGAGTCTGGTTCACCGCGATGAACTACTTCGTCCACGGCCTCATGTACCCGTACTACGGCATCCGTGCAGTCGGCTTCCGCCTCCCCAAAGTCGTTGCCATGGCAATTACCTCTCTCCAGATCTTCCAGATGATCATGGGTAATATTCTGGTCGGTTACGCGGCCGTCATGCGCCTTAGCGGGGTGACGTGCCAAATCGATCAACGGCAGCTAACGCTCGCTGTCATTCTATACTTCAGCTACCTGTTGCTTTTCGGGAACTTTTTCTACACGTCGTACTTCGGTAGTAAACGCGCAGCTCCTAAACCGGTTAAGGCTGATAGTAAGCCCGATAACCAGGCGAACGGGTTCAGTAACCACGTCACCAATGGTCACGTGACTAACGTGGACAACGATCAAGATATCCGTCAGAGGGACTTGACCAGGTTTAGTAGTCCGCGTTAAACAGGTTTAAAATGTTAAAGCAACAGCTTTTCTCCCAGTTTTAGCATAATAGTCTTTAATGATGCTTTCACTCGTTTCTAGGCCTACAATGAAGTCGAAATGGCTATTTGCATTCGTTCATTCCAGCTTGTGTCTCATGTTATACATGTGATTATTTTGCCAATCCGTTTGTGTCAATAATATTGTTTCAATGTTTTATAAAATTTACTTTTTTTGAAAATGTTAAACCTATAGGTTGTATTTATGTCCAGACAGGCATGCTCAGCGTTAGTATTCGCTACTATTTTCAGTTGAGAACTTTGCCTTAATTTAATTGAAATATTTTATTTTAATACATTTAATTGAATTGAACTAAAAAAAAAGACCAAACTGTTACAACGACCAGTACTAAAAAAATAAGGACACGTTGACCCATCAAAGAGTGTTCGGTGTACTGAAATTTATGATTATTGTTCATTTTTGATGTAGAAATTTACAACGCCAATTGCAATTTGGAAGCTGATAACTTAGATAATGATTTTGAAGTTTTTAATGTTACTTGAAAACGGAACAAAGGATTCACCATGTTTGCCTCTTACATTTTTTTTTCGTTTTTCATAAATTTCGTTTTTGTATTCGTTTTATACAAGAGAGAAATTTGGGTGCTAATTAAGGTGTGTTAAATTGGAAGAAAGGCTGACATTAATAGTAAGGAGACAGAATACAGAGACAAGCATAATTATTTTATGCAATTTTGTTTTTGTGAGAAGCATTTTTTGGATGTTATTTGGAAAGGAAGAAAGAGTTCATGTAGTTATGACTTGAACAATTTTGTTTTGTTTTTCCAAGTGTTGACCGTCGAAGAATGTAAAAATAACGGTAAATGAGAAAGAAAATAAATAATTTATTAAAATGATGTCAATTTATTGTTCAACTATACTGTTTTGGATTTCCTTCTACAACTTACTGTGAGGCAAAGAAACTGTTCACTTTTGTGATGGAAACACTCCCCCCATAAAAAAATCCCCATATCTTAATATAGGATAAGTTACTGCAAAGAATATTGTATCAACATAAAGTTGTCAAGGCCAGATAGATTATTGGAAATCAAAATCCCTTGAAAATATTTTGTTACCCATGTTCAACACACAGCAAGTGCAAAATACAGTTTTGGTGGTGGTTCGGGGGGGGGGGGATCAGTGGCGTACAATATTATAACACCCCCCCCCCCCCCCCCCTCCCGGGCCCCTGGGGATCATGTTAGCACCGGGCACATGGTGGCGCTGCATAAACAACTCAGGAAGCTGTATGTGACATTATTTCACTTATTCAAAATCAGATTTACATACATGCTGTAATCGATGTATGGCAACTTTATGTCTAGCATTTTTCGAAGCAATTTAATGCAATACATTGCTAGTAAAATGGTGGAAGGGTTTGGGGTTGAAGTAGGGTGGATACCGGAGTCGAGGGTCAAAGTCAAGTGCGTTTTTCACACTTTGTTTTAAAAATGAAATTTCACTTGACAATCGCACTTCACACCGCGATATTCCACTGATAAGCCAGAAAATTATTAACAACGTAAATTCCTGAGACTTATGCCTACTCAACTTGGGTATAATGTTAGAGGTGAATTTTAATCAGTCTTACCTCTCAAAATGTCTCGGTCGGTGCCTGAAAATTGTGCCGCATGATGGTCCCACCATGGTCCCACGAACAACCGGCGTATAGTCCAGTGCTGCGATTCGTCTTCATTTCAAACAGGTAAGATAATGTTGTAGGCCTATTCCCATTTCTTCCTGAAGTTGCTTGCGAATTTCCCATACATTTTTTTGAAGAACAACACTCCATGTTATACTCCTGTCCATGCATGATTCTTCAAAGTTCAGTCAAAATTAGCCCGCCAAGGATAAAATTTGCCGGACAAAACTTGACAGAAACTGCCGACCAAACTTTCTCCATCCGTCGCTACTCCGTGCAACGATGTTTTGTACATGAAGAAAACAAGCCCAAGTATCTTTTTATACGTGTGATATGATTGGTTCATTCCACCTGGCAGAGAACAGACAAGGACGCGCGCATCACTTTGTGGTCGGAGTGAAGAACACTTTTCCCGCCAGTTAAAAAGATTTGGCCGATATATATCGTCTGCTCCGGAAGTAAAAGGCTTTGTTCTGGGGTTCGTTTTATCGCAGTTGAGAGACACGATTGTCATAATTTTGAGGGTTTGTATTTGACCAAACAAGAAAAAGGAAAAATTTTTTGTCTAAACAGATTTTAGGTGGGTGATCTCGATCTCAATGGTAAACAAAATGAAAATAAACTACACCCAAAAGCAACTCTACTGCTAACTTTTTGAATTCCGAATTTTCTTAGCTGGGTTTTAGAGCAGGGTTGGGATAGTTTTGAAATATGAGAATTTCTTAAACAATTTGGTAAATTCAAATTATACAGAAATGAATCGGACACAAAATAAATGAAGTAAATCATTCTTTAAATTGTATTTTTTTTCTTATTTTTTTTTTAATTCTCACTTCACCACAGATAAAGTGATTCTCATATTCACTGCATAACATCACGGACATTTACATGTAAATGGTCCGTGATAACATGAACATGTTTATGATGTATATAATTATACAGTAGGCCTACATAAATATAATTTAACAAGTATGTTTTAATCATGACGAAGACGGCAAACATCTCAAAATTTTAAATTTCTTACAAAAAAGGAACTATTTATTTTTCTTTTGGGTATTCAATAGTGCCACAATAATCAAAATATTTCAAACTAAAATCCCATTAAAAAGGGGGAAAATATTTATTAGTGACGCAAAACGTGTAGAAGTGCAACTTTTTTGAGTTCGTATAAGGGTCTATATTGTGGCACGCGAACTAAGCGAAAAAATGTTGCAACCTGACGCCACTTCAGCGGTTGTGTACAAAGTCTATGGAGAGTCAAGAATTTTTTTTAAAAACATGTATTTCCTAACGAAATTGGAAATGTTTCTCAGTCCGAGATTCATGTCTTATCATCATTTTTGCAATGACTGACCTTCGAGTCCTTCACTGAGATGATATATGAGGGAAAAAGTGGCGTCAGGTTGCAACATTTTTTTCCCGAGTTAAGATTCAAACTATACGCTCCCTTTGAGATCAGAGCTTACCGTGTTGAATATAATTATTTGGTCGGAGTGCCAGACTTGAAAAGTTGAAAAAGAGGACAAACTCTCTTTAAAAAAAAAATCTTCCCAAAATAACAGTTGAATTTCACATAGACCAGAAACAGTCAAATACCTAAAACTTAATTTCAAACGAAATCTTATACCTCAACCAATTCAGCCGATCATGTTTTGTTTGTTGTATTTTTCAAAATGGCGGGCAAGCAATTCGGATTATCAAAACCATGAATTTTAACGGCAAAATTATCACAGATAGTATGCAACAATCTAATAGTTTTCCAATCCAACTTCAGATGGTCATTAACTTTTTTTTTTTAATTTCCTATAATTTCAGTCTGTAAATTTATGAGTTGACTGAACTGATTCTGGCCGTGATTTTGCTTTCACACAGAAAAGTAAAACTATCGAAAACAAACCATCTCGCTAAAAAAAATAAAATAAAAAAATCACAAAAGTCTATGTAAAATTGAATTCTTCTTGCATTGAGCGTCATTTACGAAAGTACTTTAAATACATTATCAATTTGCAGTTGGCTTAAAAACATCTCTGCTGTAAGTTTTTACTTCTGATGTTTGGTTGTTCTTGTGGATTTACGGTTCAAGTTTCATCAGATTTTTTTTTAGTAAGATTAAAGAATGATAACATTAAAGAAACACTAACACTTTCTGTTTTGCAATATATTTCCATTTGTAAATAAAAACTGACTTTGTTCAAATACATGTATAAGAAAACCTGGACTTTTGTGGTATTTTGTCTGGCATTATCACAGAAGAATCCTTCTGCTGTTTTTGTGTTCAAATCATGACAAATTTATGCTCAAAGAAAAATACAATTGCTTTGAAACTGTTATCAGGCAAAACGATTTGTTATATCAAAATCTACTAAAGTTTAACCTTTTTATTACCAGTATACTCATAACAGTATAAGAATATCTTAGAATTTATAAATATCTTCGTATTATCTCTCTCATTCAAAGGATAATAGTAAAATACTATTACGTTCATTTAACAGCAAGACATAATACGCACTGATTGTATATTTCAATGGAATAATATTTATATTTCTGGGAAAAATTTCAATTGGTTTTGTTCTGTACCTTAGTATGGGCAATGAAATAATTTCAGCATGATTAAAAATAGAATTTTAAATACGAACAAGAAATGATTGTGATTACATTAATGGCAGAAAATTCAGCAGTTTAGCTCTCTATAGAAATCTTGTGACATTTTAACATTGAATCTTACTGGCAATGGGACCAAACAAAACTGAGAAAAATAATTCCCAAAATTTACTTTGACTGCATTTAAAGCCCTTACGTCATGAAACAGAGTCAGAAATATTTGAAAACAGCCAATCCAGACCTTTCAGCAATCCCTATACAGAACTAAGATAGATATAAGATCTTCATAATTATATGAACAAACTAATAAATCAAAGACTAAATATACATATAATCTAAATATAAAAAAAAAATTCATGCCCTCTTCAGTTATATTTGCATATGTGGTCAAATGTTGTCAACCCGAATCTCCCCAAAGTTCAAACTGGGATTTTCTCCAATTTAGAAGAAAAAAAAGGCAAACCGGGGTGCTGTGGTCCAATGGTTACGGTGTTCGACTCGTGTGTCGTGGTACATGGCTTCGAATCCTGACCTGGGAACATGGTGCTTGTGCTCTTGAGCAAGGTACTTTACCATTATTGCTTCGTCCTTTGGATGGGACGTTAAGCCGTAGGTCCCGTGTGTTGTGTAATACACGTTAAAGAACCCAGTAACACTTATCGCGCTAAGAGAAGGGGTTTGCCCCGGTGTTTCTGGCAGCGGCTGCAATATGCGCCGCAGCACCTTGTAAACCCTTATAAGGTGCTACATAATGGGTCTCATATTTCTCATAAACTTCATTTACCTGTCTTGAACAATAGACATAATTTCCAGCGCCTTGAGTACCTAATTGTTGGTAGATAAGTGCGCTATATAAGACTCTGGTATATTTTTCAAGTCTCACGGTAAAAGCAAGATTCACTATTTACAAGATCACTCTGTGGTAGAGGTGGGGGAAAAATATTGAGAATATGAAACTTCTTTTAACTGCATAGAGAGTGAAGTGGAGGGAGAGGGCGGGGTTAATAAATTTCAAGGGGGAGGGGGTTGAGAACATCTGACCACTTTTTGAGTATCTAATAGAAAAAAAAAACCCTGACAAGCCGATTAGGAAAGGAAATTTCGCTAGACCTCATAATTCATAAAATAATAAACCATTGACCTATTTTGAGCGATTCACACTACAGAAAAGCTGCTACTGGTTGTGTGCAGTGCATCAAGAATATGGTTGCCAAAATTGACCGTGCGCTTCCCACAATGCATCTTGCAGTCATGTTGGAATTTAAGGATGTGACTTTGTGGTTGATTTTGCAAACATTTAGCAAATATTTTAAGTACTGTTTAAACGTTTAAACGTTTAGCCATTTCACAAAGCCTGACGCCTGCCCATTATGTCTGCAGACCAGTGTGAAACTTCGTAGAAGTGTGACGTCATTCGGGGTCTTCTCCAATGCGTGACATGTCCAAACATTGTCTCGTCCGCAATTTTTACCGTCATTTGCACGGGTGATTCACGTGACCATTTTCTAGTTGAAATTTCTCAGACATTCAGAATAAATAAGACTGGAAAAATGGCACAGTGCTTTGTAGCTGACTGTATTCATCACTCGGAATATGACAGATGCCGTTATTTTCTTTTCTGACGGATGGAAAATGGATGAAAAAGCGGGCAAGGTGCCTATCGCTACGTAAGGCCATGTGCGTTTGGACATATTACCCTGACTTATGACATCAGCAGTCAAGTACTCTGGTACCCGGTTCCGATGCACAGCCCTAGTAGGCCATCAGCCTGGGGGTTTGGCCAGTATCAAATCAGGGCATAAATGATTATAGTGCGCATGCGCAAGGTATACCGCCCCTGGAGTGGTAACAGGCATTTTGATAGACGTTTTGGAAAAAAAGGGTGATAGCACCCAAAAAGCTGCCACCGCTGCAATGCTATCACACATTTTCCAACTCTGGAGGTGTATACCTTTACAAAAATCGCTGTGACGATTATTCCCCTAATTTGATACCGGTGGCCAAAATTTTGGACCGAAGCTGATGGCCTACAGCCTCTAGTGTCTTATTGACAGACTTTTGGTCATTTTTAATGCCCTTACTATCAATAACATGTCTATGATTAATAACAATAAGTGCAAATCCGAAAGGCCGATTGGTACAAATTCCTCCACAACTTTTGGATGACTCTTAACATAGATTTTGCGAAAGATTTTGGCAAGATTTGTCAACGGATATTTGATCCCTATTGAGCATGAAAGACAAAATACACATCCCACGTTATTAATAGCTGTAAACCTTCAAACATTATTTCCAACAATTAGGAAAAATCTTTCCTGATAACTTTCCTTTATTTAGATTTTGTGCAATTGTGGACCTGACTATAATTTCACTTATATATAAATATCCATTTGAGAAGTACAGGTACAGTACCTGCCGGGTCATATTTTTGAGTCGCTCACTGATGTCGACGGTCCCCCGCTGGCTAGGTGGTAACCGGTCCCATTGCTGTTTGCTTCCTCTTGTTTCCGTATCTTCGGAGATCTCTTTGCTTTTCTGTGATTTTTAAGGGAGGAACGGAATGCGAAGAAAATATGTTACTCAAAGGCTCATATCTTGAAACTTGCTATAAACATTATCTAGGTAAAAAGATTTCAAAAGCTCTTCAAATGTTACCTTTCTTTTCGGCACACGATAACGATCGTGACAGCTATAACGACGCAAATGACAAAACCGATTAGAGCTCCGATAATTATCCCTGCAATGGAAAAATACAAAGAAGGGATGTTAAAGTTAAATATACAACCTTTGCTTTTGCTGTAATTTTCAGAAACGGATGGATTTTGGGGTTAGTAAATTATAGCAAATATTGTTACACTGATCTGTTTAAAGTTTGTGTTCATAGATGCAGGAAAAACCAAGACAAACATTGCTGTTCTTGCAGTCAGGTACCCTGACCCTACTTCAGATGAAACGGAGCAATTCCATAGACGTCGGGAAATTGTCAGGTCAGGGAACCAGACTGGCTGGCTTGTGACTTCATTTGGGGTCTGGATGACTTGTGCGGACTTGTAAGGATTTAAAGTGAGGACTTGTGATAGAATTGTATGGACTTGTGATAGACTTTTGAGGACTTGTGATGACTTGTGATGGACTTGTGATGGACAAGTGAGGACTTGTAATTGACTTGTGAGGGCTTGTGATTGACTTGTGAGGACTTGTGGTGGATTTGTGGTGGATTTGCGAGGACTTGCGAGGACTTGTGATTGACTTGCGAGGACTTGTGAGGACTTGTGATTGACTTGTGAGGACTTGTGATTGACTGGTGAGGACTTGTGAGGACTTGTGATTGACCTGTGAGGACTTGTGATTGACTTGCGAGGACTTGTGAGGACTTGTGATTGACCTGTGAGGACTTGTGATTGACTGGTGAGGACTTGCGGTGGACTTGTGAGGATTTGCAATGACTTGTGAGGACTTGTACGTACTTGTGATGGACTTTCAGTGGCTTTGTGAGGACTTGTGAGGACTTGAGACTTAAGAGGACTTGTAATTGACCTGTGAGGACTTGTGATTGACTTGTAATGACTTATGATGGACTTTTGAGGACTTGTGAGGACTTGTGATGGACTCGACCAAACACTGGTTCAAAAGTTTTCTGAAACTCACTTGTTGATGATTGATCTCTCAATTTCAGAGTTCCTTTGGTCCCTTTCAGGAGCTGGGCTTGCTTCAAGATTCGGTCCCATTCATCGTCCTTGTCACGACTATTAGGATCTGGTATTTCTGTAAAACAAAAACAGAACGGAAACAAAGTTGTTACGGCCAAAAATGACATTCAAAGATAAGAATACGGCAATTACCCTGTAAGTATTAAATGCTGTGTTCTGATGAAACATGGCATAGTTCGGCAATTTCCTCAGAAAAATTGTGGGAATTTTTCGAAATAAGAGAGGGTAAATATTTATCATTTGCTTTTATTTACATTTGAAAAAAAAATGACAAAATGGAAAAAAATGGAAAAATCTACAATTTTTGTCACTGACATGTGTCATGCAATATGTCCCTGCAGTGTACACATGTACCAGATAGCAGAAATTTAAGACATTACAAAACCACACAAATGTCAGTACATATTTGTTGCGTTAACCGTAACCGGTCTCCTACAAAACCTCTCTATAATACCTATACTAACCTTTACACGTGGACGGTTCCCCGTGCCAGACAAGTTCGTTGACCTCATCCCCCAGGACGCAAGATAACGTGTGATCCTCGTGAAGCTGGAACCCTGTGTAGCAGTCAAAGGTGGCCGTGGTGCCGTACCAGAAGGCTCCGGTCTCTCTCACGTAGCCGAAGGAAGGCTCGTCTGGCTCCGGGCATTGGGCCAAATCAACTGCAGGAAAAACAAACATTAATAATAATAATAATAATAATTACCGGCAATGGGGTAATAGGGAGACTTTCCCATAGACTTGTGCACAAAAATTTTCCGATTTAAATGTGCCCTAAACCAATATTCCCTTGTCCTTTTTCCACGAATTTCGGTATTTTTACTAATTAGACCACGAGCAACAAATATAACCTAATTTCGACAGCAACATTTTTCCTCTAAAGGGGGGCTGCGCCAATAGGGAGACACCTAGGTGTCTCCCTATTAAGCCCGTGTCTCCCTACTATCGAAATTTCTACGCTAACGTGTCTCCCTAATAGTACATTTGTAGGAATAATTCGTGCTTATAGAGCACATTTCACACAAGGTCCCAATGCACTGTACATGAGTCATTATGCAGTACCGAAGTGTGACGTCATTTAGAACCAGAAAGTGTAGTGCAAACAAATGGAGTACGCACGCGTGTTGGTTCACGGGCTGAATCACGCGCTAATGTCTTTCACACACATTTTGTGCGTGTGACGTATTCACTTCGGTACTCCATTACCCTGCTCATTGGGCCAATGAAACATTCCAAAATACCATCTCAGCTCCCTGGGGAGCTTGATGCGGCCATTTCGGTGCAAAGCAGCTAAATCAATCACAATAACCACCTCTGCCCTCACATGTACCCAATTTACGCCTGGGTGGGGAGAAGCAATGAGTGACAAAGTGTCTTTCTCTTCATAAAACATTGATTTCTTTCTTTTATTACATTTTCAATATTTATATTTTCTTTTCACAAAAAAATACTTTTTAAAAGTTTTGGCATCTGTGACCCGCTGAAAAATAGCTTTCATTTTGCGCAAAAACAATTAGCCCGCCCTGCAAGAACCAAAGTATTGTCCGACAGCCAATATTCCACAACTAAACGTCCGTGGCTTATTTCGCTCGATGTCTCATACAAAATTGAATCACTTTAATATTGCTAGTAAAGTAGCAATTGAAAAAGCAGATTTATTTTTCGAGGTGAAACAAAGCATGAGGAATGCATCTTTAATGAAAAGCAGATTGCTGAAAGTGCTCAACACCCGTTCCTTATTATTCAAGCATTCGATTAACCCCTTGACGCTGGTGTTGTTCGGTCACGGACAGCTGCACATTGGGTGGAATGTATACATGCAGGCATTCAGTCGTTGTCTGTGAATGGATGTGCTATGCAGCAGGAATGTGGCAATAGCAGTCCCCGGCTTATCAGCTTTTATCCAGCTGCGTCTAGAGCCACCAGCCAGCGTTAAGGGGTTAAAGCGATTTTATCATGTTTACCGTCGTATACGGAGGTCGTCCAGAACCACGTCGTCTCTCCCCCGCACGCTTCCGCGTAGTTGCCGCCGCAGTGTAACAAACAGTTGGTGTCGCTGACCGAGCCCCACGCATCGTAGTCGGTCCCGTTGGTGCCGCAGTAACAATCCGTGTTCTGTCGGAGACCGGCGTACCTAAAGACAACAGGATGAATATGGTAAACAAAAACAGTTTACCCATTCCTATTGGTCGAAAGCCTGTCACGTCGGTGGTTTTAAACGGTTGGTAAAACACCGGCTGGCTGGTTTTCAACACTTTTCCCGGCACTGAAATCACTGGGATCAGTGATCACTGGGAAAGAAAACAGGATGAATATGGTAAACAAAAACAGTTTACCCATTCCTATTGGTCGAGAGCCTGTCACGTCGGTGGTTTTAAACGGTTGGTAAAACACCGGCTGGCTGGTTTTCAACACTTTCCCGGCCCTAAAATCACTGGGATCAGTGATCACTGGGAAAGAAAACAGGATGAATATGGTAAACAAAAACAGTTTACTCGTTCCTATTGGTCGAGAGCCTGTCATGTCGGTGGTTTTAAACGGTTGGTAAAACACCGGCTGGCTGGTTTTCAACACTTTCCCGGCCCTAAAATCACTGGGATCGTTCCAGCGGTCCAGTAGGTATTTTTCAAGCCGGAATGTTGGCCGGATATTTGACATTTGTGAGGCGATCAAGCTAAATGAGTCGTTTGTCAACCCTGGTAAAAATATTTCTACAGATTTGAACAGAGCACAATCTCAGCATTATTGCTGTGAAAACTGCACGCTGATACCATCTTTTGTTCAAAAATTATGGAAGTCGGAACACCAAGAGATGTGATGAAGTGATGTGATGAGGTGGCCCTATTTTGGCCTGAATGTCCAAATGAAAGTACCCGACAAACGACTCATTTAGCTTGATCGCAGCACATTTTTGGGATGTTTTCCAGTAGTCTAACCTCATTTTCTTGTCGTGGCAGTACTGCAGGCACTTGCGTACGGTCATGTCTTCGCTTGATAGGTAGTCACTGTTGAGAACGCTGCCCACGGTACGGTCTAAGAAACAGCCCAGGTAGCCGGGGACTAAGTAGGTACACGAAAAAGAGCACAGAGTGAGTAACAACAAAACAAAACACAACTGTCGGGACTATTGTTTTAGTGAAGTTCTGCATGTAGCACTTTCAAAATCTAGGATATGAGAGCCCAATTCATAAGTTTTCCTTTAGTACAAGAATCATTCAAATCACTCACATACTTTTCAAATTACGGAACTTTAAACACAACCACTGTTTAAGTTCTGTCCGCCGATCACAAAAACAGGTGTGCGTTCTTTCAGCAAAATGAAAACATTCACACACATCCCTATGTGATTGTTTGTTTTTTTTTTGCTTAAAGAACACTTACCTTTTTGTGATCATTGAAGAAAACTAACAAGGTGGCCGATTTAGAAATGCCCATGTCTAGAATGAAAACACTGACCCATTTGCAAGTGATCTATGCCCTATAGGGGTTAAATTTCAGTCATTAAAAATAGTTTGTTTTTAAAATTGGAACACAGATTTCGGCTCAGAAGAAAGCCATTTCAAATCAAAAATTGATCGATATGACTTACGGTAGCAGCTGACTCCTGCTGTTTCCCCGTCCCTGCAAGTCTTGGCTGCCGTCTTGAACGGACACTGCTCTAGAAATTGTTCCTCTGAGATGAGAAGAAAGGCAACATAGAGGAACAATATGAGAATGACAAGAAGAGGAAGTTACAAGACTTTGGGAAACAATCGTGAATCACCTCATAAGTTGGATATATCAGTGGTAGACAATGACAAATGAATGATGCTGTCACGGTTTGTTTTAAAAATTTGTGACTTATCGTGAAACTGGATGGCTTGTTATTGAGTTAGGAGCACTTTTGGGAACTTGTGATGACTTGCGATTGGCTTGTGATTGGCTTTTGATTGACTTGTGATTGACTTGTGACTGACTTGTGATTGAATTGTGATTGACTAGTGATTGACTTGTAATTGATTTTTGATTGACTTGTGATTGACTTGTGACTGACTTGTGACTGACTTGTAATTGACTTGTGATTGATTTGTGACTGACTTGTGATTGACTTGTGATTGGCTTGTGATTGACTTGTGATTGACTTGTGATTGACTTGTGATGACTTGTGATGACCTGACAAAGCCTCTGGTGACTGATTATCTTGATGCAATCACTCACCTCCTTCGCAGTCAAAATTCTGCATCGAGTCGTTGTTCTCCCCACTACCATAGTGGGACTCGACCATCGCAAACGAAGCCCCAGAAAAACCTATTGGAAACACGAAAATGGAGGACAGCAAATCAAAACCGAGTTCTCCTCAAATATTCCTTCATCGCCCCCTCCCCAACAACCTGATGCCTACGCGTAGATGGAATGCACTTGGGAAGAATTGTCCAAATAGTGTTTCCAACTGAGTATTTTCAGAGCCAACACTATTCAAGCAAACCAAAACTACATTCATTTGATTCCAAGAATATATCCTGATTCTTGGGGAGTTTGAATTTTGTTAACCCTAACCATCCTCAATCCTCCAAAATCCTCCTGGCGGTTTGGAGGATTTGTAGGATTGAGGCTGAATGACCAAAAAAAGATTGATTTCAGAGGATGCATTGTGTCGAGTTCATAGGCTGCACCCTGCATTGTTTATGTTCAGTCGTGCATAATTAAGCCGTGAATAATGCTCGATATCATCCGCACTGCTTCCGAATGTCATCGGCACTGCCTCAACCCATTAACAGTGATTGTTGGAGGATTTTGTGGGATTGAGGCAGTGGTCACCCCTCCACTGAACAAATTCAAGAAATAACAGATGATCTTGGAGGATTGAGGCTGAATCCAATTTTTACCCGGTGGCCATCGGAGGATTTTGCAGGAATGAGGACGGTTCCTAGCCAAATGGGCTTAGGGGGTTTGGGTTATAATTACACCTGTTTTTCGCCACTCACCCATTTCCCTGCAGACCACCTGCGCGTCCCTGCGGTCCCATCGCCGGTGGCAGACGTCTTTCCACGCTCCCTCGTGGAAAACCTCAACGCGGCCCTCATTCACGCCGGTCACGTTGACTGGACTACCGGCAAGACGTACTGTAAACATACCGAAACCAAAAAAAAACCGAAAAATAATTCAAAAGTTCAGAAAATAGACCTATCATGCAACCACAAATGGAAAATATTTCTGAGGAATTATTATTTTTTATTGGAACAGGAGAAGTAGTCTTTAATGAACCCTAACACTGCTGTATTTGTGCCCTTTTCAAACACATATCAACAAGTGCAGTAGTGCACGACAATAACTGACAGAGCGGATTACAACGAACGAAATGGTGGGGATTCAAGCCTTTGTTGTTATACGCGTATTCTGCTTTCAATAACAGTTCTTTTAAAGGTAATTGTAACGATCCTATGGGCTGTGGGGCATTAACTCGATCTGTGTGTAGCTCATGAAAGTGCTGCCTGTAAAAACCTTGAACTTTTCAATCACCATCAACATCATTATTCATGAACAGCTACAGTGTATAAGATTTGAGGCTTTGCATGGTGGGGTATCGGTATCGTTTCGGTTTGCAGTAACACCATGTGGTAACAACTACTGCTTAGAAGATATTAGTTCTGAAAAGAACTTGTCCTGCTTATTATCAACTTCGCTAAATAGTTTTTTTGTTCTGATAAGAACAGTCCCTGAAGTCTCCAGACGATGACTAGAGCAGGCTAGTCGAACTGTTGAGAACAAAGACAAGTTCATTTAGAACTTACAGCAGGACTGTTCTTATCAGAACAAAAAAACTACTTAGCACAGTTGATAATAAGCAGGACAAGTTCTTTTCAGAACTAATATCTTCTAAGCAGTAGTTATTACCACGTGGTGTTACCGCAAACTGAAACGAGCTACAGTGTATACGGTGCAACCTTTCTTATCATATAACACTGACAGGCAGCTATTTGTACGTGCATGGAAAATCATGTACGTGTACATCTTTGAATGTCAGTATATTTTTGCCAACATAATGTAATCTTGAAACCGCAACATAACATCTGTTTTATCATCCCTGGAAGAGCAAATGCAGCTTGTTAATAAATTTGCACTGAACATATTACTGAGTCAGTAAGGTATGTTCAGCGCACATTTAATAACAAGCTACATTTCTGTGAATGTTCTTCCAAGGACGATAAAACAGATGTTATTTTGTGGTTTCAAGAATACATTTATGTTCGCAAAAATATCTCTCATATAGGGGGCCTACATAACATTCAATACCCTCCTATGCAAACATGCATTATGTGCAAAGTTGTCCTTTCGGAAAAAATCAATCAAGTGACTGTTTTTTTTAACAGTTAAGAGCTCCAAGCCAACTTATAAAGCAGGATTGACTGGATGTGACTGTTTATGTTTGCCTGCTTTTGTCTGTTGACTGAGTTTGACTAGTCAAAGTGCTTGCCTGAAATTTGATCTGACTGTTGGTGACTAGCCTGTGTGAAAGGCATGGCAGGGAAGTGGATGGAATTTTTGACTGTCTGTGACTGTAGGAGGTAGGAGGGTTGATAAATCCTGAAATAATGTTTGTTTTTCTGCAAATCATTTGAATTTTGAGGAAAAACTACATTTTCTACATTTATTTTTTAAAATCATTTAATTAATGACAAATTGTGTAATATTACTCTCAATCATAAAAAAAATTTCTTCCGTGTAAAATTCAATAGCAAGTTCAAATATGAAAACAAAAAATGTTTGTGTTCTGAACTTAGCTGAAATGTTTTTTCCAACATCCAACACTGAAATTTTTGGGAAATCCCAAATCTGAGCAAGAAATCCGGGGTCACAAGGTCAAGCCACCTGATGGCTACATGTACTTCACATTCGTCCCTTACATGAATCTGATTGGATGACCTTGACAGAGGATTTGAATATGGCCAGTCAAAAAAATAATGTGGTTTCTCGTTAGTACCTTTGTGAAATTAGGATAGGTAGTTAGGGAATTTTTTTTTTTTTTTGCAATTTTTTGATGATTTATTGATAATTGATGATTTCTGGTTTGTTTTCCTCACTTTTTCCCCAAAAAAGAGTTAGGGTAGGGGCTGTCAAAAAAGGGTAGGTAGGGTAACCGGAAGCAGAACGATTATTTTTTTGGCCTTAACTTTTAGTTAGGAAGCAATGAGAAATACATGCATGGTCCTACATGTGCATGTTTTTCTGCGTTACTTGAACAAAGTATGCTTCAATTTTTCGCCCAAAATAAAACACAATAGTTGTGCACAAACATAGAAGACAAAAATAAATCACAGACTAAGCTCATGTGTACACGGATGCTAATGAAAGACAATGGTATCAGTAAGTACAGTGATAATCTTTAATCCTGTACAAACAGGCTTATCTCGGCGTTATGGTTATCATCAATTTCAAACAATGGGCACATCTTGGCTGTGTTTAATGAAAGGTTTTCATGAAAAACAAAGTTTACGAAGAAATGTCACACGAACCGGTAGATGCACACTTATACATGCAACGTTTAATCAATTATGCCAGACAAAAACGCATACGTTTGACCTCTTTTATGACATTGCAGTTGTTTGCCATATCAGTCAACAGTACGTCACTTTAAATATCCAAAGTCCATTTTATATGCAACATCATAAATTCGCTCGTACCCCCGCCCTGCAAACAGGACGCTGGGAAGGGCTGATCTCTCCGAGCTCTCATTGGATAGATTTTGCATGACCTAGTGACGTAGCACTGCTGCTGTTTATCATACGTAGTGCGTGCTAGCTGCATGCGAAGGTCACGATAAGTTACCCAGAATGCCTAGTACTTCCTTCACAACATTCTGTGAAGCAGCATCAGCCCTTCCCAGCGCCCTGTTTGCAGGGCGGGGGTACGAGCGGACACCATATATCATGTCTTTAGATTTTGTGTCTGGCATAAAACCAAAAAAACTATAACAAGTTGAAACATAAAATCAAAGAAATTTACGATGCCCAGTAAGAAATCTGTGATATTGTTAAAATCGTTTGAAATTTACATGATCGACATATTATTGTGAAATTACTGACTACAATGTACTCTCAGGGCCACCATACACTGGTCTTGTACCTGCACTCACCTGACTGTACACTGGATGATGGCACGGCTAGCAGCAGCAGGTATGCTGGCCATACCAGGGCCAAGGTGATTGCACTGTGGATATTACTCAGCCTCATTATTGTCTCTGTATTATAATGTCTTTCTATTAAACCTCAGCTCATCCTAAAAATAAAAAAGTATTCCATAAAATCATTTCAAGTGATATTTTGTGTACTTTTATTTGTTTTCAGCAAAATTGTAGCTATGTACATATGTAGAAAGGGTGAGGGCTCAATTTCGTATCAGAAAAGCAGTCAAAAGATGGGGAAAAAAGTCGGGAAATAAAGGCTGCCTCCTTCATGTTTTTCAAAATGCCGGGACAAGGAACTTGGTATTTTTTTTTATGGGCCTAATAAAAATGCTTGTTGCCGGTGTAGCATGAATTTAGGTTTTGTGAAATACGGACTCATTGGTGGAATTGCGCATGCTCATGCATAGATAATTAGGAGAGGGACCGGTCACGTGAGAGGGTTTAACCAATAAAAGGGAAAAAGAGTCCGATTTTCATACGAGTCCAAATTTTCACATGACACCGGGATATAGGAAGGAAATGCATGACTGAAAGGAAACTGGTGATTCATTGTTGCATAAGAACACTTCATAACTGCTACATGTAGATTCTCTACCGCACTCATTAAGAGGGAGGGCACCATTCATGTTTGTGACTCCAGGCGTATTTTTCCAAATATCCTGCGAATTATATTGATTTGTAGCTCAGCACTTAACTTTGAGCACTCTGCAATATAGGCCATCAGCTTGGGGGTTTGGTCAGTATCAAATCAGGGCATAAATGATTATAATGAGCATGCGCAAGGTATACCGCCCCTAGAGTGGTAACAAGCATTTTGATGGACATATTGAAGAAAAAAAGGGTGACAACACCCAAAAAGCTGCCACTGTTGCAATGCTATCACATGTTTTCCAACTCCGAAGGTGCATACCTTGCCAAAAATCGCTATGACGATTATTCCCCTCATTTGATACCGGTGGCCAAAATTTTGGACCGAGGCTGATGGCCTAATATTTTCTGCAGAAAGGCTGAATGAAAATAGGCCTTGTTCAAAAATTGCCTCATACTGAAGATATAAGGCTTATGAAAGAATTTGTTTGAAAGAGAACGTTTCTCAAGTTGTTGACCTTGTTGCCAATGTGTTCAACAACTCTTCTGTCATTATCTTGGGTCCAAAACATTGAAGATACTCACTCAATGGGAGACTTTTGAGACGTTGGTGGCAGCAAACATACCAGTCCTTTTTCTTTGTTTACGTTGTGTTTAAGCCAAAGCGCGCATGCTCAATATGACGCAAACAATGGAAAAAGGACCAGTGTGTTTGCTGCCACCAACGTCTCGAAAGACTCCCATTGGGTGGTGCAAAGTGGATGGCGTGTGAAATGGAGTAAGCCTTTTGTTTTTCTTGTTTTATTTTTTGTAGATTTGTTTTCATTTATATTTAAAAGGTTTCTGCATGGTTTTGGTTCAATTTTTTTTTGCTAATTTTTTGGTTGACTGCGTACATGTAGTTGCAGCACCTTAATTTTGATGTGGGGAATCAGACCAAATTCTCCCTTCTCTTCTCATTGTTTGTGAAAAAACCTGCTTGTAACTGGACACAACAATTTTGTCTGTCATAAATCAATAAATCAATTGAAACATTAGATATTATGACGACAGGAACGGCTTTGCATTAATACAACCCTAGTTTCAGTTTTGTGCTTGACTTGCAAACCTTGGGCAAACTTAAAGGGAAAATACAACATTTGCAAACATCAAAAAATAGAACTACCAAACCATTTTGAAATACCTTGCTGGACTGTTAGTGAATGACAGTGTAAAGCATCCTGTAAAATCATGGCACCTGGTATACTATCATTTTCAAGAAAAGTGGTATTTTTGTATCAATTTCCAACGCTGATCGGCCGACCAGCGTTGGAAAAAAAACTGGTTTTTTTTTCAAATACTGGCCCCAGTTGACCATCGCAATTGTTTGCAATCGATTACACACCTATGAACGGGTACAAGCCAGCTAGACTGGTTCCCTGACCTTACAATTCCCCAATGTATGTAAACTGCTCTGTTTCTCCTTAAATGGAGTCAGGGAACCAGACTACAGGAAAATGATTGTTGTTCTTGGTTTTTATAGCATTTCCGAACCCAAAACCTCAAAAAAAGTCAGTATAACTATATTTGCTATATATTTCCAACTCCCCAATTCCATCCATTTCTGAAAATTACAGCAAAAGCAAATGATGTATATTCCCTTTAAAGGTAATGTACAACATTTGCAAACATTAAAAAACGAAACTACCAAATTAATTATGAAATATCTTGACTCTAACTCCCTAGTTAGTTTTACTATAGAGTACAAGTCCGTCCAGATCCATCACTGACTCTGCTTCAAATAATGCTTCAGGACCAAATCTGTTGAAATCCACCAAAAATCCACCACTGGCACTGGTGGATTTTGATGGACTTGGTACACATGGCTTATCTGCCAAAAATCTCCCCAAATGGGGGATGGATTTTGATGAAGTTGGGAAGGTTTAAGGGTTAATTGAATGTAACTCTAATAACAGTCTCAAGCATCCTGTGAAATCATGGCATCTGGTGTGCTGTAATTTCAAAGACAAGTAGAATTTTGTTTCATTTCCCAACGATGGGTTGGCCGAGCCATCGTTGGACAAAAACTTTTTTTTCTTCAAATACTGCCCCCAATTGACCAAATTGTATTTAGTCCACATTTGTTTGCAATCGGTTACATATCCGTGAACATGCCTGGCCAGCTAGTCTGGTTCCCAGCCCTGACAATTTCCTGACTTCTATTATAAATTGTGCCATTTTATTGGAATTGTAGGGTCAGGGAACCAGATTACAAGACCAGCATTTTGTTCTTGGTTTTTTCCCACCGTCCATGAAAACAAAACTTTAAACGGGCCAGGTGCTCTAAAATGTAAGACCCTCCCCCCCAAATCCGTCCATTTCTGAAAATTACCTTTAAAACTTTTGGTTTTGGTTTTGGTTTGATTTTTTATTCTCGATTTAACTGCGAAGTTGCAGCACCGTATTTTGATGCAGAGAAATCTGACAACCTCTCACATCCTGCCTCCTGTGATAAAAATATGAGGTTTGCCATTTGGCACAATACTATTTGTGTCATAAATCAATTGAAATAATTATTAGATTATACGATGACACTGTCATGACAGGAAATTTGCCTAACTTTGCAATGAACACATCCGTAGGGAAGATACAACATTCGCAACATCAAAGGCCAGTACTATTGTTGTATTGGAATCTTTCCAAAAATATTTTACAATGTTTATGTTTATCGGTCCTTTTCTTCAACTCAATAGTTGAGTCAGGATAATTTTAACTTTAGCAACCGCCTATTTCTAATCTAAGCAACCGCATATTAATACTAATTTCTCTCAACTCACTTCCCACTCTGCCGGAATTTGCATGCAATATCCCTTTGTTGTGGAATACAATACAATGTATTGTTGATGTACCCTAATGTGGCGCGGCCCCTAACGTGGCGCACTTTGATTTTTCGCCTGTAGCGCCTAGCTAGAGCAAAAGTTTTAACTGAAATTTCACAGAAAGTGAAATTTCATCAAGTTATAAACACTCCCGTTCATAAATCGCGAATTTATTTACCCGCTACAAAGTTAAAAGAAAAACTTATTTTGGCGTGATTTTCCGATTTTATTTTCAAGTGCAAAGTGAACCCTTTGAAAATGCCCCGAAAAATAAGAAAATAATTTTGTGACAAACATCTGGCTGGGTATGTAAGTAGAGATAATAATGATTTATCAGAATTTATCAAGTTTTCAGAAATTCTTAAATGTTAATTTGGAATTTTCCGAGATTTATTTAAGTGCGCCACGTTAGGGAACACTCCGCCAAATTGTGCCCAATTTCCGGACGCCACCGTTTTTTAATTTCGGCTTAAATTTTATGAAACCGAAATTGTTCACAGAGGTTAAACAGCAAGCATTAATAAGGTAAAAGTACCAGTATTTCACTGCATGAATTTGAGGTTTGTCAACAAAGAGGTTTGGCAACACTACACGAGGAAATTTGGGTATGCTTCGAAGTGCGCCACGTTAGGGTACACCACCATAACAATCATTTCTAAACATGCTCAGCTAGCAGCTTCAATTTTGCCAACGCGAACAATCGACGGTCAAAACATTTCTAAAATTTTGGTCAAAAACTGATCAAATCAACCTTAATGAATATACTTCATGATCAGCATAACGTCTTACCTTTAGAAGCTCATATTTTCGCCAATGTAAGCTTCGGAACTGGTTAAAAACAATTACTTTTGGACCGGCTCAATTTTTCACGACATCAGATTTTTATTTCCATTCATACTCTCACTTCTCAGTAAGGGTACGAACGTACGTACGTGCGTAATAAGTTCCGTGACCAGACTACACTATTACATAAGGTGTAATAGCTACTAAGATGGGTCCAGTTGCCAGACTTCTAAGCCCTTGGCGCGGCGACTTGAGGTCAACAAACTTCTCAATGTCGTGTCGGGTGAACAAACTTTCCCGATAAGTTTGTTGACCTGACTCGAAGACGAAACCACGAGGGCGCCCTTCTAATTTAACAGTATTTGCGGACTGGATTGGGGTTTTTTTTGGGGGGGGGGTGGGGAAAGGGGAGGGCATGTTTTTTATGAGACCAATTTTATCATTACTAGTGTGCCTAGTGCCTTTTTACTGCGGACTGGAACCTGAAAAGACAGTAGAAAACACACAAAAAATATTTTTGTTTTGTTTTGCAAAGAAGTTTCTGCAGCTAGCTCAACCCGTGTTAGGATTTTCCCTGGCCAACTTTTTTTTTAATATGCCCCCCCCCCAAAAAAAATTACAAACAAAATATGCATCAAATACTTTAATACGTTTTTATGCGGCAATAATTCAAATCATAAGTACCATTGACTTTAACGCCAAAAGGAAACTGTTTTGTGTTTGAGACAAACATACTTGAACATGTTAAAGGGAAAATACAATACATTTGCAAACATCAAAAAACGAAATGATCCAATTATCACGAAATACCTTACTGTATTGTTAGGGACTGACAGTCTAAAAAGCATCCTTTAAAATCGTGGCTCCTGGAGTGCGGACATTTTCAAGAAAAACTGTATTTTTCCAACGCTGGTCGGGCGACCAGCGTTGGAGCAAACTTGCTTTTTTCCAAAAACTTTTCTTAATTTTTCATATTTAGTTATTCTGACTTTTCTTTGCAATTGTTCACACACGTACACCTGTGAAGGGGTACATGCCTGCTAGACTGATTCTCTGACCTTACAATTCCCCAAAGTATATTAATTGATTTTTCATCTTAAGTGGGTCAGGGAACCAGACTACAAGAACATGATAGGTTTTCTTGGTTTTTCCAGCATCTACAAGCCCAAAACATGAAACAAGTCAGTTTAACAATATTTTATATACCATACTAATCCTCCAAATCCATTTATTTCTGAAAATTGCAGCAAAAGCAAAATGTTGTACATTCCCTTTAAGTCGACAGTAAACAGATCCGATCACGTACGTACAATGTTTCAGACATCGACACTGAGGAAATCCGGCGCTGCAGCGATGTTTGTCTTACAGCTAGACTATTTATTGTGATAGGTTTCAGTTTCAAACTTCCTTGTGTCAGTTATGTACTTGAATCGTGCGAATCAAGTTTCTTTGTTTTGTTTTGTTTAAAAGACTAGTAGTTTTGATGGGCAATTATAAACGGCTGGAAAAGGATTAAGTGTCACTCACGCGCGCACGAGCCGATGTGGTGTGAAACTATGACAAAAACGGACTCATTTTTGCGCAAAGTACGTGAAGATAAATAGGACATTAAAATAGGTCTGTTGTTCTGGAAATAAAACTGTATAGGACCCATTATTTGAATAGGATATCTGCATATCTTATTCAAATTTACAGTCTATAGCGCCACCATCCCTCTCACTCGGCCATTTTGGATTCCCAGCATGCATTGTAGTTAGTCAGACCATTATCATGATTTTTCATTCATTCATTCTTTATTATTTTTTACCACATCTCATTTCATTAATTAGAGATGGTGGAAGGGGATCCCCAAAAAGCGGAGCTTGTCGAGTAGAGATCCCCTTTAACATGGATTAATACAAACATTTAATGAAAAACAAATGAAAACAATTGAACGTATACATTTTAAATTGTACATAACACACGGAAAAACAATATTGCTGATCAGAAAAAAAAAGAAATACAGAGTAGTAACCCAGTAAGAAGATTAATCTGAGCTATTATAATTTGATAGTAAATTTGATTTAAGTTTGGATTTAAATAATGGAAGGCTACGAGTGCCCTGGAGTGATTTATGTAAGGACTTCCAGTACTTAGGTCCTTCATGCCTAATTGTCTTTTTATAAACAGTTGTTCTTGCAAATGAAAAGTGAAATTCTCTACGTTGTCGGGTAAAATGGTGATGTATAGTTTCGTTTCTGCAATGGGATTTGGAAGTAAATTATTATTCAAACGATGCATAAAGGCTCCAAGCTGAAGTGAATAAATGTCATTGACCTTGAGTGTTTTATGTTTACAGAAAAGAGGATTTGAATGTTCAAGTCTGTCGACAGAATTAATAACTCTCAATGCCCGTTTTTGTAGGTTAAGAATTCTATTCACATAACTAGCTGCACAATTCCCCCATGCTAGGATACCATAGTTCAAATAAGGCAAAATCAATGTATTATACAGCATAAACAGTACTTCCTGTGGGAAAAAGGCTTTGAGCTTACTAATGACACCTATATTTCTAGAGATAATAGCACAAATGTTGTTAACTTGAATTTTCCAAGAGAGAGTAGGATCAATATATAATCCCAAACATTTTACACAATCAGAATAGGGCAATTTTATGTTATCGATATATATATCAGGTAAATGGGACCATGTTTTAGCGGAAAATAGCATGCAGGTTGTTTTCTTGATATTAAGGGATAATTTGTTTGCTTTAAACCATTCAGAAATTTTAAGTAATTCTTGGTTAACTAAATCAGCAAGTACATCAATGTTGTTATGACTAAGAAATAAATTACTGTCATCAGCAAACATAATGAAGGAAAACAGATCTGATGATTTGTTAAAATCATTAATATAAATAGAGAACAGTAAAGGTCCGAGTATTGATCCTTGAGGAACTCCATGGGATATTTGTTTAAGAGAGGACTGGTGACTCTCTGAGGACACAAATTGTTGACGATTAGAAAGGTAATTCTTAAACCACTCCAGAGGAATGCCTCTAATCCCATAATAGTCAAGCTTTGTTAAAAGAATGTCATGATTAATGGTGTCAAAGGCCTTAGAGAGGTCTAAGAAAATTCCAAGCGTACTTTTAGATGAATCAAGGTTGGTTGTGATTTTGTCTACTAGCTTAATGATGGCATGTGTTGTTGAATAATTTTCTCGGAATCCGAATTGACTGTCAGATATAATATTATACTCATTTAAATATTTAGTGGTACGATTGTAAATAATTCGCTCAAGGTGCTGCCACCATTTCAGTCATGTTCCCAGTATCCAATAACAGTACTGAATGATAATGTTTTTGTGCAAAAAGGAACCAGACTATTTTCCTTCCAGCCTCGCTTCCAGCCTCGCTTTGGTTTCGTTGATTTGAATAGGATATGGTATATGGACCTCTGGTAGAAGTTAGATCACCGAATTTCATACCGATCATCCAAATCGTTTAGGAGTAGTTATAATAATTTGCATTGAGGGGGTTGTGGCCCCGCCCTCCCGATACCCATAGGGTTTACGTTAAAATCAGCCTCTGCATAAAAAAGATATTAAGCTACTCATTACGAAAGGCCATCATATATTTTTTTTTACTTATAATGATGAAACAAAGAAATGAACACCACTAAAGTTTTGCCACCTGAGGTGGTACCAACATAATTTGGACTGGCCCATGGACTAGTAGTACACTGCATAAACTGCAGTGTTAAATTTACACTGTTGGTATCTATATAGGACCATCTGGTGTTAAATTTTACTGGTGTTGTCCTATATAGATATCGAATGGTGTTAAATTAACACTACAGTTATTGCAGTGTATAGTTTCTTAAAACCAGCATCAGCGTGACAGTGGTTGAAATCTCACTTCACCAGCGCAAATGCACCACGCGGTTTATAGTGTACTCTGTTCACCTAAAACCACGGATAAAAACAAAATCTGTCAAAGTCTGCAGTAAAATGGTGCAACTGAATGCCAGCGCCATTATGTGGCTTGCTTGCCAATTATTTTGATTATTTATTATTATTTTGTCGAATGAAAATAAGGTGTGAAAACAAAACACGACAAAGTTAGTGTTGATTGTGCGCGTTCGTCGCCTGACCAAATAATCATTCACAACGACACTCAGAGATCCGTGCGTGCTTTATGTTGTAGGCTATGTAGAGCTGAAACTATAAAGCAAATAGATCAGTTGGAGGAAAAGATCAACTTATCCCGGATGTTGCTTCACCATAATCGAAATTCTGTGTCTGGTTCGAGTTGAATACAAGTGTTGCTCTCTGTCTCTGTCCGAGCTACACGAGAACACCATGGCGGCCAGGAATGCCGTTTTGGCGATGCTGTTCGTTCTTGTGGAAAGTCAACATATAAATCGTGAGTATTTTGTATCACCAGACAAGCCGGTCACTATTAGATCGATTGCATTCATCAGTCATCTTTGAGGCGTGTTAAGTTTTGTTATGATTATTCATTAACGACGCATGCTCTATGCCCTAATGAACAAAAACACTCACATCAAAGATGGTGCGGTGCAAGCGATCTGTTCGTTAAAAGCAATTAAGTGAGCGAAAAGCAAATCCCAATTTCCCCCAAAATCAAAAGTCTGCATTTTTAGCGGCTCTAGAAACCCTCGGTGTAAATAGAGCCGTGGCGCGGTGCGCCATCACCGAGTGCAGTTTTTGTTAAAGTGTCCCCAACATGCCGACTGCAGGTGATGTGATTGTGCCTTAGATGATATACAAGCATGGCATTTGGCACACAGTCAGGGTATACATGTATTATGAGAAAGATATTTGGCTATAGGGCCACCGCGGATTTATGTATATTAACTAGCAATGCCATTGCAGTTTTCAAAATGGCTGCCATCAGTGCCATGATGGCACTGATGGCAGCCATTTTGAAAACTGTGAAAATTGCTTGTTATCCCACCTATGTTTTTTTAAAGGACAAATCTGCGATGGTCCTAGTGGGGGTGCTGCATGGTCAGGCCCAATTAATAAAGGCATAATATCCTAAGACGTAATATGGCTTTGTTTACATAATCGCTTTCCTATGGGAGCGGAGTTGGGACGCCAGATGAAGTATAGGGACCGTCAACCACATATAGGAGAGCGCACATTACAAAGCGTGACGTCATTAGGTCTCAGGCCTATTCCCCCAAATGTTTCCCCTGCCCCAATAGTGTATCACAGAGGAGCTGCAGAGATTTGCCGTCAGCACCGTGACAAAAGTTCTGCTTGTGGAAGTACTATATTGAAGAATTATTGTAGGCACCTACTGCGGCGCGGCAAAGTTGCTTGTTGTGTGGTTGCTGGCACATTATAGGCAATGTGCATTTCACATCAAATGTTAAGAATTGATGTATGTGTTTGGGTTTGGTATACCATGGGTTAGCCCAGGTTGGACGACGTCTTCATTGCATTACGACTATGGAGGTGCCATAATTGGGTGCCTATTTTCGAGCGGCATCTGCATCATTTCTGATGGGCGATCCGATCCCTGTTTTCTGTTGGCAGACCCCGGCTATAAAGGCTGCTATTGGGACGAGGCCCAAATGATGAACAGCGCCTTCGGACGTTACGCTGTCAAAGACGACACCATGACGGTGGAACTGTGTCTGCAGATCTGCAAGGACCGGAACGCGAGCCTAGCCGGTCTGAGGCAACACGACCAGTGCCATTGCGGAGACAACATTCGAGAATCACGGAATTGCCAGTGCATGCAGAAATGTGGCTTTACTTGTAGCGGAAATGGAGACCAGTTTTGCGGTGGATCCTACTGGAAACCGGCCAAAACAAGGATGTCTGTTTATGACGGTTAGTTTCTGCCACGTATAGAAAATTATCACATCATGAAACTGCGCGCCGTTGAGAAGAAAACATGAAAAATTACCGACAGTTCGCGCATTATGTCCCAAAGAACTCCTTATACCTCATGTTTATCGGGTCATGAAACCACAAAATCTGTCCAATCGGTTCTCTATATACACCCTTTCGATGCATGATACTCGACATTTTGAATCATTGTTTAAAGGCAACTATCATTTGCATTTATCCAAAATAACCTGCCGAGTTATTCTCAAAGATCGCACTGGTACCAAACACCCCGTAAAATCATTCCGTCTGGCCTGCTGTCATTAATAGACGAAAGTAATCCAGGCGGTGATTTTCAACGATTGACTGATTTTTTGAAATAAATAGTGCTATAGACGAAATCGTGTTTCCGATGTGATCAAACGATTGTTCATGTTTTCCCCTTTCATTTTCACCAAAAAAGTGTAATATGCTCTGAGTGAAACTTCAACTTTTATTTATTGTAATTTTTAACGAGGGTAGTCCATTTCAGTTTAAAAAAAGTACTTTCCAAAGGAGCCCTCTTTTAAAATTACATGAAAACAGAATAAAACAAAGAAAATAAAATTACAAAAATAGACAAGACTTTACAAAAAAACCCCAACTTTACACAAAACATATAAAAACTAATAACAGAGAGCATATACCACTTATTGCTGCATGGTTAAGTGTTGAACACGGATTTTGTGAGTTGTGTTCTTATTGGTAACGAAAATGCATTTAACGCAAATGAGCCTATATGCCTTTAAAGTTGTATTACAACTTAAAGCTTTAAAATTCGTTTTTTGGTCACCTTTAAAACGAGATTATTTGTAAGGCAATATCTGTAAGATCGTTTGTGCATTCGCTCAAGAAAAAGTGCCCCAGTATTCAAGATCGAGATCTATTTTTATTTTCCACATTCGTACAAAGTCTCTTCAAGTGAATGTCCGCATCCGGGACAACCGACCCATGGCTTGGTCGACGCCGGGGATTTCTGGTTCGGGTCAGAGGTCACCTTCCGGTGTGACGTCGGCTTCCAGATCCATGGCAACCGCTCCGCGCAGTGCATCCTGGATGAATCCGGCAACGTCACGTGGTCTTATCAGACGAGTCCAGCATGCCTCGCGTTGACAAGTGCAGGTATTCGGCTCAATCGGCTGATGGTCAGAACCACATGCCGTGAACCAGCTTTTTAGTCGGCTAATCAGAATCGCGCAAAGTCTAAACATTTGAAAATTTGGCCAATCAAATCGTGCAAAACTTTTATATGAACCAATTAGAACACGCAGAATCTCGCAGCTCGTTAGAAATGTTGAATAGGAAGGCACACAGTTAAGTGACAAATCACTAATTCGCTCGATAAAATAGTACAAAAAAAGCATCTTAGCTTTTTTTTTGTGGTGTGCGTGAAGTCGCTTGGCCTTTACTTCCGGGACTACCGGAAGGTCAAAGTTAGGTGAATTCCAAATATAGACATGAGCCAGCCCTCAAATCAAAACAAACCAAAATGTCTTTGGAAGAATGGAAGAATGTCTTGGCTCTGTCTACGAGAGATGGCTTGAGACTCTAGCCTGTGCCCCATTTTGTTTATATTTATTTTAAATTAGGTCTATACATTATAATGTAATTCTCCGTTTTTGTTTTTAATAAGAGTATTGTCTTATCGTCGTCTTATCATCGTTTTGGTTCTTCCTTCAAACAGCGCCGCCTGCAGGTTCGTCTGTCGGTGGAGAGTACGAGGTTTCTGAAGTTACCAAAGGTATAATAACGTCCTTAGATATTTTACGGAAAATATCAAAGTAAACTCAAGTTAACATCCCCTTAAGTTTCTGCTTTTAAACCCTACACGAAGCTAAGGTGAGCCGTTTTGGTACACGGATATCAGTTGTGTTAAAAACAGCCAGGGCCCGACCGTCCGGGACTTTCAAGGATTGTACCAATGATTACAGACTATCTATGGGTCAGTCTCCCCGGTCCCTCAGGCACAAGTTGTTAATTTTGGCGAAAATTGAGTCTCACTCTTACAATTTCTCTCATATATAAATTAGTCTGGTTTTGCTTCTTTCTTCTAACAGCAACGGCAGTTGCAGCCCCTGGTAGTGGAGACTACGGGAATTCCGGCCCAACCAAAGGTATCAGAACGGCTTATTAACTGCATGAAACATAGTTGGAACACGTCAGTTTAATCAGTTCACTTGAACTGTCAAAAATATAGTATCTAATTTATTCACGAGTCGGCCATATTAAATTGAAAGAGAGGTAAACTCTTCATTTTTGGAACTTGGGAATAGAATTGAAAGCAGCGCCATAAAGTTAATTACAAATTAATACCAGTCTGCTCTGCTGAATAATTTAAATCTTGTAATTCAACTTATCCTAATGTTTAAAGCCACATTAAAAGAAATAAAAATGAGGCTCGGAACGCATAAATAGCTTTGCGCCATCCTATTCAACAGTTTACAATGGACCGATCCAGTAAGCACCGCCTCATGGTGTTCTGACCAATCACAGCCGTGATTCATGTCCGACGTGCGTGCACTAAAGTCCGACATATGCGTGCACGCGCGTATGATGCGCGCGGAAGGAAAATGCAGCGTGGCATTGGAGAGGAGCACGTGTTAATTTGCCTACGTGCGCACTGGGCGGAGCTTACTGGATCGGTCCATTTATAAAATACATTCAGAGAATTGATCAAAAATGGCTTCCTCATGAATAAGGTGTGCTTATTGGCGAAAAGAATCACGTGACCTCTGATATCCCGGAAAGGAGACGACTCGATTTGGGCGGGAAGTTTTCTCCAACACCGCTCCAAAACGTCTGATAATAGTTCTGTATATAACTTCAATTCCAACTATTTTTTTTGTTTGCCTTTATGCAGACGAAGTTGTCGCCATGTCGGTAGGCCTGTCGGTCTTGGCCGTTGCTGTTCTCGTGGGCGCCTTGTGTGGAGTCTACGTCTTCAAATGGTAGGTACCTACACGCTCATTTTGTAATGCAGCTTTTGAAGATTTTTTCTTGGTTGGTGCAAGTCAATGATTGAGAATCCCTAACTGAAACAATGTATCGTTTCAACAATTCAAACAAAAAATTAGGCGAAGAGTGCACGACAAGTCAAGAATGGATCATACTGCGGCTGGCCAAATCAAGCCTGTTGGGGGCGCCCGAGGGTCTGACGCTACCAGGAGCGTTCAGTCGTACGTGAACACCACCTACGACATGATGCAGATAGCATCGGTAGACGCGTCCCCTTACGAGAACGTGCAGCAGCCGCTGACCCCTGAGAGAGAGGAAGTCACCCTTTCCACCGGCGTCGTAGACGAGCCTACTCCTGGGAACGAAGTTGATGGTTGCCATGTTGGTGACGCACGCGCACTGGACGATGTCAAAACTGGGGATGGTGGCCAAGAGGAGAACGGGTACCAGTTACCGGCAGAGAAAAGTACAAACCCTGACGAAGGATGGGTGGAGAACATCATTTATGAGAGTGCGGACAAGTAGCCTCATTAAGGGTGTTCATTATTCCACTGGGTAGCATTTCAGCGGCCAGAAAAAGACAGCGCAGTTTTTAAAATGTGTGCCAGCGCATCTCCAAAAACGCGCCATATTTTTTTCTCAACAGGCTTTGTTCTCGCTTTGAGAAAAAAAAAAAAACTGAATTTTTGTGTTGCCGGTGTCATATGAAGATCAGACTCTTCATGAAATTACTTGTGACCCTTTTATTAGTTCAACCCTCTCACGTGATCGGTCACCTCATAATTATCTTCGGTTATAGGCATGCGCAATAGTACCGTACCAATGAATCCGTACTTCACATTTCTAAATTCAAGCTACACTTGCTCAGCCATCAACTATCCACTCTGTTCACAAACACCCCCTCACCGGCAAAGGAAGTACAGTTGGGGGTGACCGACCGACGCCATCTTGCCTGACTGCAATTCGTTTGCCGCGAAGCGCGGCCACTGCGTGTGAATAAGTACAAATCCCCTGGTGTACGTGCGTCACACACAAGGAACGGTGCGCGTGAACCATCGAAATGTCCCGCCCATAGAACGTCGTTGTTAGTAAAAGGGCGCCCTCTTTTGGTAGCGCACGGAGCTCATAGACCTTTATCATGCTGCCACCATTTCATTTCAGTTCCCTGTATCCATTATTTAAAAGTATCGCCCCAAAATGTTCCCCCAAACCACCCACTATAATGGGAGAATTGATTTATAAGCACCCAGCCGATGGGTAAATCGCCACCGTAGAAAAGAAGAGCTCCTATATGCTGAACAGCGCCACCTATTGTCAAATGATCACGCAGCTTTTCGAATGGGCTCATGAACATGAGGGCGCTCTATCAAACTAGTTTGAGGATAAAAAAAAACCCTGTTAGACTACATGTTGCTACATTGATTTTATTTCAGAATTACATTTTGACATTTTGGGTTTTTTTTTGGGGGGGGGTGGTTAGGTAAAAGGTACATAACTGCTGTAATGAACGGAATTTTCTAAGAGTTTTTTTAGTAGAACAGTGCTCTTCACAGCCCCCTATTCATTGATATTATGACCCATTTTCAACCACCGGAAAAAAAAAACCATGTTCATCATCCAACAGTCATCGACAGAAAGTTTCGCCCTTTTCCTTTTCCCCCAAAATATCCACACTCGAAATCTCAAAGAGGTCATGCCATGGATTTTGAACTAAACACACTTTTGAAAAAAAAAATATCAGCTAATCTTACATCAGCAATAAACATGACGAGACACTTTTCGGTTGAAATATATTTTTTTAGCATTTTTTTTCACAGGGTACTATAATTAAGATATACTATTTCGTGATACCCCCCCACAAAAAAAGTTACCATGATTTGAAATGCAAGCCCTACAGTTTTACACCGACACTAATATACAATGTTAGATATCAGGTTTGAAACACTCGATTATGACACACAAAACGTATCAAGTATGATGACTTTTTGTTGCAAATTTCTCTCTGCTGTTTTAATGGTATTGATACATCTTCAAATGTTAAGCATACATGCTATATGTAAAAGAGTACATAGGTTTCATTTTTCATAGGTACATATGAATTTGTGTGTTCCTTGTGAAATATGGAAGAGTTTTGTTTTATTTATCGAAACTACAGACCAATTTGATAACACCGGCTTGAATACCTGAAAGATTAGTGAAGCACTCCAAGGACAAAATATGAAAAATAAATCACTTGCTTGTGGGGTTGTAAATTGCATGAATTATGACCGAGTTAAATTTGACTAAAAACGTTCGTTTTTTTCAGAATGCCACTCTGTTGGTAATTGCTATTGAAAAAAATAATAAAATCGCCATAATCATGATCGATACATCTTTTTTTGTTGTTTTCATCATCTTTCTATAATTATACTATTCAAAAAAACTCCCCTGGAGTAAATACTCGCACGGTTTTAGTGGTTCGTATTTTATTTTGTGCTTAATTGTTAAGCCTACTTTGAGGTATCTGCCAATGCCTTGATAGTTGCCTGGTTCAGCTTGCCTGCCGGCACCCGGACAATCAAGGCTCCAACCCCGGTCTTCTTGACCAGGATAGTGCCGCTCCTGTTCCCGAATCGGACCACGGCCTGGCTGGCGGTGCTCATAAACAGACGGTATGTTTTGCTGTCCACCTTCAGCCCTGCGCTCTCGAACATCTGGTAGCGCCCGTTCTTGACAGCGCCGGCGATTTTAGCCTTATCGTCGTCCGATAGCGGTACCGCTCCTTGCCCGCCCGACGCCAACAGTTTACCGCTGGTCATGTCTAGGACGGAGAGGCGCTCAATGGATGACGTGCCGTCGCTTGCCGACGCTGCAGTCATCAGGCGTTGCACGTACTCTTGGGCGTCCTGTGTTTAATTTGGAGACAAGAGAAAGAAACTTCCTTTGTAAAAATATATTTATTCATGCAGGACAGATTAGGCCAAAAAAAAAAAATATTCGGTCTCTGGTCAGACCAAAGTTCCGGAATTGACGCGGCCACGCGGCTTTTTTTTCTCTTTTTTTTCTTCTTTTCTTCAAGCTTGGATTGTACAGACAAGGTGGGGTACTATTTTGCTTTTTTGGTGTCCTCATGTACATTGGTGTCCTCCATAATTTACCTTGGTGCTTTCGATCATTTGCCTTGATGCAATTTCCCATTCCTTGGTGCTCTTTGGTAAAAAAAAATTGAGGAGGTGCGGAAATAGAGGGCGCTGTTGGAGCTACCGCGGAACATTTTGGAAAAAAAAAGATTGACGCGCATGATTAAAATCGACGCGCGCGCTGACCAGAGACCGACTTATTTTTTTTTTGGCCTTAGACCCGACACGTTCTCTTCGGCGTCAAAATGACAATTCGCGAGTAAAACTGACACATTTTGTATCCGTCTGTGCCAAAAAGAACGTTTCGTGTCGAAAAAAAATTGACTCATTCGAAAATCTTGGGCGTCCTGTGTGCGTGTGTTTGATTTGGAGGCAAGAGAAAGAAACTTCCTTTGTTAAAATATATTTATTCATGCAGGTCAGATTTGACTCACACGTACTCTTCGGCGTCAAATTTCGACAATTTCTCGAGTAAAACTGACATGTCATGCATGGGAAAGAATTCCACACCTGGACATCACTAGTCTTGACATCCTGTGCACCAACACTATGAGACTTGTCTGAAAAAATTCTAAGTTTTTTCCCAGTAAATGTTTCAATATTTTCCCTGCTAAATTTGACTTTTTACGACATGTTATCGCTTTCTGATGCATGGTTGACAGGGAAAAATAGGTGATGACCATAACTGTATGGAATGCTTTCCGACACATTATGTACGTCTGTGTCAAGCAGACAATTTTTCGTGTCGAAAACAAAATTGACTCATTCGAAAACAGGGAAAGATTCCCATATCTGGCCATCACTTGTCACCCTGTGCACAAACCCTATAAGACTGGTCTGAAAATTTCTAATTGTTTTCTCGGTAAATACTTAAGTTTTCCCACCTAAATTTGACTTTTTAGGACATATTATTACTCTCTGGCGGCTGATAGGTCATCACTGAAGGGAAAAATTAGTGATGGCCAGATATGGGAATCTTTCCAATTTTTAAGATCATCACTGAAGGGAAAAATTAGTGATGGCCAGATATGGGAATCTTTCCATTTTTAAGAGTGCAGGGTCATTTTATTTGTTTTTTGGTGTGAGGGGGGAGGATGTTGGGATATGCCAGGGTTATTTTGTGGATGGGCACAAGTCTGTATTCTTTCAAAGTGCACATCATAATGTCGATTAGCTATCTTTGTAAAAAGTTGGAATTTTGGGGACATTTCTTATTTTGTTGAGGGGAAATGACTGACATGTTGCGTTTCACGTACCTGCACAGCCCGGGCGTGCATTTGGTTGAGTACCCGCCGAAGCAGGCTGTCCAGCGTGTCGCTCTCGGCATTGCCAACGACGAGCGCGCTGGCTACCAGCGAGACGAGGAACACACACTTCAATCCTACCATGATGAGTTCTGGAAACCAACGAAAAGAGAAAACAACGTTAAATATTACAGAGCGCCAAAATATTACTTTCAACATAATTCGAAAGACAAAAACCGGCTGAATGCGTGGGAGAGAAACATTTCCACGTTTTATTCGAAACTCTTCACGGAATTGCAATTGGTCACGTCTCTCCGTAGACTTTGTTGACAACTTTAAAGAACGGAATTTTTTTCGGAGACGTTAAAAGAAATAAAATCGGAAAAGGTAAGAAAGTATGGGAAAGAACGTTGCAACCTGATGCCACTTTTGTCTTCATCATCTCATTGAAGGTCAGTCATTGCAAAAATGATGACAAGACATGAATCTGAGCCCTGAAAAACATTTCCAATTTTGTTAGGAAATACTTAGAATTTTTTCTTGCCTTTTACATTCCAAAATGTGATAAGATTCGCTAAAATGAAATATACATCGGAATTCCGCTAAATAAATTTAATTCATGTGGGGAAAACACCTCGAAATAAACTGAATACATGATCCAGTCATTCCAACGAACAACGATAAAATGGAAAAGAGTTCCATACTACTTACTAGGGACATAACTTGACAACCTGTACACAAACCCTATGAGACTGGTCTGAAAGATTCCAAGTTCTCAGAAAATGCGTCAATATTTTCCCTGCTAAATTTGACTTTTTAGGACATGTTATGGATGATAAGTCACTGCGGGCAAAAATGAGTGATGTCCATAATACGGAATTCTTCCCAAATTCCTAACTGTCTATTTATCCCCTCCAAAAAAAAAAAAATATATTTTACCTTTTTCAGGCGCAGGCGGTTCTTGCACGATGCTATACTGTTCGAGCTGATCCTTCGAAATGACGAGTTGACTGCTTGAGGAGGGTTACGCCCAACTCGGCTTATTTTCACCCGATTTTGCAGTTACGTAACGAAATCACCTCTCAACGAATAATTTGTGTTTTTTTCTCGCAGCGGCAGGGCAGAATCTTTAGAATTGATCCTGAAAGCATCTGGCGCAGTATACAAACAGCCATTTCAAGGACTTGTGTGTGGGCCTAATCTCTTTTTTCCCCCAAAGAGGAAAAAATCACTCTTAACCGACTGAAACTTGGTACAACAACTCGGCAGATAGGTAATGGATTGTGCCTTTGATAGAAATATAATCATGGCAGTTGGTGCACAGAGTATGTCATAGGACATACATTTGGCTATGGGGCCATAGCAGATTTGTCCTTTAAAAAAAATATAAGTGGAATAACAGGCAATGGCAGCCATTTTTGAAAATGTTAAATTGTGACAAGTTTTCCTTTACATGGCGGGCAAATTTTACGTTTGCAGGTTAGGCAAAACAAGTGGTCGGATATCGTCATTGAATGAAAGTTCGGATTTCAGTATTTCTTGGAGTTAATAATTATTCAGGTGGGTCATGATTTTTAAAGGCATTTATAACTCCTCAGCTGCCCAGTTTTGCGTGCCTGTGCTTTTTATGACGCTGAAATTGTTCACGATGTTTTCATTACAGTGAATGTAATGAACATGAAGCTCGTTAATTAGCAAAGCTTGTGCGGGAAAAAATGTGTTTTTTGTGTGTTGCGTAGGCTTTCAACATTTCTTGGGTCCAGAATCTCCCATCACCTTAATCCCAACCTGCTGGTATTTCTGCAAAAAAAAAGTTGCATGGTCTATGCATACAACATACCACGCACGACAAGACATACATAATAATAAAGAGTACTTGGAATAAGACTTTTTCAAGCGGTTCTTTTTTTGAAAAGCAAAGTGAAAAAAATCACCGACTGAACATAATTAATGGTGCTTCTATTGTGGAGTTGGTGTATTTACGCCAACGTCTCCATTCTCCTTACAATGAACTCGTTTTCTGGAGGTACAAAAGAGGACGATTTGATGCCTTTCTTCAAGGATAACACGATTTGTCTGCGAGCTTATACGGTCGCTCGGTAATCACCCCGTACAATCGTGAGAGGGCGAAGAGGGTAGATGAAGCGCGGCTGTGCACAATAAAGTAGCGCCTGTCTCGCTTTTTTGGTGTAAGTCTGTGAAAAGTCATGACACAGCGCCGGCGCCTTTTGTAAATGAGGGAGAATGGTATTATCAGTCATTCGTAATTGTCTGTTTCGCCAGTGAAAGTGTTCTGCGTGCGGGGGTGGGGTGTGGAAGGCCATGCTGGAGGGGGGGGGGGTGTTTTGAAATCTCCTGTATTGCAATTCAAGAATAAATCTAGAAACTGTATTCCATTAAATTGTATTATCTTTTTGGCCCCTTTTCAAAGGCAAATTCAGAACATTTTTTTTTTTTGGGGGGGAGGGTTTGGGGTGGCGAGGGTCTATAGATCAGCTAGTTTTCGGCATGATCTTGCTTTGGTGAGTTTGTCAGCTTTTCTTTTCCTCAATGTTCCTATATATTCTGAAAAGAATGCGGTGAGTTTTCGTTGGCTATAGTGATGAGATTATCGGCCAAGTTTTTGGCCTTAATGCGCAAATACTGCAGATTCTTTGGATTGGTGATTATCTGGATCTTCGGATTACTGAAATCTGGATCAAAGATCATCGTTTCCTTGCAAGTATGCGAACGAGGAAAGTAAAGCCGATATCGGATCGATATCGTGAATACCAGTTTTTTTAAAGGATTTATGACGGGTGTATTTTTGCATGGGGCCTATTATTGACTGAATCTGAATGTAATGGACCGTTTCCATGGATGCCGCCATCTTGAATTAACTTTGGTGTTTACATGGGTTGCATAAGAGTGTGGGTACCACTTTCGAAATATTTGCGTGCGCTGTTTTCTCCGAGAGGCGGATGGAGCGAAGACCATGTCCACAGCTTCACCAAATTACCGCCAGTCAGCTCAATGGCCTTGTCAAGTTGTCAAAAGGTTATTTATCGTGAGGAACACTAATAAGTGACATTGTAATGGTCGACAGCGCCTTGAAAAATAATGCGCTATGCATGATTTAATTTGTAACATCGATCGATTTTTAGTTGTTGGGCATTTTATCGGAATGACGCATGGAGTAAGACCAACTGGCACAGAGTAAAAAAAAAAAGAAGCCTGTTGCAATGTGTTTCCTGAACAAGCAGACCATAAATACAACCTGTTGCTTATATAAATGTACTAATGGGCGCCCTTCGGGTCTATTACCGTGGGGCGGGGAGGGGGGAGGGACGGGAATTAAGTTCCAAGACAGACAATTGTGTACAACTCGCACAAGTCACCGGCGCTAGCGCTATATACGCAGTGCCGTCCCCACTTCAAAAACACTGGGAGGGGAACATGATCATCGCACGCCGTCCCGGCTGCTCTCCGTTGTGTATGTAATGGACTGATCCAGTAAGCACCGCCCCATGGTGTTCTGACAAATAACAGCCGTGATTTATGTCCGACATGCGTGCACAAAAGTCCGACGTGCGTGCACGCGCGTTACGCGCGTATGATGCGCGCGGCAGGAAAGTGCAGTGTGGCATTGGAGAGGAGCACGTGTTAATTTGCCCAGTGCGCAGTGGGCGGGGCTTACTGGATCGGTCCATTGTTGGAGTGATTTCGTCTTCTTCTGCAAATTTGTATTCATACTACACCTTCTTTTCCGAGTTTGATATTCTGTGTTTATTTGATTTGACCAAGTTTTTTGTGCATAGAGACGAACCCTTTCAGTACATCGTCTTCGACATGTTTCATTTTTTTTACATTAATATCTGTTAGGGGGGCTAGCTAGCAGGGGTGGATCTTGGCAGGGAGGCAAGCTGAAATTTAGACCAGTTCTTTTCTCCGGATACTTTATAGCCTCCGACCATTAATGTGGGGGGGGGGGGGGGGAGGGGGGGGGGGAGGGGGGGGGGGGCTCGTACCATATTTTCAATGGGGGAGTGTCAATCATAATACCGAATGCAGTACACTACGTATACCTTCTCACGAATGGGGGGAGGGGAAGTTTGACACAAAAACAAACCAACACCCTCTGCCGTGGATCCTCGCCTGGCTGGCTATTGCGAATATTAAGGGGTAGACCGTTGACATGTGACGTCATCTTCTAACATTCGTTATTGCTATTTCATTTTTTTTGGGGGGGGAGGCTAAACAAAAGTTTGGGCTAAAGCCCCCTCCCCCTAGAACCGCGCCTGATAGTATTATGGTACTGATGGATGGCGGGCCCCGCATGACTGGTTCGAATTCTGACCTTGAAAAAGTACTACCCTGACTAGACTACCGTATTGTTGATGTACCCTAACGTGGCGCGGCCCCCAACGTGGCGCACTTTGATTTTTTTGCCTGTAGCGCCTAGCTAGCTAGAGCAACAGTTTTAACTGAAATTTCACAGAGAGTGACATTTCATCAAGTTCTAAACACTCCCGTTCATAAATCGCGAGTTTATTTACCCGTTACAAAGTTAGAAAATAAACTTATTTTAGCGTGATTTTCCGATTTTATTTTCAAGTGCAAAGTGAACACTTTGAAAATGCCCCGAAAACATAAGAAAATAATTTTCTGACAAACATCTGGCTGTGTATGTAAGTAGAGATAATAATGATTTATCAGAATTTATCAAGTTAACAGAAATTCTTAAATGTTAATTTGGAAATTTCCGAGATTTATTTAAGTGCGCCACGTTAGGGAACACTCCGCGAATTTGTGCCCAATTTCTCGACGCCACCGTTTTGGAATTTCGGATTAAATTTTATGAAACCGAAATTGTTCACAGAGGTTAAAGGGAATATACATCATTTGCTTTTGCTGTAATTTTCAGAAATAGATGGAATTGGGGGGTTGGAAATATATAGCAAATATAGTTACACTGACTTTTTTGAGATTTTGGGTTCGAAAATGCTAAAAACCAAGAAAAACAATCATTTTCATGTAGTCTGGTTCCCTGACTCCATATACGAAGAAACGGAGCAGTTTACATACATTGGTGAATTGTAAGGTCAGGGAACCAGTCTAGCTGGCTTGTACCCGTTTATAGGTGTGTAATCGATTGCAAACAAGTGCGATGGTCAATTGGGGCCAGTATTTGAAAAAAGCCAGTTTTTTTCCAACGCTGGTCGGCCGACCAGCGTTGGAAATTGATACAAAAATACCACTTTTCTTGAAAATGACAGTATACCACTACCAGGTGCCATGATTTTACAGGATATGCTTTACACTGTCATTCACTAAAAGTCCAGCAAGGTATTTCATAATGATTTGGTAGTTTTTTGATGTTTGCAAATGTTGTATTTTCCCTTTAAATAGCACGCATTAATAAGGTCAAAGTACCAGTATGTTATAACGTTACTGCATGCATTTGAGATTTGTCAACAAAATAGGTTTGGCAACACTACTCGAGGAAAGTTGGGTAAGCTTCGAAGTGCGCCACGTTAGGGAACACGACTATATACCGCGAGAACATTGGGGGCGCTCTATTGTGATGACATCGACATATAACCGTGCGTGCATATCATCTGATCATGACAAGCATTATTTTGTGCAAAGAGAGTCCGATGCCAGCTGATCAGCTGATGGCTGAATGATGCATCGATCATGGGGGAATAAAAACATCGATCAAGTTTAAAAAGACAGAAACTCAACTACAGTGTTTAGTGGAAAACCAAGCCAAAGTAAGCTTTTCCTCACATGTTGCAAAATATGTACTTGTCATTTTTCAAGGCTGGCATGGCTGGGTTGGGGCAACCTTGAAATTATAATTCTGCGCAAAAATTACTGCATTTAGTAATGTTAATTGCGAAAAATTAATATTATCAAAGTTCATAAAGTACAAATGATACCTTGTTCGTATGAATAAAACATGGTAATTGCTTTTACTACTAATTGTTAAGCATTTACTCGCATCTGTATGAAAATTTAGCAAACGCTTTTACTGAACTGTTTGCTCAAATATGAAAATTTTTACTCTGTACCTTTTGGTACAGCGTTTAAAATGAATAAAAAGTGAGTTAATGTTTCAGTTTTCAAATATTTACTTGTCATATTTCAAGGCTGGGTTGGGGCTACCTTGAAAATATACCAGCACATTATGCGCAAACATTACTGCATTTATTAATGTTAATCGCGAAAAATTAATATTAACAAAGTTTAGAAAGTACAAATGATACCATAGTTCTCATGAATAACAACTGGCATTTGCATAGACTACCGATTTTGAAACATTTGCTGGCATCTGTATATGAATACAAATTAAGCAAACGCTTTTACAGAAAACCATCTGCTCTTGAGATAATGTGATCAAACTCATATGCAATGTATCCAATGAATTTGTCGGTTGCTGAATGAAACATGTTCATGTTCAATATCTTTGAAAGTCCCAAAACATTTGCTGCGCATACTTGTCCAGTCATTGCCGTTACGAGAGCGATAAACATCAGGGACTGGTTCAGGATGAAATATACTCTGCCTACCAACTTACGGCTATAATCTGATTTGTTCTTGTTTATTTTGGATTACAGTGGGATTTGGCCGTTTCGGTGTGTATAGCGTATTATGAAAGCTGTCTACTATGCACCAGGTACATGTGCGATGACTGAGATGCCCGAAGCAACAGACATGTCGGATACAGAAATCCTCGTGAAAAACGATGACGAAGAGACAGAGTGGGTCGGGGACCGGCTAAGGGCCAGCCGGCGCTGGATCACCATCGAGCCGGTAATCTTCACGTGCCTGATCGCCTACGGCACCATCCAAACCCTGCGCACCGAGTACATGCGCCTGCTGATATCCCGCGAGCACGGCGTGAACGGGACCGACGTGGACACGGGCTGCAGCGAGAACACCTCCAGCCCCGAGTACCGGCTGGAGCAGCGCATCCAGTCCGAGACCTCGCTGCGCGTCATGTACCTCCTCGCCTGCAGCGCTGGCCTGAACATCCTCTCGGCGCCGCTTCTGAGCACGTGGAGCGACCACGCGGGACGCAAGGCGGCGCTGTTCATCTGCAGCTTCGGGATCTTTGTGAACTGCGCCGTCTACTTGGCTGTGACGGGCTTCCACCTGTCCGCGAATTTTCTCTTCATCGGCGAGTGCGCTCAGGTACGACAGAGACGTTATTACTTTACAGCTGTATGGCATACTAGTTCATGGCTTCTGACTAGCGCCCGTTGAACAAAGGTATTGACTGATATATGTCTCTCTCAAATGACGTCATTTCCTACAGACCATCCACGTGCATCGGCATTTTGAGCGTCAACTTGCATAACGCGCATCGGCTGCGTCATATTTCGAACACATTTCGAGCAATAAGCACTCGTGTTTGGAACATTTTTAACACTGCGCAATGCTTGATTGCGTAAAATGCGCAGTTGCAGTTCTTCTACAGAGATGGCCGTCATTGAGCGAGCCCCTTTTGGGGAACCGCCAACATAGGGCTGGATAGCTCAGTTGGTAGAGCACTGGAACGGTTATCCGGAGGTTACAGGTTGAAGCCCCGCTCCTGTCAATTTCTTTGTTCAACTACATTTTTGATTGTGTAAGATTCTAGAAGTAGTTCCCCTTATTGTTTTACCCGTGTCAAGTATAAATGCGTTGCTCCCATTTGTTCCTTTTTTTTGGGGGGGGGGGGAATACACAGGGCCTGACTGGCAGTTTGATCCTCGTTATAGCGGTCTCGCTGGCATACATAGCGGACGTCACGACCAAGAACAGGCGCATGTTTCGCTTCGTCGTCATCGACACCACGCTGTTCTTCGCCATCGCGGTCTCCCAGGTGGCCATGGGATACGTGGTGAAGTATTTCGGGTTTGTCCCGCCTTTTGCGACGATGTGCGCAGCTTGCGGGCTGTCAATCCTATACATCGTGATACCCCAGTTGCTGCTGGAGACGCGCGAGAAAGACACAAATGGCTCTTCAGGTGAGTCAATATCTTGCAAAATTGCTCAGAAAAATGTACTTGCATTATAAATGTTACTGGTATGACGTTGACAGCTGCAAGTCCTCTGAAGAACTCCACTGTCGATGCATACAGCCCCCCTAGCAAGAATGCTCCAGAGGGCCAGCCTATCCGCTCCGTTCACAAGTACCCCCTCACAGGCAAACAAAGTACAGTTGGGGGTGACCGACTGACGCCATCTTGCCTGACTGCAATTTTGCCGCGACGTTCGGCCGTACCACTGCATGTACATAGTACAAATCCCCTGGTGTATGTGCGTCACACACAAGGAACGATGCGCGTTAACCAGCTAAATGTCCTGCCCATGGGACGTCGTTGCTAGGTAAAAGGGCGCCCTCTTTTGTTGGCGCACGGAGCCCATACAGTATGTCCCCCAAAAAGTGTCCCTCTGACTATTTTGGAAGTAACTGCAAAAACGTTCAAGTCAATTTTGAATTATTCAAATTTCACTCGCAAATGGCTTTTTATTCTTACCATTGCACTCATAAACATTCCTTATTCGTATACTGCAAAACATTTTGATGGATGTGATTTCGTGCGATCACAATGCAGTGCGCCACCAAGAGTTTGCCACGGAGAGTTCATTTTTCCCAGTGCATTGTGGGAGATGGTCGACAAATTCGCGGCGCGGGACATTTGAAATTGTTAGTTTTTTCGGTCAGTAGTTTCGTAAGCATATAATTCGAGGATCTGTTTGCCCTCTTCTTTTCTAGTTATCAATATGGTGTTTTTTGTAAGGCGGCAGAACGCTATGCCCCATTCTACAACATATTAGCTCAAGTTGTCTACTGACACTCATTCAAATGGGCAATGTTTTGTCGACCGTAAACTTGAAAAATGGACTCTCCATGGCAAACTCTTGGTGGCGCACTGCATTGTGAATCGCCCGAATTAATGCATGTACTAATTCTGTGCAGGTATATTTTTCTATCCCCATGGTAATACATTTGTTCAATTCTTGTTTCTTCACTATCGCCAGCCACGAAGCAGTTATCGGCGATGTTCAAGAGCCTCGTTGTGGTGCTTAGCGTCAAAGAGGGCAGCAGACATATCCGCCTTGCCCTCCTGATTATGACAAGTTTCTTCTTCACTCTAATGTTCAATGTGAATATCAGGCATCAATTTGTTTTTTTTTCAATAGAACCTGAGAGCCAGAAATGAACAAATCGCACATTTTTCGTGAATTAATTTTTCTGTTGATCGACTTATTTTGGCCAAGTTCGCGCAAGGACTATAGTTGACCAATGGTTAACTAACATTTGCCCGAACTCTGTCTAGTCGATGGTGGTTGACTACGCTAGTCGACTATTTGGAACCAGCCTACTGGGGTTGGTTGCTTCGCAGGTAACCAATAGCCGCGCGCATTCATAACGCTAGCAGAGAGCCAGGATCCAGAAGTTTTGCGATGACATTTTGACCAGCGTTTGACTAGAGACATTCGCACGTTGCTATCAGTGCGCAGGCGTAAGGTACGTCACAAATCAACCACTAGTCGACTAATGGTCCTTGCCCGAACTTGGCCTGAGTTGTTCATCCACATTGGGGAGTGTGGCCTAGTGGTTAGGGTTCGTGACTCGTGACTCGGGATCAGTGGGTCAGGGGTTCAAATCCAGCTGCTGGCCAAGTGTTGTGTCCTTGGGCAAGCCAGTTCGCCTCAACTTGCCTCTCTCTCCACCCACGAGTATAAAATGAAACCAACGTTAGCTTGGGAGTAACCTGCGATGGACTGGCATCCCATCCAGGGGGAATAGAAATAATCTCAGTCGTTTCATGCCAAGAAACCGGAGATAAATGCCGGCCTGATGGGCCATATTGTTTTTTGCTCGGATGTAGCCTCAATCCTGCAAAATTCTCCAATTGGCATCATGGAAAAAAAGCATATAGCCTCAATCCTGCAAATTCCTGCATTATTTCTTGAATATGGTCTGTGGAGGGGTGACCACTGCCTCAATCCTGCAAAATCCTGCGGCAGTGACTGTCAATATGTTGAGGCTTGGCCAGTGACATCGTGGAGCAGTATGGAGGATTTCAAGCATAATCTAGGCCTATATTTATGCATGGCTTAGCCAAAACAACACAAGGTCCGACCCAAGATCTTGACAAAGTGCATCCTGCAAAATCAGTAACACACTTTTAACCTCAATCCTCCTAAATTCCTCCACTTTGGCAAAGAGGATTTTGAAGGATTTAGGGCGGTTAAGCTTGATATTTTTTTAAAACTTGTAGGGAGCTATGGGTACGTCGGTCTTGCTTGGGCTGGGCTCGCCCATTTGTTGGTCTACAATAACAGTAGGAATCTTCACAGCTGTCACCTTGTTTGTAGGTTGCCTAGGTAAGTACATTTTTTCCCCCGTCCATTCATATGTGAAACGTTCTGGCAAAAATGAGGAAAAAAAATGTTGCGACCTGACGCCACTTTTTTCTTCGTAACATTATCCTAATGAAGGTCATTGCAAAAATGATGATAAGACATGAATCTGGGACTGAGAAACATTTCCAATTTTGTTAGGAAGTGGGGTCAGGTTGCAACATTCTTTCCAAAATGAGACAGAACTGGGCAGAGGTTGGAAGAAGGGTTTGTGGGTATTAGGAAAGAGAATAAAATTCTCCTTACAATACTTCAATCAGGCATTCTGTTGACAAGTTATGGCTGTTTAAAGTTCACTTTTAATCGACATGTCAAAAAAGTCGAATACAGAGTAAAAGGCCCTTAAAGGTCCAAGTTTTGTAGTCGTGAAAATGAAAGATGCAATTTGATTTGTCATTAAAACCACGTTTATTCCACAATTCGTGAACAATTTCTGTTAAAATACGTGTAGTAGACATATCAAAGATTACAACTATCCGTAAATCTGAAAATCGAAAACAAAAGTCCTCGTTCGCTTTTTTGGCATTTTTCTCCACTACGACTTGGGCCCAGTTCTGTCTCATTTTGCGAGAATGCCTCACATGTTTTCGAATTTGGACAAAGTCCTTATGATATTATCCTTATTATCCTTATGATACATCGTCAACTCAAGCAACGCCTTTTTTGAGTCGACAAACTGACTGATACATTCTTCCCACCCCATCCGCAATTACTGCAGTGCTGTAATCTATGATCCCCTCCCCCAAACCAACAACCGAATCTTCTTTTTTCACCATCCTTTTCTTCCAGGACTCCTTGTCGGTGGGTTGACCCTTCCCCGTTGTCTCAAGGAACATTGGATCCTCTATCTTAGCTGCTTGAGTTCCGTTGGCTGCTATCTCCTGACGGGGTTCGCCACCTCGTCGCTCTTCATGTTCATGGGTAAAAAAAAAACTACATTTGAGAAACCAGTCAATCACAAGTCTGTTGGAAATCGCAAGTCAACTCCTGTGTCCTGGTGGAGACACTTGTGATGGATCACTTGTCAGCACAAGACGGTCACAAGTCTGTCACGGACTTGTGGTTGAGTTGTGATTGAGTTGTGATTGAGTTGTGATGGACTTGTGATTGACTTGTGATTGACTTATGATTGACTTGTAGTTGACTCGTGATTGACTTATGATCGACTTGTGATTGGCTTGTGATTGACTTGTGATTGGCTTGTGATGGACTTGTGATGGCCATGTGATTGACTTGCGATTGACTTATGATTGACTTGTGATAGACTTGTGATAGACTTGGGATTGACTTGTGATTGGCTTGGGATTGACTTGTGATTGGCTTGTGATTGGCTTGTGATTGGCTTGGGATTGACTTGTGATTGACTTGTGATTGACTCGTGATTGGCTTGTGATTGGCTTGTGATTGGCTTGTGATTGGCTTGTGATTGGCTTGTGATTGACTTGTGATGGACTTGTGATTGGCTTCTGATTGACTTGTGATTGGCTTGTGATTGGCTTGTGATTGGCTTGGGATTGGCTTGGGATTGACTTGTGATTGGCTTGTGATTGGCTTGTGATTGGCTTGTGATGGACTTGTGATTGGCTTGTGATTGACTTGTGATTGACTTGTGATTGACCGATGAGAACTTGATCACAACTCTGCTGATGATGTTCTTTTTTCCAGCCAGCATTATTGGCTGTATTCGGAACCTGCCTGGGCCAGTCATTCGCACCATGTTGTCCAAAGAAGTATCTGAAGATGAACAAGGTAAATTTTGGCCAAATTTTCCCTTTTGTTTTTCCCCCCTTTTTCCCTCTTTCGGCAAAGAATAATCTTCTCAATTTCTTCAATAAATCTACTCCAGCTCCCTGTTAATCTTATTTTAATATTATTTGTCGTTGACAGCGGCATAATTAACCCTCAACTTCACGGTATTACATTGTAATTATTCCCTGAAGAATCCGTAAACTTTACAAGCTGGGGGGTTTGTGGCGGTACAGGGAGTAACAGGCAGGGCGGTTTGGGGCAGTACAGGGAGTAACAGGCAGGGTGGTTTGGGACAGTACAGGGAGTAACAGGCAGGGTGGTTTGGGGCAGTACAGGGAGTAACAGGCAGGGCAGTTTGGGGCAGTACAGGGAGTAACAGGCAGGGTGGTTTGGGGCAGTACAGGGAGCAACAGGCAGGGTGGTTTGGGGCAGTACAGGGAGTAACAGGCAGGGTGGTTTGGGACAGTACAGGAAGTAACAGGGCCGTTTGGGGGCAGAACGGGGAGTAATCAGGCTTGAATTTGTCAGAAATTTGTTTTTAATTTCTCATTTCAGGTGTCATTTTTGCAATCATTGGTGTCATCGAAAGTGTGGCCAGTTTCGGCTCGCCACTAATGCTAGGGGCGTTGTACGCAAAGACGGTGGAATTCGACGGAGGACTAGCGTTTTTTGTTCTAGCGGCAATCAACGTCGTACCGGTAGCACTTATAATGTAAGTCACTATAAGAGCAATTTTGAACGATCTAATACCCTGAACTTTTGACAATCATGTCAGCACATAAACGGCGTCTAATAGTTGCTTTCTACACGTTTAGAAATCGTAACTAAATTTGTTACATGCTTTCCACTCCAACATGTAGTTTGATCCCTTTATGTAAACACTAGACGACAGCCCTTACACATTAATTTGAACTTTGCACCATTTTTACATTGTTTGCTTCAAATAGAAACCAAGAGATAAGGATTTAGTTGTTGACCGAGATTTAGTTTACATGTGTGAGATAAATTTAAAGGTATACATTGTATACAACTTTTGCTGTAATTTTTAGATTTGAATGGATTTGGGGGCTTGTATTTTAAGGAAAATATTGTTACACTGACCTGTTCGAGCCTTTTTTGTTCATGTATGGCCAAGTTCGGGCAAGGACAATTAGTCGACTAGTGGTTGATTTGTGACGTACCTTACGCCTGCGCACTAATAGCAACGTGCGAACGTCTCTAGTCAAACGCTGGTTAAAATGTCATCGCAAAACTTGTGGGTCCTGGCTCTCTGCTAGCGTTGTGAATGCGCGCGGCTATTGGTTACCAGCGAAGCAACCAACCCCAGTAGGCTGGTTCCAAATAGTCGACTAGCGTAGTCAACCACAGTCGACTAGACAGAGTTCGGGCAAACGTTAGTTAATATTTTAGTTTGGACGAACCCAGACATGTGATCACTGTTCACTCACGAAGCCCCCTTCAATGGAGGAACCATTGTGCATGCTATTGTACAAAGCAACTGCCCTGTGACGGATTATCTGACCAATAGCTAGCACAATGCTTTTGCCATTGAAGGGGGCCTTCGCGATAGAATCGACAACATGCCCGGATTGGTCTGTACTCCACAATTTCTGATTTTATAAAAACAGATTTTTTTTTGTTTAGGCCAACAAAAAAAGTCTCCGGGTTCTGGTATGGAGCTTGCCCAAAAAGTGGTGCGGCGACGCGGCTTTTTTTTTTTTTTACCTGATTTTTTTGCTTCAAATGTCGGCTGATGACTGCAAATGGTGCCCAACTAAACTTAGTGCAAATATATGGGAGTCCAGAGAGGCCACATAAAGCTTATTCTCGATCATAACCCCATCTAAAAACACGTTAAAATTGTGCAGCAGCAGGATTCCAGTCAAACCAGTGAGTTTGGCAGTTTTGAGACATCATCTTATATTGAAAAAAAAACTTTTTCATTTTGCCGACGCGCATGGCTACGGCGACGAGTGCGCATACCAGAAACCGGAGACTTTTTTTTTTTGGCCTTAGCGGAACTTCTTTGTTTATCTTTATCCTTGTTTGTCTGTTCAGGATTCTGCATGGCATGTCAATACGCAAAGGGAGGATGGACAAAAAGATTGCAAAGGATTGCCCAACTCCAGTACAAGTAGCTGAAGACGTACCAGACCAGTCGACTTAGATCCGTGTTCCTGTATTTTTGATATGCATTGTGGCGAGCGTCGTGTGCTACATTAGTGAAAATATTGTTCATGCCACTGAAACCGGAGATACACGCTGGCTGGGTGGGCCAACAGACCAAGTGCCTGGCCCACATCCCAAAATTGTACATACACCCAAAAATCAATGGCAAGTACAAAAAGACGGGGGTAAAATAAATCTTGAACATGATGAGGACGAATTCTACAGATGTGCACTGGCCCCGAGAACTTTAGAATACGACGACTAATGTAGTCACTGAAAGCCTATGAAAAATAATAATAATAATAGTGGGACAGTATTTATAAAGCGCACGTATCCACCAGGACTGGTGCTCAAGGCGCTACATCATTATTACCCCTGCTCATTTGGGCCCATGAAACATTCCAAATACCATCTCAGCTCCCTTGGGAGTATACAGCTCCATGCTGCCATTTAAGCACAGAGCAGCTACAATCAATCACAATAACCATCTCTGCCCTCACAGGTACCCATTTACTCCTGGGTGGAGAGAAGCAATGAGTGACAAAGTGCCTTGCCCAAGGGCACACACTTAAAGGGAATATACATCATTTGCTTTTGCTGTAATTTTCAGAAATGGATGGAATTGGGGGGTTGGATTGGAAATATATAGCAAATATAGTTAACCTGACTTTTTTGAGGGTTAGGGTTCAAAAATGCTATAAAAACCAAGAAAAACAATAATTTTCCTGTAGTCTGGTTCCCTGACTCCATTTAAGAAGAAACAGAGCAGTTTACATACATTGGGGAATTGTAAGGTCAGGGAACCAGTCTAGCTGGCTCGTACCCGTTCATAGGTGTGTAATCGATTGCAAACAAGTGCGATGGTCAATTGGGGCCAGTATTTGAAGAAAAAAAGCCAGTTGTTTCCAACGCTGGTCGGCCGACCAGCGTTGGAAATTGATACAAAACTACCACTTTTCTTGAAAATGACAGTATACCAGGTGCCATGATTTTACAGGATGCTTTACACTGTCATTCACTAACAGTCCAGCAAGGTATTTCAAAATGATTTGGTAGTTTTATTTTTTGATGTTTGCAAATGTTGTATTTTCCCTTTAAATAGGCTCTGGTTAAAATTGATTGATTGGTACTGGTTTCTGACAGACATTACTTTTTTCTGCAAACCTCAATGGTTTATGTTTTACCTCAATCTAATTTTACCTCAAATTATTTACCTCAAATGTTTTACCTCAAATGTTTTACCTGAAATGTTTTACCTCAAATGTTTTACCTCAATCTAATATCCCGGCATATTGGAATTTTGGGGGCATTTAACAAGAATGAGTGGCAATACTGAATGTCACGTGATGCGAGTTCCACCAATCAAACGACAAGGATCTGTAAGTCGGTTATATAAATCTGTATTGTCTTCGCATGAGCGTCAGGCGTCGTCTCCCCAACTCTCTGTTTTTTACACCGTCAAAATTACACAAACTTGGAAAAAATTACCTGAAATAAGGCCAAAAAACAAAAAAAGGTCTGCTTCCGATTACATGGCATTTGAAAATAGGGTAGGTAGGGATTTTTGTGTGTGTGAAGGATCATACGGAAGGTGTCCGTGTGCAGTAAAGGGTAAAAGGTAGTAATTGATGGATTTCTGGGTTTTTCCCTCATTTTTTATAAAAAAAAAATTAGGGTAGGGGCTGTCAAGATAGGGTAGGTGTGGTTATCGGAAGCAGAATCATTTTTTGGGGGGCCCAAGCACTGCCAAAGTTATGTTCAAGAATGTCAAAGAAATTACTTCTGATCTTTGGGTTGTATTTCTCAACCCAATTTATTTTCTTAGAATGGGCCCGTCTCAATTCATGTCTGGGATAAGTTTTGGTCATGTTGCGGACATTGTATCGGGAATAAGTTGAAGGGTTCTGAACAACTTCCCTGCAATCTTCCCGCAGTGAAGTTATCAGTATTGATGAGTCAAGCCGTTGCTGATGAAAATTTCCCCGGAACATGTCCGGGACAAATGCAGAGCTTCTTCCGGGCAAAGTGAATGATTGTTCAGAAGTCGCCCCGGATATGAATGGAGATAGGAAGTTAGTTCAACCAATTTTTGGTGATTATTGTATATATTAGATTTTTATAAATTTTATCAAGATTTTTGTATCAATTTTGAGTACTTTATTTACAATGGTGTAGAAATTCGAGTGAAACTTTTTTCTTTAGTCTTGTTCAAACCTGAGACTTTAAATGCATAAAGGTGCATATTAACAGATACAAATTTTATTCGAAATATTTGAAAGATTTATCAATTTACTTTTCCCAAAATTGTATTCAGTTTGTTAATGGCAGACATAATTTTATTGTGGTAATACTTGAAAAAAAAAAAGTGTTTTGCACGACAGTTTTTACTGTAAGAAAATAATGCACAAAAATAATAATGTGTGCTGCTTCCATTAAAATTGCACAAATGTTGCCCTTTTCTAGGAATTTGCTAATACATTTATGTGCCTTGTAAGGTTTTAAATTCGTGAAAAAATATTCAAAAGCTTTTTTTTTTGACAAAAATATTCTTTATAATAATTTGTATAGTACCAAAGTATAAAAAAATAAATTTTTATTGTGAAAACAATACTTTTGTCAATGTCATTTTTTTTTCTTTAGATGCTGCTTTCAATATTAACATTTTAAGTTAGTTGTACTTACACCCACTTTAAATTAAACGAAAAAAAAAATATGTGCATGAAATAAATAAGACCCGATGAAACATTCTTTAAGCAGACTAACACTCCTATGCAAACTCACAATTCTGTGCCAAGTTGTCCTTTCAGTCGAAATCTACCAAGTGACTGTTTTCAACAGTTAAGAGCTCCCAGCCTGAATAAGGCAGGATTGACTGGCTGTGATTGTTTATGTAACTGGATACAGCTTTGCCTTGGCTGCAGGTGATTGATAAGCCAGCTGTGCCTACCAATTGCCTGCTTTATGTCTGTTGACTGAATCTGACTAGTCATCAGAGTGCTTGCTTGTAATATGACCCGACTGTTGGTGACTAGCCCGTGTGAAAGGCATGGCAGGAAAAGTGGATGGAATTTTTGACCCTCTCTGAATATTCAAACAGTAGGAGGGTAAGATGCAAAAGAGTTTCCGCAAACATGGAATGCTGTTAAGAAAAAAAAAGGCCAGATTTTATTTTTGCAATTCATTTTTTTGGGATGAAGAAATCGCCCTCAATGTGGCTGGGCTGAAGAGTCCTGACCCTGTAGAGACAAATAGCCTGGCCTGGGTTTCCATCCGTTCCAACTCTTGAGAAGGCTGCAAACGAAAGAAATATTAGAAATTATCAATAAACTGGACTACAGAAAAAAAATTCCATAATTCAGTGCTAGCGGCTCAAAAAAAGTGATACATGTAATAAACGAGTCAGGTGTGTTTACAAACACAAGTGCCCCGCAACCGTGACCGTTCCCATGACATGACACCACTCTTTTAACATCAACTTACATGTGCCTGGGTCACATCGAACGTTCATTGACATCATTATTGTTTTCTGTAGGTTATATATGAATTAATCCTTATGATCTCAGAATAAATATAATGAATTTATTTTTACTTTTCTGTTGAGAAGTCATTGTATGTGATTTAAAAGAGTGAATGTGAACAGATCATGTACAAACAAGCTAAATTGAAAAAAAAAAACCCAAGATTTCTATTGTTTTAGCCACTGTGACCTTGACCCTTGACCTTTCGGCCCCAAATGCAAAAGGCTTCTCAGGATTACCAAGAGCAATACACAAACCAAATTTGAAGTTCACAGTTGAAGTATTTCTCAAGTTATCGCGCTGACAAGATTTCTATTGTTTTAGCCAGCCACTGTAATCTTGACCCTTGACCTTTCGGCCCCAAATGCAATAGGCTTCTCAGGATTACCAAGAGCAATCCACAAACCAAATTTGAAGTTCACATGTGAAGCATTTCTCAAGTTAATGCGATGACAAGATTTCCATTGTTTTAGCCAGCCACTGTGACCTTGACCCTTAACCTTTCGGCCCCAAATGCAAAAGGCTTCTTAGGATTACCAAGGACAATCCCCAAACCAAATTTGAAGTTCATATGTTAAGTATTAGCCCCTGCTATTGTTTGTAAAACTCACTTCACAAGAAATATCGCAATAACCAGAATGCCGATGACCACGTAGAATGTGATGGTAGGACGGTGGATCTTGACCAGGGCTGAGTACAGCTCATTGAGGAAGAACGGCGACACGGAGCGGGCTATACTGACCACCACAGCCACGCAACCAAACAGGGCACCTACGTTTGCACATAAAAAAAGCACCAAAAAAGGCCTGAATACTCGTTAGTCCAGATCCACTAAAAAAAAATAGCCTCCAGAAATGTTATCTTACCCTGTTCTTCCTTGTCGACAGTCTTGGACATGATTGACTTCAGGACAGAGGTAGGAAGGACACGCAGAAGACCCAAGCCGGGTGCTTAACAACAAATAAGGGGAAAAAAATCAATGTAAGTGTGAAAAAATGATACTTTTGGAGAGGTTAACTGCATTTTTGTCATCACATACTTGAAGGTTTTTCCATCATTTTTTTGCCAGAGTGCCGTATTATTTGAGGGTGTGTTAATGTTCGTCTTTCTTCGAGTGTTTGTACTTTTTTGAAGTTTATTTATGAAATGCAGTAATTTTATGAGTCTATGATATGGATTTGGTGCATAGGTCGATCATGGGCGGTACAGAGAGTAACAGGCAGGGCAGTTTTGGGAAATACAAGGTTAAATAAAAAACTCGCTCACCAACGTAGACAAGAAAGACATTGGTGGTCGCGATCGCCGACGACAGCATGAGGAGTGTACCAGAAATGAAACCGATCATGACAATGGATAACTCCGACATGTATGGGGAGAAAAGTTTGATGCCAAAGACCGAACCTGGGGAGTAAAAAAACACACCAAAATATAAAGAAAGACCGTTAACTGTTAACTATCCCTACTGAGCAATAGGTTGATGAACAACAAACTATTCTACTAATTTTTTGGAGTAAGCAAAGATCTATCACAAGCCATCAAGTCCTCACAAGTCAATCACAAGTCCTCACAAGTCAATCACAAGTCCTCACAAGTCAATCACAGGTCTTCACAAGTCCTCATAAATTCACCACAAAGTCCTCACAAGTCCTAACATGTCAATTGCAAGTCCTCACTAGTCAATCACAAGTCCTCACAAGTCCTCACAAGTCAATCACAAGTGCCCACAAGTCAATCACAGGTCTTCACAAGTCCTCATAAATTCATCACAAAGTCCTCACAAGTCAATCACAAGTCCTAACACGTCAATTGCAAGTCCTCATTAGTCAATCACAAGTCCTCACAAGTCAATCACAGGTCTCAAAAGTCCTCATAAATTCATCACAAAGTCCTCACAAGTCAATCACAAGTCCTAACACGTCAATTGCAAGTCCTCATTAAGTCAATCACAAGTCCTCACAAGTCAATCACAAGTCCTCACAAGTCCTCACAAGTCAATCACAGGTCTTCACAAGTCCTCATTATTTCATCACAAAGTCCTGACAAGTCAATCACAAGCCCTGACAAGTCAATCACAAGTCCTCACAAGTCCTCACAAGTCAATCACAAGTGCCCACAAGTCAATCACAGGTCTTCACAAGTCCTCATAAATTCATCACAAAGTCCTCACAAGTCAATCACAAGTCCTAACACGTCAATTGCAAGTCCTCACTAGCCAATCACAAGTCCTCACAAGTCAATCAAAGTCTTCACAAGTCCTCATTATTTCATCACAAAGTCCTGACAAGTCTGAACAAGTCCTGACAAGTCAAATCACAAATCTTTAAGAGTCCTCACAAAGTCCATCACAAAGTCCTCACAAGTCCATCACAAAGTCCTTACAAGTCCATCACAAGTCTTCAAGAGTCCCCACAAGCCCTCACCAGTCAATCACAAGTCCTCTAGTCCTGAATGACATAGCAATCAGAAAGAAATGCCATTGTTAGATCTTAAAACCCACCAATTGCTGGACTTATGGAGTTGATCACGCCGTATGTGCCAACCACGGTGTGGGCCCAACAAAACGGAACCCCGAGGCCGTAGATCGTGACCACGTCAAAGAGCGACTCGTAGACGACGTCGTAGAGGAACTGGCAGAGTAGCAGCAACAGAAGCTTCCAGCGTCGGCCGTTGACGTTCTGCTGGAAGAGGCGAAAAATGCTGAGGAAAAGATCCTTGAAGATGCGGCAGGAGACGGGACGCCTTGGGACAGACTCTCGGAGAATGCACGGTGGGGTCACATAGAGGAATGCAAGAAGGGCCGGAACCACGATTATGCCGTAGACTAAAGGGTAGCTATTAGTTTGTTGCAGGGCGATGTTAATGGATATAAAAGCAGCTCCCAGGCCGAGATGGGTCATGAGGTCGTTGACGACGAATCGGAAGCTCCGCCCCTGCTGAGCACGCTCAGTTGTTGTGATGTCTGCGATGTATGAAAACCCCATGGCCGTTAGCAAGGCCGTGTCGCCGCACACCCCTAGAAAGGCTTCCGCACCCACCAGCACAGATAAGGGGAGATTGAAATATGCCGCTAGAAAGCACACTGCTGTGGCGACCACGTGCCCGACCGCACCGACGATAAACATGGGCCGCCGACCCACGAAATCGCTAAGTGTGCCCAACAGGAGTGCGCTGGCCATGGGAGGAAGGGTGGACATGCTTTCCATGTACATGGACCACGTGGCAGTCTCGGTCTCAATCTTGACTTGCATCGGGTCTTTAGCACTTGTGTTGTGGCACGTCGTTGCGTTTTCCCCCGGCAGGGTGTAGTTGTATCTCTGAGCCAACCGGTGCTCTGTGTACTGGGTGCGCAGCGTGATCATGCCCGCCTGCACGAAAAATAGAAGGAACAGCACTGGTTCCACGGTTACCAGCCTCGGTTTACGAATGATCGTCTTGTCATTGGGCGACAGCACTTCCACTTCTGCATCAGCAACAGTAGCCATGATGACAGCTTGGTTATGACAATGCAGAGGGAAAAAAAACACCTGCCAAAAGCAAACAAAACAGATTGGCATTTGATGTTAAAAACTCAACCACACATGATTCAAATACAGTCGGGGTCTACCCCAGGTTGGACGAAGTCTTCATTGCATTACGACTACGTAGGGAGGAAAGGGAGTCCACCTGGGCTAAGTCGGGGTCATATAAAAATTCATCAAGTTTCATATAAATTCATCAAGTTTTCAATCAAGTTTTCACTACATTCAAGTGTTCAAAGTTCGTTTCAGACTATAGCAAGAATATTGCGAAAAAGAAGGGCCGTACCATCCGTTTCCTGATGTGAATTATTGAATGGTATTTATTCTTGGAAATGTTAATTCTCCGATTTATTTTTGGTTATCAAAATTCCCAAGTTCTTACCGGCAACTCCGGCGCGGCGGCCTGCGGCTTGAAAAGTGCCGGGAAAAGCGCCCTCTATTGCTAGCTTAAGGCGAAGTCATAATGCGACTAAGGAAGCTGCATTGCACAACATGACAGTGCAATGCCCATACTTAAAAAGTCTTTTAAAAATACTCAGAACTCTCGCAGGTATAAGCTGCACAGAAAAAATGATGATCAACATGTCATCTTTCATTTTCTTTTCATGTTTTGGTTGGTTGACCGTTGACTTTTCGAGATATTCTCACCCAAAGAAGACGACCACCATTTTCCCCCAAGCGGAAAAGTATATATATATATATAAAAAAAAAAAAAATCCCTCCACAACATGACAAAAAAAGCCGCCACTTCTGAGCCCAATTGCATCCAAAAATGCTCAGAATTTGAAACCCCAAGTCCAGGCCAGAAGTTCATTGCCATATCTCTTGATAAATTCCCCAATTTATGGCTCTCAGAACTCTCTAATAACATGTTGAGGGGGTATACTTTTATTCATGAGCTCGGTGGATGGGTTTACTTGGCCTCTATTTACCGCACGCCGTTTCTTTTCCTCCCCATTTTTTTCTTTTTCTTCATTTTTTAAAATAATGTACATTTGCAGTTAGGGTTTTTTTTTTATGTGTCTCCATCAAGTCTGTAGCTGTGTATGCAAATTCAAAATCTGGTAGAAAGGGTTATCCTTTGAACACAAAAGTATCAGTGAAAGAGTCGAAAAAAATAATGGAGGAATCCATTATGATCTTTTATTGTACTTGGTCTAAATTCAAGCTATTGATTCTAATTATAGCCATTTTTTTTTTAAAGTGACGTCACAAAAAAGGTTGCCTCTGAGTACGCTACCCACAAAATCAACACATATTGCCCTCTTGCTTTTCATATTGAAATTTTTGGCGGAACTTTTTTGGACCCACTTTTTTTCGGGGAACAAAACAATTTATAAGTACCCAAATATTTTGTTCTCGATCCGGCCTGGAGTATAGTCCTAATTGGGGCTAAAGTCGATGACCAGCACCACTGTGGACATCCTTTCGGAGGTCATATTAGTCGCCCTCTTGATGATAATGGAGATTATTAAAGGCAGATACAGGTCATTTTTTTGGGAAAAAAAGGGGCTGGTTTTGTAATGTACTTCAGTTAACAAATTAAAGATTAATATAAAAAAGCGTATTATTATTGACATCAAACAAACTCACTTGACGAACCTTGTACTCACGTCTGTACCCTAAAATGGCGTCTTTTTCATTTGCTTTAAGTCTTAACCCATTGGCATGACGATTCTGTAAAGTAATTTAGCAGTTGTAAACTTCTGTAATAGTCTTACAGAATTTCAACGCTTATTTATTTAAAGTAATGTTTCAAACAAAATCTGCTTCAGCTTGATTGTATTTTTTCTTATCAGTGAGCTATTAGTCCTTTGTATTTTGTATCGCGTGCGTGAGTAAACCATTTGTGAAATCGTCGTTGCACTAAACAATAAAATAAAACCTGTTTAAAGAAACCGGTGAATACCTATGTGACCATATACCTATGTTCCCAAATACCTATATTCCCAAACCCTAACCCTAACCTAACCCAAACCTAGGACTTTGGGGAATAAGGGAACAATATTGGGGAACATCGGGTACAGACCCCGAAGAACAAGTCACCCGCAACGCATATTGCAACAGCTAAGTTCATCCGTGCAGGTGTGTTTGCAAGTCAAACTAGGGTCACCGGTTGAACAAAGTTCATTCAAAGTCAACTCGACTGCACTGAAAATAACCTGTTTGCACAACTATTTTTTGTTATCTATCGCTCCATTCTAAGTTTTTTTTTTTAAATTATAGAAATGGCTACCACCATGTCTGCGGTGCTGCTTCTGTTCCTAACCGTCTTTTCCTCGGTGTTCGTTCTGCCGGCTCTAACCAGCGATGACGCGGGAAATAAACCCGGCGCGGACAAGTACAAGTTCCTGTATTTCGCCTCTATCACCGGTGGAAGCCACTATTTCAACTTGGTCGCGTCGGGCAGGGTGCTAGCTCGTCAGGGTCACCGCGTGGTGTCCCTGGTCAGCAGCTCCAACCCAACCAGCCACTGGGAGAAAGACTCCAGTCTCTTCTCCTTCGTGGTCTTCAACTCGTCTTGGACCAAGCAGAATCGGAGCGATGCCACGGACAGTTTGTCCGCGTCAGTCCTGACCGGGAGCCTGAACCACTTCTGGGGGCATTTGCTGCTGGATCCGGTGACGCGTCGGAAGCTGGACGCTGACGGCATGATGCAGATGTGGCGGGATGAGTGCGCCGACCTGTTCGCGGACTCGGCTTCCATGAAGCGGCTGCGCGAGGAGAAATTCGACATGCTGGTCGGGGATGAGTTCATCGCGTGCAGCCCGATGTTAGCACAGGCTCTGGACATCCCTTTCGTTCTGAACTCTGTTTTCTTCGCGATTCCTTCCAGACACGCGATGTGGTACGTTCATCTCTCTTTCTATTGAAGAAGCAGAATCATCTTAATTTTTAAGGGTCCATGAAAATTTACACTGGAGCATATTTGAAGCAAATGTCAATTTCTTTGAAATATATGAGACATCCTTTTGGGAAGAAATAAATTGCAAAGGGAACTGTTTCATGCTTTTCATGACAACTGGGGGCGCTATTGCCATGATGTAACTTTCGGAACACATTTTTCGAGTCAGAGTAGGGTTTCCCTTCAAATTGTAAACCCAAAATTCTGCTTATGGAAACGTTAATTTGTGCATAGAGTTCAGTTCTCATTGTCTACTAAAACAACAATGAACCACTGGAAGCAGAAACATAACCACAGCAAACCCCTACAAATCTGGTAACTCTATGCTGAAGCAGAGAGAAGTTTCTACCTTGAATGACATCACAGTTTTACTCATGAACATTTGTATTATTGTAACCTTATGTCAGTAAATATCGGGATTCACGTCTTTTGTACCCCCCAACATATGGCGTCTCTGCAGCGCCCTCATTTGTTCAATAAGTGAAGTATAATGAGGCAACGGTTCCCTAAAACGTACCTCCATTTCGAGTAATCGACGGCACTTGGCGTAATTTTAGGGGATCAAACATTCTACCCAAAGTCCCCTTTATGGATAACCGGACCGTAGACCGGAAATGTGCAATGAAGTTATGTGTTACGTTGCATGCTGGGACAGTTTACGCAGCTCCACAAAATCCCCGTTCCTCGCGCAAACTATCCCAAAATGCAGCGCGTCCTGATTAACTGCACATTTCCGATCTATCCGTAAATCAATCCGTGATGCTAATGTTTTCAATCATCTCGTCAAAACTTTAAACCAATCAGGAGCGGGCTCCCACTAGCGCCCTCTTACGTGCCGGAGCGTGCCATGGGGCTGACCGACCGAATGACGTTCCTCCAGCGCGTCCAGAACGTCCTGGGCCACTTCTACCTCGGCAACATCTTGTTTCCCCTAGGCAGCTGTAACTTCAAGGTCTTCGATAAGCTCAAGGTCAAGTACAACATTAAGCCGGAGATCAGCACTCTGGAGTCCCACAAGCAGGCCCTGCTGTACTTTATGCACGGTAGCTTCGGGCTGGAGTTCCCCCGTCCCATGAACCCCAATACCATCTATGTTCTCTACAATGGTGGACTGGACCCCAACCAAACGGTGAGCGATCGACCAACAACTGCACACTCTAAAAAAGTCTGGTCAGATGTGACCCAGAATCAATTTGGCCTGATCCTTTTCACAGTCAAATTTGCCACTATCCTGGGTCAAAATGACACTTTTTCCAAGGTTTGTGTGTCAAAATGTCCCGAAAAATGAGTGAAAGAAGTGTCAAATTTGAATCAGAATCTGCGTTTCATTTGGCCTGACCCACTTCACAGTCCAATTTGACACTTGTCTCATGGTTCCAAATGACACTTTTGCCAAGAGTTCTCAGTTTTGCGTCAAAATGTCCCGGAAAATGAGTCAAAGAAGTGCCAAGTTTGACCCAGAATCCGCATTCTATTTGGCCTGACCAGCTCGGCCAGAGTCAAATTTGACACTTTTCGGAACAGTACTTTTGCTGAGGTTTTTCCATGTCAACTGACTCGGAAAATAGTCAAAAAAGTGTTAATTTTGACCCGTAAAATGTCATTTTTGACTCGGTGAGTATGCAGTGCCCACTTATTTCACTGTTTCTCTTAGTAGTGAGTAGGGTCTTCATCGGACAAGACAAAAGAATTTTATGCATAATGCACAAAGACAAAGGACTCATTAGCATATCAATGAAACCAATTAGCTTATCGATGGATGATGTTAGCATAATAAAAGAGCGCATGGGCGTGTGTAGGTTTTACCGGACAAAGGATGGGTCTAAAAAATGTATTGGACAAAGGGGGGGGCAGCCCACCAGGCTAGATGGAATAGCGAACTGAGGAAGACCTGAACAGGAATAGCGGACAAAGGGAGACTTGAGCCGGATTATGAATGTCAAACGTTTGAAATGACCAAGACTATCATTTGTATTCATTCAAAGCAGTGTGCAAACAGTAAATAATAAAAACAAAATGCAGGCCACACCAACAGAGCGCCAATTAAGCCGACTAGCTGGAAATCTTGTGAAAAAATGTTTTTACTCTGGTAAGAATGGAGAGTGCGAGCGACCTTGGGAGAAGTTAATGATGAATCTCGGTCTATCAAGAGCCGCTATGTATAGACATTTAGAGGAAAACAAATTTTGTGAATGGGGGCAATGTTTTAACGCACTTATAGAGTGGAAACGACCCGAATATAAAAATGCCACGATTGAACGATTATTAAATGCCTGTCGATTTTGCGGTATTGATCATAACGCTTACAATTTTTTGCTGCAGTAAACCATTACCCTTCCCCCCTTCCAAAAGAAAGAAAGAAAGAAAAAATTATGATTGTCTAATTGAAGAATTTATCTTTTAGTAAATTATTATCGAGTACGGCGAACATCGTCTAGAATGGAACAACCCTTAAGATTTGTTGCGAATGACTGATCCCGGTAGTCCACTGTGCAATCCACACGGACAAGTTCGTGTACGTGTACAGACATACAAGAGTTTCTTCTAGTCGAGTTTTAAAAAAGTTTGCACGGTATAGTCCGATGATTGTTTTAACCATGGAGGAATTGTGTTAATAATAGATCAGAGAGCTAATGAATCCATGCGTTCTAGATCTATACGGAGACCGATGGTCGATCACCCCTCGATGACCGCACCGATCATGGAGCAAATAAATAACTCCGTGCTTCTGCACCGATACTTGCCTTGTCATATCGTGTGTGTTATCCAGGTGCAATAACAATTGCACAATACAGTCGACTCTCATTATATTATAAAGAGCACTTTTATAAAGAGGTTCTGCTTTCATAACAAAGAAGAGGTAATAAAGAGGTAATTTGGCTAGTCCCATCGACCTTGTTATAACGAGAGTCGACTGTATTCTTCCACATTACCGCCAGAACCATCTATGTACGTATATCTGTGTGCGGTGGTCGTAGAAAATACAAACTTTCAGGGTCGGCTCGGTGTGTACAGTATGTACACGTACATCTGTATTAAGGGACTGACTGCATCCTACATGTACACTGTATATTTACACCGTCCGATCAGATAGCGCTGTTTCCCTTATCCATAAAGACGTAATTCTTTCAAGACGTGTTCATTATATCGATTATCTTTCACCGACTTAACCTACCTGCATGTACAGTGGGGGATGGATTATTGAGCGTTCTAAATATCGATTGCCAGGAGTTACGCAACAGTAGTGAACGCTGACTCCCTTTATTGGACAATGGGACTTAATTGGCAGCGCACGGCATGTGCGGGAGCTTCAAAAATCTGTACGTGAAAGAAGTCAACGAAGTTGACTGACTAAACATGATTTCAAGCCTTAATACCCCTTTACCGTTGTCTGTACAGGAATGCACCGAACCCTAGTGTACCACCGTGCCGGACTTGTTTACAAAATCAAGGATATATATATAACTAGGTCTTTTTGTGTTAAAGCAATAGTACGTACTTCTATTTTATATTGAAGATTTAGAGTGTCATAAGGCAACTAACTTTTTTTACCCCAACAAAGTCCCAAAGTTGGACACGGTGCGTGATAAAGCCATACATGAAGCATTAAAGACCGTAAACATTTCGGGGATTATTGACAGGGCGTGTCCAAACACTAATTATATGACTGCTTGACAGTAGGGCTTGCCCGATTGTTTAACTGTAAGACAACACCAACAAAGAAAAATACAACTGCAGAAAGTGTATACATGATAACATCATTGCTTTATTGACGTCATTTCTCAATGAAACACTCGTGTTTTTTTAAATTTGTTTTTAAATGTATTCTTTGCAATTAAATCATCAGTGATCTTAATGTAACGTTGACTAGTCTTTAATCGTCACTGTCTTCCTCGTTAACGTCATCTTCATCTAATTGATGGAACAGGCCGTCAAATTTGGCGTGGTGTTTAGATATGACCCGGCTGACAGCCGTGGGCAGTAGAATACCGGAATGATTGACTCTGTCTTCGATCTCGTCCACAATTTCTTGATGAGTATCATTATCTTTCAGATGTATGTAACTTGACAAAAAATCTTTGTATTTGTTGAAAAAGATTCGCTTGACTGCCCACAGGGTCTTTCTGTTGGCCTTTTCCGTGGCCTGATCTTCACTCATGCCCTCGTTGATGTACTTTTCATGTTTTTCACTCCACATCTCATCAATCGCTTCTTTTGCCTCTCCCAACCAGTCTAAATAGGCTGCATTGTCTTCCAAATCAGAACTAGACTCATCTTCATCAGATGATTCGTCATCTTCCACCTCCGTGACGGATTCGGAATCATTTTCCTCAAGATCTTCGTCTTCATCATACGTAGATTCAGTTTCATAGTTTTCCATTTCCGGATCTTCAAATCTACTGCTTTTAAATTCAGGTTCAGAATTATCCACCTCAACTTCGTCTATATCGGATTCATCTTCAGCATGTGCATTTTCGGTATGTCTCAAGAGGTTATATCTCCGTCCAAAGCGTTTGTCACACTGGTGACAAGCATAGGGTTTGACTGCAGAAATAGTATTCATGTTGAAGCTTTGAAGGTTAATCTCCGAATGGTAAGGAACGGATGAAATCATTTAATATTTATCTACTTATTTGGTTACTCATTTCGTTACTCATTTACTCATTTCGTTACTCATTTACTCATTTGCTACTCATTCACTCATTTGCTACTTATTTGGTTACTCATTCACTCATTTGCTACTCATTTCGTTACACATTTGGTTACTCATTTCGTTACTCATTTACTCAGTTCGTTACTCATTTACTCATTTCGTTACTCATTTACTCATTGCGTTACTCATTTACTCATTTCGTTACTCATTTACTCATTGCGTTACTCATCATTACTCATCATTTAATCAAATGAGTAAATGAGTAACGCAATGAGTAAAGGAGTAACGAAATGAGTAAATGAGTAACGCAATGAGTAAAGGAGTAACGAAATGAGTAAATGAGTAACGAAATGAGTAACCAAATAAGTAGATAAATATTAAATGATTTCATCCGTTCCTTACCATTCGGAGATTAACCTTCAAAGCTTCAACATGAATACTATTTCTGCAGTCAAACCCTATGCTTGTCACCAGTGTGACAAACGCTTTGGACGGAGATATAACCTCTTGAGACATACCGAAAATGCACATGCTGAAGATGAATCCGATATAGACGAAGTTGAGGTGGATAATTCTGAACCTGAATTTAAAAGCAGTAGATTTGAAGATCCGGAAATGGAAAACTATGAAACTGAATCTACGTATGATGAAGACGAAGATCTTGAGGAAAATGATTCCGAATCCGTCACGGAGGTGGAAGATGACGAATCATCTGATGAAGATGAGTCTAGTTCTGATTTGGAAGACAATGCAGCCTATTTAGACTGGTTGGGAGAGGCAAAAGAAGCGATTGATGAGATGTGGAGTGAAAAACATGAAAAGTACATCAACGAGGGCATGAGTGAAGATCAGGCCACGGAAAAGGCCAACAGAAAGACCCTGTGGGCAGTCAAGCGAATCTTTTTCAACAAATACAAAGATTTTTTGTCAAGTTACATACATCTGAAAGATAATGATACTCATCAAGAAATTGTGGACGAGATCGAAGACAGAGTCAATCATTCCGGTATTCTACTGCCCACGGCTGTCAGCCGGGTCATATCTAAACACCACGCCAAATTTGACGGCCTGTTCCATCAATTAGATGAAGATGACGTTAACGAGGAAGACAGTGACGATTAAAGACTAGTCAACGTTACATTAAGATCACTGATGATTTAATTGCAAAGAATACATTTAAAAACAAATTAAAAAAAACACGAGTGTTTCATTGAGAAATGACGTCAATAAAGCAATGATGTTATCATGTATACACTTTCTGCAGTTGTATTTTTCTTTGTTGGTGTTGTCTTACAGTTAAACAATCGGGCAAGCCCTACTGTCAAGCAGTCATATAATTAGTGTTTGGACACGCCCTGTCAATAATCCCCGAAATGTTTACGGTCTTTAATGCTTCATGTATGGCTTTATCACGCACCGTGTCCAACTTTGGGACTTTGTTGGGGTAAAAAAAGTTAGTTGCCTTATGACACTCTAAATCTTCAATATAAAATAGAAGTACGTACTATTGCTTTAACACAAAAAGACCTAGTTATATATATATCCTTGATTTTGTAAACAAGTCCGGCACGGTGGTACACTAGGGTTCGGTGCATTCCTGTACAGACAACGGTAAAGGGGTATTAAGGCTTGAAATCATGTTTAGTCAGTCAACTTCATTGACTTCTTTCACGTACAGATTTTTGAAGCTCCCGCACATGCCGTGCGCTGCCAATTAAGTCCCATTGTCCAATAAAGGGAGTCAGCGTTCACTACTGTTGCGTAACTCCTGGCAATCGATATTTAGAACGCTCAATAATCCATCCCCCACTGTACAGCAGGTAGGTTAAGTCGGTGAAAGATAATCGATATAATGAACACGTCTTGAAAGAATTACGTCTTTATGGATAAGGGAAACAGCGCTATCTGATCGGACGGTGTAAATATACAGTGTACATGTAGGATGCAGTCAGTCCCTTAATACAGATGTACGTGTACATACTGTACACACCGAGCCGACCCTGAAAGTTTGTATTTTCTACGACCACCGCGCACAGATATACGTACATAGATGGTTCTGGCGGTAATGTGGAAGAATACAGTCGACTCTCGTTATAACAAGGTCGATGGGACTAGCCAAATTACCTCTTTATTACCTCTTCTTTGTTATGAAAGCAGAACCTCTTTATAAAAGTGCTCTTTATAATATAATGAGAGTCGACTGTATTGTGCAATTGTTATTGCACCTGGATAACACACACGATATGACAAGGCAAGTATCGGTGCAGAAGCACGGAGTTATTTATTTGCTCCATGATCGGTGCGGTCATCGAGGGGTGATCGACCATCGGTCTCCGTATAGATCTAGAACGCATGGATTCATTAGCTCTCTGATCTATTATTAACACAATTCCTCCATGGTTAAAACAATCATCGGACTATACCGTGCAAACTTTTTTAAAACTCGACTAGAAGAAACTCTTGTATGTCTGTACACGTACACGAACTTGTCCGTGTGGATTGCACAGTGGACTACCGGGATCAGTCATTCGCAACAAATCTTAAGGGTTGTTCCATTCTAGACGATGTTCGCCGTACTCGATAATAATTTACTAAAAGATAAATTCTTCAATTAGACAATCATAATTTTTTCTTTCTTTCTTTCTTTTGGAAGGGGGGAAGGGTAATGGTTTACTGCAGCAAAAAATTGTAAGCGTTATGATCAATACCGCAAAATCGACAGGCATTTAATAATCGTTCAATCGTGGCATTTTTATATTCGCGTCGTTTCCACTCTATAAGTGCGTTAAAACATTGCCCCCATTCACAAAATTTGTTTTCCTCTAAATGTCTATACATAGCGGCTCTTGATAGACCGAGATTCATCATTAACTTCTCCCAAGGTCGCTCGCACTCTCCATTCTTACCAGAGTAAAAACATTTTTTCACAAGATTTCCAGCTAGTCGGCTTAATTGGCGCTCTGTTGGTGTGGCCTGCATTTTGTTTTTATTATTTACTGTTTGCACACTGCTTTGAATGAATACAAATGATAGTCTTGGTCATTTCAAACGTTTGACATTCATAATCCGGCTCAAGTCTCCCTTTGTCCGCTATTCCTGTTCAGGTCTTCCTCAGTCCGCTATTCCATCTAGCCGGGTGGGCTGCCCCCCCTTTGTCCAATACATTTTTTAGACCCATCCTTTGTCCGGTAAAACCTACACACGCCCATGCGCTCTTTTATTATGCTAACATCATCCATCGATATGCTAATTGGTTTCATTGATATGCTAATGAGTCCTTTGTCTTTGTGCATTATGCATAAAATTCTTTTGTCTTGTCCGATGAAGACCCTACCCACTACTTCTCTTCTAATCTTCCAGTTGGATAAGGAAGTCGCCAAGTTCCTCGACTCCGCTCCTGATGGTGTGTTGCTGTTCTCCCTCGGCTCCAACGTGAGGATGTTGGGGCCCAAGCAAGCCCAGATCTTCGCCGACGCCTTCAACATGCTGCCTCACCGCGTGCTGTGGCAGTCCGGTGCCGACCTGACGGCACTGAAGCTGGGGGAAAACACCATGGTTGCCAAGTGGCTGCCACTGACTTATGTCATGGGTAGTACTTGACTTGTCATATATGATTGTTATTTTTTGGCAGTACCTTTTGGCATGGATATGATATCGCTTCTTTGATCGACGGGGTGCGCCGTGAAAACGCGCTAACGAGAGCCCATTGCAGTAGGCCATAAAGCACTTTAAGTCTTATAAGACACTCGGCTTGGAAGCTCAATGACAATCACGTGAGATCTTTTGTTTTTCATGCATTTCGTTAGTTTCAAATAATAACACCACTCAAATTCCCCCAAAGCATGTTCAAACCCTCACCTGTTGAGGTTTACTAGCTCAGTTGATACTTCACTTTTCGAGAAATCAATGAAAAACCGTGCACAGCATTATGATAATGAAACACAATATCGTCTATAGCACTCTTTATTTCAAAAAAATCAGTCGATTGTTGGAAATCACCTATACATTTCTTGATTTAATTCTTCTCACCAGTGACAGCAAACCAAACTGAATAATTCACGGGCTGTGTGTGATCAGTATAAGCTTTTTCGATAATACATATAATTCGGTATGGGTTATAGTACATGTACCAGATATGCAAATGATCCTAAATATGCAAATGATCCTAAATATGCCACTATAATCTAACCAATTCCACGCAGAACAACCCAATGTCAGAGCGTACTTGAGCCACGCCGCATCGTTCAGCATGAACGAGGCCATGTGGGCGGGGCTACCGATGGTGGGCCTGCCCCTCTTCGAGGAGCAGATGGACGACATGGTGCGCGTGGAGTCGCGTGGTGCGGGCTTGACGCTGGACATCACGACCATCACACCGGAGACTCTGAGCCATGCCATCCGCAGAGTCATGACCGAACCTGGGTAAGGCTAACATCCGACGTAGTCAAGTTCGCGCAAGGACTATACTTAACCATTGGTCGACTAACGCTAGTCGACTATTTGGAACCAACCTACTGGGGCTGGTTGCATCGCTGGTAACCATAGCCGCGCGCGTTCATAACGTACAGCAGGGAGCCAGGATCCAGACGTTTTGCAATGACATTTTGACCAGCGTTCGACTAGAGACGTTCGCACTTTGCTATTAGTGCGCAGGCGTAAGGTACGTCACAAATCAACCACTAGTCGACTAATGGTCCTTGCCCGAACTTGGCCTAGGTCTCCGCTCGTGGGAACGTACTGTCAATCGACGTAGCCATAGCTCTGGAAGCTCAGCCGTTTCGGACCCGGCCTAAGAATTGACGGATCTTTTAAGCCACGCCCAATGTTGTTTAAGCCAATCACAGTCGTGACTGATGTCCAACATGCGTGTAGAAAAGTCACCGTCATGCCTGGACGCGCGGAGTATGCACTTATTGCAGTTACCCATTGATCTCCATTAGTGTACGTAGTGGGCGGGGCTTGCACGCGCGTACGGACGCACACGACTTGCCGACACGCAGTGTGGCATGGAGAGGTGCACGTGTAATAAACCGATCCAGTAAGCACCGCCCCATGGTGTTCTGACCAATCACAGCCGTAATTTATGTCCGACATGCGTGCACAAAAGTCCGACATGCGTGCACGCGCGTATGATGCGCGCGGCAGGAAAATGCAGAATGGCATTGGAGAGGAGCACGTGTTAATTTGCCCACGTGCGCAGTGGGAGGGGCTTACTGGATCGGTCCATTGGTTGGTCGCGTGCATATAGTGGGCGGGGCTTATAATGGATCGGTCCATTGGTATCCACCATTTTGGTCCCATCCTCACTGCCCTGCAAAACCCTCCGTCGTCCGACTGAACTGAAACGTAAACTAAGCATGGATGTTTTCATAAAAATTGTTACAAATTCTTAACAAACGTTGGCATGAAAATGAACAAAACTGCTGCAAACTGCGTATGACAGGATTGACCGTGAAATATACAAATCAACAAAATTAGAGGGCCTTACATTTCGGCCCTGGCAGAACGTTTGTCAAAGGCAAAAAATGTCATGTGACCAACGAGATCTCAGCTGATAGTGCGAATAATAATAATTTGGTAATTTTTTTAATCAGATTCCGCAAAAACGCACAGCACGTCTCCCAGATCATGCGCGATCTCCAGAACACGCCCAGCCCGGCTGACAACGTGGCCCGCTGGATCCTTCACGTTACTCGCTTCGGCGGGGAACACCTACGACCGGCCGTCCTGGACCTGAACTTCGTCCAGAGGAACCTCCTCGATGTCTACCTCTTCCTGGCTGTGGCTCTGGCATCGGTGATCTTCGTAAACCTGGCCGTGTGCCGCCTTTGCTGCCGGTGTTTGTGTCGCAGAGGCCGCAGCGGCCATTTCAAGAAGGAGTGAGCTGAAACTATTTCACCGATCGTCCTGAGGTTGATTTTTTTTTATCGGGTATAAAAGCAGTAGTCTGCACCTAAAGTAAAACAGAACTCAAAATGCATTCACAGATGCACATCACATGTCTGCTCAGCTGCATGGTTGTCGCGAAGTTTACAATTTGGGTGGTAAACGTCAGTTGGGATTGTTTAAAGAATCGGTCACAAGTCAATTTTTTTGAAAGGGAGACAGCATGCCTTTGATATTATGTACTTCGCTCCTTGTTTGTTTTGGATGACTCGGGATTGACTTGTGAAACTTGTGATGACTTGGGAAAACTTGTAATGACTTGTGATTGACCTGTGATACCTTGTGAAAAACTTGTGATTGATTTACGATTGACTTGTGACTGACTTGTGATAACTAGTGATGACTTGTGATTGACTTGCGATTGTCTTGTGATAATTTGTGATAACTTGTGATTGACCTGCGATGACTTGTGACTGACTTGTGATAACTTTTGGATAAACTTGTAATTAACTTGTGATTGACTTGTGATGACTTCATTGTGACCGACTTGCGATTGGCGTTGGATAACATGTGATGACTTGTGACTGGCTTGGGATAACTTATGATTGACTTGGGAAAACAGTGTTTTTACAGCGAGTCCTTAAAGCTTATTCAAAAAATTGTGAACCCTTAAAAAATCAATTTTGTCTCACATTTAAGTTTCACTATTCACCCAATGACTGCAACAAAATTATTTCATAAATTTTCTTCTTTGTACGAGTACACCGAGTTTCACTAGACTAGCCCACATGTATTTTAGATTTTAAGAAATCAATTGTCGACACGATGCTTCATTTTCATGTCAGGCAATTTTTCAGTTTTCATAAATTGAGATGCTGGTAACAATTTTACAAAGGCCCATTTTCGAGGTTGATTTTCTTAACAATAATGTACCGAAAATAATTGAAAAAGTTAGAATGTTTGCCCTCTCATTTTCCTATTCTAGGGTTCCGGAAGCGCGCCACCAGGGGCGAACATTTAGGCTCTAAATTTGTTGCATGCAATATGCGTTACGGGTTTTTCTGTGTGTGTTCTCTGTTATTGTAATTAAACAAAAACGATTACACATCAGGTTTATTCATTATAAGATGGAATTTTGCGTCGGGGTGATATAATCAAGTTAGGTTTTGCCCTTCACCGACGTTTAAACGTTTATTCATGCCTACCCACACGATACAAAACCATTGCCCTCCGACCCGCCTCAACGCATAAAGTCTATTCAAACTAGTACTCACTGATACAAAATTACAATCAAAAGCGAGACAGGTTTTGTTTGAAATATTTCATTAAAATATTTATTTCAATAAAATTGTTATCTTAGTTTACAACTTAAAAACATCGAAGTCATGAAAATTGTTCAAGTACTTTTAAAAATATATCGTCATGGCAATTGGGTTATGACATAACAGAATTAAAAAAACGCCCTTTTTGGGGCCGGCACAGACAGCTGTGGGTATACAGTGTAGGTTCGTCAAATACCTTTGTTTTGATGCTATAAATAATCTTAAATTTGTTAAATAAAGTACGGTACAAAACATCCGCCCCTTTTCGCATACAAATGACCTATACATGACTGCGCAATAGTCGTAGCCTTGTTGCCATTTTGTGATTGGACGATGAACGACATTCGTTTGATGGTGTCTTCATATCTCCAGTGCGAGTAGCTGCAAGCGCGATCGCAAGTAGCCTGAGCGCTGCTTACGCACCCGGGTTTCGCACTCAGTATACAATACTTTCAGAATCATTTTAGTGATGGTCTGTTTTCATAAAATACATTTCATGAATGAACATCAAATGATCTATAATTACATCTTGAGATCGTTTAGACACACCCCCATAAATGCATGAAAGTGAATACGGAATTGAAGTGTTAAGTAATTAGTTCTTCCGGTCGCATCATCAGTCCTTTTTATTTATATTAAGGAGGATTTTTAAAAACTTTTAACTATTTTAACATTAAAACAATGATTGAAAAGCAAAGCAGGGATCAATTTAATACGCATAATATGTACATAAAATTAATAAATTTACATTCGTAAAATATTTTTTTTAAGAAAGCATGAGTACAGATGAATAATATAAGTTTTTTTTTAAAGAGAGAAGTAATTCTTCCATTCCAAAAGTTTATGCACAAAATTAATGTCCAACCACCAACGAATCATTGCAGATAGCTTGCAATGTTCATTTGAAAATCGAGATATATACACAGTAGGGTTTTGTGAAATGATAAAGTTTTTCGTTTCCCCCTTTTCTGAAGTATCACTATGTGAACGAAATGTGTCACAAAAACCTGCAGAATCTGGTCTTGTACGATGAACATGTACATGCGGCGCCCGTACGTGTACATGGTACCGTACGTCGTACTTGCGTACATGTACTTCAACGTCGTTAATTGTCCAATCACAAAATGGCAACAAGGCTACGACTATTGCGCAGTTATACATGTATTATCGCCATTACCAATCGCCATTAGGGCGACTAATATGACCTTCACCACGATGTCCACTGTTACTAACTTGTCATCGACTTTAGCCCATGTTAGGCCTTTTTATAACCTTATTAGTAATAATTATTTTAATCTAATCAGAATAGCTTACATTTGTCCAAGGAGACGTCACCCTTTCTACCGTACACCCGATTGTGAAATTGGGATTCATATCTATAATTTTGCTGGAAACACATAAAAAGACAATATAATACTGCAAAATGTATAATGACTTGAACAAAATGGAAGTAAAAGTATAGAAAAAAGAAGAAGTGAGCGGGAAAAAGGGAACTAGTTTGTACTTGGCCTTATAGGTATATCATTTCGACTTCTTGCATTTGGCGATTTTTTTCGACTTCTACACCAATGCCTTGTTGTTTGTATCATTCTCCTCATCGTCGCTGTTGTTAATTGGCTGGTATTCTGCTAATGGCTGCCGTACATGCAGGAACCTGCGAAAAAAGAAGTAAATATCAGGGCCATTGTGATTCTGCGCATTTTAAGCTGTGCCTGATTTGACTGTGTGGAAACGGTAGAGGGCGCTCTAGCTACTCAATACACAAAAATCTCCATAATTCCTGACGCACAATGTTGCAGGGCATTATTGTGTGCGATGCTCCAACATGATAATTTCTGTTTGCGTAAATTGCGAGTTGGAATGCTCTGTTGTTTTATCAGATTTCTCGTTTTCATGATTGTATATGTGGTACGGTTCATATCACAGAATTTGACCTATCATTGCGCTATACTAATCACTGCGTAGGCCTGCAACAGACCTGAGACATAATGACGTCAAGATTTGTTTACACGTGCGCTTTCCTATTATGAGGGCACGCGTCCCGGCCCACCTAGCTCTCACAGGAAAGCGTACATGTAAAAAAAGCGTGACGTCATTAGGTCGCATCTCAATTTGGTGCTTGCGATAAACGGGGAAAGACTTGAATAATCAAAATGTTTAACGAAATGCTGTTACCCATTTATGAACAATGGTATGACCAGAATTCCTGCAGCCACGTAAAAAGTAACAGTAGGGTGCCCGATCTTCACGGTAGACGAGTAGATTCCATTCATCACAATGGGGGAGAGAACTTTCCCCACGGAAGAAAGAACTGCAATTGCGCCAAAGAGGGACCCTATCAGATTTGAGATTAAAAATAACAAAAATCAATTTTTAAAGTGGAAAAAAGGTATTGCTAAACAGCTGTTGTATGATGTTGATGAAGGGATCAGCAAATAGAGCCCCTATAAATTAAAAACAAGAAGTGGAATGAACTAAAAAGATGTTTGCTGCCACCAAGAGTTTGAAATAAGCCAATGAGCAGCCATGACCAGAAACATCAAGAACGTGATGCCGAGTGGCAGTTTAAGTCATCACACGTCAATCAGTATTAGCCTCAGTCAACCAGTCTAAAGTCAAGCGCACGGCACTCTACAGTCATGTATTCGATGATTCGAATGCAGTGCGTGTTTTTGTTGTTGGCTTTAGTTTGTTCATCTCCTGACAGTTTTGACCCGACCTATGTCGTATCTGATTTGTTATTGACTCGACTTGTTATTGACCCGATATTGCTTGGATGACTAAGATGAAGTTTTGAGTGGACCAATGGGGTTAACCTTGTTCGTCAGTGTCGACCTGCTGCGTTGCCAAAAACCGTAGGAGAGGTGCTGGAAGGATACGGAGAACTCCAACGGCCGGTGCTGTGTGGTTAGAGAAAGTGAAACGTATAACTAAACTATACGCCCAGCTAGACTATGGCAATGCTCCAAACTATTGTTGGACCAGTCCCGAGTTGGGGCTGTGGGTATGGGACGGACTCGTTGGGAAATCCCAACATATTGTTTGGACGAAACACAGCAGGAGAGGAGTTGGGAACAGATGTTGCTGAACCTATACCTGTGTTTTTATTGGGCATGCAGGGTGGAAAGGGGCGTACTCTGATTAGTAGTGCGCGAGTTAAGGTGTGAGAGTCAGATGGGATCGATGCCTAGGTTGGGGCGCACCATCGTCACTGACATCAACGTCACTGACATCATCGTGACACAAAACTAACACTGTTCTAACACTGAATTCCACCAGGCCGACGTGTGAATCAATGGTTTCCAGTCCCTGCCTGATTCTCTGGGTTTCCCCCTGGAATAGCCACGCTTCTAACTTGCACTTTACTTTAACATTATTTTTCTTCAATGTCTTCTCTCGACAGAGTTCTTCCGGGGCTTGCAAGCTAGAGTGATGTGGACCTTTGGAGAAATCTTTGCTTTCATTACCGGAAATAAAATTAATACCGATCATCATGATAATAACAATCTAGAAGCATGAAACAATGGGGGTGTGACTTCGTCGTGTCAGTGACGATATCGAAGGCACTTTTGCTACCACAGTAAGCAGTTTTTGGTAATTTAAGTTTGTGTCTAAATACAAAAAAAAACTTCAGGGGCAGCACTCCTACACCTTGTGCTCCTCAGGGCGTAAAGAAAGATCATGTCAGCAAAGCGAGCTGGGGAGGGTGTCTCGATCTCTCAGCATGCTTGTACAAATGCAAGCATCTGCCAGTTACCCCAACAATTTCTTAAACTAACAAACTCAGCTTTCTCTTTTGTCGTTGTCTACGAACATTTAAAGCTACTCACCAACGTAAGCCAGGATGGCTTGGGTTTTTGCCAGTGCCGTGGTGACCATGATACCTATTCCGGACAGAAATCCGATGTACACCATCCAATACTCGGACATGCAGAGACCCAGGAGCTTCATCGCCACAATAGATGCTGTAACGGCCACGCAAACAAAATCAAAACCATCAGGTAAAGGGCAAAATAAATCTACGAAGTATCCTTACTCTGTGACTAGAGCAACTTATTTTACAGATCTGCGATTTGACTTGGTTTGGACTCTTGGAGCTTTGGGCTGATATTGATTTAGAGGTTTGACTAAAATGATTACGGTTTTGTTTTTAGACTCTGTGCGTTTAACCAATTACCTTTGACTTGTTTTCTGGTAAGGGTTGAATCGAAGCTGCAGCAATTCTCGGATTGGTTGTGAATTCGGGAGTCGGTTCAGGCTTGGGTTTGATTAATGATTACATTTCGTTTCGGTTTGGATTGAGTTCTTGATCTTTTTGTCATGGGGTGGTTCGTGGTTGGGCCTTAGTTTTCAGTATGGTTATGATTTCGGTAATGATTGGTTTGGCCTGGGTTCGATTCTAGATTGTGTTAAGGATTTGCCTTTTGAATTGGTTTCGACTTTGCAGCTGGATGAACAAACTATCGACCATTTTGTAAAAGAACTTTGCCCAAAAAGTGTTTGGGTATTTAAAAAAGCCTTTAGATCTGCAGTATGGCTTAAGCCGTACTTACCGGCAGCAGGAACAATATTGACAATGACGCTGTAAACACCCACAAAGGTGTCGTCCCAACAAAATGGCGGCCCCAGACCGTATATGGTGATGACACTGTACACCGCTTCGTATACCAGTTCATAGAGAACTAAGATAGCAATCAGGAACACGATCCTAATTCGTCTCCCGTTGGAGTTGTTCTTAAACAACCTGTAAATTTTGGTCAGGAGATCTCGAAAGACACCGCGAGGGAATGGACGCCTTTCCACAGTCTCGCGCAGAACGCAAGGGAGAGTGACGTATAGAAAATTGATCACGGCGGCCACTACCACGGTCAAGTAGGCGATGGGGTAGTTGGACCCCGTCACTTGCAGGATCCAGGTGACTACGAGTTGGCTGCCGCCGAAGCCGACATAGACCATCAGATTCACCACAAAGATCCGGAAATTCCTGTCTCTGCCCTGGTAGACGTCGGTAACGTACGCATACACCATGCTGTCTACGATGATCGAATCGCCACAGATGCCCAGGACGGCTTCACCGATGACGAGGCAAAAGAGCGGCAGGTTGAAGTAGGCGACGCAAAGGAACAACGCAGCGGCCGTGAGGTGGGCAGAAGCCGCGAGAATCAAGACGGGCTTACGGCCGATGAAGTCACTCGCGGTGCCGTAGGCGAGGGCGGTGAACATCGGCAGCGCCACGGACACACCCTTCATGTAGGCCACCCAGAGGGCGGTCTCGGACTCGATCTGCGCCTGCTTGGGATCCTTGGTTTCGTTGACGCCACAGGGGCCATTGGCGTCATTGGAGGGCAAAGTGTAGTTGTAGCTAACTGCAAGGCGGTGCTCAATGTAGAGTGTCCTCAGTGCCACGAAGCCGCCTTGAATGGCGAGTATCAGGAACGCCACCGGCTCCACGGTCACAAGTCGAGGTCGCCGCGTTTGGACCGATGGTTTGTCCAGTATTTCCTGTTCTGACGTCATCATGTGGCTGTTATACGATCGGCCTTTACTCCGTAGCCATTTCTTATCATCAACCTTGATCAGTTGAACGAGTTAACTATAATCGCACTACTCCAAATATAAGACACTGTCCGGTCCTGTGAAAGATAGGACCAAAACAGTTACGTAAACAACAGAAGTAACTCGAGCATGCAGTGCCGTGCACCATGTTCTTGAAGGAAAATAAGGGCAAGGAAAAAAGTTTCACCATTTTAGGTCTACATAATTATACATGTGCAATGTTTCGGCCACATGCATTATTCCTAATGCACAAAAATGCTCTGAAAAATTATGATTCAAAATTCAATTCAAAGGCAACATTTTATCGCCATACTTTCCACAAGTAAACCATGTTTTCAAATAAAAAGAAGGTAATTGTATAGATTAAATAAATACAACAATGTAGTACAACGATTGTATTAAATTAGGGTGAAGAATACGGGGCTGTTCATATAAACCAAATCTTGTAGAGAACAGCTTAACACATGATTGACGGCGTTTTTAGCTTGTCATGAAAAAACTGAAACAGTCAGCTATAGCTGGCACGTTTCCTGCCAATTACCGGCTGAATAATAAAAGCCAATGTTGGACCAATAGCCTACAGTACCTGACAAAATACAGACGCAACCATTTCTAGCTCATCTCAAAACCAAGTGGGATCTAATTTGATGTGCCAGGCTGCTAATTATAAAAAAGGTTGGCGCAAATGTTACGTTCTTGCCAAGTATTGAAAGGAAGTAAGGAAGAAATGGCTTATCGTCTGTGGCCTAACATGTGATCGTCAAGTTTAGTATATACTTTCACATTTTTCTCAGTCCTAGAACGAGAAAGCTAAATTAGCACGACCCATTAATTCAGTCTTATTAAATTCAGAGTCAAATCTGGACTACTACTACCTGCAGAGTGCAGGCTCCATACTATACACTTACCTGGTGATGGTGCTGGATATAATAATATTATTATGGCAGCACTGCTTGAAATAGGCCTACACGATGGTTGAACGCCAGTATACAGAAACAACCCTGGAGCACGGTGACTATTACTGAATAGGCATGATCAAAATCACATGATGCTGAGATATTTCCGATTTACATGTATATTAATTATCATACAATGCACGGGCCACACACCCGTAAAAAGTTTGCATATAACCAAAGTCCATGTGTAGTAGAGTGCATCATGGAGGAATAAGAATCCTCCATGAGTGCATGCAGGCGGCGGATGCACTTCCCATAGCGCGGTGTCGGCACACTCCAACTTGTTTTAGCACGGTGCCCCTGGTGGCGTCCGGGTCACAAGTCTGCTGAAAATAACTCCACGGAGAGTCATTGTCACTGGCACAGCCGAAAGTTCATCATCGCACACCAATCTGTCGTACCAAACATGTGAACGTACGGGAATAATATTTGTTTGTAAGCATATTCGGCCCCTCTGCATCTGCTTTATATAAACTGGCACCCATTCATAGGCCTTGGTGATCCCATATAATAGGGCAAGGAACCTTGCTCTATAGTGATCAACACTTCATTCAATGGGCCTTACGAAATGTGTCAAGGTTGACCTCCAGCACCAAACGGGCATGTGTATATGCAGCAAACGCAGTCATGCAGCGTCGATCGACATGAACGAAGTATCCTGTCCATTGTACATGGAGATCAATGACCCCGCCAAATCACAATACACAGCCTGCCGAGCCTACATGCCATACATGTACAGTTATAATAACTGTTGGCACGTAAAACTGAACCTACATGAGAATATCTATGATATAATGATTATTATGCCTGTACTATAGAATTAGGCCTTTAATAGTACCAAACATAACCAAACTTCACTTTTTTTTAAATGGTCGGTACACTGTAACAGCGCCCCCTATGGACACATGGTCGATCTTTAGGCTTATTCGTTGGTCCCGTTTCTTTCCCTGCAATTACCTGACCAATTTTGTTGCGGCTTCGCACGGATACCATTTTAGTCCAAGTCTGGTCCAAGATGGCGGCCACCACGGACGTAATGGGGATCGAAGATGCGATAAAAAGTGAAAATCTCGGGCTTTCGGAGGCTGAAAAAATCCGTTTAGAGACTGTACTTAAAAGAGCTAAGGTAGGCCTTAATATTGCTTGATTAGAATTTCATGCAGTTTGTTTTTTTGAGTAGTATCAGTGTCATGTCACTTTTTTGTCAGTTTGTGGGCGGGGTGTCATGGGTGTGTGCGGTGGAGGGGGGGGGGGGTGGCAAGCAACCATGTTTTTATAATAAAAATATAATTCACACTCAGTCACAGTGGCTATCGTTACGGCAGTCGACCCTCTGCTTCCCTTACCCTACAATATTCAACATCAGCATCGTAGGCCTATCATACAATTTACAAAGTTCAACATTTATTCTTCCAATTTTTAATCGCAGGAAGTAGAAGAAGAGGATTTCTTCAGGTAAGAAATTCATTGATTGGTGGCAATTTCATTAAGCGATGAAAACGAAACATGTCAAAATGATTAAGTAGGCCTAGGCCTACGAGGTTTTAAAGCACAATAGTGAGAAAAGAAAATGGCAGTGGAGACGGCAAACCTTTAGTAAACGTTAGTTTGCCGGATATGCACTGAACATGCGCAGTTACTGTTTTTTTTGTACTCAAACATTTTACGGTGACAAATTTTAGTCTGGCTCCATGCCAATATTATCGTTGTAACCTTGTATTCACAAGATGGGATTCGGACCATTTTATAATTTCAGACTTTATTTCCCTTTTAAAAAAAAATCTCCAGAGCCACAAATCTGAAAAAGAAAATGTAATACTTTGCAATAAAATGTTTGAGACATGTTAAAATAATAAAAGAAGAATATATTCTTATTTATTTGGGGATGGGAAAAAAACCTTAAAAATGTGGTGGGGGTCGGGATCGAACCCGAGTCATCCCGCTCACTAGAGCTTTTGCTTAACCACTACGCCAAACGTGCTTCACAACTTTTGGTGGGAATTTAATACATCTTATAATTCAGCCCTATCTTAAAGAGTACAGCGCCCTCTGTTGATATGGATTGCCGCCGGCAAACCTTTAGTAAACGTTAGTTTGCCGTCATTACCTCCGGCAAAATATCCACTATCAAAGAAAATCGAACTTGAAATTTAAAAAAAACTTTCGTGGCTCTTTGTGAAAATGGACAAAGACGAAGTTCGAAAACTTATTGAAGTAATGAAGTGGCGTCCTGATTGGCCAGCCTAACTGGAACAATGTCGACAGGACTATCCCGTCTGAAGTCGGGATCGGCCCAACTTAGGTTGATTGTAAAGGTGATTTTTGAGCGATAGAATACATTTTTGACTCGAATTTGATCAAAACAAAACAGGGGCCACACGATCGCCATAAGATTGACTGTAAGCATGACTCTTCAAGTTTGGTCCAAGGCACCATTCTGTTCGTGAATATTCATATCAACCACCATAATGAATTTATTGGTCTTTCATATCTCATGAATATTCGTTTCATGTAATGATCCAGCAGTCATCCAATGGAGGGCACCCTCAATAAATACACCAACGTCGTGAAGGGGTGGCAGAACCGGTGGTTTCTACTGGATCCCCAGAAGGGAACCCTGGAATACTACGTGGTAAGAACAATCAGGCCAAGTAACTAGTTTCTTGCCCCCGACTGCTTCCTTTTTTGCTGAGTTATCCATTGTTCAGATCCATCACAGCAGTTGCTGCGTACAGAAGTGTGCTCAATAGTTCCTCCTTTCAAGGGGGCCTCGTGCCCTCGTGTGTGAACAGTGATCATGTGGAGAGTCATGGCCTAGCGGTTAAGAGCACCGGACTCATGCTCTGGTGTTTCAGAGGCAACAGTGGCGTGGGTTCGAGCCCGCCGGGTGAACACTTGTGCCCTTAAGCAAGGCACTTAACCATTATTGCTTCGTCCTTCGGATGGGACGTAAAGCCGGAGGTCCCGTGTGTTGTGTAATGCAATGCATGTAAAAGAACCCAGGGACACTTATCGCTAAGAGAAGGGGTTTGCCCTGGTGTTTCTGGCCTCCTGGTCAAACTCCCCCCAAAAAGGAGTTGTTTACGTCTTACTCACGAGCTGGACACTCCATTATATAGCTGGCGGGGTGTTTCGAAAAACAGAAAGTAAAATTGTTGAACAAAGTTGTTGGACATTTTAAATTTTTGGCTTGTTTTGACGTTTTTGGACTGAAAAGTTTTGATATTTTGACTGAAAAGGTAATTTATGAATGGGAATAAAAATATGTGCTTGGTCGGTATTAAACACTATGTTTAAGACTGGTTGGAGATTTGACGACAAGGGATTTATTTCAAAATTTTTGTTACTTTTAAAAAAAATTCTCACAGACTGAAGAATCCAGAAAGACCCAGAGACCGAGAGGATTGGTGCATCTGACGGTAAAGTTTCTTCAGTTTTTCTGTCTCTTAGTTTACGTTTTCAATCCCTTCTTCCCCCCCCCCCTCCGCCCCTTCACCTAATTTCTGAAGTTTTCCAAATTCAGTCGAAGGGACCTTTTATAATTTTAAATCCCAAAACTCAGAACTGAATCTCTGGAAGATTTTGAGTTGAATTTATTTGTACAAAAAGACCATCAGTTGAGAATAGGTCTGATTACACAACAGACACGAAAATGGACTGAAAATATGCATAATTTATGAAAAACCAGCGTACATTTGCAGATGATATTGATCTATTAAATGTACCTACGTGTACACAGTTTTGGAAATATTATCTATGTTAACCCTAACCGAACTCAACCCATCAAAGTTCAACAGCAGGTTTCGTTGAAATCTGTTGGGATAGGTACAGTACCCCTAAACTGATGGTCTTTTACACTGGGGTTGGCATTCCTCCAGAAACTAAGTCCAACAGTGTGTGTGTATGATTTCCCATGTGGGTGTTGGAATTTGCCAGAATGGGTATGGTTCCTAGTGGGTAAATTAGGCTGGGGAGTTAAGGTTAAAGATGCATTCCCTGTGCTACTGTCGGCTTCACTTTGAAAAATGCATTTGTTTTTTGTTCCAAAATACATTTGTTTTTTTGGGTTTTTTGCACACGTCCATAATGGGAATAAAGTAGGTTGTTTTTTCGGTAAAACAAAACACACACATTTTTATTTGGTTAGGAGAAAAAAAATCTCAATTTTTTATGTTTTCAACTTCTAAGTGTTTTGGGTGTTTGTTTTTTCAGGGAGCGGTCATTTCGCCCAGTGACGAGGATTCCATGACGTTCAACGTGAACGCGGCCAACGGGGAAGTGTACCGGCTGCGGGCTACCGACGCCAAGGAGAGGCAGTTCTGGGTCAGTCGCCTGAGGGCGGTGGTGCAACGCCAGGGGGAAGTCATCTCACAGGTGTGAACGTAGTGGGGGAAGGGGTGAGGGGTTGGGGGGAGGGAATTCTTTCAGACATCTTGAAGTCACTATGGGGTTCGTGCACAGTACCACCTTGGCATTGAGAATGGGATGATGTTTCTGTCAGTAGAAGGACTGCCTCTTTAAGACATTAAACTTGCTCTGGCATGCACTGTTGAAATCACAAGTCAATCACAAGTCAATTACAAGTCCATCACAAGTCAATCACAAGACAATCATGTGTCAATTACAAGACAATCACAAGTCAATCACAAGTAAATTACAAGTTCATCACAGGTCAATCACAAGAAAATCACAAGGCAATCACAAGACAATCACAAGACAATCGCAACTGAGTCACAAGTCAATCGCAACTGAGTCACAAGTCAATCGCAAGGTGATCACAAGTCACAAGGGAAGAACAAGGACAAAGGAATGCCTTTGTCACAGATCATCTGGATTGCTTGTGAGTTGTAAGGATTAAAACCCTAACCGCCCTGAATCCTCCAAAATCCTTTTTGCAAATTGGAGGAATTTGCAGGATTGAGGTTACATGGCAAAAGTGCATTGCTGATTTCGGAGTACGCACTGTGTCAAGGTCTTGGGCCGGACCTTGTGTTGTTTATGCTCAGCCGTGCATAAACTTAGTCCTTGATTATACTTGACATCCTCCGCACTGCTCCAGGATGTCACTGCCTCTGCCTCAGCCTATGGACAGACATAGCCTGAGGATTTTGCAGGATTCAGGCAGTGGTCATCCCTCCATGGACCATATTCAAGAAATAACGGAGGAATTTGCAGGATTGAGGCTATATGCTATTTTTCCATGAGGCCAATTGGAGGATTTTGCAGGATTGAGGCTACATCCTAGCAAAATGGCCTAGGGAGTTAGGGTTAAGACTAAGATCGGGCTACCAACTGAAATCAGAAGAAATCAGACACAATATAAGAAGAATATTCTGTTCAGGGTTTATAATGATTAAAACTTGGTGTAGGCATATGTAGCTGGAATATTCACATTTTTGTTTTGCTTTTTAGTCGCTGGGCGACACAACGTCACCGTCGTCCAGTCAGGGCTCCAACGATTCCCTCCAGCAGCGGTCCGTCATGCGACGCCATCACTACAACGCCGCCCCGCGCCAATCCCCCTCCAACTCCCTGGGCAGGCACACCAGGCCCCCTTCCCTCGCCCCCTCCCTCACCCCGTCTGTCACCCAGGAGTCGCTGCACAACGCCCGGGACATCATCACTATCGCCGAAGAGCAACAGAGGATGCTGGTCCAGGCACTGGAGGTAGATACTATTCAACCTACTGCTGGAACAGTCACAGACAGACAAAAATTCAGTCCTCTTCTCCTGCCATGCCTTTTACACAGGCTCATCACCAACAGTCAAATCATATTGATGTGTTGTGTAATGCACGTTAAAGAACCCAGTAACACTTATCGCTAAGAGAAGGGGTTTGCCCCGGTGTTTCTGGCAGTGGCTGCAATATGCGCCGCAGCACCTTGTAAACCATTATAAGGTGCTACATAATGGGTCTCATATTTCTCATAAACTTTATTCACCTTTCTTTAATAATAGATATAATTTCCAGCGCCTTGAGTACCTAATTGTTGGTAGATACGTGCGCTATATAAGACTCCGAATTATATTATTATATTTCAAGCAAGCACTCTGACTAGTCAAATATGTTCAATGCCTGAAACAATCAAGAGCGAGTACATACAAGATTTCAACTGTTGCAATAATTTGAAACAACTCCAAAGTCCAGTCTGTGAAAAATGAGTACTCAAAGCACGGCTGTCTTGAACCAATTTCAAACTGGTTGTGACGTTCGACCAATGTTTCGTGGGTTTGACCCCTGATGGGGAACCAAGGTGTTTGTGTCCTTGGGCTAGACACTTAACTACAATTGCCTCTCTCCACCCAGGAGTATACATGGGTACCTGTGAGGGTAGAGACCAGATTGCACTGATGCTTGCGTTCTTGGGCAAGACACTTTACTACAATTGCCTCTCTCCACCCAAGAGTATAAATGGGTACCACTGAGGGTAGAGACCAGATTGCGCTAATGCTTGTGTTCTTGGGCAAGACACTTTATTACAATTGCCTCGCTCCACCCAGGAGTATAAATGGGTACCTGTGAGGGTAGAGACCAGAATGCGCTGATCTCAACTGCAGAAAAGGGGCCTCATGGCCTGTTGAACAGGGGTAATAATTGAAAAGTGATTTGGCACCTGTTTTCGGTTTGAAAGTGCTGTATCTACTCCGTTCACAAGTACCCCCTCACTGGCAAAGAAAGTACAGTTGGGGGTGACCAAAAGACTCCATCTTGCCTGACTGCAATATTTTGCTGCGACGCACGGCCGTACCACTGCGTGTACATAGTACAAATCCCCTAGTGTAGGTGCGTCACGCACAAGGAACTGTGCGCGTCAACCAGCTAAATGTTCGGCCTACGGGACGTCGTTGCTAGGTTAAAGGGCGCCCTCTTTCATTGGCGCATGGAGCCCATAAGCACCACAGATTATTACTATTGAGTCCGGTTTGGAAAGTGACCCATGTTTTTGTTCTGACCCCTTCCCTTTCCCGCCAGTCGCTACCTTCGTCGGGCCACCCGATCAACTCCTTAGACCACGACTGCCTGCTCCTCAAGTCAACATCTCACTCGGCCATGGGCTGCCTGGAAGACTGCCTGAACATCTTACAGAGGCAGGACATCGCCCAGGGGCACAGGTCAAACAGTGACCTCCAGCGATCCATGGCCAACATCAGGTCAGTCTAGTCTGCAACCACTTGGCTGTTAAACTTTCCGTTTGTCAGATCAGTCACAGACGGTAAAAAGTTCAATCCTGTTCCCCTGCTGTGCCTTTTACACAGGCTAGTCACCAACAGTCGGAGCATAATATTCATACGATGGAATTTTTTGCGTCGGGGTGATGTAAATCAATATTAGGTTTTGCCCTTCACTGACATATAAACACTGTATACTCAGTGTGTTACCTCCCGAGTGAAAGTTGGAGAAAAAAAATCACTCGGGTGGAACTCGTACCACGACCTCCTGATTTCTAGTGCAGACGTCTTACCACTCGACCTCCGAGCTTAGATCATAGTTTCATAGGCATCGTGACTCGTCAAATTCCATCAACGGACAAAAGCAGGTGACTGGTAGGCACAGCTGGCTTATCAGTCTCCTACAATCAAAGCACAGCTATACCAGGTTCCATAACAATCACAGCCAGCAAATCCTGCTATGTGAAGGCAGGGAACACTCAACTGTTCAAAACAGTCACTTGATTTATTTTGACTGCTGGGCTGGCCTTGTTGAAATTGCCAGCCAGAGAGTGGGGGTTAATCCTAGCCCTCAATCCTCCAAATGGTTTGGGAGGATTTTGGAGGATTGAGGCTGAATGGCAAAAAAAGTGTCGGTCGATGTTGGAGGATGCATTGTATAGAGGTCGTACGCTGAACCCTGCGTTTGTTTATGTTCAGCCGTGCATAATTGAAGTCCACATTGTGCTGGATATCATCCGTACTGCCTCACTGCTTCTTTGTTCAACTGTACAAACAAAATGCATGTGGTAAGGTTTCATTTTGATCTTGAATTTGGATCAGCTTTCTTAAATTGATTCTTTGCAGCCTTGATCTTCATGTGGCCAATCCGCAGCCAGTCGGCAGTGTGATCAACACGAATAGCCCCAGCCACTTACCAGCGAGTAACGGGGTGGCAGACAGCTCCGATCGTAGAGTGCCATGTGAGTTGGTTACATACAATTAAGAATTTATAAAATTTATGGCAAAGTTCATAAAATGTATAGCAAAGGATCGTTCCAGATTTGGCCATAGGCCTAGACGTGTGTTGGACTTGTGATTGACTTGTGATTGACTTGTGACTGACTTGTGATTGTATTGTAATTGACTTGTGATGGACTTGTGATTGACTTGTGATTGACTTGTGATTGACTTGTGACTGACTTGTGATTGACTTGTGATTGACTTGTGATTGACTTGTGATGGACTTGTGATTGACTTGTGTTGGACTTGTTATTGACTTGTGATTGACTTGTGATGGACTTGTGATTGACTTGTGATTGACTTGTGATGGACTTGTGAATGACTTGTGATTGACTTTTGATGGACTTGTGATGGACTTGTCACTTGTGATGGGCTTGCGATTAACTTGTGATTGACTTGTGATTGACTTGTGATTGACTTGTTATTGACCTGTTATTGACTTGTGATTGACTTGTGATGGACTTGTGATGGACTTGTGATGGACTTGTGATGGACTTGTGATTGACTTGTGATTGACTTGTGTTGGACTTGTGATAGACTTGTGATGGACTTGTGATGGACTTGTGATAGACTTGTGATTGACTTATGGTTGACTTGTGTTGGCCTTGTGATGGACTTGTGATTGACATGTGATGGACTTGTGATTGACTTGTGATGGACTTCTGATCGACTTGTGATGGACTTGTGATTGACTTGTGATGGACATGTGATGGACTTGTGATGGACTTGTCACGACCTGCGATCCATCTCAAGTGCCTCGACTACACTACTCATTACTACATTTAATTGATGAAATTATGTCATTGAAGAGTAAAAAAAAATTATGAAATCTGTGTCGTTAGTTATCAATCCAGCTGACGAGGTTGAAGACAAGGAGGGCGGTGAAGACGAAGACATCGGGGGAGTGGAGGAACACAAGAGTGTCATCCTGCACCTACTCTCCCAACTCAAACTAGGCATGGATCTAACCAAGGTAAACCTGAGCCTCCCAAATCCCATCTCTGCACAGCACAACTAAGGGGTTAATAATGTGATAACGGCCGGAGCTGAAGGCGAGGGATACTATCGGTTCAAAATCTTGAGGGGGCTAGCCGCTAATAACGGCCCGGGCTGATGGTGAGGGTCATTGTCGGCAACCAGGCCCCTTACCAGTTTTCAACATCACATTTTTAACTGCTCTATCATACTGTTATCCCAATTCATAACTACCTTTTCGATTTAAAAGCCATATCAGAAGTTTAAAAGTTGACAAAACTTTGCAACGTTCGCAAGCTCCTGGTTGTGGTAGGCATGCAGGGCGCTTACTGCGCCCATGTGGTGCGGAGTGCAGCGTCTCGCGGAATCTAACAAAACTGTAGCGTCTCTCCTCTCTGCTCACAATTGCATAGATCTGTTTCACCTGTTTCCGATCTTGGAAGATTCTACCAGGGAACAAATTTCATTGACGTGAAATGTGTGTTCCGGAACATTGACTGTTTATTTTTTTGCACGTGTAGGTGGTGTTACCAACGTTTATTCTTGAAAAGCGGTCCCTGCTGGAAATGTATGCTGACTTCATGGCGCACCCTGACATGTTTGCGAGGTGAGACCTGTGGTCAATTCCATTTAAATATATGATGTGTTGTTTGCAGAAATCCAGATCCTAGAACAGACCCTTGAGAACGTACACTTGTGGCCACACAGTGTGTTAAAATAGTATGCCCTTTTGACACTTGTATTATTGTTGCCAAGGAAGTCCCTAACTCCCTGGCATGATTTACTAGGAACCATACCCATCCTGGCAAATTCCAAAACCATTATTATGGGAAACTACACACACATATTTCTGACTTGGATTCTGGAGGTGTGCCAACCCAATGTAAAAGACTGTCAATTTAGGGGTACTGCACCCATCCTGACAGATTCCAACAAAACATGGCATTGGGGTTTGATCGGTTGAGTTCTGTTAGGGTTAATGGCATAAAAATTATAAAACTGGAATACAGATGTATACTGAAACAAATACAATTTTTGTTGTTCAAAAGTTGTTTTTCTCTGCTTGTTCGACTTCTTCCTCAAATGAACTGCCTAGAAGTTTATGTGTTTGGACTTTGTGACTGGCTTTAGGCAGCTTCCAATTCCTAACCAGCTTTTAAAAAAAATATACATGGAATGGTTTTTGTAATTTTTTTTCCCTAGAATTCCAAGTTTACCAACTCCAGAGGCGCGCATGATGGCAGTCGTTGAATACTATCTATGCTCATTTCATGTCGGCAGAAAGGTAAAACAAAAAAAAAGGACATTTTCTTGTGACCCACCCAGCTTTCTTGAGCCAAAGCTGCTGGCAACCGCTCTTCAAATCATCATGTCTCTCCGTTTTTTTTTTTTTTTTACTCTCCATTAGTTAGTAACAAACGCTGACATTGTCTATTGCTCCTACACATTTTGACCGATTTTAACCAAACTTTGTCAAAAGTATCAGTAGCCCATCCCCAACATGTCACATGACCAAACTGGGGTCAAAGGTCATCATGGGGTCAAGGTCAAAATAATGTCAAATTTCAAATAAGCTCAAATGACAATAGTAGCGCTGTCAATATTTTGACATTACATTCTGAAAAAAACTTGTAAAAATACTTTAAAGGAATTAATGTTGGAATATTTCAGGGCTCGATTGCCAAGAAACCCTTCAATCCCATCATTGGTGAGACGTTCCACTGTTCCTGGGATTTGCCCTCCAACTCCAGCCAATCAGACGGCCCCGTTGAGAACGGTCGAGTCACCTTTGTGGCCGAGCAGGTTTCCCATCATCCTCCGGGTGAGTTTACATCACATCACGTCACATCACGTCACGTCACATACTTGGTACTTGATCGGTTCTTCTCCTAAATACTCCACAGGGGAGTTTTAACAGGAGGCCAGAAACACCGGGGCAAACCCCTTCTCTTAGTGACAAGTGTCACTGGGTTCTTTAACGTGCATTGCATTACACAACACATAGGAGGACGAAGCAGTAATGGTAAAGTGCCTTGCTTAGGACGAAGTGATAATGATAAAGTGCCTTGCTTAAGGGCACAAGTGTCCAGACCCGGGCTCGAACCCACATTCTGCTGCCTCTGAAACACCAGAGCATGAGTCCGGTGCGGTGCTATTGTCCGGTAAGGCCAAAAAAAATAGTTCTGCTTCCGGTTTCTTTAATACCTACCCTATTCTGACAGCCCCTAACCTATTTTTTTATGGGAAAAATGAGAAAAAGAACACCCAAAACCATCAATTGTTACCTTTTACCCTTGACTACACGCAGACGGCTCCAAGTGGTCGTACCCAAGAAAAATTGCCCCCCCCCCAAAAAAAAACAATTTCCCTACCTACCTACGCTATTTTCAAATGCCATGTAATCGGAAGCAGAATTCTTTTTTGGGGGGGCCTAACCACTAGGCCACGTAACGTCACATCAGATAGAAAATAAAAATATCAAACAACAATATGTGACTGCAGTGTGAATAGAATCTAAATGCACACCCACATGATATGGCAATGTAGAAGTACCCCCTCAACGGTAAGAAAGGGAGAATTAGGGAGACCACTGGGAGAGACAATCGAACGCATCGCCGACGACCGCGTGACGCTCACGCGAAGACACTTTGGCTTCATGCGCATTCAGAATAAATCAAGTTGTGCATACTTCACGCTATAATATATACGCACGTGAATCAGTACGCGCACTCGGTGTGTCCAATCCACAGGGCTCTTGAAAGTGGCCAGAAAGCGCCCTCGCTTTTTCACGCACGGAGCCCATTAGCTCTTACTGATAGTCTCTTATTCTTTTTTTCTTTTAGTGTCCGCATTCTACGCAGAGTGTCCCAGCAAGAAGATCTGCATGAACAGCTGGATATGGACTAAATCGAAATTCCTGGGCATGTCGGTCGGAGTTAACAACGCCGGAGAAGGTTAGCCTGAAATCTGTTACTTGTGGTTATCTAGAGTAATTCGGGCGATTCACAATGCAGTGCGCCACCAAGAGTTTGCCACAGAGAGCTCATTTTCCCAGTGCATTGTGGGAGATGGTCGACAAATTCGCAGCGAGGGACATTTGAAATTTTTAACTTTTCCGGTTAGTAGTTTCGTGAGCGTATGATTCGAGGATCTGTTTGCCTTTTTCTTTTCTTTTTATCAATATGTTTTTTTTTGTAAGGCAGCAGAACGCTTAGTCCCTATTTATAACAATTAGCTCAAGTTTTCTACTGACGCTCGTTCAAATGGGCCATGTATTGTCGACCGTAAACTTGAAAATGGACTCTCCATGGCAAACTCTTGGTGGCGCACTGCATTATGAATCGCCCGAATTGAAAATTGAAAAGTTGGGCAGAATGTTATCCCTGTTCCTCATCAATCCATTTAACTATCCCTGTTTTATCATGGCCACAGTTGTGTTGAAAGTCAATTAATGTAGTACATTTTCTTAAAACCAGGCACGATTCGGGACTTGGAGCACAACGAAGACTACACCATGACGTTCCCCAGCGCGTACGGCCGGTCCATACTCACGGTGCCCTGGATGGAGCTCGGGGGACGATGCACAATACAGTGTGCGCAGTCTGGGTACCAGGCCGCCATCACCTTCCAAACAAAGGTATAAAATTTCGTGAAATTGGTTTGAAAAAGTGCCCCAGACTTGATCGCACTGACCCTTAAAAAACTTGGCAGGAAGAAAATACATCGTTGCGATATCACAAAACTTAGAGCCCGTCTCAGTTTATATCCGGGGTGAGTTCCAGACAAGATTTCGGACATTGTATTGGGTCTAAGTTGCAGGATTCTGAACAACTTCCCTGCAATCTTCCCGCAATGAAGTTATCGGTATCGTTGAGTCAAGCAGTTGCTAATGACGATTTCCCCGGAACATTTTTGGGGACAAATGCAGAGCTTCTTCCGGACAAAGTGAATGATTCTACCTGCAACTTGTCCGGAACTCGTCCCGGAAATGAATTGAGATGGGCCTTTACAGGGGTCAGACTCTGCCCCCCCCCACAGATCTTCGTTTCATTAAAGACAGCTACGCAAGTCTTTTCAATATTTTTTCCAATAGTATTTCAGTAAAATGACTACTGTCTTGAATAGCGTCTTGAACATAAGGTTTAAGCAAACCAATTGGAAGAGCACTTAGCCAGTACAACTTGTGTTTCACTATCCCAAAACATTTATGAATGGATCTGTAACTTTTTGTTGATGATTGCTGCTATTTTTGTTTCATTTGGCAGCCATTTTACGGTGGGAAGGTTCACCGGCTGAATGCCGAAGTGAAGAACCCTGCCAACACTGTCATATGCCGAGTCCAAGGCGAGTGGAACGGACAGCTGGAATTCTCATACGCAGGAGTAAGTGAAAAGCTAAAACCTTTTTCAAACCGGCTTTCCTGAGTTGCGGTATCAAAACGTTTTCATTTTGAAGTTGAACAAAGAGATTGACTGGAGCAGGGTTTGAACCTGTGACCTCCGGATTGCCGTTCCAGTGCTCTACCAACTGAGCTATCCAGCTGTATGTTGGCAGTTCCCCGTTTTGCCAATGTCTTTTTTCAAGGGGCGCTAGTCAGAAGCTATAAACCTGTATATGCCATGTAGCCAGGGATCACGCCCAAAGTCACGACGCTAGCAACATTAGCAAAGCTGCAAAACCCAGGAAATAGCAAACAGGGATCTCTTAGAAAGGATGCGGCTTTTTTATTTCCAATTTACAAATAAACAACAAAGTATTTAGAGCAAATAAATTTGGGACAAATCAAGTCAACCAAAATGGAATTTTTTTTTAGGATAGGTGAAATTTACTCATAAACTTTCATTGACTGGAGCAATATCTGAATTGAGACGCTCTGAAGACATTCAAAACGACTGAAACAATCAATCTTTCACATTTAGTAACTTCTAATTAGCTTAATGCTAGTCTTCATCATAATTTAGTTAAGTGCGAAGTTGGCATTCTAACATTAGACAATGTTTATGGAGAAAATTAACAAATGCAAGGAGACTCTCTTAAAGATGGTGCGTTTAAAACTCTGGTTTTGTCCTCAGCTGCGTCTCCTTACCTGGAACCTGAGCCAAGGTCTAGGGTTGGAAAAAACCTCCATGGTCGCTTTGCATAGTGTAACAGTGATCGTCTTCCAACTTGAAGATTTTACTTTTTTTTTTTTTTTTTTTTTAAGGGAGAAAAAAAAGTGGTGGACCTGACCAAGTTGAGCAGTATACCCAAGAAGGTCCGGCCCATGGACATGCAGGGAGCGTTTGAGTCTCGCCGGCTGTGGCACAACGTCAGCAACGCCCTGAAAATTGGCGACATCAACACCGCAACTGAGCACAAACGATACGTGAGTATGCAGCCCAACTCCATTGTTTAATACTTCAATGCTCAAGTTTGACACCCCTAGGTGCAGTTTTGAAAGTTTTAATTGAGCCATCACAGATCCTCAAAAAGACATCACAAAGTCAATCACAAGACAATCACAAGTCAATCAAGTCAATCACAAGACAATCACAAGTCAATCACTAGTCAATCACTAGTCAATCCCAAGTCAATCACAAGACAATCACAAGTCAATCACTAGTCAATCCCAAGTCAATCACAAGACAATCACAAGTCAATCACTAGTCAATCCCAAGTCAATCACAAGACAATCACAAGTCAATCACTAGTCAATCACAAGTCAATCACAAGTCCAACACAAGTCAATCATAAGTCAATCACAAGTCCATCACAAGTCAATCACAAGACAATCACAAGTCAATCACTAGTCAATCACAAGTCAATCACAAGACAATCACAAGTCAATCACTAGTCAATCACAAGTCAATCACAAGACAATCACAAGTCAATCCCAAGTCAATCCCAAGTCAATCACAAGACAATCACAAGTCAATCACTAGTCAATCACAAGACAATCACAAGTCAATCACAAGTCAATCCCAAGTCAATCACAAGACAATCACAAGTCAATCACTAGTCAATCACTAGTCAATCACAAGTCAATAACGAGTCAATCACTAGTCAATCACAAGTCAATCACAAGACAATCACAAGTCAATCCCAAGTCAATCCCAAGTCAATCACAAGACAATCACAAGTCAATCACTAGTCAATCACAAGACAATCACAAGTCAATCACAAGTCAATCCCAAGTCAATCACAAGACAATCACAAGTCAATCACTAGTCAATCACTAGTCAATCACAAGTCAATAACGAGTCAATCACAAGTCAATCACAAGTCAGTCACATGTCCGTCACAAGTCAATTACAAGTCATCACAAGTCAATCACAAGTCAATCACAAGTCAATCACAAGTCAATCACAAGTCAATCACAAGTCCATCACATGTCCGTCACAAGTCAATCACAAGTCAATCACAAGTCAATCACAAGTCAATCACAAGTCAATCACATGTCTGTCACAAGCCAATCACAAGTCAATCACAAGTCAATCACATGACAATCACAAGTCAATCACTAGTCAATCACAAGTCAATTACGAGTCAATCACAAGTCAATCACAAGTCAATCACAAGTCAATTACAAATTAATCACAAGTCAATCACAAGTTAATCACAAGTCCATCACAAGTCAATCACTAGTCAATCACAAGTCAATTACAAGTCAATCACGAGTCAATCTCAAGTCAATCACAAGACAATCACAAGTCAATCACTAGTCAATCACAAGTCAATCACAAGTCAATCACCAGTCAATCACAAGTCAATCACTAGTCAATCACAAGTCAATTACAAGTCAATCACGAGTCAATCTCAAGTCAATCACAAGTCAATCACAAGTCAATCACGAGTCAATCACAAGTCAATCACGAGTCAATCACAAGTCAATCACAAGTCAATCACAAGTCAATCACTAGTCAATCACTAGTCAATCACTAGTCAATCACAAGTCAATCACAAGTCAATCACAAGTCAATCACAAGTCAATCACAAGTCAATCACAAGTCAATCACAAGTCAATCACAAGTCAATCACTAGTCAATCACTAGTCAATCACTAGTCAATCACAAGTCAATCACAAGTCAATCACAAGTCAATAACAAGTCAATCACAAGTCAATCACAAGTCAATCACAAGTCAATCACAAGTCAATCACAAGTCCATCACATGTCCGTCACAAGTCAATCACTAGTCAATCACAAGTCAATCACAAGTCAATAACGAGTCAATCACAAGTCAATCACAAGTTAATCACAAGTCAATCACAAATCAATCACAAGTCAATCACAAGTCAATCACAAGTCAATCACATGACAATCACGAGTCAATCACATGTCAATCAGGGGGGAGGCGGGGCGAGGGGGGAGAAGGGGGGGGGGTTAGCTGCACATTTGATCAACGCGTTGAAAGAGCTGTCTTTACGCGTCCCGCTTGTGCGTGGTGTCCTGTATGCAGACCACGGCCGTCCAAATTTCGGATATTTTTTGGGGGTAAATCTTCTTGAAAAATTTCTTGTTACGACTATGTGAAGGCTCAAAATTAAACGAAATAGGACACGGATGTATAACTCATGTTTTCTATAAAAACACTGATCGGTTAGGCATTTTAATAATCGTGATTCCTGCTCCCTACAACAGCTTGAAGAGATACAGCGTCGCGAGGAGCGTGAACGCAAGGAGACCAACACGCCCTGGCAGACCAAACTCTTCAAGAAGAACGAGGAAGGCTGGTCTTACAACCGGGTACTGCAAGTGCAGTGATGAGGAGCAGTAACACAAACAGCAAGTAACAAAAACTCAAGGGTCACTCTGAACACTTAATCACTGTCTAAGCCCGTTGTCGTGGAGGTGCGAAAAAAAAAAAATTGTTTAAGAGCAGAAAGATTTGCTGTGCTAACGCGGGTCGCCATACAGAATCCCATTGATGTCTGCTAGGCCGATTAAAAAAATATAATGGTTTCTCGTCTGAGCTATTTGGAAAAAATGAAGGAGGCTGGCACTTTTTTTTCTCCCGTTATTTTTCTCAAGATGGCAGATTTTTCAAGATGGCGGATGGATTCTTCCATTTTATTAACTGTTTTGCTGATACAAAATTGTGTCCTAAGGAGCCATAATCCTCACCACATAGCTACAATTTTTTGGGAAACAAATAAAAAAAAGACAAGATATTTGCAAAATGTATTGCCTTAAGGGCATATTTGCCTTAAGGATGACGCTTTTGCCCACAAGAAAAATCAATGATGTGACACCCTTGTTATTGTTATTTTCTGCATAATAGCTCAACGAAATTGACCCAAGGGCCTTTTTATTGGTCTTTTTAATGAGCCGTAGGTTTGGGGAAAAAAAGGTCAAACAGACTGAATAAATAATACCTCAATATCTTTATTAAAAAAGACCCCAAACCCATGATAAGAAATTACAGTTGTAATTTTATTTTGTGCGCTAGCTGTTCATAAAAAAAAACCAGTGTAACGTAAAACCCTTTGGCATGAATTTGCCCAGTTTTATTCAGTGAATTAAACGGAGTCAACATGCAAAAACAAGCTTTAGAATTTCAAATCTGATCTAAATATTATTTGTGTTGATAACAAGATAAGTCAAGCGAGGCAAATAACGCAGAAAAGCATGGTTCAGTGGTCATAGTGTTAGCCTGAATTAGGTTAGCAATCCGCCCACGTTGTATTGCATACTGCGCACTGTTATATTTACTGCATGTTTGTGCAATGTGCACTTGTGCGTATCTTATTTAATTGTGTGTTAATCACTGCCGTATCGGCATTTTTAATGTGGGCATTTGTGAAACTAGCTAGCGGTAGCCACTGTAGAGTCTCACACGCACACACATGTACGTTATAATTAACCCTTCTATTGTTTGATCAGTCACAGACAGTCAAATATTTCTTCAAATTCCCCTGCCAATGAATTTGTGTACAGGCTAGTAACAAACAGTCGGATCACACACATACTGGAATTTGTATCCTTGTGGAGTGATTTCTTTGTTCTAGTGTACTTAAGTTTGCGAGTTTGAAAGTGAAGTTTCAAAATGTTCCTATTTCAACCAGAATTAATTTCCTGGGCTGAAATTCTGACTTAAATATCCCTTACATAAAATACTTCAATTTGCGACGCATCAACACACCTTGGAAATTCCTAAGGTTTTGAGTAAAATCCATATATCTATGTTGTGATAACCTTGTGGAGAAGTATTCACCCATAGAAATTGCCCTGTGGAGACGTATGCAATCTTTTGTTCCCTATTGTGCACATGTCTCCAGAGGGTACCGTGTAACAGATCATTCGTGTAAACACCCATGTTTATGTTACATACCTAGTGTGGACATTCCTTTGTTTTCGTGTAGTTAAGAAAACCTGTGAAAAAAACTCATGTTACTCACACTGTAAAAACACTTTCAACCCAATTTTTTTCCTATGATTCCCTTTAGTGTTTCTCTTCATTTTGCCGCAGATAAACCTAACCAAAGATGCCTCTAATATAAACCTGTTTTCCTGAGAGGGGGAAACATTGTGTGGACGTGGGCAAGTCCACACAACGTCGCTGCTACCTGGTTTATGTGGACATCTTTTGTTCGAAAGTCCACACAGTGAATGTAATGCTTGTACAAACTGTGACTAGTCTTGAAAATCCGGTACATATCAATCACCTCCAGTCAAAGCATGGCTATATGAATCAACAAGGGAATTCTTAACTGTTAAAAACAGTCACCTGATTGATTTTGACTGCTGCGATGGCGTAGCTGAATTGATCATTGCAATTATTTATTGGACAATGACAAAACAAATACGAGTTATAGAAACAAACAAAAACAGCACAAAAGATTATATCAAAGATAAAAAAAGCACAAAAACAGAAGATATGTGCGAGAGGGCGCTGATCGTTAACTACATATAATAAAAAAAAATATTCATCAAAATTTCCATTCACTTCTCAGAGTTTACAGGGCTGTGCAAAAAGAAGGAAACCCACATTTGACAGCAATTTTCACCTATTGTTGAGCATATTTCAAAAAATCAATTTAATGGTATTAAAATATTGATCTTTCAACATAAGTGACCCCAAATTGATTGCAAATGCATATTTTGTCTCTGAGATATATGGTAGTTTAAAAATTTCATGTGCCAAACCTGTTTGTCCACGGACGGCTTTATTCCATCCGCTTGACTGAGCTCCAGAGCTTGATTTGAAGACAAAAAAAATACTTCACTAGACTTACACGTGGACAACAGTGATTTTGGTGACTTTCGTATTCAAATTAGCTCAATTACACTATTCTTGCGACTATTTTAAAAGATTGACTCACCATGTATGGTTGAAGAGCTATACTTCACTACATTATAAAAGAAAACAGTTCAGATAAGTTAAGTAAGAAGGTTAAAATTCCCGTCAAAAGTGGGTTTCCTTCTTTTTGCTGCACCCTGTAGGACAATTGTGAGTTGAAAACAATTTTTTTAGACAGTAACGTTTATGTCAATTGATGTTCAGTTAAAAAAAAGCGTTTCAGGTTATAATTTAAGTGTTTAAATATGCAATTTCTGTGTCGTGTATTGTTTGCTAGTTGTCAAATAGGCATGAACAGAATTGAAGAATTTATATTTTGTGCATTTGTGAAAATATTTAAAAATATTGCACCTTTTTTTCTGATAGCTAGGTATTTTATGTACTAGTGAGTTTAGATAAATGTTTCTGTATGTCTTATTTACATTATTACGATACCAAACTTGAAATTTTCAACTATTTGCTGTCAGCAATGTATTGTACTTCTTAACATGAATGCGAATGATCGATATCAACAAAATTTGCATGAAATGGATGCAATAATGCTGTTAGCATAATCTATAGTGCAAGTTGATCGTACAAAAAAAATTAAAAACAGTAATTATTTCCCAGGAAGCAGTGAATGAAAATAAGTATTTTCGTTTTAGAAAACACTACCAAATTTTGATGTTATTCCTTAAAATTGTGACTTATCGATCCAATGTATCTATAGTGGACGATCCTATTCTGTTTCTCATTGCTATCTCGTGTATTTACTTGTAAGTAACCGAAATATAATATATGTATATATATGTAAATGAGATGTAAATGAGCAATGAGAATCTAATGAATATTTATGATCTGGTGCTTAGTGATTGGATGCTAGCTAATGGTTGGACAATAAGTTATTGTTTAAGCAATTACACACTGTAATGTTAGGTTTGAGAGGAAATTGCTGTAATGGGCGTTCGCTTGTACCCCCCCCGCCCTGCAAACAGGATGCAGGGCGGGGGTACGAGCGAATAATGGGCATTACTATAAGACACCTGGGGTGGGGGGGGGGTGTTTCTTTTTTTTTGTTCAGTAAGGGTGTATTTAAAGGGGTGATCCTGGGGTGGTTATGAAAAAAAAATAACAGTTTTGGCGGTTGGGTTAAACCATTTTATGAGGGTAGTAGGAGGATATGATGTTTAGAAATTTGTGATTGGTCTAGACCACCCCCCCCCCACCCCCCAAAGTGGACCACACTGTATATATTCACAAGAAAAAAACTGTATTCTAAAAACTACAGCACTGAGAGGGGAACTTCATTTTGTCGAAATGTCATTTTTGTGTAAGGAGAATTAGCTGAAAAGCACGTATGAGACATCTTTATGTGGAGGCTTTTAACAAAACACGGCACTGCCTCTAGTTTGGCTTCACGGCGCTGTCTCCGAAAGTATTTAACATCTAAAATGTTCAACTGAAATCCCGAAGATTGAGCCTGAAGCCGAAGCCGGGAAACAACGTCCCGGTTTAGTAAACACCTGAGATCGCCACTCGCTGCTCATTTTCATTGAAAGACAACTTGGTACCTGTACTATCGAAATAATTTTTTGAAAACATTTTTTACATTGACAATGTTTAAAATTCCCTTTAAAAAGTGTAAAGAAAGACAGAACCTTTTGTCAATATTTTATTGTTGATTTGTCAGGAATAAAATATCATAATTATTATTATGCTGTGGTTTTGTGTACGTCCTTTCGTATAATATTTATGTAACAATTTGGAATACAAAAATTATGCTTTTCAGATCCCACTCACAAAAGTGCGAAATAAAAACTTTTATGTACGCCTTTCCAAAAAAAACCTTCCAAAGTAATGTGTATTGATGGTCCATCAAACTGTATCACGCACATAGCAGAACGAAAACAATATTTTGGATTTGTTTTTTTCCCAAATAAATAAACTTGTTTTTCTCTTCATAATTAAGTTCTTATCGAGGAACTTCACTGAATAAATTCGTCAGAGCACGGTCAGATCCTATCTGAAGCCACTTTGAAATAACCTAGCAATTTAATGACAGAAACCTAAACCTAGATCAAAGTAAAGATAGGAACAGCATCATGCCTTGTGAAATCTTTTCGACAGAAATGTTATCGTTTCAAGGTGGCTGAATTAGAAACAAGGTGCCCGCGGCAAGTACGCACGATATTTAAATTGTGCCTATGATGCATTTCTCTATTTTCTCACAAAAATGCACAATACAGGGTGAATAGGGCGAGTCAAAAAGAAAGTGGCCGAATTAGATGTTAAAAAATATGTGGCTAGATAGCTCTATTTTATAGCATTAGGGACATGTAGTAACTGACAATTGCACTTAATTTGCCCACTCTATTGAACAAAGTAAGTGAAATTGTCAGTTACTACATTCATGAACAAACCAAAACTTGCAAAGGAAAACAGACAAAAATCGCCATCAATATTTCAGGGGAAAAAGTGGAGTTGTTCCTCATATTAAAAAACCCCCAAAACTCTGATTGATTGTGTTTGATGGAATGCCTGTAATTCTCACTCGGCAGCTATTAAAAACACACGGTATTTTTAATAAAATATGCATAACTTCTGATAACATCAATTTCAGCAATTCTTTTTTTTCAAGATTAGTTGAAGAACATCCTCATTGAAGACAAGCCGCATTCGTGTATTAAATTTGATTGTCTTTCTTTATGGGGAAAATCATTAATCAAAGTCACTTTCTTTTTTACTCGTCCTGTATATCAACTGAGCTGAAACTTCAACAAGTTTGTTACACTCCGGATAAAGGATTTGAGCCTTTTCGTTTCAAAATGCACCTCGGCTATTTTTTATTTCTGTCAAACCATGAGCTTTAAAAAGGTGTAGGCATAGGATCGGGAGGTAGTGCCGGCGCGGGCCGCCGGCGCGGCCGGGATATCTGAACCATACTCCACCGTTGGCTGAACAATGACCGTAGCTCTGACGATATGTTCCGGTTTCAGCTATTTCACAACTCAAGTCTTTATTTAGTAACTGAATCACAAAACCGCTTCCCCGACCTTTAATTCCAAAACCTTTTCAACTTCAGGACGCACACAAAAACCTGGAAGTTAAAAAGTTTGCTTGGGTGGGTGATTTTGAGGAAGTTCCCGTTCCCATATCTTATGCGTGGAAATCAATAAACTTCATTATCAGTCTTTTCGAGTTCCGATTGTTTGACACGTGCCAATTCGAGAAGACCGTCGGTCAAAATACGAAATGAATATTATTCAATTAATTCGAATGATTATTCTCAATACATTTATTCATGGTGATGTAGTAAAATGACGAATTTGACAAACACGATGAAGATTATTTTTACCAGTCGTTAAAAAGTATGAGTAAGCGACGTGTGTGGCTAGTTTATGGAACGTATTTAGATATTTTCGTCCCTGCCGAAGTTTGCTGAAACCCGTCATCTCCGCCATTTTCTGACCGAATCCGTACGGCTAGTCCCACTTCCTGATTTTGTAGCGGGCTGAAAAGTGGACTTGTTTCACGGCGAGTAACCCTCCGTTGCGTGGAATTTGCCGAGTTGTCATCGGTTTAGAACTCATCCTAAGACGGACAAACCCTTCTGCTGCATGTTGGGGGATCTGTAGACGAGATTTGCTGAGGGAAAGTGGAGTTTGATGGCAGCAAACGGGACAGATTCTATGGGAAATATGAACGACGAACTTGATCCAAAGTAAGTTGAATTGTTGTAGAATGCGAAGGGTTGCCAATTTTGTTGTGGGATTTTATTAATTCATAACTTCTTTCTCTTGTTGACAATTCCATTCATACGTACTTATTTTTGTTAACAATAAGGGGCGTACTAGGCTGTATTTGTTTAATCTTAGCATGCTTAGGCAATGTTATTGTTACTGTGTTAGGCAATTTGAAGATTTCCATTTGGAAAGATTCCCATAAATCTGGCCATCAGAACCGCATTAGAAAACGTGTGAGGGCGCTGTTCATTTGTTACCCTTTTTTCTGAATAGGAAATTGTGATTAAAATTTAGATTTTTTGGCACATTCATACTGTTCTATTGAAATTCACATATCAGAATTTTTGAAATCCTGAATGCTGTCTGCAATATCTTTATTGAAATAAGCATGAATAAAGACAAACATTTTAAGAAAATGTGAGTTTTGAGCATTTCAATCACCATTTTAAATTTGTATGCAACATAATCACACTTAACTCTGCCATTAAACGTACACGTTTCAGTGTCTCAAAAAAATCCCTGCTTTAAATCCATTTTTCTTTGGTTTGCAGATTCCCACCATATTTAAACTTGTATTCAAATGTCTATATCAGTTATTTCTACAAAACCACATGTATCAAAACGAGTGTAGAAATATATTCAAAAAATTAAACTAGCCTCCCTGGCCGGCCCACTTGTCACCGGCCTGTGCACAAACCGTATGAGACTGGTCTGAAAATTTCTAAGTGTTTTCTCAGTAAATACTCTCTAATATTTTCCCAGCTAATTTTGACTTTTTACTTTAGGACATAGGCCTAGGCCTTTATGGTTGATAATGATACTTGATAGGTCACTGAAGGGAAAAATCAGTGATGCCTGATGGCTTATGGGATTTTTTTTTCTATAGAAATGACAACATTATATAGGTCATTAGTTAAAAAGGCAGGAATACTGAGCCGAAATGTTCAGCATCAAGAGTATCCAAAGACGTCATTCTTGTCATTCTCGAAGATGGCGACGCCCATCAGCAAATGCGCTCCGAAATTTATGCCAACGTCAACGATGGTTAGAAAATGAAAATTAAATGAAAAGTACATCCTTTATAAGGTGAAAAATGATTTTACTTTTGGATTTGAGTGCGAGCATCTGTTCGTAACGAGGTGAAACTGGCACCCTTTTTATACATAGTTGCAGATACTATTTCGGTAATCACGATTTTGCCAGACTCCCTACCAAAGAAGCGGCGTCTGGATACTACATTCTCCTCAGACTGGGACCTTGCGTGCAGAAAAACAAAATCAGGCCAACTTTACTCAGCTGACAAAATTCTCCAAAATTGTCATCAGGCAGACAGGCAAAGACAATTTCCCCATTATTTCTCCAGCAAAGTTTGAGGTGTCGGTTTTATTTTTTAAGGAGTCTCTTCTCCAACATCCGGCACCTGAAAGTGAAGCCAAGTGATTGTCAATTTGAAGCCTAAGACTAGACTGGTACATGTACATTTGTACATGTAGTATGTACAACGTTTTGAGAAGATTGATTCTTCAGAAGTCTGGTGGGATGACTTACCAAATGTTTCTTTTGACACAAGTACTTGATTGATGTAGTACTTAAAGGGTGTTGGACTAGTTGTTTCATGTGCCAGTCTGTTTTCTTGGATTGCATGTTTTTACTGTCTTTAACCCTAACCCTCAATCCTCCAATCAATCATTGTGGTGGTTTTGGAGGATTTTGGAGGATTGAGGATGAATGGTGTTTGAGAAACATGAGGATTTGGGAGGATTGAGGATGAATGGTGTTGAAGCACATGAGAATTTTGGAGGATTGAGGATGACTGATGTTTGAAGGAGAGGAGGATTGAGAAGGATTGAGGAGGAAAGCATTTTGAGGGGCAAGGCCTGTCTGACGATTTTGAAGGATTGAGGCGCTAGGGATCCTTCATTTGAACTTAGGTGGAGGATTTTGGAAGATTGAGGATTATTCTAGCAAAAAGGTCCTAGGGGGTTAGGGTTAAGTTGTGGGACTCTCAAACACAGTATTGAGAGTCCCAAATTTTCGGACTAGCCACAGCCATGAAGGAAAAAGGAGTTGGGGGGGGGGGGGGAGTAGTTCAACTTCAAGTAACTGGTACCTGTTGTCCAACTTTCATTTCATTTTGAATTCTTTTCCAGGTGGTACTTCGGACGCCTGACCCGATATGAGGCAGACAGTTACCTCAACAACACCAAAGCTGGCACCTACCTGGTCCGAGACAGCAGCACCAGCCATGGAGATTACGTACTCTGTGTCAGGTATGACAAATAAGGCCAAGTAGAAAGAAATAACGTTTTTGTCCAGGCATTTTTAAAAAGATGAAGGAGGCAGGCACTTTTGTTTCCTCACTTTTCTTCTCCTAAGATGGCAGTTGGATTCTTCCATTTTCTCGTCTCGCTTGCTGGTATAACATTGTGTCCAAAGGAGCCGTTTGACCCAAAAAGAAATAGTTCTGCTTCTGGTTTCCCTGCCTACCCTATTCTGACAGCCCCTACCCTAATATGGAGAAAAAAGGAAACAAAAAAACACCCAAAACCATCATTTTCTACCTTTTACCCTTGACTTACACGCAGACGTCTTCATATGATCGTACACCAAAAAAATTGGAAAAAAAAATCAACCCTACCTACATGTACCTACCCTATTTTCAAATGCCATGTAACCGGAAACAGACCTGGTTTTTTTTTTTGGCCTAACCCTTTTTTGGCCTAACCCTTTCTACGTAGGTACAATTTTGTTGGAAACAAATAAAAATACAGTTTTGACAATGTCAATTTGCAAAATATATTGCAAATGTATGAATAAAAAAATTGTTAAGAAAAAGGCAGAGACCAGAAACTGGTTAAATTTTTTACGTGGCTCTACAAAGGTTTATGGGAACGTCGAGATTCAACCTCAAGTGTCTGCATGTTTAATTTTGCATTCTTGTACACATTTTAGGAAAAAAAAGTTGATAATCTGTGCAAAATTGTATTCTTTTTTAACAAGAACTCGTGCCGTTTTTTTCACATTTTCATGATTTGGGGATTTGTTGGCATTTCAGTTTGAATTCTGTTGTGAACTTCCGGATGAGCCTTCATGATGCGTTTGTGTGTGCATGCGGTGTTTTTTTTTTTTTTTTTTAAAGATAGTTTTGAGAAATTGAAGTATTGGGCTATTTAAAAAGTTCATTGTCTGGATTGAATGGGATTTCCCCGGCAGTCAATTTCAAAGTGGTTTTCCCTCTGTTTTCGCCAGTATTCTATGAACTTCCTTCCTTCTTCCCAACCACAAGATTCCCACGTGAGATCACACGTAGGCTTTGTTTTTCCAAGGTTTTTTTTGTATATTGCTCCAGTGCAGTGAACCATAAGCATATTGGACATATAGTTCCTGTTGGTATTCTTGAATTGAGCAGCTCTAAGAAAAATATGCTGTCTGATTTGGCATGCTTAACCTCCTATGCAAACCTCTGTGCCAAGTTGTCCTTTCAGTCAAAATTAATTGACTGTTTTTCCAACAGTTAAAAGCTCCCAGCCTACATGTACAAAAAGCAGGATTGACTGGCTGTGACTGTTTATGTAACTTGATACAGCTATGCTTTGACTGTAGGTGATTGATAAGCCAGCTGTGCCTGCCACTTGTCTTTTTTTGTGTCCGTTGACTGAATTTGACTAGTCGCAGTGCTTGCGTGAAACATGATCTGACTGTTGGTGACTAGCCTGCCTAATAAGGCATGGCAGGGGAAGATGATTGATTTTTTTGACTGGCTGTGACTGTTCAGATAGACATATGAGAAACAACATTCAACAACTAGCCTGTGTAATTAACCCTAACCGCCCTGAATCGTCCAAAATCCTTTTTGCAAATCGGAGGATTTTGCAGGATTGAGGTTACATGGCAAAAGTGCGTTGCGGATTTCGGAGTACGCACTGTGTCAAAGTCTTGGGCCGGACCTTGTGTTGTTTATGCTCAGCCATGCATAAATTTAGTCCTTGATTATACTTGAAATCCTCCGCACTGCTCTAGGATGTCACTGCCTCTGCCTCAGCCTATTGACAGTCATAGCCGGAGGATTTTGCAGGATTCAGGCAGTGGTCACCCCTCCATGGACCATATTCAAGAAATAATGGAGGAATTTGCAGGATTGAGGCTACATCCTAGCAAAAAGGCCTAGGGAATTAGGGTTAAGGCATGGCAAGGGAAGAGGATTGATTTTTTTTACTGGCTGTGACTGTTCAGATAGACATGCGAGAAACTAACATTCAGTCCAACTCATTCAAAATGATGCGCATTTATGTTTGAAAAAGTAGACACTAATTTCTTCCTTTTAATTTTTGTTTCCATTTCTTCAGTGAGAATTGCAAGGTGTCCCATTATATCATTCAATCGCCGATGCACACAGAGCTCAACATGTACGTGATCGGTGACCAGTCGTTTTCCACCTTACCGCAGGTGCTGGAGTTCTACAAGCTCCATTTCCTAGACACGACAACTCTCGTCGAGCCGGTAAGTCCATCTGCGTTTGTATGGGCTTGGTGCGCGAACAAAAGAGGGCGCTCTTTTTACCACTTTTGAGAGCCTAGTGGTCGAGACACTAGCGTGGGCGTAGTGGTTTGCGCGCATATGACTTGAAGTATGTATTTTATTCTGAGTTGTGCTAAAAAATGCGTAGCGTCTTTGTGTTAGCGTCAAGCTTCATCGATGGTCTCTCCCAACTCTTCCTTTCTTACCATTGAGGGAGCGTACTTGTGCACGGAGCCCACACCATTTCCTACTCCTACTGAAGAACCCTCGGTCACATTCAAACTTAATCTAATTCAAAGTACTCATGTTGGAAGTCGCATTCCTTTGTAATTTTTTTTTTTTAGAATTGTGGATAAGTCCATGTAACAAAATATTTAACAACTTTTATGCTATTTCCCAGGTCTCTGTAGTGACTTTGGGCGTGATCCCTGGTTGTATGGCATACTGGTTTATGGCTTCTGTCTAGCGCCCCTTGAACAAAGATATTGACAAATTGGGGAACCGCCAACATAGGGCTGGATAGCTCAGTTGGAAAGAGCACTGGAACGGTTATCCGGAGGTTGCAGGTTCACGCCGTGCTCCAGTCAATTTCTTTGTTCAAGTTTTCAATTACTTTGATGTAAGACATATTTTTTATACCCTGGAGGATGTATGACACCCAGAGATTTTCCTTAGGAGTTGTGTGTCCCCCCTCCCCTTTGGGTTTAAAAAGTTTGTAACCCACACCACAGCAGTCAATACTCAAGGAAGGATTCACCATATTTCACTAGTTTTTTTGGGTCCAATATTTGTGTGTTCCAGTGCCAGAGGCATCCGCCCAGCAGAGACGTGCCCGATCTGATGGGGGCGCCGCTATCCCAGCACGCGCAGGGGCCATCCCACAATTCTCAGATCCCTCCTCCGCTGCCCGCGATGAACTCCAGGTCGCCCGGCCTGGGCCTCATCTGCAAAGCACTGTTCAATTTCACAAAAACGGTAAGGCAGCTATCACTCGCATTGCAAACAAGTTTTGTACATGTAATTTCTTGTTCCCAGCTATAGAGGGTTCCCCCCGTGTTCCCTGGGTTCCCCGTCAGGGTTCAAACCCACGTACCGTGACACGTTGAGTCGAACACCGTAATCAGTGGACCACAGTGCCCCAATGTCCGTGACAGAACCAAGGATCCATGATATCTAATCAATGATTCAGAGAAATGGTCCAACACTCCTAGTTTGTCATCTCCTTGACTGTTACTAGATGATGGATGTATATAACATTTGAAAAATATATTTTCAGGCTGGAATTGCTCACTAACATCTAGCGATTGAGCTATTACGATGTCTATCATCTATGAATATTCTCGTAGTTTCTTGGAGTCCATGTATCACACAGGGTAAATTTGACCTGTTCGGTCAAAAGCAGACGCTTCTGGGCAGAGGTTGAAATTGAGATAGGGCCAAAAAAACGCTGTGGGGGTGATTTTTTTCGATTTTCAAATTTTTGCATATTTGTAATCCTGCACATTTTGAAACCCTAATTTGAACTCTAAATATAGTATATTTGGTGATTTGTTCAAGTATATTTCAGTCAAAGAAAAGTACTGTTTTGTGACATTCGTGGCCATTTGCTCCGTTTTTCTACTTTTCGACACAGTGACCTTCAAAATAGCATAACTCTGCCCAGGAATGACTGGTTTCAAAAATTAAACCACCTATTTAAAGGAAAAAGAACATATTTTAACAATATGCAAAAATCTCATTTTTGACCTAATGCCCAGAAAAATCTGCTTTTGACAGAATAGGTCACAAATGTGAAATTCTTCCAGTTGGTTACAGTCACTTTTTTGTTACTCGTTGGCGCAGGATGACGAGGACCTGTCATTTGCGAAAGGCGACAAATTGACGATCATCAGAAAGGACGAGGATCAGTGGTGGCTGGCCAGAAATAACATGGGTGACGAGGGCCTGGTGCCTGCCAACTACATCAAACCAGTAAGTCTGGTACCTGATGTACCGCTGTATTTGGTTCACAACACTGATCTCCACGTCAAATATCTGGATAGCTGGTTAGCTACTTTGAGTTTCAGGATTCCTGTCCAAAGCTAGAAATATGCAGAAACTAATACTACTACTACTAACAATAATAGCAGGCATTTATATAGTGCTTTTACGCCGCAACGGAGTATCAAAGCGCTTTACAATTATTAGTTTCCTTGTTTCAACGGGCAAACACTCCTGAAACCTTCTCAGCTCGCTGGGGAGTATACAGCTCGATGCTGCCTGTTAGGCGCAAGGAAGCTAAATCAACCACAGTAACCATCTCTACCCTAACAGGTACCCATTTACTCCTGGGTGGAGAGAAGTAATGAGTGACAAAGTGCCTTGCCCAAGGGCACACGCGCCATGACCCCAGGCAGGACTCGAACTCACAACCTGCAGAATAACCCGCTGACCACAAATCCGATACCCTTAACCACGAGGCCACAGCACTCCATATTCATGCTAAACCAACCCCTTTTTCCTTCTCCGCCTTTCGCAGCTGAACGAACTCGGAGGAAGCGACGGCAAAGGGGCCGGGGACGGTCGACACTCCATGGGAGAGGATTCCAAGACCGCCACCAATAACGACCAGTATCGGCAGCTGAACTCCATCAACCCAAACATTGTGCAGTACGCCATCGTGGAGCAAGGCCGGATCCCCAGCGCGTACGACAACACACAACTCAAACTTGAGGTAAAAGGGACAGTACGTAAGAAGAAACAGATTGTGCATGTTACATTAAACCTTAGCTCACGCAGTAAAGAGTTTTGATAGTTTGCATCAGGCACGTAATTTTCCTCGGCTCAGCCTATCCCCTCGTTTTTTTCACTTAACACTTTATATGTCATTAAAAATTGAACACACTGTGTAAAGTCTTGTAAGGGCCCGTCTCAATTCTTATCCTGGACGAGTTCCGGACAAGTTGCGGACATTGTATTGGTCATAATAAGTTGCAGGATTCTGAGCAACTTCCCCGCAATCTTTCCGCCGCAATTAAGTTGTCAGTATTGGTGAGTCCCCAAGAAATAAAAGGGAAAACCACCCGTTGCTAAAGTTCTGTGACAACTCCTCGTGCGGCGGCGGGATGTGAAAATGCCAGTTCAGTGATTTCACTATTGGTCAAAAGAGGGTACTGGCGGTTCAAAATCGCTATACCGAACGATCGTTATTACGAACACTTTCTGTGGATCCCACGATGTTCGTTATATCGGCGTTGCACTGTAGTGACATAGCTCAAAAGGTCTAGCTCCCATTGCGATGCTCTTAAACCAACTTTTTGTCTCTCCTGTTTTTGTCCTTGCCAGGTGGGGAATCTAATCAAAGTCCTTGAGAGGAACGTGTCCGGTAACTGGAAGGGCGAGGTCAACGGCAAACAAGGGTACTTCCCCTTCAACAGGGTCCGATTACTAGACCAAAAAACCTACGAGGGACTCATAGAGGAACGAAGGAAAGCCAACAACGTCAGTGCGTAATGGCGGGAAATCCTTGCACCTTTCGAGAAATGAAAAAAAATAAAAGTAGAAAAACTTTGGTGTCCAACCGCACACCTTTATGTATGATTTGTGGATGACTTGACTTTGTACATAGCCGCATTAGACCACTGTGAATATATATATATTAACCAAAAAAGTGCATAGATTATATGCTGGTGCTGTACAGCAAAGTGGTTTGATGATTATCGTCTTCTTGAACGACAAACGGGAAGTAGCATGAAACGCGAGGAAGGGATATCGGCACCAGGGACGCGGTTGGAAGATGCGTAACGGAGACGTCTGCTTTTGCCAGCAAGCCAACTTGGAGTGCGTTGCTACGTGGCCCGATGGAACGATGATCACATTTCAAATCTCGCGATTGATTCTGGGTCAATGGAGCGTGTCATCCAAAACGATCTTCGTCTTCGAGATTCTGTACTTCATCACTTGCCACGTTGCCATCGCATCTGACTTCTCCCTTGGAGTGAAGGGCAGGTACCTGAATATATGCAAATAAAAAAAAAAAAAAACGACGAAAGGAGGGAAGAGGAACCACCCTGGTTTGGACGGGCGAATCTGCGTGAGCAAGCTGCTGTTTTAGTTCAGGATTCTTGTAAGTACAAGTAGGTAATGCCAACTTCAGAGTAAAGCAATTGTAGTGTGAAGTTTGGGCTCTTATGAAATACGGACTTGGTTGTATGGCTCATGCTTAAGTGAAGAGAATCCAAACGTTGACAGCTCACTTGCGAGGGTAGCGTCCATATAAGAGAACAGACTTCATGGGAATCCAAATAGAGCTGTGCATCGGAGCCGGGTACCCGAGTATCCGACTGTTTCCGAACCAGATTATGGAATTGAGTACCAGTAACCATCTGTAGAAATTACTCAGTCACTTCTCAGAAAATAAAAAAAAGAGCAGCTTCGAATGTCATTGATACTTCGGGAAATTTCAACATAAAAAACAGACTACGTGGAAAACAAAACCAATTCCACGTTTACGATGCTCGTGATAGTCGCAGTTTTTACCATAAAGCTAAAGAGCTCACTATATACATTTGTGTACTGACGCACCGATACCAGGTAGTATTAGTATGCAAACCTTTATGAAAAATCTGAACAGCAATTTCCGAGATTGACATTTTTGGGGATAGGTTTCTTGAATGGGTACCCGGGTTCCCGTATTTTTGTCAATAGGGTACCGGGTTCTGTTCCACCCGTAGAGGCACACCCCTAAATCAAATTGCATACCATGTCGTGTCCACAGGTACTAGAACTATTGTTGCATCTAATGCCAACAGACGTTCTCTTAAGCACGGGTTATAATGGGGACATTCCTCCACACATAGAGCAAGTGGCCCGCATGACTGCACAGCCTTTGTGTGGTAGCGGGACTGCACAAAAGCAGCAGCTGGGGAACTACCCACTAGCCGTGTGCCACGGCATACCACAGCTGGCAACTGCATTCCAATGAGGATTAGCGGCCGCGGCCATGACCGCTTCCCGGGCCCATGGGGTTAACAAATATATGCCTTGGAAGGAGGATGTAGTAGAGCAAAGGTTAAAGTCATTTTTGTAAGCCTCCAAGTAAAAAAAAAGGCTTTGAAAGTTGTCCAGAACGGTGCTGGAGTGTTCTGTGAAAGTAGCTTTTGTCATAAAAAAAAGGAAAAAAAAAGGAACCAATGGTTCCTGAAATGTACAAACAAGAATCAAAATGTGCTGTTTTATGTGCAGTTTCTGACAAGCGTTGTATTTATATTTGGTTAAAATTGCAGATTACTGGCTCTGCGTAACAAAGTATTTGAAGTAGTTACTAGACGGATTTGTGTGCATTGCTAACCCGGCCATGTGATGTTGTAACTTATGATGTTAAAGGATAATATTTATTTTAAGTGTACGTCTACAGTAGGATCGTCTAATTGTTTTCCCTTGCCGTAGAGATAGTCGGTGGGAAATAACAAGTTGTAATGATCCCACCTTTGGCAATCGTAGTTGTGGTGCTTTGCAGATTGTGCCAGAGACCAATTGAGGCATTTGCATGAGGAGGGTTCGAATCCCACCCGAGCAGGTTCGTGAATTTTTGTTTCTACACGAGCCCTTGGGTAACACTGACTAGTGGTGGGAGAAATCGGAGATTTCAAAATCCGGTTAGCCTAATTTTTTTTCAAACCGAATAACGGTTATCTGATTTCACCGGAAGTTTCCGTTCAGCTCACAGTCATGCCACAAAAAGTGACGAGTGAGGTGTCGCAGGAAATGCCTTCCACAATGACTGGGTATAGTTTGCAGGATTCAATGACCACTGGGCCTTTACAAAAACGCTCCAGAGCTGTAAAGCTGAAAAAAAAAATGGGTAGGAACTCTATGATCAGTCAAATGGGCAGACTATCCAAGAACCAAGAAGACCACAAGCGAGTAAATTTTGTCACAATCAGAGACATGGAGCAAATCAGGGGATGTTCCAGTTGTTTTCTGTACCCTGTGTCACAAAAAAAAATGGAAGGCTAAATTTTTGTTAAAAGTTAGTTTTGAATATCCGGTTTTCAAAATCCAAACTGAATAGTGGAATTCAAACCGAATTTTAAAAAATCCGGGTAATAATCCCACCACTTGTCTTACACTGACTAAGTGTTTTGAAAAACACGACAACTGTACGTCGAGAAAAATGGCGTCTGTGAGGTTTTTTCCAGATCCTGCCATAGGTGTGTTTTACTGTTCAAACACTGCTTTAATTTTAACATTGCTGTCGAGATGTAACATTGTAACATGTTTGTTACAAAACTTAACTTCTGAAAGAAAGACGAGAAATAGTAAAACAAAATCCGATATTCATATATTCAGTGACTTTTGCGTAATTTTGTTTTTAAAAGAACTTATCACATTCGTAGGACTTGAGGGAATGATCCTGAACAAGTGTACAGAAAAAAACCCGGTGAATTTGCTATAATCAACAATTATATTCACAATTCGGGACTTCCACGTGAAAAAGAATTGCTGAAAGTGTTTTCATTAATTCATGTGCCTGAATATTCCTCTTTGGAAAAAAAACTACATCGAGATTCAAACTTTTTAAAGTAAATCCTTGAATAATCTGAAGAAATAATTATGCCATGTTATGAGTACTTGTAGTTATCTGTAAAAAAAGGAAAACAACAATTTTTCGGACCCCGAATGGGCCAAGTTTATCTGTTGTAGTTCAGACAAGTAATCTTCACTATCTGCAGCTTTTTGAATGTGCCTAACATAACCATGCAATAATGTTCCTTCAATATTAAACAGTTTACCATTCATCAGTGTGACTTCATCTTACAATTCTGATCTGCATATCTACGCGTAGACCTCTGCACGCTGATCGTAGTGAGTGTTCCAACATGCACCAGGTGTGGGTGCTGCGGGGTTTGCTTGCAAACTTGGCGTGCTACCACGGGGAAATAGGTGTTGGGCAAAAAAAACCCATCCCGGCTGTCATTGCGAAAACCATTAAAGACATGTTCAACAGCTATAGCCCGAGAGTAGCTGACACTGCGGCAGTGTGTAGTGGCGGCACAATAGCGCTCGGTGTCCGGCCCCGATTTCCCGCAATTCACGAGCGTGGCTAACCCGAGGTAGTCATGATAGAATGAGAAAGAGCTCTTGGTCACTACCTAAGTACCTTCATCCCAAATTATAAGTAACATTTTTAAAATGTGTAAAGCAAGTGTGCCATGTAAAACTGGGCCTGCATATTCGCTAATGCCGAACAAAAATCACAAATTTTGGTTTGTGCGCGTAGGTACATGTATCCCGTAACAGAATGATGATCTGAACTGCAGAATTCTTTTGGCAGGCAGAACCATGAAATTGTGGACGGGAAGTTTTTAAAGCTTCCCAAATATTTAATGTTTGCTGAGGACTCTGTGTATGAACGGTAGAGGGCGCAGTGCGCACAACTGTACTCATTCTACATGCGCACACACCCATAGCGTCTTGGCGTGAGCGTCAGGCGTCGTCGGCAATGCGTTTGAATGTCTCTCCCAGTGGTCTCCCCCAACTCTCCCATTTTGACCGTTGAGGGGGTACTTATGCACGGAGCCCATGTGCCTATGCTGCCTATAGTCCCCAAGCATGCATTATTTAAATGAGTTGACCCCAAATCAGAGGTCATGAAAACGACAATGCGTTGGGTGTTCTCTGACTCTATATATCTGTGTGACATTGAGGCTGCCTGCAGATAAACGATCAATCATACCAGGTGTTAAACGATATTAGGAATATTGCACCCAAATCTTTAAGAAGACCATCATTTTCATATCATTAAATCTGTAATCAGTATGTAATAAGCACTAGCAATTGACATGCACTGGTATTTGACATGCATGGTATAGGCAAAGTAAGTGATTTTTTTGTAAGTTACATTGTTAAAAATATTTAAATTCAGTGCTGCACCTATAGAGCAGATACCTTGTTTTAAGATAATCGTTCACCTTAATCACAGAGTTAAGTGGTTCAACTAATGTAAACTGAATTTCAGTTTATTAATGGAATAGTGTCGGGCATTCGAATTTCCGGACAAAAAAACAAAACAATTTGAACTATGTTTAGGTTTTGTGCACAATCCTGTCTGGGCCCAATTTGTGATTCTGCTTACTGCAAGCAAACGGTTCCAAACAAATTAAGCAGGAAGTCTATGCTAACAGTAAGCATATTTCACAGGTTAGGCCAAAAAAAAATAGTAAGTCGGTCTCTGGTCAGCGCGCGCATCGATTTTAATCATGCGCGTCAATCTTTTTTTTTCTCCAAAATGTTCCGCAGTAGCTCCAACAGCGCCCTCTATTGCTGCACCTCCTCAATTTTTTCTACCAAAGAGCACCAAGGAATGGGAAATTGCACCGAGGCAAATGATCGAGAGCACCAAGGCAAATTATGGAGGACACCAATGTACATGAGGACACCAAAAAAGCAAAATAGTACCCCACCTTCTCTGTACAATCCAAGCTTGAAGAAAAAAAAAAAGCCAAAAAAAAAAAAGCTGCGTCGCCGCATCAATTCCAAAACTTTGGTCTGACCAGAGACCGAATATTTTTTTTTTTGGCCTTAGCAAGGATTTGTATAGCTTTTGCACATGGCTACATCCGCTAATTAAGGATTGGGGCTTTAAGTGTATGGTGTAATGTGGTAGATGCTTCGGTCACGCATCATAAGAAGTCTTCGCAAATCCAACGTGCGTGCGCACATCATAATTTAGTTCCAAGAGATCAACAACTCGCCACATGCGTACAAAACCATAGCGGGGTAGTCTACTAACAAAATCAAAGAAAACTTGTGGTTTGGAAGTACATGTACATTTGTAAATGCAAAAGTTTGATGATTTTTGTTTACGCCACCATGGTTTACAATGTTTTGAATGCTCCAACTTTCGTTTCGACAAAAGTTTCCACCATCTTATTGATCAGGTAAAAAAATTGCATTATGCGGATTTGGTTACCATGTCCCCCGTTCACTTTTGTGCATTCACATCTGCTTTGTTGATCTCCCGAAACTAAAAAGTTGAATCTGATGTACGCATGCACTGTTGCATTTGCGGTATACACCTCTATGTTCCGACACTCCTATGTTCAGATACCCCTATGTTCCGACACCCCCATGTTCCGACTGCACATATTCCTAATTCTATCCCTAACCCTAACCCTAACCGGGAGTAACACAATTTTGTGATTTGAACGTTTGCATGGTGGAAAGATGCTTAGAAAAGATAAGTTTGCGGTAGCACTCTGTGAATAAATCTCTCTTGTGAAAACATGTATGTGTGGTTCTGAAAAGAACTGGAGGGACTCAACGTTTTGAACAGTATGCTCTGCCCGTCGTCAGGCAAATCTTATCTTGTCTTAACTCAATCTGCGCAGAGGCTTATTGTGTGGTATTAAAATAGATTATAGCATAGCATTCTTGTAGTTCGATATACATCATTGGATCATGTTCAACTTGTTTCTGGCTGCATTATCTTACTACACGTATACTGTTTACCAGACATACACATGTACTTGAATTTCCTTTTCCTGTGTCGTACTTTAAAGTGTACAAGTAAACTGCCTTTAGACACTGAAAAAAAGTTATTTCCTCATATAAAATAAAACCTTGCTTCCTTAAATTAAAAAGATAAATAAATGAGAAAAGATCTCCTTAAAACTGATTGTATTGTATGAAACAAAAAATACTTTTCTTTTATAAGCCATGTATATTGTATGATATTAATTAACATGTTGTGTATATAAAAAAAATCTTTATGCATCTTTGAATACATGTCTCTATGTTCTTTTCTTTTGTGTTTTGTATTTTTTTACAAAGTTCTACTGATCCAGTGAAATGAGAAATGGTGAGAATATAGTAAGAGCTTTTTACAAATTTCAAGCCCTTGCAGTGTGCTTTTAAAGGGAAAATACAACATTTGCAAACATCAAAAAACGAAATGATCAAATTACCACAAAATACCTTACTGAATTGTTAGGGACTGACAGTCTAAAGCATCCTTTAAAATCGTGGCTCCTGGTGGCCTGACATTTTCAAGCAAAACTGTATTTTTCCCAACGCTGGTCGGCCGACCAGCGTTGGAGAAAACTGGCTTTTTTTCAAAAACTGTTCGTAATTTTTCATATTCAGTTATTCTGACTTTTCTTTGCAATTGACGACACACCTGTGAAGGGGTACAAGCCCGCTAGACTGATTCTCTGACCTTACAATTCCCCAAAGTGTATTAATTGCTTCGTTTCATCTTAAGTGGGGTCAGGGAATCAGACTACAAGAACATGATAGGTTTTCTTGGTTTTTCCAGCATCTACAAGCCCAAAACATGAAACAAGTCAGTTTAACAATATTTTATAACATACTAATCCTCCAAATCCATTTATTTCTGAAAATTGCAGCAAAAGCAAATGTTGTATATTCCCTTTAATATTGAAACATAACTCTGAACAGGAAGCAATGTGTACAGTACACAAGTCTGTTTTGGCTTACATGTAACAGGATGTATGCAACTTGGCTCATTATTTTTTTCCTGAACCCTGTTAAACTTATAAATTCAAGCGAAGTGCACATTTGCAGTACATGAGCCATGTGAAAGGGCGTCAATAAGCCTCTGTACTAATGACGTCACACTTTATTTATGTATGTGAACTTCCTATGGAGCCAGTGGGGGTCCGCGGTCCACTGAGCATCATAGGAAAGCACACAGGTAAACAAAGTGTGATGTCATTAGTACAGAGGCTTATTGCATCTCAAGGGGGGGGGGGGGTTACCTTGATTAGGACTTATGCAAAGCGTGAAGTCCTAACAGCGTGGGTCCGGGCCTGACTTTGGATTCTAGACGCTCTGTGTTGCGATCTGAGGCAATAAGCCATTTGCGAGTAACCTATACCCTTTGGGATTTACATTTGAGAAACATGTGGTACACTGACTTGCTCAGAATGCTTGGCACATTTTAACTTTGAATTCTCCAGACCAAAGACACTGTTGCTATTCACATGATTCGGGGCAAGCTCTTACATAGTTACGTAAGAGACGCTCAGCACCAATACATTGTTCACAATGGGTGAGAATGGTACAAAGACACCAGACCATGCCGGAGCTGGGGGTTGCTAGCATAAGGCTTGCCCCGAATCACGTGATATAGTAACAGTCTCTTTGGTCAGGAGAATGCTAGGTTAAAACGTGCAAAGCATTGTATTAAGTCAGCGTTCCAGATTTTATTCAAATTTAACTCGCAAATGGCTTATTTCTGACCACTTTAACCATTGTTTTTGAGCAAAAGATCATAATTAAGCATCATTTTCGAGTTTGAGTAATTGAATCAGCTATTCTGAGCTACAGGATCAAATGTAGGCTACAATTATTCGGGAACAAAATAGTGGGGGAACATTTACACCCATCCCCCTCCCCTACCCACCGAAGCCCATGCAAATAGTAAATACACTTGAAATGTCAGACGGGTTTTGTTCCTTGGGTCTTGTGCAGTACATGAATGTGAAAGTCTCATGGAATTTCCCCAAAGGGTTTTTACATACACTCAATCATTCCACTCGCCTTAATTTGGTATGAAGAGGAGAAAAGGGGGCGTGTCGAGCAACTCGGTAATTTCTGGGAGGACATTTTAATGAGGGGATTTTTGTGTTTCATTTTTGGTAAAAAGCAATGGCCTTTCCTAGAAGGGAATTGAACCTTTCTCATGATAAATACGACTTTGGAATTCATTTCGAGCCTGGCCTAATTTATTTTGCCCTTGAAAATTAATAGTTAGTCCCTTTAAACCGTCGCAGGTAATCGACAGGCAATGATGAGTTTGCTCCAAAAACCGTTACAAAATGCTTGGCTCAGCTGGAATACAGGCAGCCTGGCGCCGCTTACCAGTTGACCCAAAATGTGTCAACAAATCACAGAGATCTCACTGGTACCCGCGGGCTGATAAGCCCTATGATATATCGAGGAATGGGACGTTGTTAAACCAACGAAATTGACCTACGAACTTTTTTATCGTCTGCCACGAAAAAAATAATGTGCGACGTCGACGGCCGTCGCAGCGGCGCAGCTCGGAAAGCTCGCCCGGAATTTGAAGAATTTATCCGGCGAGTTATTGCTTTTGCCCTGGTCATGCTGGTTGATGCATTGCGGGCCATTCTGCCGGACAAAAAGACACGTCTTTGTTTGTAGGGATCGTCTCTGCTAAAAAAGGAACAGTATCGGTAAGAATGCTAAATATTCCCTTCCGTGTTTTTTTTCTCCGGCTTCGTTGTTTTGTATTGGTCGCAGTCGTATTTCTTCATGGTTCAACTAGTTCATGTTTTCAACAGACTGTTTCGACATTCACCAACCATTGTCAATGTAAACTCAACTGCATTATTTTGTGATTTGAAAACAAGATGCTTTTGGAAAGAATGTAGCATCCAGACGCCACTTTGTTGGTTGTGTATAAAGTCTATGGAGGGTCAAGAAGAATAACTAAGAATTTTCTGACAAAATTGGAAACGTTTCTCAGTCCCAGTCTTCAGATTCACGTCTTTCAGTTTCAACATTTTTTGCAATGACTGACCTCCACTGATATTGATAATTATATGATGAAAAAAAATAGCATCAGGCTACAACATTCTTTCCTAAATTTCGCTAGTGAAGAGGGAACAAAAATAAAATAAAGATATCCTTTAAGTTTGACCATGGAGCTATAAAAAGCTTGTCTTCATTGTTTTTACTTACAAAACCTGATTCTGGCCTCAGTCAGCATTGCGATTTGCATGTATGGTACTGTCATTGCATAGGAAAAACTGAGAACTTCTTAAAGAAACTTAAACAATTGTTTTTCATTGCCTGATTGCCATGCAATTACCACTTTCATCAGCATCATCAATTTATTTATTATGCATAATTATTTATTATTAAAGACATAATCATCATCAAAATTATCATTCTAATCTTATACTAGGGCATATATCTATGGCAGTGGATATTTTGCCGGAGACGGCAAACCTTTAGTAAACGTTACTTTGCCGGATATGCACTGAACATGCGCAGTTACTGTTTTTTTTGTACAGTTTAAACATTTTACGGTGACAAATTTTAGTCAGGATCCATGCCAATATTATCGTTGTAACCTCGTATTCACAAGATGGGATTCAGACCATTTTATAATTTCGGACTTTATTTCCCTTTTAAAAAAAATCCTCCAGAGCCACAAATCTGAAAAAGAAAATGTAATACTCTGCAATAAAATGTTTGAGACATGTTAAAATAATAAAAGAAGAATATTCTTATTTATTTGGGGATGGGAAAAAAAACCTTAAAAATGTGGCGGGGGTTGGGATCAAACCCGAGACATCCCGCTCACTAGAGCTTTTGCTTAACCATTACACCAAACGCGCTTCACAACTTTTGGTGGGAATTTAATACATCTTATAATTCAGCCCTATCTTAAAGAGTACAGCGCCCTCTGTTGATATGGATTGCCACCGGCAAACCTTTAGTAAACGTTAGTTTGCTGTCATTACCTCCGGCAAAATATCCACTATCTATATCTATCACAATATCACTATTTTTAATGTTTGTTTTTTTAACTTTTCACTTAAAAAAATTTGAAATAAAGAAAATAGCAGCTGAGTTTTTAAATCCATGACGTTGGTCTCTGAATGAAGAAAAAATAATACATTCTGTTTTTCTAATCTTTGTTCCAAGGCATGCCTTCAGAAGTTGATGAACATGACCACTGTCATGCCTGCTATGACAGTAAGTGCAACGCGCGCCTCCCATCTTGCAGCCTCGTCCAGTGCGAGCTGGATTGTGGGGCACGCTTCCATGCCTGCAAGCAGAGCGAGCACGGCCTGCTCTGCAGCAACGAGAAAGTTCCCTGCTTCAACGCGGGTTATGGCTGCCCCATGCAGGTCCAACGCTCGCAGATGTCACGCCACCTCGCCGGTTGCCCGGCCAGCTTAGTCCACTGCACCATGGAGTGGAACCGGTGGCCTGTCTGCTCCAGCGAGCGCCAGTCCCGCCAGCCTGTCCCCTTCCTCACGGACTGCAACCGAGAGCAGCTGGACATCGCGTTGGCGCTGCGGGACCAACGCATGCTGACCAAGTCCATGCGGGCGTCGGTCCGGACCCGGCGTATCTTGACCAACAATCTCAACCGGAGGCACCCGGCCGTGCCTCTTGCCAGCCAGCTGACCACAGACAGCGGGGACGCCGGGAAGGAGTTCAACGAACAGCGTGAGCTGGAGACCCTTCTACAGGACATGCACCGGTGGGAGAACGCGCCCGAGAAAAAGCGTTCGCGGAGCCCCGCGGGTCTGCGGCAGAGCATCTGCGATGAGCTGTACCGGGCCAGCCAGGACACAGTGCAGCAGCTGTCCACGGCCATCCACGCCATGACTGGCGACGTGGCCTCCTTACCGGACCGGCCGGACTTCAGCCTGGGTAGCACCCTCTACCCGTACATTCACTGCGCGCACTGCGAGAGACGCAAGGAACGCATGGAACGGCTCATGGACTCTCATAATGCTATGAAAGAAAACGGTGAAGGAAGCCCGACTCAGGGCGCTAGCAAACCAACGACAAATCAGAATAGTGACGAGGGTCATCTCCAAGACAACGGTCATCTCCAGGACAACGGTGTGCATCTCCAGGTCATCAGTGATTTGTTAACCTGGGAAACAAACGGAAAAGATGAGTCAGAAAAAGTGAGTGACGCATATTAATTATCCGTAACTCCCTTTTTTGCTAGGATGCAACCTCAATCCTGCAAAACCTTCCAACTGCCTCATTGTATAAATTGCATGTATAGCCTCAAAATCCCCCGTTATTTCTTGAATGCGGTCCTCGGAGGGGTGACCACTGCCTCAATCCTGCAGAATCCTCCGCCAATCACTGTTAACATGTTGAGGCAGAGCCAGTGACATACTGGTGCAGTGCGGAGGATTTCAAGTACAATGTATTTAATCTAGGCCTAAATTTAATGCACAACTGAGCATAAACAACACAAGATCCGGCCCAAGACCTCGACACAGTGCATCACAGGTTAAGCCGATTGCTGCAGAATTCACAGTACATACAGAATCATTCCCTGCCTAACCAAAAACACCCTCCACATTTTGTCAATTTTTTGCAAACCAGTTTGGCAAAAAGTTGAACATATTTCAAGTCTGGGTCAAGTTCGCCGCAATTTTTTTTAATAAATGAGGTCATGCTCATGAATTTGTCTTTGAGTCTTTTATTAAGGCCTAAAAAAAAAAAAAGTTATGTTGGCGTAACGGGCCAGAAAAAATAGGGTAGGTCGGTCGGTGTTTTTTTTTTTTTTTTTTTTTTTTTTTTTTTCCCAGCAACGAAAATGACATTAAGCCGGTAGTAGTACACGATAACAAAAGAAAACAAGGCTACTATTTGTATACTTTTAAACTCTGAGTGACATTTATTTCACTTTTTATGTCTTTCTTTTATAGTTTCTTGTTTTTGTGCAAATAAAAACAAAACTGTCAGATCGAGGAAAATTTAAGGAAGGCATGGTACATATCAAAGGTACATATCAAAAAGCGGAATCCAAAATCAGACAAAATGTTAGCCGTTTCATCTGCATCGACATCTTTATATGGACCCGATTCTTCCTTGAAGTTTGTATGTTTAGCACGGTGTAACCCGCTTGTACACCATCGGCACAGCTCTGCGATTACCCCCAGCTCTAGACTCAAATTTATCCGCATTAAACGGTCGAAAATGACCGAAGATCCCCATTTGCCCTTGATGGAAACACTGTACGCTTCGGTACCGGGCGCCATGATGCGACGGCGTACGCGCGTAACCACGGGCCGGGGGCCGGCGCGACGCGGCCGGGTCGTGTCGGCCGCCGGGGTTACAGAATAGTTTACCATTTTTAGAATAAATATATATCAATTGTTATCGTGTAAAATAGTGGAAAATTAATTAAAATAATTTATATTATAATGAACTATTTTTTTTAACATGGAATAAATAGCGAAGTATTTTCAATAGTGTATGTAGCAGTTCGCGCCGTGCAACAGTCTAGGACGAGGCTATACATGTACTGTACATGTACATGTGCATCTATCATGCATGCATGGTGCATCGATCACCGCACGCGCACTGCCTGTAGGCTAGGTCTGCGCGATCTTCTGCATGTTCGTTGTGTCATGGAGAGGAAGGTGCAAAACATTGTGCACTCCAAAGTTCCACGCGCGCTATCGTCATACAATTGAGGAGAAACGGTCAGAAATGGTTTCAAAACGTATTTAAAATACATTTCTATAGATTTTAATTATATTTCTTCCCTTCAAAAAAAATAAAAAATATCCAGGGTCGGCCGCATTTTTAGGGTCGGTCGGGTTACGCCAACATAACACTTTTTTTTTTTAGGCCTAAGAACGTTTTCCTTTCTGAAGGATAGTCCTGGTACGACTGCTGAATGAGGCATTTCCAAAAAATAAAGGTGACAATTTTGTAAATGTGAGTTGAGTTTTTTTCCTGGTTCACTCTATCAAGCAGCCTCTTCAGGACTCGGGCCCTGCCAGTCTAGATGCTCATCAGGGATACAGAAGCAGCTCGAGCAGTGAAGACAGCCTGATCGACGTCCCCATGCCGGCCCTGTTTGTCACCCCTTCCACCACGGGAGAGGTGTCGGCAGCGCCAGGAAGAGGCCACTCCAAGATACTGGTGGTTGAGGTACATATGTGCATCGGTCTTTGCAGAGTTTTAATTGAGTTGTTGGATCACAAGTCCAATCATGAGTCAATCACAAGTCGATTGCAAGTCAATCACAAGTTGAACGCAAGTCAATCACAAGTTCATCACAACTTCACAAATCAAATCAAGGGTCGATCGCAAGACCTGCTGAGCAAGTCAATTGCAAGTCGACTTACGAATCACCAGTCAATCATGAGTCAATCACCCGCCAATCACAAGTCACTCACAACAAGTAACTCACAAGTAACTCACAAGTCAATCACAAATCTATCACAACTCAATTATCAGTGAATCATGAGTCAATCATCAGTCAATCACCAGTCAATCATCAGTCAATCACCAGTCACTTACAAGTAACTCGCAAGTAACTCACAAGTAACTCACAAGTCAATCACAACTCAAATCACAACTCAAATCACAAGTCCATCACAACTTCCCAAGTCAAATCTAGGGTCGATCGCAAGTTTATACAAGTCAATCGCAAGTCATTAACAAGTCGATCGCAAGTCAATCACAAGTCGTTCGTAAGTCAATCACAAGTCAATCACAAGTCAATCGCAACTCAATCACAAGTCGATGGCTAGTCAAGCACAAGTCGATCGCAAGTCAGTCCCAGGTCGATTATGAGTTCATCACGAGTCAGATCACAAGTCACTTGATCAGTCCAAAATATTTCAAATGGTCCCAGTATTGATGACAGAGTTTTGGGGCAAAATAGTCAGCGAAAATGTAATTAACATTGCATGTATTTGAAGGGAGGGTGGCCAAAAACCCCGAAATAAAACCCCTCAAAACCCAAAGTATCCATTCATTCGATTTGACTTCCCGTAGCCTCCTATGATGATACCGGGGTCTGGTGTAGCCTCCTTTCCAGCCACCAACTCTGATTCGCCATTGCAGGCCTCACTGAGTCTGGACCTGTCGTTGGAGTCTATCACCAGGTACCAGGCCAAACCGGACTCCATGTACACATTCTTATGCGCACAGGTGGGTAATGCTAAAGTCCGCTACGTTTGATTACTTCTAACAAATTTCTTCTATGCTATTTGTTTTTTGTGTGTGTGAAATTCACAGTTTGAGAACAGCCCACAGTTTTGTAAGAGCCTGAGTACAAATGGTCCTTCATGAAGACACGGATCTCTGTAAGAAACAATTATGAAAGAATTTGACGACTGATCGGTTCTACTTTCTGTCATACATTTGGACAGGTCTTCCGAAGGGACGAGTTTGCTTCCCACTTCCAGAACGTCCACAGCGACATCCACGGTGGGCTGAACGGCTGGCTGGAGCAACGCTGCCCTCTAGCGCCTTACGGCTGCACGTACTCGCAGCGCCGGTTCCATCCCGGGGAGAAGGCGGCGAGGGTCGTCCACCACGAGCACCTGGAGAGCTTTGGGGTGCGGTTGGACGGGAACGGCTGCCGACCGACTCAGTCAGAGGGCTTAAGCCAGGTCGACACGGTGGTTGAAATGGAGTGGGTGCCATTAAATGGCAGCGACCGAACTGTTCAAAAGACAGACAATTCAAAAGAGTGTGAAGACACGTTGAACGCTGATTTCAAACCAGTGACGGTTTCCTCTAAGGATAGTGGATTCTCAGAACAATCTGGCTTAGAGAGCAAGAAGTTAAATCCAGGTGCTGATTTGATAAAAGAGGGTGGGGCTGACCAATCAGAAGTCTCCTTACATGCAATGGACCAATCAAATGGGAGCTTAAACTGTACTGAGGCACAGCACAATGTAGAGAACGATAAGTGTTCTGGAAATTCGAAATCGGAAACCCACACCGACAACTCTGACTTGCCCAAGGCAGCAAAGTCACATGACCCAGTGGATGCAGAGAACCCAACCGTCCAATCAGCGGCGCCAGTTCAAAATCCCACCAGCCAATCAGAATCGGCGACTGAGAAGGAGCACCAATTGGAGCCGGACTTTCTGAGCCAGCTGCCGTCCGAGATCCTGCGGTACCTGACCAAGTTTCTGGACGCCTTCAGTCTGTGCAACCTGGCCCTGACCTCCAAGTTGCTGCGCCAGATTTGCTGCAGCATCCTTGAGGAGAGGGGGATGGTCCTACAGCAGTGGGAGAAAGTGGACGGGCGGTGGGAGGTCGCATACAGGGTGCGTAATTTTACAAAGGGTAAAATGAGCCAAACAATATTGATTACAGAAAATGAAACGGCACAAGTTGGAGATATCACTTGCAGAGTATCTGTCAAATTTCGTTGACACCTAGCATGCCTAGGAATCCACTTAAGAAGCATTCACAATTTCACTGAGCAGTGAGCACATTTGGTTCTGTTTGGCGAACTACTTGCATGGTTTTGTCTTAAAGTTGACTGTCCAGCAGTTAGGCCCCTAAAAATAATATTTTGCTTTCGGTTACCCTATCTACCTACCCTATTTTGACAGCCCCTGCCATAATTTTATTTTGGGAAAATGAGGGGAAAAACCCTGAAAATCATCAATTACTACCTTTAAGCCTTGACTACGCGCAGACAGCTCCGTATGATTGTACACACAAACAAATTTTCCCTCCCCAAACAAATTCCCTACCTTCTGGCCCTGTTTTCAAATGCCATGTAATTGGAAGCAGAACTTTTTTTTTCTTTGACCTTATTGCAAACATTGAATTTGTGTACATGAGGTCCATGCTTGCATCCAGATGACCTCACCTGGCAAGGCATCCCTTTGTCATTATTCATCTTCACTTACTTTTCAAGTTTGAAGCTCTGACTTTACTTTGGATTCGACTTATAACTCTCCTGTGGTTTGACCATTCAAAACACCTCAAAATCTGGGTTCTGGCACATTGGAGGACAAAAAATACAGGACCTTTTAAAATCCTCCAGAATTTATTGTTACTGCACTACCACACCTTTCAATTCCTTTCGAAAGGTTTTGAATGGCAACTTACTGAATTTGCCCTCAGAGTTGCTTCACCTTCCGAAACCTTTCGAAAAGTTTCAAAGTTCCAGCTCTATTTCACCTTTCAAAACCCTTTTAGTCAGGCAAATTTAAAATGTTTTGAAAGGTCTGATAATTCTCTGCCAACTGCACTGGGCATAGCAGGGTTAATTGACTTTATCATGCACTATGACAGCTGTTCATTGCTAATGTTGTATTTGAATTCCCAGGTGTGGCAGTTCAGCACAGCATTCACGCCGGTCCGCCGCTGGGGTTTTGAGGACCACCCAAGCCTGGCGGTGCATCTTGCCAAGTGCCCCTACAACGTCGCGCTGCAACAGACGGAGCCCGTACGCGTCATGATCAAACTTCCAGAAGCAACGGCAGCGAAGACGAACGGAGACGAGCAAGAGGCTGACGAAGCCAAGATGGAAACAGGCAACAGGCACGTCGAGGACGGTAGCATCACTCCGGTTGCTCCAGAGGTTGAATGAATGAGATCTTGGTCACAGAGATGTAGTCCAGGTCATCACCGGTCCCTGCGATTTCATCACAAGTTCTCCAGTCCCAATTCAACTCACAAGCTATTCAAATAAACTTTGACAAAGGCATCTTTTTTTATTATTCATCCCCTGTTACTTGCGACTTGACTTGTGTGGATGGACTTGTGATTTACTTGTGACTGGACTTGTGATGGACTCGACTACTTCCCTGGATCTTCCCTCTTCACCATTGGAAGTCTGCTTTGTGATTTTCATAGTTTGCCTGAAGCGGTATTTTGCAATAGATGTTTTTAGGTATGAACTCCATGCTGGAACAGTAGACAATGGTAGATGGCACAGTTTGACAACTCAGCCAGTGTCATTGAACATGGAGAAGGGGGGGGGGGTGTTGTAGGGTACAAGGAACTAACCCCCACCAACCCCTCCCCCCCCCCCCCCCCCCCCCCCAAACAATAACAACAACAACCAAAGAAACAAACAAACAATGGGGACAGTGGGACATTGCAAATTTGCCCACAGAAATCTCAGTACCCTACAAGGGGAATATTTTGGAATTATGATTTCAGTTCAAACACGGGCGAACGAAAATATGGAAGTTAAGATTTGAAGGATGTATTTCTGAATTGTTTTATTGTAGTTTACCCCCTTGTTGGTACTATCCCCCCCATGCATGGAGCTGGCGACAGCGCTACCATGTGACAAATCTCTTTTGTGACTTTGTGAGGCTCTGAAAAGAAGTGGCGATACTCAACGTTTTGGGACAGCATGCTCTGCCACAATGAATGATTCACAAAGACACAAAAGAGATTTGCTACGTGGCACAAACGTAAACTGAATCTCATCAGGGAATTAAAGGGAAAATACAACATTTGCAAACATCCAAAAATAAAACTACCAAATCATTTTGAAATACCTTGCTGGACTGTTAGTGAATGACAGTGTAAAGCATCCTGTAAAATCATGGCACCTGGTATACTGTCATTTTCAAGAAAAGTGGTATTTTTGTATCAATTTCCAACGCTGATCGGCCGACCAGCGTTGGAAAAAAAACTGGCTTTTTTTTCAAATACTGGCCCCAATTGACCATCGCACTTGTTTGCAATCGATTAGTCACCTATGAACGGGTACAAGCCAGCTAGACTGGTTCCCTGACCTTGCAATTCCGCAATGTATGTAAACTGCTCTGTTTCTTTTTAAATGGAGTCAGGGAACCAGACTACAGGAAAATGATTGTTTTTCTTGGTTTGTACAGCATTTTTGAACCCAAAACCTCAAAAAAGTCAGTGTAACTATATTTGCTATATATTTCCAACCCCCCAATTTCATCCATTTCTGAAAATTACAGCAAAAGCAAATGATGTATATTCCTTTAAAGGTCTACAAAGTGGTGTTCAAACTTCAATACACCCCATACATTGTATAAATGTAAACAGAATACAAATATTTACTGCTGCGAGTGGTGCATTAAAGGTAGCCTTCCAAGGTGATTCATGGAGTTGTTAGATTTTCCCGTGAAAATTTGAGGGAAATTGAACCCTTCGTGGATCACCAAGGATATATAGTGGTATATGGCCAGCAAGCAGCCTATGATGTAGGAAGCAACGGCATAAATGAACCGTGGCATGGAGCATTTTTTTCAATGTCACAATTTTTATCTCAATTGTGCATAAAGTTTCCTTGATAAATGAGTCGAGCTTTCTTTCTCCAATTTGAATTGCAGATGTTGAAGTTTTGTGTAATTAGTGTAGGCGTGGTGCAATTTATATTGAATTAAAAATTAAAGTCCATTTAAGGCCAAAAGAAAGTCTCCGGTTTCTGGTATGCGCGCGCGTCGCCGTTATTTTGAAGCAAAAAGTCGGGTAAAAAAAAGAAGCCGCGTTGCCGCACCACTTTTTGGGCAAGCTCCATACCAGAAACCAGAGACTTTTTTTTTTTGGCCTAAAAAAATTGCAAGATTATGTAAAAATGTTTCAAACCTAAACAATATTGGCTCAGACACTTGGAAATACATGTATAAAATGTACATGCACTTGTGGCCTGTGTTCACCAATTATTTATTTATAATTCAACCAGTTGGTTTTGTGTCAAATTTATTCATTGAGCTTCCATGTGTGTGAGTCTTAGATTATTTACTGCTTGGTCGTAAAATGTATTCCTATCTGAGTCATTTTATAAGTTTTGGGTCCACATTTTGCCTGTCCCTGTTCCATCTGACATCTGTGATTTTATAATACTGGATGCACTCCTTAATGCAGTCGTCCTACAAGACTGATTATGAATAACAAAAAACCTCCCCAACAAATACAAATAACATTTTACATTAATTCTTTATGATGCTTGAATGGCAAATTACTAAGTTCTGAGGTAACATGGACAGGAAAAATGTCACACTTTGGACCCTTAATTTATAGAATGACCCATTAGAAAGAACAGTGAAATTGTAGTTTACGTGGGCTTCTAGTGTCAGTGTGTTCAGTAATAAGTTTGTTTCGGAATAGTATGCATAGTTTGTGATGGGTATCATTAGCCTATATCTAGGATTTCCAAGCAGGTACCCTATAGGGAACAAGTGGTTGTAGTGGTTGGGGCGGGGGCTGTGGGTGGGGGGGGGGGGGTTCGATGAGGAGTGGCAGTCGATTTGGCATATTTTTCATAATGACAAAAACTCAAACTGGCAAGTCGGGGGTGGGGTGGGGTGGGGGTGGGGGGGGGGGGGGTGTTATCCACCGCTAATGACATGTAGTAAGTTGTATGTTAGGTCTTTGAAGCATCACAACTTTTGGTTGCATTTGTACTGTTAGTCCCAAGCAAAGCTTGATTCCTTGTCATGTGTACACAATGTAGGTGCTTGCAGTTAAACTATTTATTGTTAATTTTTTTACATAAATAATATGTAATCTAGCTTGACAAGTTTCGAGATTTCAGATGAAATGCTTTGGTCTGAAACCAAAAATTATTTCAAAGTTTTGTATGTGTGCAAAAGCTTCCAGTGGATGACTTAAGTCATTTTATCAGTATGCCAAATTATTCATAAAGATATTACTGGTCCTGCAGTAGTAAATGCAGATAGTTAAATTCCCCTTTTTTTTTTGACTTTTTTTTGGGGGGGGGGGGGGGGAAGGGTGCGTACGTCTTGCTGTAGTTTATGGCTTTATCAAGCGATGAATCGTGAACTATGGGGTGGTCATCATTGAAAAACCAATACAAATGACCTCTCTCTAAAATACTCTCCCAATACAAATGACCTCTCTCTAATCCACCATTGTCTTGACCCTTCTTTGGCTGACCAGGGATGTTACAGACCAATCCATATTAAGCCACGCCCACTGCACACTTGGCCAAGAGCACGTGCGCCTCTTCCATGCCACACTGCGTGTTTTCATCCGCGCGTCTATATACGCGCGTACGCGCATGTCGGACATCACACCACTGTAATTGGTTAAGATATTGGGCCGGGCTTTAATGGATCGATCTATTTTGATGAGAGGTTGCCCATGTTGTAGTTTAATTACAATGTAATAACTATGCAATTTGTGGAATACTGATACAGCTTACATTAAAAAATATACTTTTAGGGGAATAAAGTACCGTAAAATTTGAACAAGCGTACAAGAAATGTGTGAAATGTGTTTGATTTTCGATCAGCAACTTCTGATGTTCATCGATAAAAAAATACCAGGGGCAGTTTGCGCATTCCCATTGGTTGAGGGCCGATATGAGGGTGATTATTTTGTTCAAATGCCGCTGAATAGTGTTCAAAAACAGTCGCGCGGCCCGCACCACATGGCATTCGTTTGAAGAGTGCATTCTTTTGACTGAATGGTTCATTAAATATGCACGCCAAACCCGCCGTCCAATCAGAGTGGATTGATCAACGGGCTGCGCGTCTCGTCACACTTCTGACCAATCATGAACACTCATGCTGCGTCACTGTATGGACATGCATTGTCTGAGCTGTGTTCTTACAAAGTAGTGCCAAGAATTTTGTTTACATTGTTTCAATACAAGTAGAAATTCCATCATTCTTCAGAATTTCTTGAAGAAATGTTTTCTCACGACAGTCTTACATTTGTACTTTTATTTATTTTCGAGCAAATCTTTGGATTAGAGCAGACGAAATGTCCTAGGCGGAGGAATACAAGTTGAGCAGTGCGGCTGGAGAAATACCGTAGGTATGTGCACGAAAATCAACCACGCAATTAATTGTTCCATGGCGTGTCATATGCATTACGCAGTGGAAATTCACGCAGAGCATGCACGTGGTGGGCGTCGGCCCCTCCATGGCCAACTCTCGCACAAATCGTTAAGATTTTCGACGGAAATACTTCCTCTGGACAGCGGATAAATACTCATATTTGCCCCCGGCCGCAAACGCTGGCCTGGACGGGCACGGATTTTACGCTGTTCCTCATTTTGTGGACTACATTTTGGTGGGCTTGGAATTATCAGTGCTCGAAGGAAACTCCCTCGCTGGACTCCATTTTGCAAGATTGTGTTGAACTGGACACTGAACTGTACAGTAGGCCTACTGAACTCCATTGAAAATGAACAATAACTGTGAACAAGTGATTTTAATTTCTGTGGATTTTAATTGTGTCTGTGGAATATTTTGGAGGCTCCTTAAAGATTCATAAAGTGCTTGAAAAAGGTCGTCAGGGGGTAAGTCTGCAAAACCTTTTCTTGAATTGATTTTGTCCACAACCGCTGAAGTGGCGTCAGGTTGCAACATTCTTTCCCCTATGTAAGACACAAATTTTGCCTCCGTAGTGATAGAGTATTTCAGCATATTCATTAGGGGGTCTACCCGATGTTCCCCAATACTTATGTTCCTCAATACCTATGTTCACCGAGATCCTTAGGATTAGGATTAGGGTTATTGGGTTAGGGCTAGGGTTAGGGTTAGGGTTATGGGTAGGGATTTTAGGGAACATCGGTATTGGGAAACATCGGCATTGGGGAACATAAGTATGCACCCAGTCATTAAGTTAACCACTGCCGCTTCTAACTTTTGGGGGAAGCCATCAATTGTGTTATCAATAAATTTGCATATGAACAAGATGGCATGTGCCTGGACGCCAGGCGTGGGCCTTTTATTGTCTAAGGTATGCGGTCATGTATGCAGCGGTATACGGACAGGTGTAGCCGTTAGAAAGAATGTCTCTTCGAAACTCCGCGTAAACAAAGTTCGCCGACCTTCTATTTTTAAATGGATCGACGCGTGCATGTCCTTCAAATCCTTAAAATCGGCTTTTTGCTGAAAATAACGAAATCCGCAAACTAATTCAAAAGTCATCCGTCTTGAAGATCGGTCAATGAAATAAAAATAAAATTCCGGCTCGCCAAACTCGGCTTCTTTCGGGAAAAAAATGGGCCGCCTCAAACGCTACATCCGTCTTCGGCTTTATTCCACAAATTCGGCTTCGGTCCAAACAATATACATTTCCGTCGCAGTTCGGTAAAAATTCGGTTGCGTTCGGTAAATTACGAAAATCAGAATTACTTCGAACTCGAGTTTTTTTTCGACGAGCGTCGGAAAATAGTTCTTCACCAATTAACGTTTTGCTCCATCGAGATTTGGTAATTTAGTTTTTTCCTGGTATAAAGTGCAACGTGAATTGGATGACCTCGTAAATTCAAGTTGTTTCGGTTTTATAGCCCAATTCACGTTTTGCTCGATCGAGATTTGGTAAAGTTAAATCCCCCCCGTTATTTAAGTGAAACGTGAATTGGAGATCTCATAAATTCAAGTTGTATCTGTACATTGTGCCTAATTCACGTTTTGCTCGATCAAGATGTGGTAAAATTTCTCCCGGTAATTCAGTGAAACGGATGGATGATATCGTAAATTCAAGTTGTTTCGGTTTTATAGCCTAATTCACGTTTTTCCCCGTTATTTAAGTGAAACGTGAATTGGATGATCTTATAAATTCAAGTCGTTTCGGTACATTGGGCCTAATTCACGTTTTGCTCGATCGATTTAGCTTTCCCCCGGTAATTACGTGAAACGTGAATTGGATGATCTCGAAAATTCAGGTTGTTTCGGTACGTTGGGCCTAATTCACGTTTTGCTCGATCAAGTTTTGGTAAATTGAGTTTTTTTCCCACGGAAATTAAGTGAAACGTGAATTGGATGTTCTCGAAAATTCGGGTTGTTTCGGTACGTTGGGCCTAATTCACGTTTTGCTCCATCAATATTTGGTAAATTGAGTTTTTTCCCCACGGTAATTAAATGAAACGTGAATTGGAAGATCTCGAAAATTTAGGTTGTTTCGGTAAGTTGGGCCTAATTCACGTTTTGCTCGATCAAGATTCGGTAAATTGAGTTTGTTTCTCCGGTATTTAAGTGAAACGCGGAATTGGATGATCTCGAAAATTCAGGTTTTCGGTACGTTGGGCCTAATTCACGTTTTGCTCGATCAAGATTTGGTAAATTGAGTTTTTTTCCACGGTAATTAAGTGAAACGTGAATTGGATGATCTCAGAAACTCAGGTTGTTTTGGTACATTGGGCCTAATTCACGTTTTGCTCGATAAAGATTTGGTAAATTGAGTTTTTTTGCCACGGTAATTAAGTGAAATGTGAATTGGATGATCTCGTAAATTCAAATTGTTTCGATACATTGGGCCTAATTCACGTTTTGCTCGACAGAGAATTTGTAGTTTCATAGCTTTTCCTCCGGTATTTAAGTGAAACGTGAATTTGATGATCTCGTAAATTCATGTTGTTTCGGTACACTGGGCCTAATTCACGTTTTGCTCGATCGATATTGAGTAGATTTAGTTTTTTACCCTGGTAGTTAAGTGAGACGTGAATTTGATAATCTCGTCAATTCAAGATGTTTAGGTACATTGGGCCTAATTTACGTTTTGCTCGATCGAGATTTGGTGAATTTAGTTCCCCCGGGATTTAAGTGAACCGTGAATTGGATGATCTCGTAAATTCAAGTTCGGTACATTGGGCCTAATTCACGTATTGCTCGATCAAGATTTGGTGAATTTAGCTTCCCCCCCCCCCATTTGGCCCATTCACGTTTTGTTGGAAACCCGTTATCAGTAAAACCTCGTTCGCGAGTTGCTCTAGTCAGCTGTACTCTGTAGATAGCCAGCTGTAAAATGTAGTAATTGACAGATCTCTTGAATAATTTCATGAAGGTTATCAATTTGAATGGGGTTCACATTTTTTCTATGGTCCATGCAGGTAGATACCAGTATCCCCACTGCTCGTAATTAATGGCTAAATTTGGTAAATAAGCGAAACGTCCGAGAATTGCTTGACCCCCTCACTGAGAAATTCCGCTGTTATAAAAACTACATATATTTTTATTGGTGTTTGTATTTGTATTTTTTTAAATATGGTTAAGATCAAGGGATGGTAAATCGAAATGTAAGATGCTACATATTGCGAATAGGGCCGAATGGTGTGAAAACTGTGTTTTCTGATACGGAGACTATAAAACATTTTGGAAGAAGTGATTCCATAATGACTGTATAAGACGTCAGTTTGACATGTTGTGTTTAGTTTGTGTTAAAATATTGTTTTTCGTTTTGTGCAGCGGCATGCAGCCTGTATACCAGGCTTAAATGTCTCTGTACTTTACAACATTCTGAGTCCTGATATACTACTTTGTAAGTCCGATCCGTTGAGGTTGGCATTGTTTACGAATAAACAATAATATAAATGGCATCTCAATGGGTACGTCGAGTTATACTTATAGGCATAGAGTTGAAACCTGCCTCTAGTAGAGCGCCAAATAATCTTGGCGAAAACGTGAAAAACTGACGTACGTGGTCTAAGATGTTTTATTGGTTTTGATAAGCGGTTAATCGATCGATTGCTTATAATTAACAGTTACGTTAAAATTGTATTTGTATACATGGCCGTTATTATATCAGATTTAACACGCTTGCAATTATTGATCGTAAGTCATGTGATGTATTTTTTAAGTCACGTGCCTTCATTTTTCTCATGTGAAAAACATTTAGTGGACTATGCATGTGAACAACTGAACATGCTAGTGACTGCAAGTCAGATTAGAAAAGACGGGTTGTGCAATTAGTACAATTTGTTTTACAATATATTTTTAATCGTGGTTCAGCATCAGTCAATACCATTGACGGTTAAAACAGGAATACAAATTATTACGAACTGCGAACGCGTCAGAACGCTATTTGTAACTTAGATGTTTCACTGAAGTCTGAAGATGTGATTTTTTGTGTTGTGTACAAATATAGGGTCATGGTTGTTATTATTCATGTACTCTAAGTATGTAAACAGCGCCCCCAGTTCCGCTTACATTAATATTGTGACAGCATAAATCGACTGTGATCGAATCACAAAATTACAAACGAGGTTCCATTAGGTTCCATTAGGTTCCGGCAGACTGTAAAGTGATTTCTGATACATAATTGAAATATTTTGCTCGTCCAACTCGTTCAGTTTGGAATTTTAATGTGTGATTGATTGAACAATCCGTAGTTATTGAGTCAATACAATTGTGTAAGTCATGTGACTTGGTCGCACGCACGCTTTTCTCCCATGCTTTTTTGTAGTCCTTGTATATTACACTTATTTTTTTCCTCATCTTCAATGATTGTAAGACTTGTCACTTAGAATCTGCAAGGGAGAACCTTGCTTTCTCTTGAAAATATGCTTTTGACTCGCCTATTGTGTATGTCGGCTGAATTCTCTTCACCACGTAATTCGTGAAGCTACGATCTCTGTATTTCTTTTTTCCATAACTAGTTTTCCCCATAAAGAATTCAATTGACTTTTTTTGCGTCATAGTATTGTGAGCAAACAACGCAAAGTGACACAAAGTGTGCCAGCTTCCATTGAACCCAATGGGCCAAACTTTGTCATCGTTGTCGATATTTGGTACGCGCGTGTTTTGCACTGCAAAATGACATAAAGTAATGCTATACCAGCGGCATAATTTGGTGTGGACGTTTTACCAAATGGACAAAGGACACATCAGATGATGCACAACATATGTCGCCTACGCAAGTTTTGAGTAAGCTTATTAAGTATTGTGTAAATGTATTACGGTAGTAAATACAAAATTAACGAGGTTTGGCCCTTATTAAGTGTCGATTAGTTTGGCCTATACATTAACATTTGTTTGGCCTATGGTAACATTACTTTTGCCTACGTTAACATTAGCTTGGCCTACGATAACATTTGTTTGGCCTACGATAACATTAGTTTGGCCTACGATAACATTAGTTTGGCCTACGATAACATTAGTTTGGCCTACGACAATATTAGTTTGGCCTAACATAGCTTTAGAACTAAAGTGGGTAAGTTTGTGAGGCCATGGCTAAGGACAAATTTACAGCCAATTGTGCGAGGAGTGGCATGATGTACCTAACAAAGCCTAGCCGCGTGCAAGGCCGAGTCTTTTCTATGTTCTCTAACATCCGACTGCAGCTGAGATGTGAAGCTGTGGAGGAAGCTAAAGGTGTACTGGAGACGGAAGGCACGTCGCGACTGATGTAACAAGGAACCGGAAGTGGGGAGGATGATGGGAGACCGATGACCTTAGCTGCTTGCTGTACTTCCCACAATTCGTGCCTGAGGTAAAATTTAAGAAACCAACGGACAGTTTCAATAGACCTTTATCATGCTGCCACCATTTTTGTGATGTTCCCTGTATCCCATAACAGTACTGAATGATGCTGTGTGTTGTGCAAAAAGGAACCAGACTATTTTCCTTCCAGCCTCGCTTTGGTTACGTTGATTTGAATGGAAAAAAATCAAGATGGCCGCATTATGATAAAAACGGTCTATTAGTGATGCAAACAGAAAGTGGATACGATCATGGTTGAAAAAAAAAAACCCAAAACGATGAACGGTGATTTTATTTGAGATGTTATTTTGACAGATATTTTCCAATTTTTTGATAGGTTACTGAGGACCAGACGACCTGGTGGCGGCTTCACAACCGGGGATTCAACTTTCAAGCCTGGTTCAGCCTTTTGATGGTCACACACAGGTAAATACCTTAAAATAAATCATAAAACTTGCCAGAATAACATCGCCCGATAACCTCAAGTAGCACGATTTCATGGGCGGAGTCAGGACTCAGCCAGGAGGGGGATGTAGATTTTTTTTAAAACACGGCGAATCAATACAGACGTACATCGTGATCAGGCCAAAAAAATAGTTCTGCTTCCGATTACATGGCATTCGAAAAATACGGTAGGTAGGTAAGGCATTTTTTTTATTGGCCAATTTTTTGGTGTACGATCATAATGGAGGCGACTGCTTGTATTCAAGGGTAGAAGGTATAAAGTGATGGTTTTGGGTGTTTTCCCCCTAATTTTCCAGTAACAAAATTAGGGTAGGGGCTGTCAGAATATGGTAGGTAGGGAAACCGGAAGCAGAAGTATTATTTGTTTTGGCCTCATCAAGTGCATTCTAAAAACCCCACTATTTTTGCAGACTACAGTGGGGTCAATCAGATGGGGCGGCTTCAACTAAGCCTATAGATTCGCCACGGTTTGCCCGTTGGGCATTACACGTACCGAGATCCAAAGCTATTCCTGTCCGGTTAAACCTTGGCTTCCCGTAATGCCCAGCAAGCCTTTGTCTTCAGGTGTTTTATAACTGGTTGCTTGCCTTGTATTTTTCATCTCTGCAACAACATTAAACGCGTACCGATGTTTTGATTTTTCCATTGTTTTTCTACAGACTCTTCTAAGCTTGCCACATTTCAACAGATGAAGAGGCGACGCACACCCCCAACCCTTCAACGGTTTTTGCGGTAGTGACAATCGCGTTTATAGATGATCATTCAAATCTCATTTCGTGCTTACTACCCCGTTCAACGTAGCCAAAAATGCATTAAGCTCAGTTAACCAACGATACAACCAACCAGTAAAAATCTGTACCCTTATCCAAATGAAACAAGTAAAATATGCTACAATGGTGTTGTTTGTATTTTGTAACATGTTTACATCATATTTTTCTAAAATGAAGTAAACTATGTTTGTACTTTAATTTAAGATTCGAATCTGGGACTCAATTTTCAGTTCATAACTTGTATCAGTGTATACTGTCATGAGTATTTTTAAACGTAGTGGTGGCGGTAGGATAGGGACATTACAGCTGATCGTTTTGTGTGGTATTAGCCACGCCCCTTTTGTAGTTGGCCACACCCCGCATGAACACATCATAAGATTTGCATATATTTTACAGGGGTGAGATTTGTGAGCATTTTATTTTAGAAAATCCCTTTTGAATCTGACATTTCTGAGAATTTACCATAAAGGTGTCATTAACTAAAATGTTTATAGAGAACAAAAGAAGTGTATTTGAAAAGGAATGATTGGGCAAAAACATCGTGCTACCTATTGTCTGAGGGCCTGATTGGCCTTCCCCAGTTTTTAGCTTATTTTTCGTTTTTCTCCAACCTATGAGTCCTAATTTTAGTACTATATTGTCCATAACTCTTTTGCCAGAAGCATAAACTCTTGCTAAAAACGAAGAAAATTGTGCTCATGCATTTTGAAAAAATTGTGCCACAAACGGCTCAAATTTGATTGTAAAAAACTACTCCAGACAACACCATGTTTCTCTCTAATATCTTCATTGGGTTTTTGTTATTTTGTTGTGTGTGCACTTTTCTTTATTCTCGAGCACGGGTTTTGTTGTGTTGTTTTGTGCTTTTATTTGAAGTTCAGTGTTCAAATAATTTGACTAACATAACGCAAGGGAGAAACATGGTTTGTAGCGAGTATAATAATCACAAAAAGTGAGCACAATGATAACATTCAGTGGCAAAAAATCAGATTCACGTTCTTGAAGCCTTAACTCCCTACTGTCTTTTACTAAGTGATGGACCAAGTCAGCCAAAATCCATCAATCACACTGCTTCCAATGCATGCTTTGCTTTAGGCCTCCAAACCCAAATCCATCATACTCCATCAATATTTGGTCACACCAGGCCTGCAGGACCAAGTCCCCCAAAATGCAACAAAATGGGGGGGATGGATTTTGATGGAGTGGGGAGTTTAGGATAAAGGTGATCAGTTTTTTAAAGGCCCGCCACAGTCATTGAATCTGGCAACAAATAAGTTATCTCTTATTTTCAAAGAGTGAAAACTCACACTATTTGAGAGTCAATTTTACTCCCACTGACTAAGACTACGGACCAGACTTCTTAGAGTGAAATATCATTCAGTCTAGTAAATAGTGTTCACACGAGCTTCCACTAGGGTGGTTCTATTTTTGTACCTCGTAAAATGAAAGTGGTTTTAACTCTAAATCGTCTGGTCCGTATAGTTTCGTTCTTTGGAATGTTGAGATTTAAAGATGATTATTGTCTTTGATGGATAGTTATTTCCAATTAATTTTGATTTCTGTGAACAAGAGATAAAATATCATATTTCAAGCACTTGATTAAAATGTCTAGCAAAGAGAAAAAGTTTTGGCGTTCTTTATTTTGTCTGTTTGCCTTTTATTAAGCCTTTCCGGATTCCACCAGAAATAAAGGGTCTATTTGGAGACAAAACAAATTGCAAATCTTCAAATTCCTGCCAGTTATGAATTCTAAATCTTTTATATAGTGCAAAATCTCCTGAAATTGATTTCCTATACCGAACAGGCATTTATATGTAAAACAATTAAGAAAATTGCACTGCAAAAACTGCAGTGTTAAATTTACACCATTGGTATCTATATAGGACCATCTGGTGTTAAATTTTACTGGTGTTGTCCTATATAGATACCGAATGGTGTTAAATTAACACTACAGTTTTTTTTTGCAGTGTGCTGTGTTAATTTCAAGCCACCATGTTGCGTGATTTGATTTTAATTTGTCTCAAAGAACAGACCTTTAATTTCTAGTAAATAAGGGGGTTTTCCCGGGGGAAACACATGACAATTATAGAGGTTATGCGTATGCGTTATGCATTGCCTGGATGAGCATGAATAAACTTTCTGCGCATTCATTGTTACCAAATTAAAATAACAAAAAATGACCTCTAAGATGGCTGCTACGCGTAACCTCTATTGCTTTTATTTTTGGGAACGAGAAAGACCGGGTGAATGGGCAAGAACGTGACTCGTGCATCCAGGTTTGGGGTCGAGGACAAGGGTGAGAAATTTACATTGTTGCTGTGTGGTCCATGTTTTGCTTTGATTATTGCGCACACACTCAAACATTGCCTGGGTTAATCTTACCCAAGAAAGGGTGAAAACTGCAACCATACCCCAAAAATGGGTTCTTCTATAACCAATCATGTTTGGGCTAGAATTTCTGTTAAATTCAACCAAAACTTGTAGTCTGCATGGCCTTGGCATTCGGAGAACAGCCGTATGAGTTGCCATGATTAACTCTCTTTTTCCTCGATTTCGTTCGTATTTTTTTGTCCAAACCCTTTTTAGTTTTTTTCTCGAGTTGCCGTTGATTGTAACGTCCCTTGGATGGCGAATAGCGGTAGTTATTGTCCAATGTAACCATGATATACGTTTTCAATAGCGCCCTCATGGGAAGATGGGGGGCCCAGGCCCAGGCCCCCCCCCCCCCCCGACTGGATGTCACAAGCTACACTGCTTCCAGCTCCCATAAATCATTCGTAGCAAGAGTGATAATGTAAGTAGCGGGTGCCAGTCGAGTCATCGTTTGGCTAGAGCGCGGCGAGTAGGGCCGTGTCCGGTGTCACGGTCTCACTTCTCCGGCGTGCTAGCTTCTCCAAATTGGAAATTTCGCTTCAACACGCATGCACAAAATTGCGCAGTAGTGTTCACTTTCGACAACTTTATGTGTGTGCTGAGTTCTCTGGGGTTGCACTGGTGCACGTAAGAAGTTAGGATGTTTGTATGTATACGTCACAGGGTACCATCGAATCCAGACCTAGGCATGGTGGGGTGCGCAATTAACTCACAACAACCTAATAACCAAAAAGACTTGAAGGATGCACACTTATTTTAAGCCGTGGTTGAACGTGGTTGCAAATTGGACATGTATTTGATGGACCACAACCGAGCAAGGAACACGCTTCTTAATTTTTCCTCAATGCACACGCAATGACGATGGGAAAACAACTTCAGAATGCTTGCAATATGACTTGACCCACAGGAAGTGTTACATAACGCATTCTTGGGTGTCCCTCACTGTCTGTATGGACCGGTAGACTTTACAACAACTTGCAACAACACAGCCCAAGGAAAACTTAGCAAAACGGACACATGAGCATGAATAGTGCTCATGTAACGTGCACTGTAACGTGCTCAATTATCCGCGAAATCCACCCGGAGAAGCTGGCACGCCGGAGAAGCGAGACCGTGACAGCGGTATGCAAATGGGCTGCACCCTGAAAGTGGCTGGGTGTACAAACAGGCAGGTTTAGGGAAAATTCTCGTCATAGGCAATTCTAACAAAGGAACCGACTGCAGACCAGAATTTGGAGAAATTCACAAGAGATATTTGGACTTAAAACACCAAAGATGAAGACGCCTGGTTCTATGCTGCTGTTCGCCTGTACGCTGTTTGCCGTCGCCGGTATTGGTAGGTGGAACAATTTTATAATTTTTTGGGGAGTTCTACGGTGCATTTCTGGGGAGAAGTTCAGTTCTAAATCCACCATGATGGTTCACATGGAAATGTGAGTTCATGGCGACAATTTACAATTCAGTAATAAAATTGACAATTGACAACCACAAATTTTGGTTGAATTTAACAGAAATTCTAACCCAAACAATTGGTCAAAGAACAACCCAATTTTGGGTAGTTTTTCACCCTTTTTGGGGTAAAATTAACGCAGGCAATTTCTCAGTATGTACATGTTTCGACACATTGATTTCACAGATCAATATGTATTGGAAACAGCCAGCTTCACGCGCTGTGTTATGTACAATACTTAAATGCGTTTCTTATGCACCGCACGCGATGTATTATTCCGTACATGCTCGCTACTATAGATAGAATTATGCTGGAGGGCCCTATATATGCAATAGTATAATGTTTAAAACTACCACATCGATGGAGTCACTGCTGTAGTGTCATGGATACTACACTGCAGTGATGTAGTGCCTTGATGCTGGGCCTTGGCCTTAAGGCTCTCTTAAGGCTGGATTTTAGCGCCTTGGCCTCAAGGCTTGAGGGCAAAAGCCTTGGCCTTGGCCTTGAGGGTTCAGGGCCTTGCAATTTTGAGTCAAGGCTCTTCAAGGCCCATAGATTTTTGCATTTTCCAGATAAATCCGTTCGAAATTTTGCTGTTACCATTTTAATTGTATTACCATGGAGGAGGGAAGCACCCTTTAGATTTGTGTGTTGGGCACACGTCCACTTTTGTAGCATCACATTTTGTTACCATTGTAGTAGATTTGCTGCAAAAATATTCCGTACACTTGTGGGGCTAATGAGATGATCATGGGATGATTAATTGCATATAAATATGGAATAGATCTGATTGGTTGTATAATTCTCCCTGATAAGTGCTAAAGATTTGCATGTATCTGCTTTAGATAATGCTGATATTTCTGACCATGTTGGGCCAGCAATTAAAAATTTCCCAAATCAGTTTCTTGGATCCCCCTTTTGTTACACTTGGGAGAATTGTGTGTCAATATAAAAGTAAATCAATATTTTGTTTAGTTAAACCATATTGAAGACCTGGACTTATACTTTAATAGATACAGTGCAGTCATAAAACGGTGTAGGCCTATTCGAGCATGTTGATTGCAATTAAAGAAATGTTGTTCTCCGTAACGAGCAATTCGTGATGATAAGGGCGGATCCAGGGGGGCCAAAAGGGGCCATGCCCCCCCCCCAAAAAAACCCCACCCCGAATTTTTTTTAATGTGACGTCGTAATAAAGGCAGGCAATGAGTACACCACCATCTTTTCCTCAAAAAACATCGGTTAAAGTGCCTTAAATCGCACCACAGAGCATCTCGAATCCAAAATTTTTTCGGGGCCCTTAAGCGGCGGGGCCCCGAAGCCCAAGCCGTAATTTTTTGACCCACTTTTTTGGGGGGACCAAGTCTGGTAGCTGTTCCTTTTTTTTAAATCCAGGATCATGTGCCGCTCTCGACTGTTACGATTGCTCTTTTCCCGCCAGTAATTGTGGGGATCCGTTCGACCCGGCCGGCGTGACGCCAATGGCATGTCCTAGCGGTAATGTCTGTACGGTAAGTTGGATTTGACACGTTGTTGCTTTTGATTCTAAGGACCCCCAAGCATTTCATGTATTAACAGTACTAAATCCTCCAACTGCAATGTGATTTCCACACACCCTACCGAGTAAGGCCTGGTTAATATCCGACAAAATGGTTTTGGATAAAGTGCTGTTCAGGTGTAAACTCCGGCTAACCGTCTTTTATTTAGTTGATTTTATATAGCCTCTTCAACTTCTCTCCCGAAGATCATGTACGTATACATTTTAAGGCCTTAAGGACATTGTAGTACGGAGCTCTGGAAGTGTCATCCGACCTGTTCAGGTACTGACTTATTTTATCGCAGGAGGATGACATATTACAGGCAAGATGACGACATCTTGAGATAATTTATTAGGATACGACGACATCCTTGAAACAGAATGACAACATCCTGAGATAATTTAATAGGAAATAACGACATCCTGAAAGTAGAATGACGAATCCTGAGATAATTTATTAGGGTATAACGACATCCTGAAAATAGGATGACGACATCCTGAGATAATTTATCACGGGGTGCATTGAAGCCATCTTGAAAACGCACAGGTCCTGTCGCTGTACGTGGTATTTATTGATGAGAGGTCATGATGTCTTGCTGCCTGTTGTGGGTAAGTATCGCTTATGTTTTTTGGGTTTTTTTTGCTTCAAACTTCGCTTAATGTTGTGGGTAAGTATCGCTTATGTTTTTTGTTTGTTTTTTACTTCAAACGTCGCTTAATTCCACTAAATTATATAGTATTTGATGCCTCAGGATGTCGTCATCCTTCTTTCAGGATGTCGTCATCCCTTAATAAATTATCTGAGGATGTCGCCATCCAATAATAAGTTATATGAAGATATCGTCATCCTACTTTCAGGATGTCGTCATCCCTTAATAAATTATCTTGGGATGTTGCCACCTCGCCTGTAATATGTCGTCATCCGGAGATAAAATAAGTCAGTATCTGAACAAGTCGGATGGCACTTCCAGAGCTCCGTATCATAGCGAACAGCAATGCCCAACATAATGCAACTGTTGAAAATCAACATCAACACCCCACCACAGTCTTCTCATGTAAAATTATTCCACCCTTCGTGAATGCAATTTTCTCAGTTGAAATTCATGTCTTAATTCGATAACAAATATCTACTCCAACCCCTTAGGCTCAAAATTCAAGTTCTGGTGGCACTGAGGTGTTTTCTAGAGGTTGCACCGAGGCTGATTCTTGCACAACCGGCTGCGTCACCTCCGAGGGGGTAACCTCATGCAGTTACTGCTGTAACGAGGATCGGTGTAACAGCAGATCTATTGCGGACGCAGTTGCAGATATCCTCCACTGCTACTATTGTACATACAAATCGGCAAGCAACTTCAGTTCCCCAGCGTGTAACGATCCGTTCAACCCGAACGGCGACGGGGTAGTGCAATATCCATGCGCCGATGGACAGTGCGGGGTAAGTTTGTTAAATAGACCACACAGTGTAAATTTATTTGTGTATAATACGGGTATAATACGTGTTATCGAATCAATATTATAAAAGCATGAAGTGTGATCATTCTTTTTGCATAGTTTAGCTTAATCCTAAAGGAGCCTGGTTATTTTGACCATCTCACAGCCGGGGCGGATTGCGCCCAACCCCCGGCTGTGCCATTTTAGAGTTGAGGAGTATCTTGCACCATTATTTTTTCCTCCTGTTAGGTTTTAACGACCAACCACACGGGGCAAAGTACCCTCAGCAGGCTCTGCATCTCCGACAGCACTTCCCCCAGGGGATGCACCCCTGGGTGCGACGCCCTGGGTATCACCTGTCAAACCTGCTGCTCTGAAAACCTGTGCAACGTGGGACTCGCTGCCACGCCCTCAACAACGAAACCCAGTGCAGCGACCCCAACGGTCGGCGGTGGAAAGGCCTCCCTCGCCGCCATATCGCTGGTTTCTGCGGGTCTGCTCGTGGTGTTGCGTTAGATGTTCAAACCTTGGGTGTCTTCATCTGTAGGTCTACACAGAATTCACTAATCAGACCTATTTTAAGTGTTCTAAGTAGGAATAGGTTTTTCTTTTAAATTGTTTTAGGCTTAGATTTGCTTTATAACTGCGAGTAGGTCTTCAGTTGCATGTAATACTGTCTTTATCTGCAACATTTGATTAACCTCTCGTAATGCCAAACAAGTCTTTGTCTTTAAGTGTTTTATAACTGGTTGCTTGCCTTGGTATCTCTCATCACTGCAACAATAAGTAACTGTGTACCGATGTTTTGACTTTCCCCTTGTTTTTCTACAGACTCTTCTAAGCTTGCCACATTTCAACACATGAAGAGGCGACGCACCCCCCCCCCCTTACTGTTTTTTTTAGCGGCAGTGACAAATCGCGTTTATAGAAGATCATTCAAAATTTCGTACTTAATTATTTCCCCTTCAACGTAGCCAATACATTCAGCTTAGATAACCAACGATACAACCAACCAGTATAAATCTGTACCCTTTTCCAAAATGAAACAAGTAAAATATGCTACATTGGTGTTGTTTGTATTTTGTAACATGCTTACATTATATTTGTCTAAAATGAAGTAAACTATGTATGTACTTTAATTTAAGATTCGAATCTGGGACTCAATTTTCAGTTCATAATTTTGATAGATATCCATAGACTTACTCTTAGATAACAAATGATTCGCTGCGTGTATACTGTCATGAGTATTTTTAAACGTAGTGGTGGCGGTAGGATAGGGACATTACAGCTGATCATTTTGTGTGGTATTAGCCACGCCCTTTTTGTAGTTGGCCACACCCCCGCATGAACACATCATAAGATTTGCAAATATTTTACAGGGGTGAGATTTGTTACCATTTTATTTAGAAAATCCCTTTTGAATTACAGCTGATCATTTTGTGTGGTATTAGCCACGCCCCTTTTGTAGTTGGCCACACTCCCGCATAAACACATCATAAGATTTGCATATATTTTACAGGGGTGAGATTTATTACCATTTTATTTAAAAAATCCCTTTTGAATTACAGCTGATCATTTTGTGTGGTATTAGCCACGCCTTTTTTGTTCTTGGCCACACTCCCGCATAAACACATCATAAGATTTGAAAATATTTTACAGGGGTGAGATTTGTTAGCTTTCTATTTATAAAATCCCTTTTGAATCTGACATTACTGAGAATTTACCATATAGGTGTCATTAACTAAAATGTTTACAGAGAACAAAAGAAATGTATTTGAAAAGGAATGCTTGGGCAAAAACATCGTGCTACCTATTATCTGATGGCCTGATTGGCACTCCCAGATCCTCAAGTGTATTTAGCTTATTTGTCGTTTTCCTTCAACCTATCAGTCCTGATTTCAGCACTATTATCCAGAACTCTTGCCAGAAGTATAAACTCTTGCTAAAAACGAAGAAAATTCTGCTCATTCATTTTGAAAACATTGTGCCACAAACGTCTCAAATTTGATTGTAAAAAACTACTCCAGACAACACCGTGTTTCTCTCTAATATCTTCATTGGGTTTTTGTTATTTTGTTGTGTGTGCACTTTTCTTTATTCTCGAGCACGGGTTTTGTTGTGTTGTTTTGTGCTTTTATTTGAAGTTCAGTGTTCAAATAATTTGACTAACATAACGCAATGGAGAAACATGGTTTGTAGCGAGTATAATTATCACAAAAAGTGAGCACAATGATAACATTCAGTGGTAAAAAATCAGATTCACGTTCTTGAAGCCTTAACTCCCTACTGTCTTTTACTAAGTGATGGACCAAGTCAGCCAAAATCCATCAATCACACTGCTTCCAATGCATGCTTTGCTTTAGGCCTCCAGGCCCGAGTCCATCATACCCCATCAATATTTAGTCAAAGCAGGCCTGCAGGACCAAGTCCCCCAAAATGCAACAAAATGGGGGGATGGATTTTGATGGAGTGGGGAGTTTAGGATAAGGATGATCAGTTTTTTAAAGGCCTGTCACAGTCATTGAATCTGGCAACAAATAAGTTTTCTCTTTATACTTTCAAAGAGTGAAAACTCACACTATTTGAGAGTCAATTTTACTCCCACTGACTAAGACTACGGACCAGACGTCTTAGAGTGAAATATCATTCAGTCTAGTAAATAGTGTTCACACGAGCTTCCACTAGGGTGGTTCTATTTTTGTACCTCGTAAAATTAAAGTGGTTTTAACTCTAAATCGTCTGGTCCGTATAGTTTCGTTCTTTGGAATGTTGAGATTTAAAGATGATTATTGTCTTTTAAGGATAGTTATTTGCAATTAATTTTGATTTCTGTGAACAAGAGATAAACTATCATATTTTAAGCACTTGATTAAAATGTCTAGCAAAGAGAAAAAGTTTTGGCGTTCTTTATTTTGTCTGTTTGCCTTTTATTAAGCCTTTCCGGATTCCACCAGAAATAAAGGGTCTATTTGGAGACAAACATAGCAAATCTTCAAATTGCTGCCAGTTATGAATTCCAGATCTATTTTATTGTGCAAAATCTCCTGAAATTGAAATCCTACCGAACAGGCATTTATATATAATAAAATTAAGAAAACTGCACTGCAAAAACTGCATTGTTAAATTTACACCATTGGTATCTATATAGGACAATCTGGTGTTATATTTTACTGGTGTTGTCCTATATAGATACCAAATGGTGTTAAATTAACACTACAGTTTTTTGCAGTGTGCTGTGTTAATTTCAAGCCACCATGTTGCGTGATTTGATTTTAATTTGTCTCAAAGAACAGACCTTTAATTTCTAGTAAATAAGGGGGTTTTGCTAGGGGAAAACACATGACAATTATAGAGGTTATGCGTTAAGGCGGAATTTGAGGGCAAATTTTTGCATTGCCTGGATGAGCATGAATAAACTTTCTGTGCATTCATTGTTACTAAATTAAAATACCAAAAAATGATCTCTAAGATGGCCGCTACGCGTAACCTCTATTGCTTTTATTTTTGGGAACGAGAAAAACCGGGTGAATGGGCAAGACCGTGACTCGTGCATCCAGGTTTGGGGTCGAGGACAAGGGTGAGAAATTTACATTGTTGCTGTGTGGTCCATGTTTTGCTTTGATTATTGCGCACACACTCAAACATTGCCTGGGTTAATCTTACCCAAGAAAGGGTGAAAACTGCAACTACACCCAAAAATGGGTTCTTCTATGAGACAAAAAAACAAGTCTCCGGTTTCTGATATGGAGGTTGCCCAAAAAGTGGTGCGGCGACGCGGCATTTTTTTTTACCTGTTTTTTTTTGCTTCAAATGTCGGCTGATGACTGCAAATGGTGTCCGACTAAACTTAGTGCAAATATGTGGGAGTCCAGAGAGGCCACATAAAGCTTATTCTCGATCATAACCCCATATTAAAACACGTTAAAATTGTGCAGCAGCAGGATTCCAGTCAAACCAGTGAGTTTGGCGGTTTTGAGACATCATCTTTCATTGAAAAAAACCACCTTTTTCATTTTGCCGACGCGCATGGCTACGGCGACGCGCGCATACCAGAAACCGGAGACTTTTTTTTTTGGCCTAGCTAATTGTTTCGGCTAGAATTTCTGTTAAATTCAATCAAAACTTGTAGTCTGTATGGTGTTGGCCTTGGCATTCGGAGAACTGCCGTATGAGTTACCATGATACACTCTCTTTTTCCTCGATTTCGTGCGTATTTTTTTGTCCAAACCCTATTTAGTTTTTTTCACGAGTTGCCGTTGATTATAACGTCCCATTGGAAGGCGAATAGTGGTAGTTATTGTCCAATATAGCTATGATATACGTATTCAACAGCGCCCTCATGGGAAGATGTGGGGCCCAGGCCCATTCCCCGCCCCCTTGACTGGATGTCACAGGCTACACTGCTTCCAGCTCCCTTAATCATTCGTAGCAAGAGTGATAATGTAAGTAGCGGGTACCAGTCGAGTCATCGTTTGGCTAGAGCGCGGCGAGTAGGGCCGTGTCCGGAAGTTGTGGCTGCGGCTGCAAAGAACACGTGTGCCTATGGAAGCCACTGGCTTGTGGCTGCAGCAACTTACCATAGACGTGTGTGTGTAACTCCCAGCCGCAGCCAGTTGATTCGGACACGGCCTAGCCTTCGATTGATGCGTGCGCAAGGACACCTTTTGTTACCTTTCTGCGCCGGTATGCAAATGAGCTGCACCCTGAAAGTGGTTTGGTGTACAAACAGGCAGATTTGGGGAAAATTCTCGTCATAGGCAATTCTTACACAAAGGAGCAACTGCAGACCAGAATTTGGAGAAATTCACACGAGATATTTGGACATAAGATATCAAAGATGAAGACGCCTGGTTCTATGCTGCTGTTCGCCTGTATGCTGTTTGTCGCCGGTATTGGTAGGTAGAACAATTTTATAATTTTTTGGGGGAGTTCTTCGTTGCATTTCTGGGGAGAAGTTCAGTTCTAAATCCACCGTGATGGTTCACATGGAGATTTTCCAAGTTCATGGCGACAATTGACAATTCAGTAATAAAATTGACAATTGACAACCACAAGTTTTGGTTGAATTTAACAGAAATTCTAACCCAAACAATTGGTCATAGAACAACCCAATTTGGGTAGTTTTTCACCCTTTTGGGGGTAAAATTAACGCAGGCAATTTCTCAGTGTGTACATGTTTCGACACATTGATTTCCCAGATCAATATGTATTGGAAACAGCCAGCTTCAGGCGCTGTGTTATGTACCGCACGCGTGTTATGCACCGCACGCGATGTATTTTTCCATACCACATGCTCGCTACTATCGATAGAATTATGCTGGAGGGCCCTATAGTTTAATGTTTAAAACTACCACATCGATCGAGTCACTGCTGTAGTGTCACGGATACTACATGGGATTACAAATCCGATAGTGTGAGTTCGATTCCCATGGGATGTTTTTTTAAATTTCTTCTTCTGTACTTTTTTTCTCTTAAAAAGGTTTGTTAGTCATTTGGAACATTTTTCTTTTTACAATACATGTATGTGGTTTGGATTATTTTTTTTTCAAGGGAAAATAAAGTCCTTGACTTGCAACTCAAAGTACTTCGAAATACGCCCATAACGGATGTATTTGTACGGAAAAAAAATATCGCGCACCGCACAGACTTCATCGCTTGCTCAGGAGAGGACCGTCGTCGTCAAATAATTGTTGAAAAAAAATGAGAGATTTGTGGTATTTTGCCTGAGTCCCAAGTCACGTAGGTCGAGTCCTAGTCTAAGTCTGAGTCCACGGGGTCGAGTCCGAGTCCGACTCCGAGTCCGAGTCATTTGTCATCGTGACTCGAGTCCGAGTCTGAGTCATGGAAAATGGGACTCGAGTCGGACTCGAGTCCGAGTCATTTGTCGTCGTGACTCGAGTCCGAGTCCGAGTCAAGGAAAATGGGACTCGAGTCGAGTCGAGTCCGAGTCATGAGTCGTACCAAGTCTGGTAGCTGTTTCTTTTTTTTTACATCAAGGATCATGTGCCGCTCTCGACTGTTACAATTGCTCTTTTCCCGCCAGTAATTGACGACCGTCGTCGTCAAATAATTTTTGAAAAAAAATAAGAGATTTGTGGTATTTTGCCTGAGTCCCAAGTCACGAAGGTCGAGTCCTAGTCTAAGTCTGAGTCCACGGGGTCGAGTCCGAGTCCGACTCCGAGTCCGAGTCATTTGTCATCGTGAATCGAGTCCGAGTCCGAGTCAAGGAAAATGGGTCTCGAGTCGAGTCGAGTCGAATCCGAGTCATTTGTCGTCGTGACTCGAGTCCGAGTCCGAGACAAGGAAACTGGGACTCGAGTCGAGTCGAGTCTGAGTTATGAGTCATACCAGTCTTCAAGGTAGCTGTTCCTTTTTCTTTTACTTCCAGGATCATGTGTCGCTCTTGACTGCTACACTTGCTCTTTTCCCGACGGTAATTGTGGGGATCCGTTCAACCCGGCCGGCGCGACGACAATGACATGTCCTAGCGGTAATGTCTGTACGGTAAGTTGGATTTGACACGTTGTTGCTTTTGATTCTAAGGACCCCCAAGAATTTCATGTAACAGTACTAAATCCTCCAACTGCAATGTGATTTCCACACACGTACCCTACCGAGTAAGGCCGGGTTAATATCTGACAAAATGGTTTTGGATAAAGTACTGTAAAGTACTTTTTAGATGTAAACTCCGGCTAACCGTCTTTTATTTAGTTGATTTTATATAGCCTCTTGAACTTCTCTCCCGAAGATCATGTACGTTTACTGTAAAAAATTAACTGTAAAAATTACAGTAATTTACTGGCAGCTGAGTTGCCAGCCGTTTACTGTAAAGTTTACAGTAAATATTATCGTACTGTATTTAAATAACATGGTAAATTACTGTATTTTTTTACAACAAGAGCAGTGCTACTGTAAAATGATCACGATAAAGTACTGTATAATTTGTACAGTAGTGGTGATCATACTGTTAAGTAATTAATAGTAATTCTATTTGAACATGTGGTATTATTTGGCAAAAGTGACTATGCGTGTCAGGCATATGAACCTCCGCTACCTAATGAATCAGCTGGGTTTGTTCTCTTTGAAATGACAGTTGTGGAGGACATCATACATGTACCGTACGTCAGATTGCTGCTAATATATATTATATCCGGTTGAGGAGGAAGCACAAACTACCGGTCCTCATGTTGCATTTGTGGCCGGCAATAGTACACAGGGGTTATAACCCCATGCGTACGGGAAGCGGTCATGGCCAGGGCCGCTAATCCTCATTGGAATGCAGTTTGCCAGCTGTGGTATGCCATGGCACACGACTAGTGGGTAGTTCCACAGCTGCTGCTTTTGTGCAGTCCCGCTACCACACAAAGGCTGTGCAGTCATGCGGGCCACTTGCTCTATGTGTGGAGGAATGTCCCCATTACACCCCGTCCTTAAAAGGTTAACTAAGAAACTACATCTTGTTCTTTTTTTTAGAACAATTGTACAGATGTTAAGAAAAGGTTTACATATTCCACAAAATTGTGTATACAGAACATTATTGCCTTTGGTGACCTTAGTACTGACAAGGCCATTTAAGTGTTACAACAATTTTCTGTGATAATATTTATGCTATTTTTATTAATTCAATGAGTAAATATACTAGCACATTTTCTAGATAGTTGTGGGTTTATCCGTGGATGGTTTTCATTTGGCGTGTCACATCTGAAGGCTTATTACTTTGGAGATCACACAGAAATAGTAATTACACATTTGAATATATTTTTTCAAGGTAAAATCAGGCGTAGGTAATAGATCTTGTATCTTTAAGTGACTCAATTTGGTAAACTAGGGATTCACATGGAGTAAAACTTTTTGAACCCTTGATACTCTCATCAAAGTTTATCTATAGCATTCATTCTCTAGATCTTTCAACAATATAATCACGTCCACTCGTAATAGATTACAACATTGCGAACAAAATATTGCAACATGGCAATTGATCATTTCTCTCTTCCTGTGAACGTCCTGACCTGTGCGTTTGATTTTTCCTCTTCTTGTGCATTTGGTGCCGGATTCCAGACTGATTCTTATGAAGCATCTGTAAGGCAAACATACATGTAATTTTGTTATAAGGTTACCAGTGTTGAAAGGTGCAATTGAATTATTTGGGTGAACCTTTTGTTGCATACCTTGGGAAATATGACAAGAACCGAACTTCACTGTTTATGTAATCTCTTTGACTTGACTAGGCTTCCTTATCAGGGACCCCCTCCCCCCCCCCCCGAGGGACCAAGGGATTGGCTGAAAATGCCAAAACCCAGAATAGACGGTCATGTACAACCATTTCCAGTCAGAGTGTGATGTGACCTATTTTGTTCAACTAATAAGAGTAGTTTCAGTAGTACATGGGAGGGGGGCCACTCAAGACAGGGCTCTACGATTTTCGGGGTGGCATTTCGAATATTGTTTCTTAAGTGGGGATTGGACGGAATACGCCCCCTTTACTCTGGAGTACATGTACTTCATACATCAGGAAATAGACAACAATGAGAAAATGGTCTGATTTGAAGAGGAACAGCATTCGATATAGGTCACACATATATAATTACCTCTGTACGAATTCTAACGTAGTGGCAGGTCCGGCTTGGCACTCCAAATTGAGAACATGCATGGCAGGACAGGTAGGCTAGACCTGTAATGAGATCTGCAGAGACACTATAATGACTCTGCCTTCAGTAGAAAACATCCACTTGTGTGCCGTCAAAATGGAAGTCACTGGGAAAGGATACATTAAACAAATCAATAATTCATTGGGTCTTGAGGTATTTTAAATTTCCGGACAACTCATCAAGAGATGGAGGAAAATTTGTACTCGTTTCTTTAACAAAGCCCCGAACACCCCCTGTGTAGACGATATAAAAATGCATACTCGGTCGTATATATGTATCGGTATCTGGATCTGGATTAAACAACATCAGTTGGTCTGGAAATTATTTTAAAAACATCTTGAACGCAAAAGGTCCTAGAATGCGTGGAAATGAAGCGGAAATACGAATTTCACTTCAACCGCATGGCACAACTTCAACTTAAACTTGAAAATGTCAGGTCTTCAAACGAAATTGGACGACAGCAAGGAGATAATTAATTCGCTTCGAATCGGCCACTATCAAGATGACTGTGAAGCCATTGCGAAGGGGACGAAGAAAACTTGATGAAGCAAAAACATTTCGATAGCATATAATTAAAAGAAAATAAACAAATAAGACTCACCTGTGAAAGGGGGTCCACCATTCCTACGTATATATGCAGAAGAACCAGATGATCTTTACAAGAAACTGAATATTGTAGCTCAATTTATAATGATGGAATGAAGCAGCATAGGTAGCAGCCCTGCTTGGTGCTGACTCGTTTGGGAATGGTGATGTGGCAAGGGGAGAACTGACCAATACATGTACAAGTAGCCACCCTAGTCTGCCAAAGTATAACGGTCACAACGTGACACTCTCAGGGGAAAACCAGGCCACAGCCAGCACGACCACAGCAAGGTCGTAAATGGGTTCAGGAAAACTTCTGCTGGGGCAGTCAGCTTACTCCACAGACTACAAGCCAACAACAGAATACATGTGTAAACGAAATTATCACCCTTACAAATCATACAGGGCCTATACTAGACTTTATACGAATACAATCCAATAAAATAAGAAATAAAAGGAAGCAACAGAAAAAAATAAACTAAACTAAGTAGGAAACATTTGAAGTGATTCGATAAAAAAATGTCATAGGCCTGTATTATTATAGTATATTTATTCGTAACCCTCAAAAACAAATTACAAGATTGAGCAAACATTAATCTTGCACGGATTATATACCTACCAACATGTATAGATTTAGGGAACAGAATTACCAACACTTCAAATGTGCAAAAAAAAACAAGATAGCGGCTGTCGGTTTCGCCTTAATTCTTTTCACGCGCAAGACGATAATTGGCAGCCTAAAATAATTTTGGGTTTGTTGATAAGTGACTAAGTTTACAGTATAATACTGTCAAAATCTTACTGTCAAAATCTTTAACAGTAAATAACTGTGAAAATTACGGTATAATTGTAATTTTTACAGTATTTTACAGCTAAAACAACGGCTCCCAACAATGCACGGTACTTTACAGTAAATTACTGCGAAACAAATATACAGCATACTACTGTAGGAAATTACAGTAAGATACTGTCCAAATTACAGCCATTTTTTACAGTGTAAATTTTAAGGCCTTGAGGACATGATAGCGAACAGCAATGCCCAACATAATGCAACTGTTGAAAATCAACATCAACACCCCACCACTAGTCTTCTCATGTAAAATTATTCCACCCTTCGTAAATGCAATTTTCTTTGAAATTCCTGTCTTAATTCGATTACAAATCTCCACCCCAACCCCTTAATAGGCTCAAAAGATAAGTTCTGGTGGGACTGAGCTGTTTTCTAGAAGTTGCACCGAGCCCATGGGTTGCACACCCGGCTGCATTGCCACCCCTCAGGGTACCATATGCAGTTACTGCTGTAACGAGGATCGGTGTAATGGCAGGTCTATTGCGGACGCAGTTGCAGACATCCTCCACTGCTACTTTTGTGCATACAGTTCGGATCCCTCTGCCAGCAACATCAGCTCTTCAGCGTGCAACGATCCGTTCGACCCGAACGGCGACAGGGTAGTGCAACTGCCATGTACCGATGGACAGTGCGGGGTAAGTTTGTTAAATATACCACCTCAGTTTAAATTTATTTGTGTATAATACGGGCAGCGTAAGTGTTATCATATCAATATTATAAAAGCATGAAGTGTGATCATTTTTTTTTTTTACATAGTTCGGCTTAACCCTAAAGGATCCTGGTTATTTTGACCATCTCACAGCCGGGGGCGGGGCGGATTGCGCCACACCCCCGGCTGTGCCATTTTAGAGTTGAGTATCTTGCACCATTATTTTTTCCTCCTGTTAGGTTTTAACGACCAACCACATGGGGCAAAGTACCCTCAGCAGGCTCTGCATCTCCAACAGCACTTCCCCCGGGGGGTGCACCCCTGGGTGCGACGCCCAGAATATCACCTGTCAAACCTGCTGCTCTGAAAACCTGTGCAACGGGGGACTTGGTGTGGGCATGCCGACGACGCCCAGCGCGGCGCCCCCAACGACCGCCGGTGGAAAGGCCTCCCTCGCCGCCATTTTGCTGGTTTCTGCGGGTCTGCTCGTGGCTTTGCGTTAGATGTTCACACCTTGGGTGTCTTCATCTGTAGGTCAAAACAGAATTCACTAGCCAGACCTATTTTAAGTGTTCTAAGTAGGAATAGGTTTTTCTTTTAAATTGTTTTAGGCTTAGATTTGCTTTATAATTGCGAGTAGGTCTTCAGTTGCATGTAATACTGTCTTTATCTGCAAAATTTGATTTAGTTCAAATTTATTTTTGATTGATCACTTGGTCCATTCTATTTTGTTTAATCTATGGGTAACACATTGTAATGGATATCAGTTAGCAAGGCTGCCAAAAGCTAAACGTTGTTTGACTGCTTCACTATTGAAAAAGGCTGATGACTCGGAACCAAATTAAGACAAGATTTGTGTTCAGCATTATTGACTAAAAATAGTTAAGCAAAGCGACTTTATTACCAATGCCTGCAGTTTTGCTAACACTTAAAGTCCTGATAGGCCATCAGCCTGGGGGGTTTGGTCAGTGTCAAATCAGGGCATAAATGATTATAGTGCGCATGCGCAAGGAATACCGCCCCTGGAGTGGTAACAAGCATTTTGATGGACATTTTGAAAAAAAAAGGTGATAACACCTAAAAAGCTGCCCCTGCTGCAATGCTATCACATATTTTCCAACTCTGGAGGTGTACACCTTGCCAACAATCGCTTTGACGATTATTCCCCTCATTTGATACCGGTTGCCAAAATTTTGGACGGAGGCTGATGGCCTATGAAAATTCAAAAAAAAAAAAAAGAAAGAAAAAGGATTCGTACACCGCAGAGAGTAAGGCCAAAAAAAAGTCTCCGGTTTCTGGTATGCGCGCGCGTCGCCGTAGCCATGCGCGTCGGCAAAATGAAAAAAGTTATTTTTTTCAATGAAAGATAATGTCTCAAAACCGCCAAACTCACTGGTTTGACTGGAATCCTGCTGCTGCACAATTTTAACGTGTTTTTAGATTGGGTTATGGTCGATAATAAGCTTTATGTGGCCTCTCTGGACTCCCATAATTTGCACTAAGTTTAGTCGGGCACCATTTGCAGTCATCAGCCGACATTTGAAGCAAAAAAATCAGGTAAAAAAAAAAAAAAAGCCGCGTCGCCGCACCACTTTTTGGGCAAGCTCCATACCAGATACCGGAGACTTTTTTTTTGGCCTAATGGTTAATTTAATAAATATATTTTTGCTCCGGCTATGGGAACAAATACAGTTTAAAAGCTTATTTTAATTAGCTGGTTTTCTCGGCCAATAACAGCCCCAACCCCAAAAGAAAACACCTTCATTGTCATCAACACGCATTCACATTCGTGCAGAATTTTTCGATTTTGTTCAGACTGGGTTGTTATTCAATTATCGCATTACATTTCGTCCTTTTATATGTATAAAATTTAGCTGACATCCCTACCTAGTTCATTTTATTGAAAAACAGTGCACTTGTTATATTTACCCCCCCCCCCCCCACACACACACACATTATTATCCATGCTTTTTCCAGACAACTGTTTAGTTCAGGGTTTTTTGGTTGAATTAATGGTGAACCAAAAGTGAAATGGTGAACCAAGCAAGAAATAGACCATTTTCATGTTGCGGCCATTAGGATTTTTCCCAATGAAATCCACGCAACCAAAGCGAGGCTAGAAGGGAAAATAGTCTAGTTCCTTTTTGCATAAAAAACATAATCATTCAGTACTGTTATTGGATACAGGGAACATGACTGAAATGGTGGCAGTATGATAAAGGTATATAAGAGTAACTGTGTTGTGCAACGTACACCGGCCAGGAAATGGCTTTTGTAAACTTCTGGAAGGATTTTAGTATAATGGAATTGTATGGAGCCGGATCCTCCTTAATGGGCCTACAAAATAATGTTTTGCAGCCCAAGGCTATAAATAAAACGTCATTTTCGTGTGATTTCGTAATTCATCAAACTGAGGCTTTTGTCCTCGTTCTTTTTGTTAAAGGTTTGGTATGAGCAGCCAGCCTTGAGAATGGCACGGCAGCCTTTTGTTTATTCTGTCGTCTGGAAGGAGAGGAGACCCCCGATAAATGACAGTTTCCCACAGATTCGCTGTAGTAACCCTTTGTGCTGTTAACAATCTGCAAACATTTTCAGCGTATTTCAAAGCGGTACAGGCTCAAGAGTCGAGCGCGTGATTTCATGCGCCATGGGTACGAGTTGCCGTCACGTTTGACTAGTTGTGTGTGCCATACATTGTGCTGCGTGCTCGTTGATATAGAATGCATGATATGATATAGATTGAGTGCATACAGCAGCCTTTTTTGATTTTTTTTTTGGTTATGTTAATTTATTACTACTGACTGCACAAGAAGTGTAGTTTCCACGTATCCACTTTGACACCAAAAACACACCTCAAGAGATAGCCAGCGCAGTGCCAGCGATCTATGTATAGTCAACAGTGATGTTGACTTTCCAGAGACTGCCATGCACAAGTTGTGTTTTTAATACATTGTGCTTTTATACACTCTAAAAACTGAAGTGTTGAATTCAACACTTACATGTGTTCGGTCAGTGCGACACTTTGAAAGTGTTAAATCCAGCATTTTAAATGTTAAAGCCAACACTTACAATGTTAATTCAACATTTTAAATGTTGAAAAGTGTTGATTCAACATTTTTCAACTTTAACACTTTGAAAGTGTTGAATCAACATAATCAACATTTAAAATGTTAAAATAACATTTTAAGTGTTGGATTCAACATTTAAAATGCTGGATTTTAACACTTTCAAATTGTTGCACTGACCTTACACATGTAAGTGTTGAATTCAACTCTTCCGTTTTTAGAGTGTACCCCTCTCACTTAGTTTGTGCGTTTTCGCCAATTATCTCGGCTAATGTCAGTGATCGTCAAAATGGCAGCGCCGCGGACACCAATTTTCACCTGAAAACATTCTGTTCATTTTGCTAGATTAGGCCTAAGTGAATAACATGCCATCGGATGAAATTAAATGAGGTTACGTTTCTTCTATTCACCATATTTAACATTCGAAATTTCCAAGAAAATGTCGTTTTAGATTGTTGTTTGCTTTCCATTTCCCTGCAATCGTCGGCAAAAAGGGCCAACTTAAAATGAGTTTTTTTTCCCAAAAGCTCTCCCGCTACACGTAGGCATGAACATAGTGAAGGTTTGATATAAATTAAGTGCATTCAGCAACCATTATTGAGGTGTCTTTTTTTAGGTTAATTTATTTCCACTGATTGCACGAGAGGTCTGCAAAATAATAGGATATTAAAACAGCGGTAAATGCAGCATTAAAATTGGACCGACATTCACAATTTTCCCAAATACGTCCGAACTTACATGAACTGTATAGAAAAGACGACCAATGACAACTTCCAAATTACTAAAAATGCGAAGAAAAAAAGTTCTCGGAAAAATACAGACCGAAACAGGTCTGTACTATAAGGCCAATCAACATTGATTTTTAGGTTTGTATCACCTCCTTCTCCTCGATTTTCACGATTTTATATATTTTTTCTTCTGAAAGTGTGTCTGTTCCTTGAGAAAAGGTGTATTTTCCAGACAACTGTCTTGCCAAATCCACTGACACAGTCGCACTGTGAGGTTTATTACCCTTTCTAAATTCCAGACACAAACCCTAGGTCATTAAACAGCTGACTGGTACTTAATATTAAGTACTTTTCATGTTCGTTGTCTTCTTTTAAGTTTATCTGACGTGTCCCCTTCAATTCACTTTGAATGTGAAGAAGTTGAATTCAAATATACAATACAAATTCCCCTCCTTACCGATTTTTTTTTCAATCAAGAGTGATGAAAATCTAAAAAAAAAACCCAAGGTTGATTGTCCTAACAGCCTTTGACAAGGCGTTAAAATGTTGACTTAAATTATTTTTGACTTGGCAAAAAACCCGAATTGTTTTCGTTTTGCTGAAAGAACGCACACCTTTTGGGTGATCCGTGGACAGACTTTAAAACGGTGTTTGTGTTTAAAATTCCGTAACTTAAAATATACACGAGTGATTTGAATGATTCTTGTACTAAAATAAAGCTTATGAATAGGGATTTCATATCCTAGATTTTGACATTGCTGCATGCAAAACTTTACCAAAAAAGTGGTCCCGACATTTGGGTTTCGTTTTTTGTTGACTCACCCTTTGTAAAGCATGAAAAAGAAACTAAATGCAAAAGTTCAAGGAAATAAATACGCACAAAGATCCAATGGCAGCACATCCAAGTCTACGTGGAAACTCTGAATAGGCCTACAATAGGCCTACAATAGGCCTACAAGTACATTTTTATTTACGTCAGAAAAACCATCCAACCATAGGCTGACGTACTTTTCAGGCTTGGTGATGTACTTTTCAGGCTTGGAAAGAATGCGTCATGTGATTTCTTACAAACAGAGCCAAATACCCTGTTTTTTTTTCACTTGAAAAGAAATAACATGTAAATCAACTTTAACCTCACCGTTACTGCTTCTTTGTAATGCCATAATTTTGTATTTCTTTACAAAACTTGCACATCTAAATGTTGTACGTGTAATTTGATTCTGGGCTATGTAGTGTGATGTACTGCATACATTGTGTACAATGAGTCTACATGCACTGTAGGATGCATAATCCTGCATTAAAAATTCCCATAGACACCAGTGTTAAATGCCCGTACTTCCAAAATCTTTCCAAGATACTCAAAACCGTCACAGGTATTTAAGCTGCACAGAAAAATGATGATCAACATCAGGCGCGGTTCTACGGGGGGGGGGGGGGGGGGGGGCTAGGGGGGCTGTAGCCCCCCCCCCAAATTTTGTCTAGCCCCCCCAAAATAAATTCCTTAAAAAAAAAAAATTGCATTAGCAAAAAGAAGGATTGTGATGTACATGCGAACGGTCTCCCCCTAAAGAAGAAATAGCCGTGACAAGGGTGCATTAGTTAATATAGTGTGGATGATTTTAGGATTTTATTGGCGCTCCCCATTGAAAATATGGCATGAGTCCCCCCCCCCCCCCCCCCCCCCCCCCCTATTGATTTTCGGAGGCCTAAGTGTCTGGAAAAAATAACCGGTCAACATTTCAGCACGCCTCTCTGAAAAAATTCTGGATCCACCGTGCTAGCCCCCCCCAAAATATTGGTTCTAGAACCGCGCCTGATCAACATGCCATCTTTCATTTTCTTTCCAATTTCTGACGGGTTGACCATTGACTTTTTGACAAAATCTCACCGAAAGCAAACGACCCTTATTTTCCCAAAACGAAAAAGAAGCCATCTTGAAAACGATCCCTCCACAACATATGGCTAAATACAGGGGCGGATCCAGAACACAATTTGGGGGGGGGGGTGGCCAAAAAAATTTGATTCCCAAAAAAGTGGGTCCAAAAAATTACGGCGTGGGGTTCGGGGCCCACTTAAGGGCCCCGAATTAGATGCTCTGTGGTGCGATCTGAGGCAATTTCTGACCACTTTAACCAAATTTTTTGAGGAAAAGATGGTGGTGTGCGCAGTGCCTACCTCTCACTTAAAGGAAACATGCAGTGGAAATTCAACTCATCGTGTTT